ATCCATTAGGTCTAAGGGTATCACGCAAGACAACCCAGAGGTCAAGCATGGCTTTTGCGACGCCCCGAGGGAGCGAAGAGGCAATATTTTAATTTCTCGGTACTCCGTGTCTGACGGTGTCTCCTCGCGCTTCATGACCGGCCAGCCCTGTGCAGTAGCGCAGTACAGTAAGGTGCTTGCATCTTTAGACTTTCGATCCCGAAACCCTGTAATGCCATCATCGTCCTTTTCGCCGCACCAGGCAGAGTGCTATGCATCGAGCGCTTCATCTACCATATGCTCTTACCCAAATTGTGAGTCAAGAATACTTGATTCAGTATCTATGATGGCAAATTAATCGTATGCTGGGAAGTTCATGGTTGGAGTGATCGTGCTGGGATCCATCATCCGAAATTTCCAGATCCGGAACTTCGGAAGCCTCTGCGCTGCAGGGTCCTCGGCTCCTGGATTTGGTGATGTACATACGTTGTTACTACTCCACCCTAGCCTTTTTGTGTCCATTCGTCTCTGTCTCCGTCGCTGGTGTAGTCTCGCCGTCTTCTGCGCCGGCTTCTTCGTCTTCATCGTCGTCGTCCTGAACCACACGTCGTTTGCGCTTAGCAACTGATGAGCTGAACGAGGTATCGGCACTCTCGATTTCACCACTTGCTATGGCCTTTTCCTTGGCTTCCACCTTTTCCAGAGTGACAGTGTATTGTTCTAGCACACTGTCCAATGCTGACTCCAACTTCTCAACCCGGTCTTCATGCTCGACTTGGGCGAGCTGATCCCGGTTGAAGATGTACAGTCGCTGTTTTGCGTATAGCCTCCAGAAGTAATATGCGCGATCGTTCTCATCGCTAGCTTTTGCTTTCTTGGTTATTCTGTTTCGCGAACGGTGTCTTAGAGGTATCGAAGAAAGGGTGTGCATCTCGACGAGGCGATCGAATTGGCGCGGCATTATCTTTGTTTGCCGCATGATTGCCTTTCGCACTTCAAGCGGAACTATCAACTCGGTCGGGATGTTTTGGTTGAGGTCGAGACGGTCGGCTGGGATATCGGTGTTGATGCGCAGGTCTCTGAACTCGGAACAGGTCGCTCGCAGATGGAGAAGATCGCAGAGATCTCGCAGATCGTCGAACTTCTCGTTTGGATCTTCTACTGTGAACTCACGCACATTCTCTGCGGATGTGAGGTGCCGAAACATGGCATTATACAGCTCTTGTCCATGCCCTGAACCGTGCCAAGGTGGTAGCACCAGAAATTGCGACAGCCTTTCTCGCGCTGGTAGTTCGAGAGGCGATGAGAAGTCTGGTGCTTGTGAGAGCTTGTTTGCTGGAGAGTCTGGCGATGGTAAGAACTCTTCAATCGATTGTGAGGACGGCGAGAAGACATCCCATGAGACCGACTTGAGCTGGCGTTCAGGGAAGGTGAAATTTCGATATGAAGTGCCGTAGCCTGCGAGTGTGTAGGGCGAGATAGATGCGGTGGCAGAGCGGTCTACTTCGTAGACGAGAAAGATCTTCCAGCGATTGGCCGACCAGCCCTGGTCGAGTTCTAGCAGGCTGCCACCGTCGATGTACATGGGTACCAGTATCTGCATGTTTTCTAGCAGCCGTCTCGCGGCCTCATCGGCCAGACTTGCGCACCAGATCTCGTAGCTCTTGCCATCTCGCCTATATTGGCGGATCTTCTCGCCTGGTGGTTGAAAGCTTGCCTCGTCCTCGAGCGTTTGATCTTCAAATGCTGTTGCGGGTAAGAAGTCTGCCAGGGCTTCTTTGATATTTGTGGGCTGCACATCGCCTTGGGCAGGAAAGATTCTGCCATAGCTAATGTCGAGCTTCGGCTTTAGGTCGTGTGCGCGGAAGTAGAGATTGATGTCTAGGTCTTGGTAGCCGAATATGGCTTCTTCGTCGCCAAACATGGCATATGTGAATTCCGGCTGGAATGTCGCGATCTTGTGGCCATCGCCGCGCACCAGAGCAATATTGAAGCACTCATTGCTATTGCTGGACCACTCGTTTACTTGTTCCTCGATCTGCTGAGCGAGCTCGTCGTTGTCGTCCATCGCGTCGTCCATGATGCATGCAGCGTCGGTGGTATGGTGAATGTCTTCTGTGCGATATGGTCCAATGTCGAGGTATGAACAAGGCGATGGAGCTTTTGGGGGTTGATGTGTTTCTAGCTTCGAAAGTGAGTTCGCGATCTGACGCGAGCAGGCGCGTCGCTGGAACTAGACACGTGATTCGGACCAGGATTATGACGTTCGGTAGCAGCGCCGACCGACGATCGGCTTGTGCTGCTGAGGTGGAGGTTGGACTGTCGAGATGCGCAGCTCTCAATCTACTCCCACAATCTCTCTACTGCAAATTGCTATGCCACGCCTACCATGAAGTGAGGATTGCATTCACCATTCACCTGGCAGAATCACATGCAAGCACCACACCATGCGACGATCCTCTTAGCCAGCCCATTTTCGCACATCCTCGCCGCCGCCGAGTCGAGTAGCGCGTCGTGCGCCTCTTTCACACTGCTCGCCTTCCACCACGTCTCCTTACACTACCATGCCCTTCTATTCGAGCGTGCGTAAGACGTCGGCGACGACGGCTATCAACGATGCGAATACTCCATACCCCCCAAATGGCAGTAATGGCATTTCGCGACAACCTCGCACTACCGCTAGTGGGCGCGCGGTGAGGGCCAACACCACCAGACCCGCCAACTACTACGCCCGCCCCTTTGGCAATCCAGCTGCCATTGGCGACCACGATGCGAACGCGGACAATGCTGGACCTCAACAGCCTGATGCCTTCTACCCAGGCATAACCTTCTTCACCGACGCCATCACCGCCCTGCCGAAGGAGGTGCAAAAGCAGTTCACATTGATGAAAGAGGTTGAGGCCAAGATTCATGGACCTACAGAGCAGATAGGGCAGATAATCGATCAGATCATGGACATGCCGGTGCCGAGACTCAAAGAGACCACCACATCTACTGCACAAAATGCTTCTACGCAAGGCCTGCTCAGCTTGACTGCCAACAACAGCACGTCCGGTAGTGCCAATGTCAGTCTGATCAATGGTCAGGCTGACAGATACAGTGCGCATCCCTCTATCAGCGGATCTGTTGATGGCGAGCAGCATGCAGAAAGCGAAGGAGATCGCCAAAAGCGTCTGAAGTGCTACGAGCTGCGAGCTGTGACCAGTGGACTGCTCGCGAATCTTGACGAAAAGATCGTAGTGCTGTCCGAAGCAAATCGCGTCTTGAAGCTGCAGCAAATGCGACTGGACTCGGTCATGCCGCAGCTGGAAGTTGAGATTAGCGAAGAGGCGCGACTGGGCAGCATGACCCATTGGGCATACTTTGACAACCGGCAGAAAACCAAAGCCGTTGCCAGCAGCGCCAACAGGCAGAGAGATGTGGCTGCCATGAATAGTCTCGCGGTGGCCGGTAATTTGCTCCACGAACAAGAGATTGCAAATGTCAGGACAAATGCAGGCAAGGAGGCTACACGCGAGAAAAGAGGAGGAAAGCGAACTGAACATGCTGGAGACTCAGACTTCGACGATAAGCCGCGAAAAGTGGCCAAAGTTGGCAAAGGCAAAGCAGCTGCAGGTGGAGGACCAGCTGGTTTGGGTATTTCTACCAATGGCGAGCCTGTAACCAAGAGGAAGAAGCCTGCCGAAAAAGGTCTTGCGGCGCCAGGTATGGAGCGCACAGTCTCCGCACCAGGCAAAGGCGCGAAAGGAAGAGACACGCCTAGAAGCACACCTACAGCAGAACCTGCGGCCAAGGCGAAAGCCACCAAAGCTAAGCCGGGCCCTACAGGACCTAAAAGAAAGATGCCAGCTTCCGCGCAAAATAGTCCTATGCTGGCAAGCAGCCCCCTGGCCGCTTCCTTCAGTCCTGCAACGGCTGCTGCGTCGCTTGACGTTCGACCTTCGAGCTCCCGAATGCGACAAAACTCCTCCGCCACGAACCTTCGCCACGAACGCTTGCGAGATGAAGACGAGAACGACAGTCGACCGTCTTTGGCAGCTGGCGACAAGGCTGCGCCGAAAATGAATGGAAGGAAGAAGGTTCAAGAGACCACAGAAGAGCACGAACAAATCATTCGAGAGGAACCGACTGAGCTTTCGCGACAGCATAGTGAGAAGCTAAAGCGTGAGGATACCGAAATGCGATATGCAAGCGGTAATGAGAAGGACCGACCGGTGAACTCGCGATCTGGTAGCAACAGCCGTAAGAACAGCGGGAGGAATAGCAAAGTCAGTACGCCGAGAGCTGAGAGCTTTCCGACTTCGACCGCGCTTGGTGGAGAGGCTATGGCGAGATCGAGGAGCACGAGGAGTAAGCCTGGAGATCGAGATGATAGCTCGAGCGAACCACAGCAAGGCAGCGCCATCCGCAAGGGCATGCATAAGCGGAATGCGAGCAATAGTCATTTGGTGAAGCAGCTGGCGCCCTTCAATAAAAGTCCGAACCTGGATCGAAACACCATGGATGAAGATATGGATTCCGATGACGATGAGAAAGAAGACAACGAAGGTGATGATCAGGACGCGGGCGACGAGGACCAGCGCGAAGCCAGGCGCGCAAGTGCAAGACGGCCGGTCAGCAGAAGGTATGCTAATGCTTCACAATCTACTGTCAAGATCATGCTAACAGTCATGCAGGAATACTGTCAACTCGACCACACTACGCACATCACCTGCACCGGTCAGCAGAGACAGCTCGCCTCCGGCCTCACCACCGACAGCAACGCGACAAAATACCAGAAGCTCGCAACGAGGCAATGCAGCTTCCCCCAAAGAGAACACTCCGCCACTCATCCATGACGATGACGAAGATGAATCCGAGCACGATCCAGACGACCCCGATGAGCCGAAATACTGCTACTGTAATAGAGGAAGCTATGGCGAAATGGTGGCCTGTGATAACGATAATTGTCCGCGAGAATGGTTCCATTTGGGATGCACAGAGCTTAAAGAAGCACCCGAAGAAGCAGATAAATGGTACTGTCGCGATTGCAGACCTAAAGGAAGAGGTGGCCGAGGAGGTGCCAGAGGCGGAAGAGGCAGACTAGCTTAGGAAGATAGACCTTGGACCTCCAGTTCGGGAGGTTGAAGTAATGTGACCGAGCTATCAATCAAGAGACTTGCTTGGATCGTGCATTACGATCCTGTCGGATTAGATCTCCCTCTCTTGCCATGTCGAATTTCGCCCCATTTTGCTTGCTCTTGTCATTGTCAGGATTGCAAGAATCGTTCTGATTCAGCGTTTATGTACGATCATCGGTTCACTCCCAGACGCAACTTTTAGAATCCCCATAAGTGCCAGGGGCTTTCAAAATCTTATGGAGATTCGAACACCAAGACTGGGAATGAGTTGAGGTATTGGTAGTGTGGGTGAGTGTTTAAGTCGCTGTGACGAAGAGAAGCATTGGGATACTGTCTGGCTGATGCGGCGTCGATAAGGAAGTCCGCTACAGTACATTTGACTACTTCCGCCGTGAAAGGATTCATGGCTTTGGTTTTTGGGAATACGATTGGTGAGAGGAGGAAGCCGTGTGGGGAGTTGTTTTTGGAGGATAAGGAGAAGTGGATCGGGGATGTAGTCAGGGAAACGAGTGAGATGGATTATGGTTCTGCTCTGCTATCGTACATTGATGAACTTCTTCCTTGTATATTACTGATATCCATTTTTCATGTTGAGTGGTGCCTCTTTATGCGAGATAGTGCTTGGGCCTGGCTTGAGTTTAGGCGTAATTCGCTGGCCCGACGGAAGTTGGAGAATAGTAGGTCTTGATGGTAGTGACCAATGTTGTGTGAGCCACGTAATAGGTCGGTATTGCTGGGTGGTCGTAGCTTTTGATTGCACTTGACATGTAGTGACTTGGACCGGCATGATCGGTGATATAGCCAGGAATCGTGTTGCGGAGCGTCGTTGAATAGTGCGCTGCTGTTGGAGTGCTGGTTGTTTCGACTGAGAAATGCGAGATGGAGTAAGGAATGGTATGATGATGGCTGTCTTGGTATCTTGTTCCAGGTATTCTGGTTGGATTCGTGGTGTTTGAATACGAACTTGGTCTAGTCTCGTTGGAGTAAGGGCTTGGATAGCTCGGATAGCCGCTAGGCTTGTGACGATATGATGTGCTTAGTGTAGGGATTGCTTGAGTTTTGTTGAAGGACTTCGGCGGATGACCTGTTGACAGTGGGCCGTACTGTGTTATCTTCTTGGTGTAGCCAAGTGAACTGATGATCCGGGTCGAATGTGTTGGCGTGCCGTAGTGGATGAGACTGATGTCAGTGCAGTTTGTACTGATTTCTGTTGTGGTGGGACTTTGATGTTGGCCGTAGCTGCGCAATGTCGTCCGGTGAGTCCAGCCTTTCAAGGTCCAATTACCATATGGTGCAAGACCGTGCCCTGTGGACAAGGTAGCGTAAAGCAGCAAGACTTGGAAGGATAGTGTCCACATGTCTGATTAGGAAGTCCAAAAGCAGTGCCTAGATTATTATGAAAGCGAGTGTGGATCAACAAAGTTGAGAAAGATCAATTTGAACTCCAACAAGATTCTTCACGAAAGCAGTGCCGCCTCCTCGAGAACTTATAACTGCCTGTCAGAGCACCTACCGTTGAACACCAATGGTTTGATCGCGCGGGATGTCTCGGACATCGACTTCAGTGGCCCCAAAGCTACTGATTCCTGGTGGCATTGAGAGTCATGTTGCCATAAATGCTGCTGATAGATGGTGGCGACTAAAGGAAAGCTTGACATTCCTTGACATTGCAAACGGAGTACGCGATTCTGAGTCACCGTGAGAGTCAAACGAGGGGATATGGTGCTCTGCGTCCGTTCGTGGGTGGGTAGCGTTGGCCGGCTGATGCAGTTCTCGTAGCCATAGTCGCACTTTCATCTCCCCCTGTAAGCCTTCACAAGGCTTTGACATTGGAGACATCGGCCTGGCATATCGGTCTCCTTTCGTGTGGATGTCAAGGGTGACATCTGATGGCCATGACGGGCTCTAGGTCTCGCACAAGGCCTGAGCACCATGCTTATTGAGGTTGATGGGCAGACAGCGTCCTCCGGCTCGAATCGTGGAGCGGGTAGGGGATGTCTTTGCTGCCTGCATCCGTCATTTCGATGTCGTCGGTTGCCGTTCTGGTACTGCTGACTCTGTGCCGGGTATCAATGATGTAGCGTTGTGATTACGTGGAATTGTGCCGGAAAATAGAAGGGAGCAAAAGGGATGAAGGATGGTGAGGACCAGTCCTGCCAAGACTCCGCCGTGGCCGTGATTGTGGGTGGCTCTTTTCCAAGCAGACGGAACTTTTCTGACCAACTTTCTCCCAGACACATCTTCTCTTCCGCATGCACTGACTTACCTGGTGATACCGCTGAGAAGCATCATGGCTCCGCAGAGGTGAGCGACACTTGACTTCGACTGACACGATCAGATCCGATATCCTCCTGACCACCGTCAGATTGTGGGCGGTCGTCGATGGAGAAATACGCTGTCGCCGAAGAAATGGCGCACACGCCTGGTATTTTCTAGGACCCTGGAGACGAGAGAGTGAGAGCAATTTCTGAACTGGAGTCCCGAGGTCAAAGTACGCGATTTGCACAATAAACCATCTCGCCTGCCCTGGCAAGGACGACAAACATGGACGAGCGCGCGCCATGCTTTACACCTCACATGCTTTCTCGGTGTTGACATGTGAAATCGGTCTCTTTTGACATTGAGTTCAGTCGACGAGCTAATACGCGTCATGATCGGCGCTGTACAGCTCGCATTAGGGAAGTGCACCTCTCGATGACATCTCTGCGCCAGCTCTTTCAAAAGAAAGCCTTATATATGCAGCGTGTTGACTACAGATGCAACCAGCAGCTCCTTCAGCAAAACTGATCTCCAGGCCCTTCCTACACGATCACAGCTCTTACCTTCCAAGGTCCAGCAAACCCATCAAGACTTTCAACGCCCGAAACCTCCAAAATGCCAGAAGTAAACCCAGAAGACGCAGAAGCCTATGGCCAACGACTCGTCTCTATCTTGCAGATTCCAACCAAGATTCCACGGCTTCAAATACCCACGCAAGACCCTCGTCTTCAGATACCGACCAAGATCGAGAACCTCCAGATCCCTACAAAAGATCCACGCCTACAAATTCCGAGCCAGGATCCAAGGCTCAAGAGGGGAAGGATTGATGGAGTTGTCTAAGCATTGGATTACGGCATTCGAAGGTTGGAGGTGGAAAATAGCGACGTAGAAGAGAAGGTTGAGATTGGAAAGGCATGACAAGCAATAGAGAGCTGTCCACCCACACGTCTTTCAATGCATTGCGAATCTGGCGCTCCTTTATCTAGCGAGGCCAGAAGCACTGTTTTACTTGCTGCGGCTGTTGTTGAGATGCAGCGTGGTGAGAGAGTCGGCATTGTACGGGAGTCGAGAGAAATATGGGCCAAGCTCTACCACAACCGGCCTGTGACAAGCAGTGTGAATTAAGGCTGTTCAGCAATGGTCCGATAGTCTATTATATGTCTTCTGATAAGGGGTTCGCGCGCTGGCCAACAACTCAATGCTTCAAAAAGGGGAGCTTTGCGCTCCTCCAGCTGCAAACGACAAAAAAAGGTATTCAAGTCCGTTATTAGGTGTGCAGGGAATTGGAGTTTTATCAAAGTTGTACTGGAAGCAAAACTGCAACTGGAAAAGATTTCCGGCCCAAAAAAGATTTCCGTCACGGGGAATTGACTACATCCATGTTAGATCAAGTTCTCTTATTACTCGTTTTCAATTCTCGACTTACACCCCGGCCTCAACGGTTCTGTGTACGGTTACGTACTGAGAGCGTTGCATCCTAGCCACTAGACGATGACGGATTGCTTTGATTGGCTGAAGAGCTATTTATTTGTTTATATATACCTTAATTCTTGGCAGGTGGAGGAGCCGACCCGCTGACAAGCCTGTCCAGCTCCGCTCAACACGCGAACTTAAGCATGACTTGAGCATTGAACAAAGGCGAGGCAAGCCGCAATATGGGCTCAATACCGACATCTCATGGACCTGATCCACCAAAGAGGATTCCAGTCCTTGATTTATCACTAGCATCTGATTCAAAGCAGAAACCGCAGCTCTTGGATCAGCTCCACAACGCTCTCTTCGAGGTCGGATTCCTTTTCATCATCAATCATGGCGTAAAGCGAAAGACAATCGACAATCTCACAGATCTATTACCATCATTATTCGCTCTTCCAGAGCCTGAGAAAGCGGCTCTGAGCAAGCTCAATAGCCCACACTTTCTTGGCTACAGCGGCTTTGCCGAGGAGACGACTTTGGGGAAACAGGACCTTCGAGAACAATTTGATTTTGCGACTGAGCTTCCGCCTGTGTACCAGGATGCCGATTCTAATGATAGCTCGAAATCTGTTCAAGACAGAGACTTCTCGAAACTCTTTTGGCGACTTCGCGGGCCGAATCAATGGCCTCTAGAATCCTCACTTCCAGGCTTCCGCAAAGCATTCACGGATTACCATGATGCGGTACAAGATTTATCATATCGTTTCGTTCATCTGATCGAGGAAGCTTTCGGGATTCCTGTCGGCACTTTCGATCATTTCTTTGGCAAGGGTCACTCAGACAATCGAAGCAAAGACACACGAACGTTTTTGCCGCCACAACATCGCATCAAACTTCTCAAATACCCCCCTTCTCCAAAAAATGAGACTGGAAGTCAAGGTGTCGGCGCACATAAAGACTCATCTGGTTGGCTCACATTCTTGTACCAAGTCGGCAATGAACCTGGCCTGGAAGTCATGTCAGCATCAGGCGATTGGATTCCAGCAACCCCCATTGATGGAAGCTTTGTCGTGAATTTCGGAAACGCTTTCGATGCTGCGACTGAAGGTGCTGTGAAGGCGACTATTCATCGTGTGATCGCTCCTGGACCAGACAGTCCCGTTCGATACTCCATACCATTCTTCCAAGGTCTGCCGCTTGACATGACTGTATCAGAAGTGCAAAGCTGCATCCCTGAAGAAGTTCGACAGCTGAGAAAAGATTCCGACACGTCTTATGATGGAGTCTCTAGCTTCTTGAATCCGAGATGGGACAGTCTGGGCGAGAGTCAGTTGAGGAAATGGATCAGATCGCATAAAGACGTAGGATTGAAATGGTACGGCCAGGTAAGAGATACACGATCCTACTCTGATATTGAATTCATATGCTGAGACTCTGCAGGATGCTGTCGATTACTACACATCTGCAGACTGAGCGCTACTCACAATATCGGTTGGCTTCCACTACAGCTAATTCTTGTCTCCATCGTAGCTAGCAAAAGCACCACCGTACGCCTCAACCGTAGCCTTGTCAATAACCTGCATCTGCGCTTCCACGCTCTCCTGCACAGAAATCGCTCCTTGGCACCCAACTTCTGCATGCCTTGAATTTCTTCTTCACTCAAGGGCTTACCTTCCCTTGTGCCCACAAATCCAGGGCTCAGACTGAACAACAGCACGCCTTCACTTCTTCCGAGAGCAGAATGGTACTTACCGACCAAGAGATTAGCAGCAGCTTTCGAGATGGAACACGGAGTCGCCGAACTGAGATCAAACTTGGTCAGAATCTCGGAGTCGGTTTCTCTGCTCTGACGAGAGTATACGCATTGTACCTGCATCCTTCAAATAGGTGGATCTGTTCCAAGTTGGGCGGCATCGGAATTCTTTCTGACAAAATGGCAGCACCGCAGCTGTCGTGCAGCCACTTTCGGGCACGAAAGAGCTGATCTTGGCAGGAAGTGATGCAATACACGTTCTTTTTGCTCACTAAAAATGTGACTATACAAAGAACAAGAAGATTCGCTCGTGTAGCTGGCAGAAAAATCAGCAGAACAACAAAAATCGATCCGATCTCTCACAAATGCAGATTTACAGCTTGGGTCCCTGCTTCTTCATCTTCTCCCTTTCCTTATCCCTAATGAGGCGTCTCAGGATCTTGCCAGAAGGCGACTTTGGGACTACATCGATGAATTCAACGCCGCCACGTAGCCACTTGTGGTTGCTCTTGGCTTGCTCGACATGCTTTGCGATCGACTTGGCCAACGTCTCATCATCTTCCTTGACGCCGGCATTCTTCACCACGAATGCTTTCGGCACTTCTCCTTCTCGATCTGATGGAATGCCAATGACCACAGTGTCGTTGACTGCAGGGTGAGTGAGGATGTGCGCTTCAAGCTCAGCTGGAGCTACTTGCAAGCCCTTCACCTTGATCAATTCCTTGATACGATCTGTGATGAATATATGCTCATGGCCGTTCGGCGACTTCTGGATCATAGCTTCGTCACCGGTCCGCATGTATCTGCCATCGGGTTCATTGATGAAGGTCTCTTTATTGGCGTCTGGTCGGTTGAGATACCCTAGGACAACGGCTGGCGACTTCACCCAGAGTTCTCCAGGTTGTCCATAGCCGGTGATCTCATTGCCTTCTACGGTGACCAGCCGAGCAGTGATGCCTGGCAGAAGCGAACCAGAGCTTCCAAGCCAGATATCGTGCGTCATAGTAGAGCAAACTACAGTCGATGTCTCTGTCAAGCCGTAGCCTTGACGAATAGCCCAGTTGGGGAAGATTTGTGCTAGATCGTCAGCAGTTTCCTTTCCGAGAGGTGCTGCGCCCGTAAAGCATGCGCGGACATGCGAGAGGTCGTATTGTTTGACAATATCTTTCGCCTTGGTGATGTGAATGATCATCGGCGGCACCAGATAAAGCATGCGGATCTTGTAGTCCTGAATTGCTTGGAGCAACCACTTGAAGTCGTATTTGGGAAGCACCACAACGCCATCGCCTCGAAAAGGTGCGAGATGCGAAATGACGATCAGGCCATAGATGTGCGAGAACGGGAGCAAGCCCAGGCAGTTCTCTGTATATTGGGGATTGTTAAATTCTTTCCTGGCTTTTTCCCGATCCACCGATTCGTGTGTGGCTATTTGCAGGGTATTTGCAATCACGTTGTAGTGCGAGATCATGACACCCTTCGGCAGACCAGAAGTGCCGCTTGAGTAGCACAAGAAAGCGCAACGTTCTTTCGCATGTCCCTTTGGCCAACTCTGGTCAGATGGGATAATTCGGTCGAGCTTTTGACCTTTCTTGATCAAATCTTCGATCGTCTGATGGCCATTGTTTGACATTCCTGGAGTCACTGCCTCAGGTAGAGGAAGAAGATATATCCTATCATCCGACAGCTTCGACTTCTTCACTCCGTCTTTGCACGTCTGGAGCAGTGGCAATGCGGTGAAGATGGCCTTAGCTTTAGAGTCGTTCATTTGGAACTCGAGCTCGGACGCATTGTACGCAGCATTCACTGCAGTCAGAAGACCGCCTATCCTGTGTACAGCCCAGGCAAGGGTAAGATAGTCGATAGTATTCAAGCTGAAGACAGCGACCACCTTATCCCATTCGGAGCCCTCATCTGGCTTCCAACCGAACTCGTGGCACAGCGCACGGGACAACCAGTCCACCCTATCTTTCATGTCAAGTGCGCTGAAGTTTCTGCCAGTCAAGGCACAGCTGAAGGGTGGTTGCGAGTAACCCATAGGAAAGCGGCCATAATGCTCGTTGAACATGAACGTCTCGATGGAGATGTTCTCCGGTATAACAGGGCACTCGGGTACCCATGAGGGCGGCGTGAAAGGCATCGTCGCGGCTGTACGGGATGTCGCGGGCGGAGGTCGATTTCTTCTACTGAGGTGGTATGGTCTTTCTAGCTCTTTGCTCTAATACTGACACAAGGTAGCGATAAGGCAAAAGGAACGGACACCGGCAGCCTGGCAGCGACGCCTTGGAGCTGATCAAGCAAGATGAAATGTTCCGCAAAGATGGAAGACAAGACAAGACGCAGGTGGATGGGAGCGGGAATCGGTTAATTCCATGGGTATGCGCTGCCCCTAGCAGAGCTCTCAATAATGGCCGAGGCCGACTATCAGCCAAGACCAGATGCCTGTTCCCCGCAACTTTCTCCATATTCTATTTCAGAGCGCGAGCCGCAAAGAGACACGTGCGCATGTGAATGACTGCGAATCTCGGCCGAATTTCTGCTCCTGCAGAACCTTGAACATCGTGGATTGTGACACAGTCGGTCCAAGTGTAATGGATCCACGTTGACCACCTGCATGTATGCTGTGCTACAAAGATCGAGTCCAGCTTGCGTTGTGTCTCACAAAGCCACCTGTTCACAATGTCTGCCTGGAAAGAGATTTGCAATCATGATATACGCTGCTGTTCCACCCGAAGTGCTTCCAGGCGTGCCCCAGCTCCAAGCCCACACTCTTTCGCGCCATCTGATTTATGAAGAAGACAATACTACAACGCTTACATCTCACCCAGGCCACACTATAGACATGGCATCCACACGCCGTCTAACATCGCGAGTTCTCCCCCAAATCCACAAACTCCAAGCCCAGCGCCGACACTTCTGGAAAAAGCCCGGGTCTCACGATCATGTCCCAGAAGTCAACGCCCGAGAATTCGACATAGCTTTCGATGTTGGAAAATACCGCCGCACGAGAAGAGATGGGGCATTAAAGTTTATTTCGGAACATATGCGAAGAGAATTCAAGACCCGTCGGTTTTGGACAGATGTGCTCATCTTGAGTGCAATTACGCTCATGGTTCCGCCTTGGGAAGACACCCCTAAAAATCGCGAGTGGGTGGAGAAGTACGGCCTACCGAAGTGGTTTCTGGTGAAGAGTAGGAGACAGAAGGAGGAAGAGGAGGCTGCTGGCGCGAATCATCGGGGATGTGGATCGGAAGAAGATGGGTTGGTTGAGGAGTGGGCGAAGATGCAATAGAGAGGCCAGGAGGATGTCGAGGGATCTACGTGACCATCGAGTACAACGTACGGAAGCGAGCCTCAGCGGTGGATATGGACATGCTGAAGGTGTACTGCACGCGGACGACTTTTCCGCGCCCAGCACTTCGCCATGGCCAACGTGGTAGCGCCCCAGAAAAGCTGCAAAAATGGACCAGAGATATCATTTTTGACAGTACAAAGGCAAGTAGCACCTGCTAGAGACTTTCTAATGTCTCTGAAATGACTCTTGAGAAGGCAGTCAGCTACGTGAAGATAACCTGCCAAGATCTACGTTCCTACATTGTTTGTCTCATGGTGGATGGTGGATGCAAAACGGCACTTCAATTGAGCCGTCTACTACGCAGCAGCACTGGAGGAACTGCAAGTCAATCCCTCGAATTTCCGATTCCACTGCAAGGTACAATTCTGGGTTCATGCCCTGGCTCGTCATCGTTCACAAAACTCTATGCTTCTGCCACATATTCGCTACCACGACATTCTGCGACCAATATCATCGGTCGAGTCGCTCCGCGATAGCTGCGTGCTTTCTGGTCTCTGTCTGCGAAGCAATGAGCTCAGCTAGACCGGCTGAGTTCGAGGCGCAGGGTGGCAGCGGCAATAGCCTCGTCCAGTGAGCACCTCCTGGCATGCCCAACAAAAGCTCTTCCGGCACTGCGTGCAAAACATATGCTGACAACCGCCATTTTTTTGAATGCTCTTCCCGCAGCCAGGACACTTCTTAGAGATCCGGCTGACTTCCTTCAGAGACTTCTCGTCATCTTCCATCCTGTCTCTCATTCTGCGTTGGTATGTCTGGCAGTCTTCTCCATCGTGGTAAGGCCGATCACAGGGAACGCAAGCTTGAGCGCCGCACCTCTCGCAAGTGCATACATCTGGCTGACTATCCGCGCCATCCTCCGTATCATTCTTGCCTTTGGTCTCGCGATTTGGCTTTGCCGCTGCGGGAGCTTGCTTCTCGTGTACCTGGCCTGCACTACCTATGACAAAAGGCAGACGTGTCAGTGAAGGTTCAGATAGCTCACGAAGCGAAGAATTCGCGAGGCATAGTAAGAGGGCTTTGCCGACCAGCGAAGTTGGTTGCACACTTACATCCTGGCGCTAAGCACCATCTCCAGCCCGGAGTGACCTCGCCAATGAAATGACGGTGTGCTTCGTTGAATTTGGCGAGGACTGTCTTGGTAACGGCGGCTTCCACATTTACTGGTCGCATAGTCGCTGGGCATTCTGGGCCTGGGAGAGTCAGCATTGAAGATGTGCCGGGATCTTGGTAAGCCTGGAAAGGAGGGCCGTCTTGAGCAGAAGTATGCGCGCTCTACTCTCCCTGCTCAAGAATCGACTACTGTCTGCGACGTGCCGACCACCGCTCTACATCTTCGGCGCATTCCCCGAATGCTGGGCAGGTGGTGTATGATATGTAAAGGTCGCTAGGATCCTCGCTAGTGGTCCACGCCTTTCATGGGAACACTCACATCTTACTCCGAAGGAATCGCCGTCTGCTCCCTTCACGAACTCGGCACCTTCGATACGTATGCTGACCCAATCCTTCAAGCATGATTTACAGGTGTTGATGAGGTGTTCGCAGTCGGCGCTGGGGTTGTAGTCCGGAAACGATTTGGCCGTCTTCTCGGTGTCGCAGATGGCGCAGAGATAGCGCCGCGGTGCAGTTCTGGCCTTCTTACTAATAGTAGGTACATCGTCAAGAGTGATCGCCTGAGGAGGGCGATCGGCCTCCGCCGCCCGCTTTCGTGTCAGCATAATCTGCTCAAACGATGGATGAGTGTGTAATTAGAGATGTGGTGTTGTGTTATTTTGCTAGAGCAGCGCGTGTCGGGTCGAGCTCTTTAAGTCGCGGCTTGAAGCAGGCCGGGCTGATCGCCGGGCGACTGCTGCCGAAAGTTACTGGGGTGAAGTGAGTCGGTGTCTGACATGTGAAAGAGCGATCTTGCAACTTGTGTTAGACGGCAAGACACAACTTTACTTATAGGCCTTTTTGGGAAACTGCTGCAGATGGATTGTGACTCAAGACGGCAGCAGCAGGGAGACCAGACATCGTTAGTGCATCGTCACTGCCCGGATGCCTAAGGTTCTTGTCTTCAGAATCAGACGTTTTCTGCCACCCGCTTCTGGAGACATGGACTGTTCTACTCGCAAGATAGAGGGCAGTCAAATGTCAGCAGGCGAATACATGCCCAGTCTCTCGAGCTATATCGTCCTCATAGCCAACGCTCAGTCCATCCTGGCAGAATCTACCTTGATCTCGAAGATGGCTTCTGACAACTTCCCAATACCACTGTCATCGATGCTTGCCAGTGCCATCTTGATCTCTTCAAGTGTCTCATGCAGCAAGCCTTCCTTACTCCGCGAATAGACATCAATTCCGGCCGGCGTAAACAGCGTCTTCGCAAACATCGTAACCACCCACTTGTTGTTGCCATTGTTCGCCTCTTCACCCCATCCTAGCACTTCCCAGTGCGACGAGGCCACTTTCAGCCAGCCTTTGCCTCTCCAGTCCCACTCTCCTCGATTTACACCCGAGCCGGCTGCCTTGTCTATGCCCTTTACTTTTGACACCTTCTCGCCATTCAAGCTTTGGTACGTGACGAGGTCATCGAGACGGTCTGTGTTATCGGCCGATATTGACGCGACCGAAGGCTCCAGAGGCGTGTACTGTATTCGCACATTTCGCTTTGATTTCCACATGGGCAGCGTGCTATGAGTGACATGCCATGTCTCGGCAAGCCATTCGATGAGTGGAGTCTCGAAGTCCGCTGGCGGTTTCGCTGTGGAGAACGTGGGAGGCCGCAGAATCACCATTGTCATGTATGAGGTTTGCAATAATAGCGCCAGCGCCTGCAACAATAGACGAACTCCATGTTGTTGGCACACCGGCACACATGGAATGCAAGGTGAACTGTAGGAAGCTGCCGCTGCCGCTGACCTTCGACGTCACCTTCCTTGCTTCCTTGGCGTTCTCAACATACCAGCTCTCGTGATCCTTTGCGGACGAATATAGATTGACTCACACTCTGACACTGACTGGACCGGACTGGACTTGACTGGATATAAAGTGATTTCCTGGACCAGGACCGCGGATTTCTGAACATCACATCTCGAGCGCTTATGCCCAAGAAGCGCACCTACAATTTCCGCAATCTTGAAGGCTCATCAAGTGGCAAGGCCAACGCCAGCAATGATGGCGCGAATAAGACATCAACTGTTAATGAGCGTCTCAGTGAGCTGAGGCGTCTCGAAGGCAAAGATGCGGCAAAGAAGAAAGCAGAGCTAGCACAGCTCTCTCAAACCCAAAGGTCCGTTCTACCGCCAGAGCTGAGTGCTATGCTTGGCCTTCCAGAAAGTGCTCCGCCCAAACCGAAGCGTGGAGTTCGATCGCGAATGCCTGACCGGACGCCTGGACCTCCGCCTCCTACGAGTTGGAGGAAGACTCCTGGATGGTCTCGAGTGCTAGCTTTGCGGAATGGCACTCGTCGATTCAAAAAAGCGGCAGGCGCTGACCAAGATCGTAGTAGACCTAAGCAGTTGCTGAGATTTGCACGTATTACGGGGGAAGAAACGGGCAGAATCGATCAAAGGCCACCTAGTCTGCTGCATCTTGCTCTGAAGAGCGCCGCGGAATCATGGCATCGATTCGATGCTGAGGATCTACCGATGCTTGCTGAAATACCGCTTCCACTGCGTCTGAGACTTCTGAACTATATTGGATTCTATGGGCCGTCGATTGATATCAATGTCCTGGACGCTCTGACGAAAGATCGAGATCCTGTGCTCGCGCTGGATCTTGCCGCTCTCATCGGTCACGGCAGCCTGACCGTTAGCAGATTTGTCAAGCTCGCGAAGCAACAATCATCTAGCAAGGAACTGGAAGCAACTGGTGATGATATCGCTGAGTCGTGGGATCAAGAGGAATCTCTTGAAGCCGCCCTCTCAAGAACGACACTCACGACCCGGTTCTCTCGACTTGCACGCCTTAGTCTTTCGCACCCGGCGCCTGGAGTCAGCTGGAAAGATCTGCTTTCCCTATCGAAGCTCATTCCTGCCCTCACACATTTGTCTTTGGCATATTGGCCACGGCCTACTTTGACACCTAATCTGGCCACGGCAACGGTGTCTAGTCAAAACAGTCCTGACATCGCCGCAGGCGGCTCGCACTTCTACTCGGCAATGGATGAAGACCTGTACGAACCAGCATCCATCCTCCGCACGTTGAGCACCAATCTACTTCGTCTGACTTGGCTTGACCTGGAAGGGTGTACGGAGTGGATGCCAGCATTAGCATTCCATCAAGATGCAAATGCAATCAGAAGACAGCATGATCTGGGGGAAGGCAATAGTTGGGCAGAGACATCTGCACTCACAAGCATGTTCATCAGGAACTGGACCAACTTGACTTACATCAATTGTGCCCAGGGCTGGCTGCCAAGTGTATCGACCATGCACTGTCTGCCTAGGCAGACTATGCCCTATATGCATCGTCAGATGGTGGCGAAGTTCGAAGAGACTCAGGATGCTACTACATTGACGCCGCCCGGAGTGGAAGATTCCACCTTGGTCGCGCAGCATAAAGCAGAGAAGTGGATTGAACTGGAAGACCGAGCATTTGCTGCCGAACGCAGGATTAATGCTCTTAGACGCACGAGTAATGTAAAGCAAGTGGACTTCGATCACGGATGGGACAAGCATAAGTCTCTGATCCTAAGGCGAGCCACATAAAAATTGATGACCTTCTTAAAACACTATCTGCGACTTCATCTCATGACCGGCAAATCTGCCATGTGTGTCTTCGCTGACCCATATGGCACCAATCTCAATGTGTGATTGCCGCTGATGCACTTCTTCGCTTCACCAGTCGGTGGGAAACCGGGCGTGGCATTCAGGTACAGCGGCCAGTCGATCTGACATCCTTGAGCTTCGATGTATCCCGGAGCTGCTCCTGGAGCGAAGATGGGATTGGCGAGCTGGTAATCCGCACTGGTGTTCTGAGTGGTGTCAGGACCGATGTACTTCAATGTGGCAGGATCTATCGCGTAATTCCAAGCGCTTGTGTTGTGATACTGCCACTGAAGTCGAAATGCAAATGTTAGCAGTGGATCATTTCAATAGAACATGTCCATGCACTTACGTCTCTGCTCTCCTCTGGAGCGTTGCCAGGATATGGCACACTTCCACTTGGATTGCTTGGGCGTGCTGAGGAGTTGGAATTGGTGATCTCCAGCGCGTACAGTAATGCGCCTTTGTACACGGCGACGGTGTCATTCGCTCGAGCTTGCGTTCTGATTGGCGAGCCCAGAATATACTCTACCAGAGCTGTGCCAGCGGGTAAAGTCATCTTATGCAGCCCAGTCTTTGCATCGGGAGACAGTTTGGACGGACTGCCTCCTGCTACGGAAATCTTCGATTGCGATCCTGCCCACTCCGGAACCCGGACATACAGGTCGAAAGGTGCTTGAGAAGATGCAGTGTACTCTAAATGGTTCAGAAATGGATATGCCGTAGTGCAATTGACTGTCACCTGATTGTGTCCCAAGTCTGTCGTTACAGATCCAGGACTTAACAGGACGTGTGCTAAACCACTGGTGCCAACCTTGACGTAGCTGTTCGAGAGGAATTTCGGAAATCCTTGAGGATGATTGACAGTGCCTAGAACTCCAGAGACGAAGTGTCAGCAAGGTCGTCTTGTATATGGCCAACGAAGATGTATCTCCAACACGAGCTCGTTCAAACGTGGCTGGCGAGATCTTCGCACTCATTCAAAGCGCGCATGGAAAGATATCTATCAGTTTGAAAGCTCAACTTACAGCATGCATAATTTGGCTCCAGTCCGAAAGTAGTGCCTCGAGTATTGGTATTGTAAAATGGTGCCTGTGGTAAAATTTCTGCAAAAGGTTGATTCGGCTGTGTAACGTATTGGTGTGCCCACCAATCTGGAGTCATGGCAGCCGGAAGACTGTTGAAAGCTGCGAGTTCCGCTCGATCGGCATAGTAGTTGTTTCCAAGAGCCTGATATAAGTAGGAGAGCGAGTACATCGTTTCCACTGCCGTGCATAGCTCGGAGCCAGAATATGGAGCGAGCCCAACAAGTCTCTCGTCTGCGAGAATAGTCCCGGATGCCGCGCCATGATACTGCATCGTCCAGTTTACGCCGTTCATGGCGGTATCAACAAGACTGGCGTTATGGTTCCAGCGTCTCACCACGGCTGGAGCTTTCAGGCCCTGACCGACATTGACTCCATGCTGGAACGGGAAAAGTGGACCGTCCAAGTACGTCAGGCTCCATGGCAGCGTGTTCAAATCTTTGTCGAAACCACGACCAAAATAAGCATCTTGACTATACCAGTCTTCCCAATTGTGGCCTTTTGCGTGGAGATACTGCATGTTTTCGAGCAAGATATCACCAATTTCCCCGGGATTCTTCTCGTAGAGCCACTGCAAGGTGATCATCATATCTTGCATCCGGACCCGAGCCCAGTCGTCAGTGATGTAGCCCAAGTAATTGTCTTTGAGCATGCTATTGACAAGCACAACGAATCTCTGCAGACCGTCAACTATTGGCTGCGTCCAGGTGCTGTTTGCTTCGGCCAGCTGTATCGCACCGAGACAGAACGGAAACCTTCCCCATATGGTCCTCGTAAGCGCAGTCTCAGGACCCAACCAACCATCACTCTTCTGCAGTTCTACGACGGTTTGTGCTGTACTGTGGACTTGGTCCTTGAGGCGCGCATCGTCCAAGGCATATGCGAGGGGAACGAGGCCATTGAACCAATATGGAAACCCTTCGTTTAGGCCAGAATAATCCTGATCGCCTCCAAGCCATGTGGAATTCGCAACATACTCGTAAAAGTCATGCTGGTGTCCTGCCAGACCATCGCTCATGAGTTGGAGCTGGTCTCGTAGCCAACCATTCGGGCTTATCGATCCTAATGGGAGGGGCTCAAATACTAGTGGTACCAGGGTATGGGAATTGTTCGTCAGATTATGGGTGCTCAGGAGGGAAGAGGACGCAGACCAGATTGGTGGCACTTTGTATATTCGCGTGATGAAGGTGTCGAGGAGACCAAATAGGCTGCGCGGCTCGGCCATTCTTGCAAATATGGGAGGATGAAATCGATACTGAGGGGAATATTACTTTGAATGGTCAGTGTCACAGTGAACTGGTGGCGTCGAGAATGGCATTCCTTGCATGCCTATATAGGTTCGGCATGCTTGGCTGGTTTGCGGCAAGGCCGTAGCTGAACTCCGTATGAGACACTCTTGATGAGCACTGCGCCCAGGTTCCCTGAATATGATCACACGTATATGGAGCACATCATACTTTGCGCGCGTTTGTTGTCGTGTTGATTAAGAGTTAATAAGAGACAAAATGGCAGCGAAGTCTGAGCACCTTTCTGCTGCAGCCACTTCCCGGTCGCTCCGTCCACATCCCGAAAGCGCGACAACAACGCGTCCGCTGAAGAAATCACATGAAGTGCACGTGATAAAGCCCGAGGAAACGGGGCCCAAGCATTCACTCCACATGATCCTGTTTCTGCTTATGGCCCATTCTAGGAGCAAAGACTTCGACTCTGCCTGGTCCGTCGTCGCAGCATCTCGACGAAAATATAGCTCCTGAGCGACATTCAGGTCAACCAGCTACCGCCATTGGCTGCCAAGCAAGTTTGCTCCTCTCTCCAAAACGCATACCCCTATTGAAGCTTCTTCCTCAGGTCCTTCCAGTCGGCGTGGCCCTTCAGCAGTTTCGAATCCATCACAGCAGAGTTTCTTGCCGTCTTCATCCGCCGCACGACTCGCCGGCCAGCTATCTTCTCGGCGGGCATTGCGAATCTCCCTGTGGCCGTACAGTACATGATTAGCCAATTGCCAGATGTCTAAGGTCAATCCTCGTCCATGACTTACCTAGATTCGTGACGAAGCCAGACGGGCGTCGCTCGCCGACAGCCGGGTGCGGCAGCGTCGTATTGAATCGAACAAGCTCCGCACCTGCAGCGACTTCCTCCGAAGCTGGCGAGCCTCCATCATCGGCAACAAGATCTGGTAGGTCATCGAGGCCTTCGCTCTCTTCCCCGTGCTGATCTGGTTCCTCGTCACTCAGATCCCCATCCGTGATCGACAGAGCCTCCTCCTCCTCCTCCTCCTCCACATCAGAAGGATTGCTCGTCGCCTCGTTTCCTGAAGCAACGTTTGTCCTAACGGCAACCTGAGAACACTTCCAAGCCTCAAGAGCTGCGAACAGTGAAGAGAGTCCGTCTTTCCCGAGCTTCTTGGCAATCGTTCCAGTGTCGACTGTTGTCAGATCCTTCTCAGACAGCCATTGTAGCCCAGTCATGCTAGCTCCGAACAGGAAGGCGGACTGAACACGACAGGTAACAATGATCTGGAAGCGCAACAAGTCGTTTGCAGAACGAGCATCGAGGACCGCGACTCCGCCGACGCTGGCTGGATGAGAGGTGCACATTACCAAGTCTCTAACCAGCTTGCTGACCGTACTGTTACCAGCCTCGTCTCTCCGGTCATGAACCTCGTTGACAAGCTGTCCTTCGGCGGTCATGGTCTCCCTGACGACGGTGATCTGCGGGATGTCTTCGAAAGCTGGAAATTGCGGGCCTGCTTGAGTTGAGCGCGAAGGTACTTTGAGAAGCATATCGTTTGAAGCATTGTGTATCAGCACCCAGATGCTGACTTTTCCCGCCCAGTAACTTGCTTGACCTCTCTGCTCTGCAACCTGCTGAAGGATTTGACGCGGTGTCAGATCGAGCAGATGGTTCTCCGACCCAAATCGAGGCGCCATGTCAATCCAATTCGCCGGATTTTGATGAGAAGTGGCAGAACACTGAGATTGAGATGGTCTGGCAGACTTGCGTAAAATTGACACGACAAGGACGGCGCCGAAACGATTAGAGGATGCAGAGTTGTTGTGCAAACGACAGGCAAACGGGCCATCCTTATGGCATGGGCACCAATGCAGGTATCCGACCAACCCAAGAGCTGTTCCATCATATCCCCAAGCCAGCGTTCGTCGCTAATGTGCGCTCATCGCATGTTGCCCGGTAGTAAGGACCTAGATTTAGTGCAATGGCAGACTTGTGAGATGAGCAATCTGTCGCGATCGTTGTTGCAAACAGCCCACACTCCCTACCTGCTGAAGCTCCAACATCGATTAGATCAACGTGAATGGAGTTCGTCTATCCGCAGCAACGAACACCCTGCCATTGACATTGGGTCTGTTTCACGACCCCACGCTCTCCGTGAGGCTGATAAGAGCTGCTACTGAGCAGAGAATCAATCTTTTCCCTCATCGTTAATCATACTGATGCGTATCTTCAAAGAAGCCCTGTTAGGTCTCCCCAGTGTTGCACGGATGCACCGACCTAGTAGGAATCTACAACAGCTTCACTACCTCACTCTGCCAAGGCAATTTGCAGACATGCTTCCCCGAACGCTCGCGGGCTCCAGGCGTTTACGGTGGTTGAGAGAGCGGAGAAATGCTGTCAGCCCGATCTTGGGCAAAAGCCTGGGCCTGGTAGACGGAACGCTAGAATGGCCAAGTGGCATGGGCTTTCGGGAGTGGAGTCCTGGAAGGTGGAGTGCTAGGGTCGCCCGAAGTTGCAGTCAATACGCAGATGGTCTTCTTGATCTTCACATGAGAGCCTGATAGTATTTGTTGTGGGCCAGTGCATTGAAGTGATGGAACTGCATATGGAGAGTAGTTGATGGAGACTAAGGTAATAATAATAAAATGGGTTTGGAAAACGTGGTACTTGTCATCACCCTCACTCCTCGCCCGCCCAATCCTTGCCCACGCTAGCGAGGAACGCCAGGTGTACCTGTCGAGCAATTCCATAGCACAGGACTCTTGAAGGTCAAATTGATGATCAACTATACGCGCCATGTCGACACTAGATTCTCCGGCCAAAGCAGGTACGCCATGTCCACTTTACTGGTGAACGGTTATTTTGTCTTGGCATCTAGGACAGCCTCGGAGATGGATGGAGGATTCGCGTTGCAGTTGGAGGGCATACGCGGCTAACACGTGCAACATCACAGTCTCCAACGCTTCTAAGAAAAAGAAAAAGAGCAAGAAGAAAACCAATGGCTCGGCGCATGTAGAAACCGTCACAGCACATGTCAATGGCTCCAAGGAGAGTGCAGTAGAGGGCGAGGACGACGACGAAGACAGATCTCGATCACAGTCGCCGAGTGTAAGCTGGATCGATGTAAGTTCCATATTGCTGCAGTTGCTGAGACGAAGTCTAGAAAGCAGCCATACCAAATCGACTCGCCAGAGAAGACTCCTTACACATGCCATCTTCACCGCCAGCCGAACCGGAGGACGAGGAGGAAAGGCCGGTGCGGAACGGCGCACAGCTGCCGAAGCACAAGGTCGACGCTCCAGAAGACGATGATGATGGAGACGACGATGATGATGCAAAGGCGGCGAATGGAGACAACGAAGCGGGGTCAGATACTGCGGCACGACTAGATGCCATGCAGCAGGAACGCGACAGCTTGCGAGCGGAAGTCACGCAGCTCAGAAGAGCGCTCGAGAGCTTGCAAGAGAAACATAGCGAAGAGAAGCCTGATGAGGACGTCTCCAGTCTGAGACAGGAACTGGAGCAGGCACAGCAGGGCAAGGAGACGGCCGAGGCCAATTATCGCACCCTGCAGAACCGAGTCAACACCATCCGCTCGCAGTTGGGCGAGAGACTGAAGGCGGATGCGGCCGAGTTAGAGCACAGGCAGGAAAAGATCGAAGAGCTTGAAGCCTCAGCCAAGGCAGCCGAAGAGGAGAACCAGCGCCTGCAAGAACAGCTTGCCGCGCTCAACGCAGAGAAAGAATCACAGGCGTCAGAGATTGAAACTTTGCGAAGCCGAACAACTGCGTCAACCACGAATTGGGCCCGAGAAAGAGATGAGTATGTCACCGAACAAGCCAGATTGCGCGAGGAATACGAAAACGCCAAGCAGGCCATGCAGGATTGGGAGATTTTAGCTACAGAAGAGCGGTCGCGGCGGGAGGCTCTGGAGGAACGATCACAGGAGCTAGAAGACCAACTCACCTCACAGCGAGAAGCTTACGAGCGAATACGGGGCGAGGTGGAAATGCAAAGCAGTACGGTTGATGGGCTTCAGCGCGCGTTGCGAGAAGTTCAGGAGGAGCGCAAGAAAGAGCTCCGAGAAATGGTCGAATCGAATCAGGCACAACTAGATGCGCTCAAAGCCCAGACCAAGGCTGCAGAGGAAAAGGCCAACGACTTGGAGAAGCAGTTAGAAGAGACGAAGAAAGAGTTGGAGAGGACAGCTCCATTTGAAAAGGAGGTCAAGGAGAAGAATCTGTTGATTGGCAAGTTGCGACACGAAGCTGTTATTCTGAATGACCACCTTACCAAAGCTCTCCGCTTCCTCAAGCGCGGCAAGCCAGAAGACAACGTCGACCGACAATTGGTGACCAACCATTTCCTACACTTCCTCCATCTTGACAGGAGTGATCCGAAAAAGTTCCAGATCCTGCAGCTGATAGCAGCCTTGCTCGGTTGGGATGAACAGCAAAGAGAACAAGCCGGTCTGCTTCGCCAAGGTAGCATGACCGCAGCAGGTGGCAGCCTTCGCGTACCCATGTCCCCGTTCCGAAGGACGCCAAGCACACCCACACTAGGAGAATTCACACCCGAAAGTCCCATGGGCGGTCGAGAACGAGAATCCTTGGCAGAACTCTGGTCTGAATTTTTGGAACGCGAAGCCGAGCAGGGTGGATCGGGGCATAGCAGGCGACCCAGTCTGGTGAGTAGCAAGAGCGGCATGAGCAATATCCGATCCCCCAGCATTGGTGGCATCATGAGTCCGACAAGCGAAAGCGGACGTGGACCCTTTGGAAAGCCTCCGCAGAGTCCCGAATTGAAGAGGAAAGAGAGCTCGGCGCAGGCCAGTGCTGCAGCCAGCGCTGCGATGAAACCGAGCAGTAGTGGCGACTCGACCAAATAGCGTTCTGTCGATAGTCTGCGGGGCCTGTATATGAAGAGCATTCCTGAGGTGGTCAACACGTGCACATGAGGTATATCACGCGATAAGACATTTACAGCTCGCGACTCCTCTCTCTGTGCCTTGCCCAAAAATTTTTCTTCCTGCTCATGATCATGTATTGCATTATCATATCGAGCCGAGGGATCATGGATGGATGCAAGTCAGTCTGCCAAGCAAGTTGCCAAGACATTCACAGACTGCCCACATTTGAACTCTCGTGAGACCACACATCACAACACCGCACAAATTCGAGTGTCGCTTCACGTTCCACTCTGCTTGGCTTGGCAGTATTTGCAGCATCAAGGACCTTGTTCTCCGCAATGAAGTGGAAAATCTGAGGACATGGACGAAAGTGGACTAGCCCATCCCATTTTCACGCCAGACTACATATTCCAACTTCACTTTTTCGTAACATGTCGAGCAGCAGAGCATGACCGTTCGACACAGCTCTCATTCTTCGCGTGACAATCAAGCTCACGGCTCCTTATCCGTGTCCCTAGCATTATTGGAACCTCCTAGACTTTCAACCATCCCACCGCATATCGACCACAGGTCTGACCTCGCCTTGGCGATGACCTGCAAGAGCTCAACTGTGCTCTTATTCCGGTAGCTTTAGTCATGAATCTGAGGACTTTGACACCGTGACCCACTGTCTCAGCCTGATTGTCTCTTGCTCTCCATCCTCTCATATCCTTATCCTTTCTCTTGCCCTTACCCTTGCCCAGCTTCGAGTAAGCCTCGTCCTGATTGTCCCAGCATCATCTCCGTGAAGTGACCGAAACGACTCGATTTCTCATAGATGTGTGTTCCCTGAACCACCTCCTACTCGCAACGTATCCACATCTTTCCAAGCTCGTCGGTACTGGTATGAGGACCTGTTCGAGCCGATCCGGGCCCCACAGCGTGCGGGCTCAGGTCCAGTTGCAGCTTGCTCCTCACCTATCATTCTCCTTCCATAGCTCTTCGCTTCTCCTTTTCGTCTCCTGACATCCGGAAATCTCCATACGTCCCTCTCTTCCGAACAAGATGACCAGCTCTTCCTCACTGTAGCCGCACACTACCCATTCCTGCTCGTCAAGTGTTCTAGCGAATTCCAGTGACCTTTCCCCACAACGACCGCTCGCTCCTGGTTGGCTTTCGAGCCGTTCTGCCCGCTGTCATGAGGACCTGTTCAAAATGATCGGCCCTCAGCGTTACTGGTCTGCTCGCTTCCCTCGGAGTCGCCGGATGTCTCCCTTCGCGCTGTTACAAGCTCTTCAGTGCTTGTCCTCCTGGCGCTCTGGTAGCTCATCATACCGTCCCTATCGTACCCAAGGCCCTTCCACGCTTCAATCAATCAAAGATTTTATAGTCCATCTCAGTTGCACCTTATCGTCTTCACACGTGTCGGACCGCCTTCCTTGCGAGACCGCGTGCTTGAGGACGTCCTTGCTTTTTCACATAGAATACATAGACGTTGAAATCAACAATTTCAGCTTATCTTATTGTCGTCTCGACCGCATGCTGACTCTAGACTCAAACCACTCGCAGACTGCACGCCGATGGCTACCGAGAAACAACACTGGCTTTAGCGACGACGGGATGGATGACGGCCGTATGGATATCGGATGGGTCGCAAGGCGTCGCGCATCGGATTTGAAGGGATCGATCAAGGGTTGACGGACGAATTATTCGCATGGCGCCAAAGGGACGGGGCTACCGAGAAACGACACTGGCTGTGCCGACGACGGGATGGATGACGGCTGTATGGTTATCGGATGGGTCGCAAGACGTCGCGCATCGAGTTTGAAGGGATCGATCAAGGGTGGACGAACGAATTATTCGCATGGCGCCGAAGGATCGAGGAAGGATCGCGCCATGTTATCGGTGCGAACGGTGTGAATACCAGCAACTCCTTTCAAGTCGGCAACATGAGCGGTGCGCGGGGTTCGGGGGCGTATCGTTATTACTCGAAAGGGGGCGAGGATTGCGCAAAGCGAGCCCACACGAGGTGAATCATGGGCAGTGCATTCTGCCAGTCATGGCCCATCGATTCACGGCGCCGGAAGTCGCAAGTCCAAGCCATCGCAGGGGAGAAGAGGTCCAAGTCAGTATCATATGTCTGCGGATAGGGATCGACACGACTGAAAGATATCATCAAAACGGCCGAAGGCGAAGTGTTTTGGAGGGCACCAGGATCACCCGGCGAAGCACTCATGATATGTGCTCTCGAAAAGAATATCCCCACGCCAAGCGCCATGCTAAAATTATCAGTGCAAACAGATCGCCAGAGGAAAGACCAGAAGGCGACTGCTCCATGCAAGGAGTCAATGAACGGGGTGTGCAGATCATCCCTCATGTCCGAAACTCGACGCATGGCCATCAGTACCAAGATTTTGCAAGACTAATCGCCTCACTCAAGTGGACTGGATCATCCCGTCGGTAATGCCAAGCCATATCGCAACCTAATCCACGACGTCACTTGCTCCAGAGCAGTGCCGCTTCATCGGCTTTCTGAGTAGTCATTGAGAGCAACGCATACAGCGCCTCGATGATGGCCGTTGTACTGACGAATGATAGTTTTGCTCTGCAGCTCCCACAGCCGAGCGTAGTGGTCTGAACAGGCAGTGACAAGATACGCAGAATCGGCAGAGAACGCGCAGTCCCAGACCCATCGCTGATGGCCATCGAGCTCGTTTTCCAACGGAAATGCACCTGAGTTCTCATCGGAGCTTTGACGAGCTGATGCGCCATCTTCATCTTCTTTGTGCTGATCGGGAGGGGTGACATTGTCAAGATCGACAGTCCAGATACGTGCAGTGTGATCGGCAGAGCATGTTGCGAGCTTCCGCACATCGGGTGAGAGGAGGACGCGAGTGATGTATGTTCCGTGTGCCTTGAATCTGGTGACAGGTACCAGACTGGTCACATCTCGAACTGTGATCAGTCGCCAAACGAAGACAGCACCGTTAGTGCTTCCGCTGACGGCTGCGCAGAGAAGAGATCCATCTGTGGCAACGGTGACAGATGCAACGCTTTTGTCTTCTTCAGGCACCAATTGGTGGCTGCACTTGTTCTCTCCAAGATCCCAGATTCGAACGTTTCCGCCGCGGTCGCAGGAAATGAGTTCGCCCTGGTTAGGGTGGATGACAACGTCGTTGACAGGAACGCCGTGTGAATAGTTTCGCTGGATGTGACCGCTTCGTGTATCCCAGATTTTCACAGTGCCTATCACGACAATTGAGTTGAGCAGGCGAGGAAATGATGAAGGCGAGGCTCACCATCTTCTGAAGACGTCACCATCCATTTGCCCTCACAATGAAATGCGACGCCGGTGATGTTTCCCGTATGGCCTTCGAAGGTGAGGACTGCGGCGGGATTGGTTGACTTGATTTCGTACAGCTTCACGGTATGGTGGCCGGCAGCAGCCAGGTATCTCTTGTCGGGGCTGATACACAGGCGATTGACCTGGGAATCAGGATGAGGAATGGTGCGTGAGCATATTCCGCTCAATGCTTCCCAGAATCTATGGGAGAATGTAGTTAGCGCATGGTATGTAGCAGTCAAATGAGAATGGAGTCAAGCGTGGCCCCCTTCCCAGGGCTCAGCGAGACACGTCAACCCTTCAACTGCTGATCGATCTCCATCTCCACAATTGCGCGTCTGAGCATGTGTGAGGAACAGGAGGGTGTCATGATTTGTTGACGCCACGGCGGGCGAGCGGACTTGCCTGATGGTGTGGTCATATCCCGCAGTACAGAGAATCACGCTCATTGTGACGCTTTTCCCCGCGACGAAGGCCGATGAACTGCAGGCGCGACCTGAAAAGCTGATAGCTGTGCCCTGGCCGAAAACGCGGTGGAGAAGGTGGAGCGGAGGGCGCTTGGGAAGAAGGTCGATGTTTTCGGTCAGCACTGTTGGAAGAACTGGCAGTGGCGGCCGAGATGTTGGCGGATGTGTTGCCGATCAGCCGAAGGCGCTAATGCGGCTCGCGTGCAGGGGTCTAATTCGACCACATGCGAACGCGTCTTGTGCTCGTCCGGCGTGAGTGAAGGCGAGGCGAGGGACGCTTGGTCGATGGCGTGGCGTGGCATGTGCTGATCGAGGCTGATGAAGATGGATTGCGGATGGTGCTTGCTCCACGCGCCTTCACCTGCGTGGTGCTTTCACATGTTCACACGCGATGGTGACGTAATCCGTCCGTCCAGATGTGGCAGGAACAACATGGACACACAGCAAGAATGCAGAGCGCGATGAGAGGGGCAATCATCTGCTTCTGGTCGGAGGTCTTGGACGTCTCGCAACGCAACATGCATCTCGGTCTGGACGACATCCCTCAGGCGTGCCTTCCAGCCTTGCGCGCGCTCATCTCAGAACATGCTTCACCGGAGGCCATGACATGTCTCAGTGGGAATTGATGCAATGGCAGTCTTTCGCGCGGGAACATCGGAGACATGACGACCGTGACCGAGCCGCGCTTCTCGCGATTCGCCTCAGCGGAGTCGTGCCGTTTGACTGCGCATGTGACCAAGCTCTTCTCTGATGGTTACTGCGCCCAAATCACTGATCGACGTTGGAGCTTTTGTCCACACACAGCCTCCGTATGATCTTGCGCCAAAGAGTCACACCTGCAGAGCATCTCGGCGACTACATGGACAGTCGCTGCTTTCGGCCACCTCTTACTGGTCCTGTCAACTCGTACCGTCGCCGGAGGACACGCCGCAGTCAAAATCCGCACGCTACCTTGTCCTGTGCTGTGCTGTGCTGTGCTGGCCTGCATCTCATCTCGGAGCTGTCCACAGCGGCGGCGGCATGCAAACGGCTAGGCTTGGTATGTCTGATCGTCCCGGCAACGTGAGGAAGTTCCGCCCGGCAGATCGCTTCCCTAGCCATGCAACATCTGTTATGTGTAGGGTTAGCCTTCGTCGAAGCGTGAGTTTTGAATGTGCCAAAGCAGTCTATGCCAAAAGCATTCTGTGCCCGAAGTGCAAGCCGAATCGGTGTGCTTTGTTGCGTGAAGATCATCCTGACCGTTGTTGCCACTGCACAATGCGCGCGCGGAAAAGTGACATCTTTGCCGCGCATTGTTGCTGTTTGCCATGTCAGTGCTGTATCGTACGCGCCACTGCCGCTCACAGACAGCCTCGGAGCAATGGCTTCCCACGTGAAGGAAGCAGCTGCATTCTTGCTGTTGCTGCTGTTGCTCAGTCACGAAAGTCCACCTGAGACCCAGATAGAGCATTGCTGCCTCGTGGTAGAGCAATGCGGCCTCGCTGCTGTGAGGGCTGTTGTTGTGTTCGAGTTCGTGGAGGAAGAAGGTCCCGTCGTGCCTCTCGGATGCAATCACGCCTGCACACGAACGTCGGCACCTGAGATCATGTGAGGCTCTCGCTCAGCCGGCCGAGAGACATCCCAGGCACCGCATCTATCTTGCCTTACCTCAGCAGTAATACATTCAATGCGGCTCCACGTCGCCCGGGAGTGGCGCAAAAACGCGGAGCTTTGTGTCTCCACTGACCCCTGTCACAGCCTTCAAATGCCACAACTACGCCGAATGCTGGTCATTTGAGACGATTCGAAGCGGATGAGCATCTCCTCGCTCTGGTCTATCTCCTCATACCGATATTGGGCGATGTTCGTACTGTCTTTGCCCTCAGCAAGCTTGTCGACGCAAGTTGCAACCTTGGTCCGCCCAGAAAGCATAATCATAGTCGAAGCCTTCTTCCATACCCCCCGCTCTCCTTCGCAACGCCGCCGACAACGCCATGTCGACCTATCCGAGACGAGATTGATATGAGAACGCAGAGGAAGATCGTGGCTATCTGCTCATACCCATGTTGACAGTCTTTCACGCTGTGAAGGCATCGTTGTCGCCAACGAGGCTGCGATGGTCAAGCCGGGCCCGCACAACAGCCTTGTCACTGTTTCCTCCACAGCTTATTGAACGTCGTTCTATTGGCAGCATCAATTTCCCACAGCAAAATCCTTCACCTGCCGTTGAGTACAAATAATACTGCAAAAATCACGCTCTGGTCATTCTCTCTTCACTTCATACCACACCATCAGACAGTCTGCCACACACAACGTGAACTAGCTGATACAGAAGTGAACACTCACAAGAGCATAGCAATCACACTGAAAACCTTTCCAACCTCACTGTCACCGTCACTCGTCTCCTGCGAAGGAAAGCCGCTGTGCAGCGCCTCCGAGTAGCAGCGAAGACAAAGGTGCTCCAGTGCTTCTGCAACTCGTCAAGAGCCACGCAGACTTTTGAGAGCGCAGACAAACCTCACTGACACCAATACAACAGCCCTCTGCGAAGGAAAGCCGCTTTGCAGCGCCTCCGAGTAGCAGCGAAGACAAAGGTGCTCCAGTGCTTCTGCAACTCGTCAAGAGCCACGCAGACTTTTGAGAGCGCAGACAAACCTCACTGACGCCAATACAACAGCCCTCTGCGAAGGAAAGCCGCTTTGCAGCGCCTCCGAGTAGCAGCGAAGACAAAGGTGCTCCAGTGCTTCTGCAACTCGTCAAGAGCCACGCAGACTTTTGAGAGCGCAGACGAACCTCACTGGCGCCAATACAACAGCCCTTTGCGAAGGAAAGCCGCTTTGCAGCGCCTCCTAAGTAGCAGCGAAAAGCTAGGTGTTCAACTGCCTCTCCAACACTTGACGTGAACACAGCAACGTCGAAGACAAGGCACAGTATCGAGCAAGAATATCTCTGCTCATAGATACGCCAGTGCTACCTGCTTCAAATCCAGACATATCAAACGTCTGAGATTCTTGAGAGTCAAAATGACTCTTCCAATCACCGAGCAGATCTGGCAAGATGCCGGACTGAATAGCGGGACAAGCCTGGCCACAGGTCCAGCTCTCCTCCTCCAAAATAACACCTTCTACTTCTTCTGTCAAACACTGAAAGCGTTGAACAAAAAGGAACAAGTGAAGAATCATCGCCAGCAGGCAAAGAACTACAAAAACAACGTTCCTCGACAGCTCTTCACAACATTGACCAAGCCGCTGTTCGATCTGGCTTCGAAAACGAGGCCAGATTTTCCAAAGTTGCCCAAACTTGCCATCATGCATGTTCACAACAGGACGAATCAGGAGCTTCTGAGACTCCTGGGCATGCACGTCAAATTCGAAGTGAAAAAGGATTATGACGAGAGTGGCACTGGCGTCTCTGCAGTCGTAACTGTGCCACAGATCTCACCGATACCGCATTATAGCGAGTACACGGATAACGGTCCACAGGGAGTTAAGAACACGCACCATTTTCTGAGCCAAAAGGCCATGCAACATCGCGACGGAGGTCTTCAGTTCTTGGAAGCTGTGGAAACTTATTTGATCCACAATCCACAGCAGTCACCGCTCGCGCAGTACTTCCCTGTCCAGCAGCAGCTTCCACAGCAGCAGCCGCCTCCACAGCCCATTGGGAGTCAGGCGATTTCATTCGCTGTCGCGGCTCCAAATCCTCCTGCCAATGTCGGAGTGCCCCAGGTGAGCCAACCCGTACCAGCCGCCGTCAACCACCCAGCACAGCAGGTGCAGCTCCAACAGGCTATTGGAAGCCAAGCGGCGACATTCAATACCGCGGCTCCGAATGCCCATGCCAACTTCGGAGCTTCTCAGGCGAACCGCTATGATGAACATTCGCAGAGAATGATGCAGTTCTTAGGGCATTCACAGCCAGGTTGGGACCAAGCAGAGCCCTTTAACTATATGGCCCCAAATGCTCCTGTCAATTCTGGAGCGGCTCAGCCTTATCAAGCCGCGATGCTGATTCCGACACAGCAAATGCAGGCTCCGCAGCCTGATATGGGTCAGGCTGATCCAGCTGCGATGACTCTCCCGTCCGCTAGCATGGATCAAGAGTCACTCGACTTCGCGGCCCCACCCGGCTGTATCAACCTCGGAGTGCCTCAGGTGTATGCAGGTAATGCCGGGATGGATTTCCCGCCGCAAGACTGGCAGACTCCACTGTCAGATATGGACCAGGGAGCACCATTCAACTCTCAGACTTTCCTGCCCTATCCACCTCAGGGATTTGACGAAGTGGACGAGATCGCCCCACTCACCGACGCTGAACTGCTGGCATATCAGGCGCAGCTGCCAGACCAGGGAGCTCAGTTCCCTGCTGTCGATATGAGCACCACTGCTCATGCGGGAGTGGAACAGGACAACCAAAACCTGGTTGAGGAGGCGGCATGGATGTCCTGGGATGATGAATTCCAAAACAACTTTGCAGAGCTTGCAGAAAGCTTCGGAATTCCGGATGCTCTCGAAGGACTTGCTCTTGATGGCTCGGCGATGGAACAATTTGCAATGCCTCCGCAGCCACAGCCTTCCCAAGCGGCTCAAGTCACGTCTCCGGAGCCAAGAGAGGCCCAAGAGTTTGGAGGCGATAAGACACTTGAACAGACGCCGCCTGCCTCGGTGACTGAATTCCCAACCCCAATGTTCATGGATATTGGAGCCGAAGAAGACGCTTTTCAGAGCTCTTCGTCCATATTCGATGAATTTATCGACTGGGATGGTAACGCCGGATCCAGCTGAACTGAAAAGCACCCACATGGCATTTCCGAGGGGTGCTTTTCAACAGCCCAGCTTCGAGTTGCAGGTCACAGCAACTCTACGATCAGGCTCTGACTACGCTCATGAAAGTCAGACCAAACATTTGCGGAGTGCGGATCTGAGACGAGATGAACAGGAAAAGCTGCCTGCCTCTCCACCTCTAACGCATGACTCCGCTGCATGAACTCGGTAAAGCGTATCACATCTGCAGCTTGCCTCTCATGTAAAGTGCAATGGCCTCGAGACGAGAAGAAGGCACACGCACACCTAGATCGCAGCACCGACACCGGCGAGTGAGGCTTCCTCGTCGCGAAGCCCGGTAAGCTGCTCAGATCGAAACCATTACGATCTGGACCCACAACCAAAATCAGAATCAAAGAACGGCAGGAAGTGAAGTCGAGCCAAGCCATGAGCCAATCTCACTCATGCCGGAGGGCGCTTCTTCACCACGACACACCTGCCATGGATCATACTTCAGATCCAGCTTGACCTGAGGACACAACAAAATCAGAGTCAACGAAAGGCAGGAAGTGAACTCGAGCCAAGCCATGAGCCAATCCTCACTCATGCCGGAGGGCGCTTCTTCACTACCCTGCTTGCCGTGGATCTCATCTCAGATCCAGCTTGACCTGAGCCAACAATCAGAACCGAGTCATGTTAGACCAGAGCATCCCTTGTTTGCCATGGCTCGGATTCTTGACAGACTTCGACAGCGAAGTGGATCGGCTGCCATCTTGCGCCACACTGATCGCGGAAGGAACCACATATCATGTGGAATGTGCTCTCATGGGCAACGAAGGGCCATGATTGAGAATCGTGGAGGAAATGAATGTGGGAAACTTTGCAGGCATGGGTTTGGATGGGTTGGGATTTTGATGGATTGCTTGCTCGTGTTCAAGCTTGTTGGAGATGGGTTCTGGGACATGGATTGGAAGGGAAGGAGATGTGCAGTAGACATAGGCATAGGTGACGGGTGGTTGCGGAGTGGACAGCTGCTGGAGGGAGATCGAGGAAGGAAGCTTGCTCGTGGTCAAGCAGTGGGTCTACTAACCATCTAGGCGGACGGCCATATCTCACAAGAAGTTGAGTTGGTGAGGCCGACGGTAACGCGCGAAGGACGGGGCGCGTTACAAAACCTACGACATGACATCATGAATCGATCCAGTGAGGCAAGTCGCCTTGCTGCTGGCAGGAGTGACACTGCTTTTTTCGCGAGGAGTTGGAAGGATATACCCCACGTCGAAAGACGATGATTTTGGCTGAGCGTTTTCCGCGATACTGCATCTGAACTGGTACTGGAACTCGGCCAGCTACCTCTTAGGACATGGCGTTGTTGTGTTCTTGCCAAATGCAAGGAGATTACAATCCAATCCACTTTCCTCACGTCTCACCGTCTTCCTGCTCATATTTCTTCTCCCTTATCCACGCCACACAGTTCAAGAATCCCCTCCTGTCTTCGCACACAAATGTCCTTCTCGCCAAAGCAAACACAACAACACATATCAACCTCCCTTTTCCCCCTCCACTTGCCACGTTCAAAGAACCACAAGCACTTCCCACCACATGCTCAACAGAATCACATCCCTCGGCAAAAAGCGATCGCCTCCAAGATCCTTCTCAGTATCCCGACCAGCTCAGCCCTCATCCCCGTACCCAGGTCAAGAGCTGCGCAGTCCTACAGCCTTCAGCGCGCCGGACACACCGCGAAGCGTTCACTCTACTACGGGTCTGCTTCAGGACAACGCGAATTTACCTCCTCCACCGCAGTACAATCCTCAGCGTCCTCCTGCAAGAAGACGTGAACCACTATGTGAACGTTACCTGTTATTTGTTGTTGTGATTTGGGCCGTGGCTGTTACTGGATGGGTGGTATGGCTTTATGTGAGAAAGGCTTGGTGGTGTGAGAGGAAGTGGTGAGGAAAGGGGATAATGAGACAGCAAGGAATGGACGTCGAAGTGAAATTCAAGCTCTTTGACCACATTCATTCTGGCTTTTGCTTGGTCTTGTCGCCGGTGTCATTACCGCACCAACGCTGTGTGTCATACAAGTCCACTCCCAACTTTCAGCACTGCATTCGTCTAAGACAAGTACTGAATAGCATCGTTGAAGTCCGTATTGATCTCATCCACCACAGCCTGTCCACTTGCCTCCTCACCGGATGGAGTCTTGGCAAGGAGTGCAGATACAACTTTTGTTTCTTGCTGGCTGGATGATATGGGTCCAAGGAATTGCAACACTCCGTATATGTTGACAATCAGTCACCTCCGTGCAGCTTTGCTATCCCTCACGCCTCGGTATCTTGCCATTCTTGTAGCATTGAAGGTATGCTGCTCCTCGAATTGCGTACATGAATGTGGAACGTGTCGCGATGCCAGCCTCTACAAGCAGGAGGTGTCTTGATGTGAGAGTACTATGCTCCAAGGCATGATCGTCCGAGCTTTTAGAGCAATATTACTTCATCGGGCTTGGCTTGCAAACGCGAGGTTCGCGCCGAGCCATCATCGCGTGCATAATCCTTCGGGAATTGGCGTGTCAATGAAGGTCAGTTAGTCGTATGCAGGCGATTTGTTGTAACTCAGCTGACAGCAACAGGCTGCGGCTGTGTCCGCATACGGCATCGCGCTACCAGTTCGATGCGTTTACTCGATCGCTATTCACGAGCAAATTGCAGCTCACAAAGCATGATATTGCAATTTGGGCATCACAATTCTCATAGTGAAGATGTAGCTTTAGCATGAGACGCCCGTCATTGCACGTGGCCATGAAGAGTCGTTCACATCTGTGCAATTCCAGGGTACCAGTTCTGGCCGATCCTCTCAACATCTTTGCTAAATCTTGGGCTGTCGATCTGGAGATTACCACGTGCACTTGCTGTCTTTGGATTGTGTTCATCTGGTACATAGAACGGATTTCGAAGCAGGCGAATGTAAGCTGTCTGAAGAGCTTGAAAAGCCTGCGTACGTCAGCAAATGCAGCATTGGCTCAACTTAACTTCTCGTGGCTCTTCTTTCACTTACGGGAGTCAGGTCGCTGTTCCTCAAGCCAAGAATTGCCGTTTTTGCAGCCTCACTGTTCGGCGCTGTCCGGCCTTCCATATCAACCACAATGACGAGCTTGACCCCAGTGTTCAAGAACCAGCCATACATGGCGATCCGCTCGTCTAGAGCATGCAGAAGACCGAAATCATGACCAACAATCTTGCCCGGCATGCGAGCTTCGAAGATGTCAAGGCAGGAATTGAGCATCATGGTGTACTCAAGGCTATCCCGTCCAGCCTCGTAGGAACCTCCAGTCGCGGGGAATAACGAGATGTGAAGAGGATTGTTGTGGCGGCCAATGATGCCTATAGCTGCGATGCTGGGCGAGCGATCCATTTTGAAGGGTCTGCAGTTGAACAGCAGGAGCGAGACGGTAGGTGAGGTTGAGATCTCATCGAGGTTTATGTTGATGCTTCGAAGTTCGAACGGAGGGCGAGATCCATGCTTCGGCGGCTGTCATCCGAAGCACCAATCAGCGTCAGATTATTCCATCATAGATCGAATCGCACCTCATCCATTGCCGCAACCTCAAGAGCATACACTTCGCTCTTCACCACGGCCTCCTCTGTCTCACCATCTCCTCTCCTTACAGACAGTCACAATGCTTGCGACATCGAGAACGGCCGCAATGGCGCTGCGCGGTACGCTCAATGGCCTACCATTCGCGCCGAAGGCAAAAATACTGACATCTCTCCAGCCAAGCCAATAACCGCGATCACTCCCTTCAAAGCCGCCGCCGTCTCGATATCGTCGTCTACGAAGAAGCCCGCTGAGGTGTCAGTGCCAGTACGGGGCACTGGCTCCACCGTGCAAAGCAACCCGGGCACTCCACCACCCATGAAGGCCGTGACAGGAAAGGACCACGTCGAAGTCCCGCTTCCCAGCCAAGAAGGAAACAAGAGTGTCGTACAATACGCACTGTAAGTGGCTACGTGACTATGGTAGGGAGCCGCAGATTGACAGTTGTGCAGCACGACATTGGACTCCATAGCAAATTGGGCGCGTCAAGGCTCGCTGTGGCCCATGACGTTCGGTCTCGCCTGCTGCGCCGTCGAGATGATGCATCTATCTACACCGCGATACGACCAAGATCGACTTGGTATAATTTTCCGTGCCTCACCGCGTCAATCCGATGTTATGATTGTGGCCGGTACGCTTACGAATAAAATGGCTCCCGCGCTACGACAGGTCTACGATCAGATGCCAGATCCACGATGGGTTATCTCAATGGGCTCATGTGCGAATGGAGGCGGATACTATCACTACTCATACTCTGTAACAAGAGGATGTGACCGAATTGTGCCAGTGGATATTTACGTGCCAGGATGCCCGCCCACGTCAGAAGCTCTGATGTATGGCATTTTCCAGCTGCAGAAGAAGATGAGACATACCAAGATCACGAGGATGTGGTACAGGAAGTAAAGAGGCGTGGCGGATATCGAAGAAGACTATGCATGCAAGAAGCAGCATGAAGGAAGGCGTTAAAAGGAGCGGGACTACAGCGAAAGATACTGTGTTCATGTGTACATATTCCTGCTATGATACCGAGTGTGAATCATGACACTTCAGTGCAGCAGAAATTTCACAGTTCGGTACCTACCCGAGTCTGCAGGCACTGCTGCATCGTCGTACTCTCAACACGAAGGCACAAGGTGGCATTAGTGAACTTCAACTTCAACTTCCGAACCGACTCAAACTCTCAGACTCAGACGGCAATCCACTACGGACTTCACCACAATCCAGGCCGAGTCCATTCGGGTGCAACATCTTGGCTGGATCACCAATGGTACGAGTAAGAGCATTGCTGGCGCTTGGCGCTTTGGTATTTTCTCGGCGTTCACCAACCGTTTTCAATTTGCTTTCCTGCCCGTTCTCGCGCTGGAATTGCCATTACGTCTTAATAACAGCTTGTCAAAGCTTCGCGCTCATCATCTTTCCCAAACTTCGAAATTACTGAATTGGAGTCTTGGAGTCCGAGAACATTTTAGTAAGAGCGTCGCATCCCAGTCACGGACATAGAAAACGAACATGTTTTGTAGGAAGTACATCGCTCTTGGCTGGTCGCGGATCTGGCGGCAAGTCTGCAGGAGCCCAGGCTCTGGAGGAATTGGACTTGGGCGTATCGCGGAAATTTCGATGTCCTTGTCTTTGACGAGTGCGCATCGGTATATTTGATTTGAGCAGATGGCGGCCTGCAGCTTTGGCTTTTTGGAAGCCCACAAGACATTTGAGGCTGTTGTGCCCACGCCTCAAGCGTATTTATCACGGTCTGCTGCATTTTGCGCCTGAGATGCTACTTGATGTTATGTAGGTTTTGTTAATTCAGAATCCATATAGTTGGTGATTAGGAGGAGTATTTATCTGTGCGTTGAAAATGTTAGGAACTTGAAGCTGATGGTAGTGGACCATAATTAAGGACTATTCGCAACATGTCAGCGTTAGAGATTGCGTTTTACATTCTCGGCTTGACTATCCTATCTTCCTTGCCCAATGAGCGCGTTGATTTGGCGCGTTCTTGGTGCACTTCGCTCATGCTATACCACTTCAGTGGACTGTGCCAGTCCGTTCACGATCCCAAAACCCATGCACTTGCACCTCGCGATGCTGCCGCCGCTCAAAACCTAAACGCCACGCTTGAAATGCAAACCAGCTCGTAAAGCAGTCTCGCCTGCTTGGAAAGGCCGTGGCCTATTTCTTGCGATACTTTTGGCCTTGGCAAGCATTAGCTCCGCACAAACGAACAGAACGCTCTGGGAGGAGGTCGACTACCGCTTGGTAGTCTTCGGGCGTGGCTTACACTCGTCCGGACCAATCGGATGAAGCATGATTTTGTTCGGTAAGTTGGGATTGTTGTGTGCGTATCCTTTCGACCAGTCGTAGGAGACTGCGTATGCGAAGATCTCACCTGTCCGGTTGAAATCGGTCGCGCTGATCGTTCCGCCAACTTCTGGATATCCTTTCAGTCTGTGCTTGGCGTCCTTATCCCAGAAGTGGAAAGTGCCATCGCTCCCGGCAGTCGAAAATGTGCCATGTACTGGGTGGAAAGAGATGGCGTTCACGGCGTAGACCTGGCTAGTGTTCCTATCATTGGGCGGTGTCTGGCGATGGCACTTGAAAGAGAAGTTGTTTGAGGAGTCCTTGTCTTCAACGTACTGGATGGCGCATCGCCCTTCGATACTGCCAATAGCAAAGCCCGTGCCATCTGTGAAAGTGCTGACCACCCGTGTTTGCCACTTCAGAGGACTTTGGAGGGATTTGAAGAATGCAGTGGGGTTCTTGAGGTCGACAACGTGGATCCAGCGCTCGGCAGTTCCAACCACAAGCATGCTGTCATTCCGAACATCCATGGTGTAAACGCGCTCTTTCGCATCGACGGTTACTGCAGCTTGCTGACCAGGTTGACGGGTGTCCCAATATTTGATTGTCTTGTCCCAGCTTCCCGTAACGAGCATAGGGGTGCCGTTGTGATTGAAGGTCTCAACGCAGCGAACGGGTTGGTCATGTCCTGCTACGGTAACTGCTTGATTGGGCTGGGTATGGCCTGCTCCAAGGTCGAGAACCTTGACCAGCTTGTCCGTACCGGCGCTGAAGACCTTTGTGCCGTCCTGCATATGCAGTGAGTATCCATGCGCTCATCACAGCCGCCTTTCCAGGTACTTACCGGACTCCAACATGTGTTCAGTACTGGTCCCTCGTGTTCGATCATCGCAAAAGGGTTGGTGTTGCCTTGCTTATCCACCTGATATATCCGCACTTTCTTGTCCCATGACGCGACTGATAGGAAGTCGTTGTTTCCACTTGGCTGGGGGCCGAACTTGAGATCGGATATGCTGTCTTCTGGTGGGTTGCCAACCTGCACATCTTTACTGACATCGCCTTGAGTTGGGTTTGCTGCTGCCGATGAGGCCGTGCCTCCTGAGCCGAAGATGCCGCCCGACATAGTGAGCAATGTCGAAGTCGGGGGCTCACTCGGTGTGCTTTGAGGCGCGCGTCGTTTTACTGGAGTTGGTGGTGGTTCTTCGCCTGTCATATTGATCAGTATGAATTTGGCGCAATGAATCAGCGGAACGTCACCACTCACTGCACGAGGAAAGCGTCAGCTATTATGTGCTGCACCGCCGTTTGTACAATGCACTCGGCGCCTCTACTGGCAATGCTTGTCTGTATGTTTCTTTGTGGTGAAGTTCAAGACGCGGTTACGCGCAGCTCCAGCTCAGACAAAAGTCTTGCCTTGTGCAGATGCTTCACATGCGCTGCGCCCACAACTCGAAGAGCAAGACTACAAGCAATTGAAGGGTCCAACGATCACTGTGGTCAATTCGACTGTTCGCATGCAAATTATATCTTGTTCGCAGGCTGCTGTTAGGCATCTTTGTGTACCGCCACTTTCTTCTGCCTAGCTCTCCCTGCACGCTTAGTCAGCCACCAGAATTTAACAGGCTCGAAATCTTTCTCGGGCTTCCTCTCCGCAACCTCTCGCTCCAAAAATCGCAATCAAAGCTCACACACCGACAGCATCTCGTGTGCTCGTCTATGTACATACAGCTTTGGGAGAAAGTCCCCGGACGCCTTGCACTTGCTGCAAGTCAGCGGAAACGCGCCGCCACAGAAGCATTTTGCGGCTTATCCCCTCGACACCTCCATCCTCCTTCATCACCCTCTGTCGTCTGCACTCTTGTCTGGAAGCGTCATCGCTCGGATCGCACCTGGCCTGGGGACACGTCGCTTCCGAGCGGCGGCTCGGTAACGAGAGACGAGGATATGAGTCTGCTTTCCTAGTCAGCCGGTCTTGCTGCTTTGGCGCCGAAGGTCAGGAGGAGATAGGGGGATCACTGGTGCGGGACAAGTTGGGCTCAAGGTCAAGAGGCGGAGCTTATTGTCGTGGTCAACAGATATGCGATTGCTCGCGTCTTGCACCTTTCCTCTGAAACTCTTCTTGGACTGGTGCTGGATTGTGAGTAACTCGATGGGGCTTATTCTTGATGCGAGAGGTTCCACACTTTTTGGGCTCGTTGGATGGGCAGGTTCTCATGCCATTGCTGTGTCGAAGCAGCCGAGCTCGTTCATTCTTGTCCTTTGCGGACGGCGTTCAGGTGATGATGAAAGCAATAGAGTCAAGCACTGAATCCGTCGTCGAGCCTTTTCCTTCACTGGAGGGGTTCGCGACGTTCTTTGATGCAACAATTTGCCTACGACGGTATCTGATGAACGCAATCTATATAGCTTCGATCCATAATTTCTACCGGCGCACGCTTGCGAAAGCATCAGCGTAAGTCATGAACGCCTCTTTATCGCGTTCGAAAATCACTTCCTCTGTCTGCGGTAATGCGACATGATCCTCCAACTCGCCTTGCTCTGTGTTGTACTTGCTCACCTGTATCAGGAGCCGACTCCGTCAGTACGAGCCTGCGCTGGACTCAGCAGTGTGAGCAAAGTCCTGATGTGTGAGCTGAGACGTGGTGTTCCACGTGTCCTTTAGCGTCGTGTAGATGGTCAACATACAGGCGACATCGCTGGCCAACTGCTGCATGCTTGAAAGTAATATCGCAGATTCGTATTGCGCTGCGGCCGCAGTGCCGCTTGGTGGAACGGAGGTACAAGGTACTGTTAAGAAGCCCATAGGTAAGTGTCCAAAGATGAGGCGGGCAATACAACTACTTGGTTGACCCTCGAAAGCGCCGACGAACTATTGCTGCACTTTGGAAGAAAACATGGAAAACCATGACTGGATTGACTTTTGGGTGCGAGGAGTCCGTCCACACGCAGATTGGCAGAACCATAAACGCGAGGGGTGAAGTGGGCTGACGCAACCCCGGATATAAGGAGTAGGTAGATGAACAAGTGCCCCCGGATTTCAAGATGTCCCCACCAAAGCTTGTTAGTAATCAAATATACGCAGGCGTTCTGTCCTCCTTATATGCAAAACCCCGTGGAATGGGAGTATCATATCGCGGTCATTGAACACCTCTTAATAATCATTCTCTAACTCTTCGATCTGCGCTTGTCATCGCACGGCTGCAGTACATGGCATCGGCAGCTCCCCTTTGGCCATCTGCGAGAACTTTTCTTTCTGCGCTGAAACTGCGGCCGCGTGTTGGTGGCCAGCTGCCATCTCCAACGAACTCAACTCATGAAGTCAAAGCATGCGAAGCTCAGGTTCAAGCATCCACAACACTTTCTCCTTACCGGCAGCGAAAGTTCCGCTATCAGCCGGGCCGGCCTGAAGTCGAAACTGCTTCGGTGGTGAAACTATCGGTAGAAGATGGGCAGGCCTTGGCGATGTCATTAAAGCTTAGTAGCTTACAACGCCATGGTTGTGAGCGATGTCGATGGAGATACACTTCGACGAAGTTCCCCTCGTTCCAAAGTAGAGCAGTTCCGGGCATCCACATTGCTTGATGACCTTGGATATAATCGTTGCTGGGCGCCTTTCAGACCATTCCCCAAGGATGAACACGAGCTCAACTGAGAAGCTGCCTCAGGCCAGCGTTGCGTTGGAAGAGCCAACCCAACCCATTAACATCAATGGCCTGGACGATGCCTACATCTTCTTGCGAGATAATGCAGCGCTCGACAGCAACGATGTCGACCTCGAGCGCCTTCGCCGCAAGATCGATAAACATCTGCTCCCGCTGTGCTTTTGTATTCGCTTCGTGCAAGCTCTTGACGGGCATCTACTCAACTATGCCATCATTATGGGTAAGTCCTCAGTGTCGCGACAAAGTAGCTCTGAGGGGCTAACCAAACAGGCGCTGACGATGCGTAGGACTTCCAGAGGACCTCAACCTCAAAGGACAGCAATTGAACAACATCGCCTCTTCCGTACATGTAAGTATACCTTTGTGGATAAGGCACGACTCCAGCGGAGTGTGTGCGACTGAGGCAGTCGTGTCAGAGATGCCAGCACTGTCTCACCACTGTGCTTCAGAGCAAGCATTGTCAGAAACATTGCTAACCCTTATACCCATTGCTTTTAGTGGGTCCATATCGCAGCCGCCACTTTCGTAGGCATATACTTGAACAAGTTCGCTCTAGGCAAGTCTTTGGGTGGGACCATGCTTTTGTGGGGGATTCTTGTCACCTGCACATCAGCTGTGAGCAAGTATCAGCAACTGCTCGCAATACGAATCATAATGGGCGTAACCGACTGCTTATTTACCCCGACATTGGCGCTCATTACCAGCCAATTCTACCGCAAAGATGAACAAGTCTTGCGGTTTCAAATATGGTTTTGCTCCATCGGCTTTGCTCAGATATGTGGCGCTTTCATATCGTATGGGTTCCAATCTCTCGACACAACTGGGTTATATTCGTGGCGTTAGTGTACTCCTCACCCGAATCGGCGAAATTACTGACCAGTCTCCAGAGATCATGTACCTTGTCCTTGGTCTATCGACCATAGTCGTCAGCTGCTGGGCGATAGCCTGTCTTCCCGACTCGGCCGTGAAAGCTCGGTTCTTGAATCGAGCAGAGAAGGTTGCCCTTCTTCGGCACATCTCATCGAATGCTACTGGAGTCAGCAGCCAGCGTATCAAACCCAAGCAGATGATGGGAGTCCTGATCGATCCTCAAATCTGGTTGTTGATGCTAGCAGTGCTTTTGACTGGTTTTGGCGGGGGCATCATGTCCACCTATAGCTCGACCTTGATCCGCAGCTTTGGTTATTCTCGTAAACAATCAACATTGCTCAACGCTCCCGGTGGCGGCATGAACATTGTTGGATGTTTATTCGCGGCTTGGGTGGTGCACAAGGGCTATCTTCGGCGCTGGTTGATGATCGCTCTGGCCTACGCGGTCGCTTTCATAGGCGCTTGCCTCATCGCGTTTCCAGCTCGTCACAATCACGCTGCTCACTTGGCTGGGATCTTTCTTTTCGCTTTCTCTGCCTCGACAGTGGGCATCAAGGTTCAATGGATGGCAGCGAACGTGGCGGGCCACACGAAGCGACCGATTGCGATAACCCTTTTGAGCGCGGCATCCACACTTGGAACAATCGCCGGCCCGTACGCAGTGCAGAAAAAGGATGCGCCAGGTTACTACTTTGCCAAGCACTCAATTGTCGTATCGAAATCTGGATGCCTGGTTCTGGTATGCGTGTTGGCCTTGTACTATCTGCTAGCAAATCGCCACAGAGACCGTGTGTACGGCAAGCCGAAGGTAGAAGAGTCGGAGGACCATCCAGCATTCGACGAGGCTTGCATGTCTGAGGTCTGGGCGAATTTGACCGACATAGAGAGGAAGAAGACGTTCCGATACGTGTATTGACATCAGGATCTCCGGAAAGAGAAGTCGCGTCAATGGTCGCTCAACTCGCCATTCCTCTACGGCTTGGATATCCTTACACTGGTCTTATGTCAAAGGCAGACATGTTGCCCTAGGGCGAAGGAGGAAGTCTTGGCTGAATCGGCCCTCTCTACATGGGTGGAGGTTTGGAAAACGCAGTCCAAGGGTCTTTGACGAACTTTGCGAGGGTGAAGGGTCAATGCAAAGGTGGGGTATGAGGTCGGCGATACCATTACTTATCAAGCGTCATGGCCTATCGGCCACAGCCCAGCTATCTTGTCAGACAAGACCATGCTCCCTGCCAGGTGCTGTCCAACGGCCGCAATGTCCAGTTGTTGATAGCGGAGGTCTGCCATGCTTCATATGATGGTGAAGATATGTTCCAAACGCTCCGAGTGCTTTTCGGAACGATCGCTGCTGTCCTACTTGTGTATTCCACCTAACGTTTGTGTACAGGTGAAGCTTACTACCAGTCTCTCCAGCTATCCGCCGAAAGCTGTATCCTCGACGAGCCGCTTGTCTCTCAACGATAGTCCGATGGCCGCTTCCTCGATCTGGACCCTCTCCTTGCCACATCTCATCTTGCTGCGTGCGTGCGATTAAGTCTTACGCTATCTTGGGCCGGAAGTGGAAGTATGTCAGGTGCCAGCCACCAGTCGGCTACATTTTGGCCTAACTCACAGGCCCATGTGAAGTTATTCTGCGACCCCAGAGCCCATCCTGGTCGCCTCGTGCTATTATATGCTTTCCCGTAAACCTGGGGAAAGTTAGTGACAACGAGAACTACCGCTCGTACAAAAGTACAACAGATCTCGCGGTCGCAGGCTCCCCCGCGAAGAGATTATTGCACTACGATACGGAGATCGCATAGCTCACATTCCGAAGACTCGTCGGCCAGCCCGTTAGTCGTCCTGCTTTCGCTCTGGCGGCCACTAGCTGCCGCTCATTCGACCTCACTTCTTTTGCCAAGCGCAACGCCATCAACCTCATCAGGGGATCTAGCCCATGGTTTGCATGTCTAGGCCGCTGTAACCTCGCCAATGTGTATCTCATTATTGCGCGGCGGCGGCGCGAGTACCTGGTCGCGTGTGAGATTTTGGAAGGCAAAGAAGGCTTTTATATAGTCTGTGTCTCCCTCGTACAACTGGTTTGTAGTTCACCTGTCATCTCACATACCCATGTCCGACTACGAGAAAGAAGATAAGGGCCCCTTCTATGAGGTCAAGGCCTCACACGACGACCTCCATGCCATCGTCACAACACAATATGGCGAGGTCGCAGAAAACACCGATCAGCTTCATCGACGTCTCGGTAACCGCCAGATCCAGCTTATCGCCATCGGTGGCAGTATAGGAAATGCACTCTTCGTCAGTATCGGTAGCGCTCTCTACCGCGCTGGTCCGGCTAGCTTGTTCCTCGCCTATGCTATCTACGCCTGCTTCTTGGCACTTGTCAACAATGGCACTGCTGAGATGATTACCCTGTTTCCTGTCTCTGGTGGATTCGTCCGTCTCGCTGGTCATTTCGTCGACGAAGCCTTCGGTTTCATGTCTGGCTGGAACTTTTTCCTGTACGAGGCATTGGTCATCCCCTTCGAAATTACTGCACTTACGACTGTCCTGGGCTTCTGGAGCGACGATATCCCATCGTGGGCGGTCCCGATAGCATGTATTGTCCTCTACGGTCTAATCAACGTTCTCGCTGTCAAGGCATACGGGGAAGCCGAGTTCTGGCTCAGCGGTGGCAAAGTCATTCTGATCTTCCTCCTCTTTGCCTTTACCTTCATCACCATGGTGGGCGGTAATCCGAAGGGTGATCGTTACGGCTTCCGCTATTGGAACAATCCTGGAGCATTCGCCGAATACAGATCCACCGGCTCTCTCGGCCGCTTCGAGGGTTTCCTCGCTGCTCTCTGGTCGGCGTCTTTCTGTGTCGTCGGACCTGAATACATCTCGATGGTGGCTGCTGAGGCCAAGCGACCACGTATCTACATCAAGAATGCGTTCAAGACCGTTTACTGGCGATTCGCCATCTTCTTCATTGGAGGTGCCCTCGCTGCTGGTATCGTCATCGCCCACAACGACCCAGTTCTTACGGCTATCGTCACCGGAACCTCCGGCGGCAGCGGGACTGCCTCCGCATCGCCATATGTCATTGCCATGAACAACCTTGGAATTACTGGGTTGCCACACGTGGTCAGCGCTCTGTTGTGCACATCCATCTTCTCTGCAGGCAATACTTACACCTACTGCGCTACTCGTTCGCTCTACGGATTGGCTCTGGACGGCCGTGCACCAAAGATCCTTCGCTACTGCACCAAGAGCGGTATTCCGATCTTCTGCTTTGCCATTACCATGATCTTCCCTTGCTTGTCCTTCCTTCAGGTCAGCAACGGCTCCGCCAAGGTCCTGAACTGGCTCATCAACCTCGTCACTGCCGGTGGTGTGATCAACTTCATCAGCATGTGCGTTACATACATCTTCTTTCACCGCGCCTGCAAGGTTCAAGGCGTTGATCGCAAGACCTTCCCCTACTGCGGTTGGTTCCAGCCATACTGTGCCTACATCGGTCTTGTTTGGATGATCATGATCGTCACTTGCTACGGATACAGCAGCTACAAGCCATGGAGCACCGAGAACTGGTTCATTTACTACGCCATGTTGATTCTCGCTCCAATTCTCTTCGTCTCCTGGAAGGTCATCAAGCGCACCAGCTTCATTAAGCCACATGAAGTCGACCTCGTCTGGGAACGCCCAACCATCGATGCCTACGAGGCTACTTTCATCGAGCCACCGACTGGCTTCTGGCGCGAGATGATCGCAATGGTTGGCATTGGTCGCAAGGCTAGCCAGGCTGATCGTAGACGAGCGAACGTTGCTACGATATGAAGAAAGCCAGAGCATAGTACGCAAGTCGCGGAAAAGAGTTTTACGAGTGAACGGAAGCAAAATCGAACATGTTGGAGCAGGTGGTTTTCTCGTATACCCCAGTCGCCTGATGATGGTCTAGATCATTTCAGCTCCGCAGCTTGCCTATGGTGGCCGCAGAAATCAATGCAGAGTTTCGAAGTCCCAATAAGCCTTCTCAGCTGCGCGCCTAGATTTAGCTTTGAGCTCAGCTCAGCTATACAATCACATCCTCTGCTCCGATGGCTGTGGGCGGATCGCGCACGCCATCTTGGCAACATGTCTTCCCACCCTGTGCACCCTAATGAGGATGTGGCAAGCGCTCATGGCTCTTCGCCAGCAACTCCTGCACATGCCGAGGCAAGCCATCGATCAATTGAATCGCAGAGTACTGGAATTCCTTGCTCAAGCCAGTACAACCAAAGCTTGCCTCCTTGAGAACCTCGGGCATGGGAACTTGGCGCAGGACATATAAAGATGAGACTGGTTTTGTCTCGCAAACATGCGATGCCTTCTTCTTGCCTGTTGTTAGAACGGACATGTGGAATTATGGTGACATCGGGTTGATACTTGCCCTGGCCAATGCCACTCAGTCGTCCGTCAATAGTATTCATTTTTATGACTAGAATCGGGAACCTCTCGAATGTGACGCAGGACTGGGCTTAGAGGTGTGTAGGTAGATACGACTCTGGCTATAATGTGAATTTTCGGTGGCATCTATTCAGCACAAAGGGAGGAAACTGAAATGATCGAAGAGTAAATGATTCGGTTTCGATTATTTTCTTTCAGATGAGAGCTGCTCAAATGGCAAATATGATCCCCCCAGCTTCAGGGCCACATAAGCACCCTTGCCTGCTGACTTCTCTCTTGTGTCATGCTGTAGTTTATGAAACGCCAGATTTAGCATCAGACTCTGTGGGTGTAAGTCATGCCAGAAATTTGGTGCTAGCCCAGCTCTCCGAGGTCCTTGCTCATGTTTACGGCAAAGTGCGATCAAAGGATATAGCTGTACTTTTGTCAAGGAAAGACTCGTATGCAAGCAATAGCAGACCACCGGAAAACACATGCCTGAACTGCGCAGCTCGCGTCCTCCAATTCTACGGGTCCGTTCTGGTCAAAGAGTTGGGTCTTGAGCCTTCTTGACTCTCTTCTTTGTGCGACTCTCTGTGCCCTCGGACTTGGCTTTGCGCTTCTTGGGAGCCTTGACTGGCTTGGCGTTGCCAGAATCCTCCACTTCCTGCACTCTCGGCAGTGTCATCAAGGGTTGGAGGTGCGCCTTGACATTGTCGCAATTCCCGTGAAACGTGACTTTGGTCAGACCTGATTTCATTAGCCCTTGTCATGTCTTCCACCGTTCTCAGTCTCGAGCGTGCAGATTCGCTGGCTTGTTCTCGAAAAGCAGAGAATAATCATCGCTGGAATCGCTTCTGAGATTGAGTTGACCTGTGACTTACCTCGAAACTGCTCGAGAAGCGGCATTGGCGGGATCTTGAGGATGTCTGTGTACTTCAAGGCCTGATTTTTTGTGGTCTTTCGAACCGCCATCCATTCCTCTTCCCACATGACAATGTCAAGACTCCTCAGATCGGCAATACCCTGCAGTGCCTTGAGCCCAGAGTAGTCCTTGGTGAGATTGCGAATAGAGTGGATACGTGCTCCTATGTCCACATCTTTTGGGTGCAACATGAAGACCACCTGCTGGAAATGCTTTCGGCGATGCTCGGGCGTCTTTTTCATTAAATCGTTGAGCTCTCCGTTGTCGTGTGCGACGAATGTGTTCGTAGAGTAAAAGATGGGCATGGCCTCTGCATAGAACTGAAATTCGATCGCCAGTGAGCCATTTCTTGGTCTTTCAAAATGGGCTTGGACTTACCTGTTTGCTGGTGCGGAACATATCGAGATATTCACTCAAAGTTCGGCCCTCCCAGGTCTGCTTCTCCTGACCGTGCGGGAGGTCGGCTGGCGTCCAAAACCAATTCAGCAGTGGGAAGGTCATGATATTGTTTTTCGTAAGCGCGTGAACGCGACTGCTGGACATGTAGTCATCGCTAATGTTGATTGAACAGGGCGGGAGTGAATGCCATTTCGTAGATCGTGTTTCTGATTTCGGGCGGAAGAGCCATGAATCGGAACGATGTTGTGGAGTCTCTCCCATTGAGCCCAAGAAACAGACGTGCCTCATCAGCGTCGACCACGAGTTTCAGCTTCTCTCTAGCATGTCCTTGCTTGAATTCACTGACTGTGATTGGCACGTCCAGCTTGTATATAGCATTGAAGAACTCCTTGCGGAAATTTTGGCTGCTGCTCGGCAGAGTGACTCCGCAGAAGTCGGAATTGACAAGGTCCTGAAAGTATCTGAAGTTAGAAACGAGCCACTTGAGCGCACAAGTGCCGGCGCGATCGGGATTGAAGCAAACAGCGACCACGACAAGCTGCTCAAGAGGAAGGTCTGGCTTCGAGAGTGTATGGCGATAGGGACTAAGGAAGGACTCGATGTCGTCGAGCAACTTCTGATATGCCGGTGTAACAGCGGGAGCACTTGGGCCGCTAAGCTCAAATTTGGTCGTCATGGCTTCGGTATCGCTTCGCTTCGAGTATCATAGGTTGGATGCCGAAAGCTGTTGCTGGTGGATGATGTTGGTGTAAGTGTAATGATGCAAGTCGATTTTGAAGATTCTTTTTGTACGCATCGTGATGGTCTGTACAGTAGGGTCCTACAGACGCGAAGCCCTCACTTTCATGTGTCCTCGTTTTAGACCCTTGAGCATGCGATGTAATCTGAGCTTCGGCTCCAAGTAAGCTCTACTAGTAACGGAGCCGCGATGCAGAGTCGACATACTCGAGCGAGTGAAGCAGACCGGGTCATTTGAAAGCCAGCGACTCTCCACATATCGTCTTGCGGTTAGAGAAAGGCTCGTAATCAACGTTCATGTTGTCTCAGCTTCGCCAGAGGTGTGGACACGCTCTGATCGACTCAGCGCCTGTGTCAGCGCCTGGATGCCTCCACCCTCCTTCCTTCCCTCGATCGAAGCTGATGACGGAACAACTAGCTTGCCATCAGCAGTCAATATTGCCAGATTTGTCTCCTTCCGTCCATGTTGACGGAATGCGATGGGCTGGCCAGGCCCAGACGCAGAGCCTGCGTGAATTAGCGAGACCGATGCAGAATCTTCAATGACTCTCCAAGGACCATGATATTTGACCCGAGCAGATTTACCAGCGAAGCAAGCCTGATGGAGCGTCTCATCCCAGAGATCGAAAACTCGACCGTACCGAATTACTTTGTCAGCAGCCCAGGTCCCCCAATCAATGTGAGAATCTTCCTTGGTAATCTTGGGGGCGTGGTCAATCTGCTCAGAGCCTGCAGCATTGATGATTCCAGCCGGTTCTGTATCCACAAACGCAGCAGTCTCGATTGCTGAGCGAAGAAGGACAGCGCCTTTTTGGCCCAGGGTGGAAGCAAGGTGTTCGAGCGTGCAGTCTGCTGGTATATGGTATTCATCTTGCGCCAGAATTATACCATGGTCAAATTTGGTAGGATGCATAGTCTGCAGCGACACGCCAGTCTTGTTCCTTCTCAGCATGAGTGCGTACTGCAATGGAGATGGTCCACGCAAGTCCGGAAGCAGCGAAGGATGTACATTGAGACCGCCATACCTGGCGTTCCTCAAGAGCCGACCTGGAACCAGCAGGCCAAACGAGACAGCAACAATCAGGTCAATGGGAGAAGGGGGGCTCCAGCCGGTGAAGGTGTCAAGGTGATGGATAGGTAAGTTGAAAGACTGTGCAGTGGCCTTGATTGGTACTATAAATCTCTCAGCTTTTGTTCTATCTAGCAAACGCGATATCAAGACCTTGTCGAGTATGCTTGAGACCCCTGCCTGTTCGCTTGTCCGGTCTGCAGACAACGTCGATTGACGCCACCGTCTCTGGGTGCTTCTCCGTGAGCTCGTGCAAAGCTCGAAGTGAATGGCTACTGAAGTCGTCGGCGCCACAGAAAAGAATGCGAAGCGGATCATGTGCTTTCCTGGCTGCGCTGAGAGAAGGTATCTGGCCTGGGGAGTGCAATGCTCTGCATGACCGCAAGTCCAGTCTCCGAGCGCGAAAGGGAAGCAACATGGTGATGCCGAGGACGTCTCGAAATTGACATGATTACCATCGCCAATCCATCGAAACAACAACAAGCAGTTGTTTGTACTGTAGCGAAGTTGGTCAGCGAAGCCTCGAGCAGGGATCAGAATCTGATGCGCGTCAGTTTCGCGTCTCCGTCTCGACGCCAAGACTGCACTTCCAATTCCAATTCCAATTCCAATTCCAATTCCCTTCCTTTCATGTACTACGCTCAGATACGTCGTCTCGCTACGACGGGCCACACTGATAGCACGGAGAATATGCCAAGGCACTGTGACAGAGACATCGGCGAGATGCAGACTGTCGAGAGCCTTCTCCATCGCACACATTGTGACGTAACGAGCTCATCATGCAGTGCATCGTGAAGGCGAGTAAAAACCACACAAAGTCTTTGAGTCCTGCTGCGACCTCTTGCGTTCTAGTCGATTGACTTCCCGTCTTTGGAATCCTCTTCGACTGACAACAGTGACTCCAAAATGTCATCAGACAAGAAGCAGTTCGAGAGTGGTCAGTATACCCCATCGCAGTCTACCTGCACGTCTCACTGACAAGCAAAAGGCTTCCAGCCGGAAATCCAACATCAGAATGTCCCAGGAAAGCAGGCCAACATGGACCCATCGCCGTCGACCGAATACGTACCCACGCCCGAAGGCGGCTACAAGCTCTACCAAGCAGCCGGCAAGCTCAAAGACAGAAAAGCCCTGATCACCGGCGGAGACTCAGGGATCGGACGAGCAACAGCAGTCCTCTTCGCCATGGAAGGTGCAGACAGCTTCATCACCTACCTGCCAGAAGAGAAAGAGGACGCAGAGGAGACGAAGAAGCTCGTGGAGAAACACGGTCGAAAATGCTTCACATACGAAGTCAATCTCAAAGGCAAAGACGCCTGCAAGAAGGTCGCACACGAAGCATTGAAGCAGCTGGGACACGTCAACATCCTCTTCAACAACCACGCCTATCAAATGGTCAAGAACGACATCACCGAGCTATCGGAAGAGCAGTGGCTAGAGACCTTCGACACCAACATTCATCGTAAGCACAACCAAAGCCACATACACACACGCATCCCGACTAACTTTCATACTACCATCAACAGCATTCTTCTTCCTCTCCAAATACCTGCTCCCACACATGAAGCGCGGCGACACCATCATCAACAACGCCTCGATCAACGCCTACATCGGCCGACCAGATCTCCTCGACTACACTTCAACGAAAGGCGCAATCGTATCCTTCACCCGCGCTCTGAGCAACCAGTTCGTCTCGAAAGGTATTCGTGTCAATGCCGTCGCTCCAGGTCCAGTCTGGACGCCATTGATCCCGGCGACGATGGGAGAAGAGCAGCAGAAGCAATTCACCAGTCCCATGGGACGACCTGCTCAGCCATCTGAGATTGCCACCTGCTTGGTCTTCCTTGCTTCCACGGACAGCTCGCAGCTGAGTGGTCAGACTATACATGCCAATGGTGGTGCTATTGTGAACGGTTAGGAGGTGAATGGGCGGCATGATGTGAATGAGGTGCCTGGCCTACCATGAAAAACACAGATACCAAAATGAAACGGCAGGCACAATGATGATCGTCTTCGTCAAATGCATCAAGCAATGATCATTCAGTCTCGATCACGCTTGCTATGTTGGTAACAGTACACTTCAGAGTATTGGTTTCATTTCATTTCTCATATCCTCCTCAACTCCTCGCCAGCGAAAGAGCACTCTAAGAGGCTCTCGCCATAGTTAAACGCCATTCGTGATCTTGTGGTTGTAACAGTTGTTTCGTCATCTCACCTCTCTGGGTGTTGGCATGGCTGGTTGAGCTTTACAGAGCCAGCATCTTACTTGGTGTCCTTCAAGTCCTCCTCTTCAACGCTGGCCATAGTGTCGGCCGAGCTGGAAGTGGACATCTTCTCCAGCTCGTGCTGGTCTGGGCCGTGGATATCCTCGTCGTATTCGACCAAAGCCTCTGGATCGGTGTCTTCAAATTTGGTCTTGAACATGTTGTGACCGGCGGCCATGGAGCTCGAGTTGCTGCGGCGCTTGGGCTTGGCCATGTTGTAGTTGTAATCTTCGAGCTCAGAGGTGCCTGCTTGACCCCTATATCGAATCATGTTAGTATGAGTGTGACGGGGTGCATGAGCATGGCGTTGGAGCAGAATGTGCTCAGCAGGATTTGTGTAGCATTGCTTTGACGATTGTAAGAGTAGTTGATACTCCTCATTTGTTGTAAAGGAGCTCCATTCCAGGTGACGTAGAGTGATGTCAGGGCAGAGAGGTGGAGTGTTGACAGGAAGGAATCGGATAGCTGTTGGGTGAAGAAGCACACTCACCAATTGCCTTTGCCGCCACCTTGCTTCTTCACGCTCTGTGGGTTGTTGCCGGAGAAGCCCTCCTTGCCAAAGTAGCGTGGGAGATGCTCCTCTGGGGCAGCAGTGCCATTGGCAAGGCCAGCGTGGTCACGGTCGGTAGCCTTGTGGGTGCGGGTCACTATAGAGCAGTTTCAGCAGACTGTTGAAGCTAGGTCGAGCTTTGCAGCATCGATTGAGGCTTTGGATGACTCCATACAGCTTCACGCGATGTGAAACACGATGAGGCTGAGGGTAGTGGACTCACTGTTGAATGGTTCAGTTGTGCTTGAAAGTGTTGATGGAGATGGAGTGCGGTTAGCTTGTACGCGTGTTGAGTGCCGTCGATTGGATGTTGCAAGCTGTTGTGTTGTGGACAAAGAAGAAGCAAGTGAAGTCACGAAAGGTTATGAAGTGGTGAGCTCTCCTGGAAAGCTATGATCACAGGGCAGTCGCGTGACCTTTGAAGCAGGCAAGTCCGATGCCGGTTGATCGATGTACCTTGCAGCGTCAATCAAATCGAGCGACTATTTATGGGAATGGCCGGTTTTCTGCAATTGCGCAAGTTGGCCACCAAATGAAGTGATTTATGAGTAGAATTGTGTGGTCTGGCGAGGTATCGTGCAATCGAAGCACACGACAGCTTGCGGGGGGCTGAGCTCTGCCGCCGTCAGACAACTTGAACAGGCCTCGTGCAGAACCACCTGACTCTGGTTGATTTTCGGCGACGCCAGATTTGCTTTCCGCGCCCGTTCCGGTTGCCGGTCTATACCATTTGATAAAAGCCAACTTTTCTACGCGACCTTTGTTGTTACCCAGCTCTAGCCTTCTGACGTCAGGCCAAGCCTCGCGGATCCCGAGCCCGAGCCCGAGCCCGTGATCTCCAACTTCTCTCGCATTCGAACAAGTGTCCTCGTCATGTTCTGTCTACTCCATGACTAGAATAGCGACTTTTTTGTAAGCTCAATGCCCTGCCCATCGCTGAGAAAGCACGGAGACATTGGTACCTGCAGCACTTGCATCCAGACACAGGGTTTCCCCGCATTCTTGGCTGGCTCCAGCGGCAGGAGCCGTGTGGACTGCTTGCGTATGACTTCATATCACATTTGTGTGATGGACGCGTGTGAGACACACTACGCGTGGCAGCAGCATGTACAAGACGAGAAACTGCTGCTCCCAGGGCGAGGGGCGATTCTTCGCTTTTGCTCCTCGGACAGCTGGTTCTCGTACAACATGTGCCGAAGCCATTGAGCACGTAACAGACACCAAAACACGAAGCTGAGTGTGCATTTGCCGGTGCTGTGATCTGGTTGATTATTGCCCCAACAGAGGGCCTCTTGCTCGGTGCAATCATGGACCCAGAGCCACAAGATCCCGCGGCAGTATCAAGGAAGACTGTGGATATGGGGCCATTCCTCCACGAGACGTTGTACGATGGGACAGAAGCCCTGAACAAACTAGATGATAGAGGATCAATTGAAATCGCTGGGCTACCCACTCACTGCTGCCACTTCTCTGCTTCTGGAATTGTGTCTCTTCCACGCAGCAACAAACCTTGCCTGGAAACTGGTGACCATGAACGAGACGCGAGGCAGCTACTCCATTCAGACCGCACCGTCCATTGGAAATCGCAAGATCTTTCAGTGAATAGGTTGAAGAGTTTCTCATGGCCAAGGCGAAAGCACTGCTTCCACAGATCCGGCCTGCTTGCATCTGCAAAGAAGCAAGTCCTTACCTAAAGCTCCTCATAGTAATAGCGACATCTGCAGCCACAACCATTGGCGTACTGCTTCTTCTTCGCTTGCCAATGCCGACTGATGTGCCATTCCTCTCGAGCCAATTCGGCCGCTCCGACAGCTGCGAGAAGCGGATTAGAAGGAGGACTCACCATTGATGCTGATGGGCATTGAGTCGAGAGACGCTTTCGAATGGCGTGGTCAAACTCTCGTGGGGTGCCGTCGCCGATGAGCAGCATCTGCAATGGAGCGTCGGAAGCGTCAGCACAAATTCAACTAGTCGTTCCTGCGGACCTACCAAGGTTGACCGGCATGAGCCTTTCTCGCGCATTCTTGAGAACAAGGATTCCACAACGTTCACCAAAGTTTCGCGATCGTTGGCATCGGAAGCATCGACCGGCAAATCCTGATGGGTATCCCTGACCCACAATCCGCGCATCGCAGCACCTGCTACGCTCTGATGTGGCCTTCCCTGCGTGTTTGACGTGGTAGTCACCCAAGCGTTTGTGACGTTCAGACTCTCCGTGGACTGCGTATCGACTATGACCACGGCACTTCCACTCGAGCCACCATGGCCAAGCATCTTCAAGGCCATTGTGGTCTGCATGTCAGGCGAACTTGGTGGACCCATCAGCCACGCGCCGCCATATTCTCGAGCAAACTTCACGTCACTTGCGGTACGGAAGGTGGATCTGCTGAACCCGATGTGCTGGATCGCAGTTGAAATGCGGCTGGTCAGGGAACAGAAGGGTGTGGATGTGGTTTGACGGTCATCTCGAAGGTCCCAGTACTCCCTGAGGATGTCTTGGTCGTACAGAGGGACATCTCTGTATAGCCAGATTGGCAGTACTACCTCCGTATATGGCTCGACGAGTTCCCGATCTTCACCGAGTGCCCCGAAACACTTTTCGCGTAGTGTGCGGAGATTATCCTCAAGTATGGTGGTGGCGTTGTCAAAGTGGAAATCCTCGAGAGCCAGGTTCGGCGGCACCCAATCGACTGAGTTGTACATCTTCCGCCACATGCGATCGATCCACCATGGGTTGCTGAATTGCATGACCGGATTGACATACTCCGACTGGCCGACGAAGTGTGATGGCAATGGATAAGATTCCTTGGAACGAAGATGCCCGTCGTTTGCCGCCGCGATTTTCGCCCACTCATGCATCAGTTCGATATATGCAGCATCTCCTTCAATCGAAGCGAGACCCGTGGTGGTGCCGTTGGGGAACGCGACTGCGCAATGAGCGCCAGTGAGTGTGAGCTCCACACCGAATACCAGATCTGCATCGCCGTGCTGCTGGCCACGGTCACCACCGAAGTGCCAGTGCCAGCCAAATGATGCCGACGGCAGCTTACCAAGTATCAGACTCAGCAGTCGCCTCATGTCGTCGATGTGCTGTGTGGTGTGTGCTGTGCAGGAGTCCTGCCAAGGTGGTGTGTCGAAGAGTGCAGAGTGCAGCTTCAGATTCAAATCTCAACGGCTTTCACTTCACTCACGCACCTTCCTCCTCAACCCTCACCACCCCCACCAAACCAAGCCAAGCAAGCCAAGCCAACCTACTTAAACACTTCAAACCATTCAACAATCATCGCCAGCCCAGACGAACGCGGGTTCCAATCCGAGAGCAAGTCGCCAGCCCCGTCGAACCCGGGTTAGCTCAACGGTAACGACGCAACACTATCAGACACCGAAAATCATCACAACATCAATCAGTTCAATTCCGGCGACGAGTACGGCTAAGGGCAAACCGTCTAAACCCTGAAAATCCTGATTAAATTATCAGGTAAAGATGTAGGAATTCATTTCAAACGGGGTACTTGAATTCCGAACTTTTTGCTGTTTTTTTGATGATGATCTATGGGTTCGAGCCCGGGTGGTGGCAAGAGAAGTTGACTTTCTCTTCTTTTTTTTTCTTTCGTTGCGCGCGCCGTCAAATCATGGATATGATGTTGGCTTGATTTTTTGGGGGGCTTCGAAGACACTTTCCACTTCATATTTCTCGTGGCAGATCGCAGTATTCAATGAAGAAAAGCCATTTTATAACACCTGTCTTCGGTCTGATCACCCGCTTCTGCCTCATTCGTGTCGATAAAAGCGCAGCGACATCTCATGAATTTGTCGGTCTTGGCGCTTCACATGTCTGCCAAGACTCCTGTCATTAGCGTCACTCTGCGATCGATTGGCGCGATTTGAGTCCATCAGTGAGAGTGATGTGCCGCTAAAATCATAGATACTCGAATACATAGTACAGCTTAATTTCTGCTCTCCACAGAGTAGCATTTGATATGGTCAATTCATGCATGCGTGTTAACTCAAAGAAAAAGTCATGTCATGTCAAGTCTTCTACGAAGTCCCGTGATCGGGTCACTTCTTCATGCGGTGGTGATGACCAAGAGTGTGCGCATTCCGGGACGCCTGCGTGCCGACGCCTTAGTGAACCTCAAATCGCTGCTGCCTTCCCTGGTCCGTTCCAACGAGTTCCGTATGCTCGTTTCGTATCGGCCGTGATTGTAGAACTCCTGCTTTCCCTCGTCCACTCCAAATTTTGCAACTCACTATGTCTCTGAAGCTACTTTCTTGTCACCTTCCTACTGCCGGTCGTCGATTTCCATAGCATCCTTCAAACGCCATGGAAATTTATTGTCTGATTGGAATGGCGCCGTTACCATTCTCCGCAGCAGATGTGGCCGCTTGTGCAATTTCCTCGCCGTCTTGCTCATCCACACTCATTCCTCGCTGCAAGATCGAGCCCTCCTTGACCGGACTGCCGCTTTGCTGGGATGGGGTTGGATGCAGGCTTGGTGGAACGCCAGAGATCGAGCCTCGGGGGCCATTCTCTCCGGTGGGCGTGCCAGCAGACTGTACTTGCGAAAGATGGGGAATGTTTTCGGGTCTGCGGGGTCTGTCAGCAATTGTGTAACCTTGTGCAAAGCGAAGAACTCACGTTGGGTGCTCCCGACCTAAGCCTCCTCCCAAAGAGCCACTGTCGGACTTTCCTGCCTTGGACATGGCATAGTCGCCAGAGTCGAAGTACTTGCGCTCCTGGAGCTTCTTGCTGAAGAGGTCCTTCTTGTTAGGAAGCTTGCCATATAATCTGAACAGCTTTTGTTCCTCCTCTGTGAGCGAACTGATGTCCACCTTGTTCTTCTGGTGTGGGTTCAGGGCCATGGTGAATAGAGGTAGTCAGGGTCCGCTGTGTGGAGCAAAGGAAAAGCTGGGCTCCTGAGCCTGCAGGAATCGCTTCTTTGTTTGTCGAGGGCTTGCTGTGACTGTATCGAGCGGGCGGGCGCTTGACGACTGCTTGCTATTGACAAAGCACTGGTGGCCGTGTCGTGACCAAAAGGGCCTCCGCGGGGCAGCCGATATCTTCTGACACGCGTCACACGGATGGATCTCGAAATCGAACGTTGATTGTTGAAGGTTCCGATCTGGCTGTGATGCTATAAGCAAGTGCGGTGGATATTTTCGAGCAGAGCAGGACGGCAGGTGTTCAATGCGTGTTCGGGTGTGAGAAAAGGAGTGCGAGGATGGTTCAGTGCCGTGGACTCGTGACGCCTGACGTCGGGCTCGTCGCTGTGGTTTGACGACAGAAGCGTTTGGGCTGCGAAGCTCGGACGGCCTTTCCATTGGCGGAAGATCGCCGACAAGGATCTTGGTCGAGGCTGGGCCAAATCGCGGGTCTTCTTTCCTTCTTCTTTCGTAGAACCCTATACCTGTACGGTACTGTACCACACACGCTGCCTCCAATTGCTGATAAATAATTGACCTCTACGATATGCACGAGTGGCGCGACGGGGTTGAGCGTCAGAATGAAAGTGTTTACGGACCGACATCGGGGTGCTGACCTCGTCCAGGCATTGTTGTGCATTTCTTCAATTCACCACGCTACCTGCCACCAATATTAAATGCGTCTGCCTCCCGGAAGAGTATGCAGCGCAAATGTGCCTTCATCGTGGTAAACGCCTTTGGACGGAGGTTGTAATTCACAACCCATGGCAGCTGGCACAGCTCACGGTTGTGTGGACTTTCCGAAGGAGTTCCGAGTATCAATTTGCGAGTCGCAAGCGCAAGACAGTATGAATCGATACATACAAGTCCCCTGGGGCCTAGGGTGTAAACCACCCTAAACCCTAAATATCAGCTCTTACAGACAATCGCTTTTGGACTGCTCAGGTACCCTTATCAGTTTCCCCAAAAGGCACAATCACCGAATAACTCATGGGACTACCTTTCTCCTATACACCAGTCGTCAGGTACAGAGGCGTTATATTCCCATCGTCACTGAAAAATAGCTGCGGCCGTTCTCGACGATAGAAGTTGATCTCACTCCCATCGTCGTACTTCACAAGCGTACTAAAGGCTAGCGTCTTCGTATTGAATGACCAGGGACCATTGATCGAGCGCGAGAAAGCATGTCGTCCGACTTGGGGACCGTCGCCGAACCCACCTTCCTTCTCAAGAGAGTGGACCAACATATGATAGTTGCCACGAACATCCTGCTAGGTGAAAGGGTCCTCAGCTGGATTCCTGAAAATTGGTTGATCATTGTTGAGACGTGTGTATTCTCCGTCAAACCTATGTGCCTTTGCGAGGCCGCTGTGGAGTAAACACATGTTAGCTAGAGCTGCAAGATCGAGAGAAAATTTCCTCGAGTAGTGGAAGAGGAGAAGGATTCGTTACGACAGCGTTCCAGTTCTTGCTGTTTTCACCTTTGATAACCTGGCCGTGATGTTTCCATTTCTTCAAGTCTAGCGAGGACAGGACAGAAATGCCGCTTTCTCCATTGTGGAAGTTTCCAGGTCCGCACGGGAAGCTAGGATCAGTGCACTTGTCTTGGACCTTCTGCGGACATCCAATGTAGTGTGGTAAGTGCGGCTCATCCGCGGGACTGTACACTACAGTAGGATTGTGAGCGAAATGGCCCACGACTTCTTCGGCAAATATATAAGGTCCAGCTGGTCCTGTCTTCGACTCTGCTCGTATGATCCGACTGTATGGCGACCAGTAGTCGAGGCCGCAATGGTTGCTGAACTCAGAGAGGAAGGCATGATGGAAATCCTTATCGTGTGGATCTTGTACAACACTGAAACACCAACTCGAAATGCTCTCACCAGTGCGATTGTACCCAGTGTCCCTTCTCGCAGGGACGATTTCAAGCTCTCTACAATCTTCGCCTCGCTAGCCAGCATCACATTTGCATTCGCCAGCATACTCGGAGCAAATGCCGTTCAGACTGCAATCTTCGTCAGTCTCGCAAGCAAGAGCGATGCTGATAGTTAGTAGGATGAAGAAGAGCATTATGAGATGATACTGAAAAGTAGTCGGAAAATGCGGATCAGTAAGTCATCTGGAATGGTTTGTGATGTTACCACGGCATGTTGCTTTTGATGTCCAGCTACATCAAAAGAGGTAATTCTTGATGAGGTACTGTCACAGACGCTGATCCTTGCTGACCTCAAGGATCGCAAAGCTCAAAGCTTGGTTATAAATGCAGCTTTCACGGGCAGTCTCTTATGGGTTTAGTATCAGCAGTGATAGCTGTAACATCATCTGTAAGCATGCTTAGTGAGGAAAGGTTGGCGATCTTCGTGTCTTTAGGATGGCCATGTCTACGTGAGGAAGTCTTCGCAGCCCGAGGGCTGTCCTCAGATATTGACAACAGCGCAGCATCCCGGTGTGATGATCGTTAGCTTTGGCCAGCTGGTGTGCATTGGGCTTATAAGACTGCCTATGGTAATGCGACGTCGCAGGGCGGCTTCGAACAACTCTTGCGACGTCGACTCGGTGAGCGCCAAGAAGGCAGGTGTGTCTTGTGGCCTAGGTGACTACACAGCAGCTTCTGGCCTTATGAGATGATGTTTGATGCGGCGCGCGTGCTACAGAAGTGAACCAACATGTCGAAGGGGGGATATGCTATCTCCGTTTCAGCCCCTTCCTGATTGAACGCAAGTAGCAGAGGCAGGCACAACACGCACCTTCCACTATCGGACTTTCAACTGATGCTGCCTGCTTACTGCTCCTTACGTTAGCAAGGGTCTAAGGACTAAAGTTAACTAATGCAAGTAGACATCCTTATAGATTTAAGAAGCTATACAACCAGCGGGAGACAATCCTTTAGATTGAAAGTCGAAACACGACAGCATAATACAAGATGTATTCAACTTAAAGCAAGAAAATTGAAGAGGTGGATCGAGAGGGATTCAAGCTGCAAGCTAGCGGTCTATCGTGTCTAAATTGCGCCCGGGTCTCTTTTCAAGCTAACAGCTAGCTGACTGGCTTGTTAGCCCTGCTGGCCTACAGCATTACTAACATCTACGTCTGCTATCTGGTAACACTTGGAGCTATCTATATCGGTATTTCTTATAGTCCTCGGGTGGTTGGAAGCCTTCTAGGGATACAGTGTTGCTGCCCTTTGTAGGCAATCTAGACGCTATTCGCATAGCGTTTCTTACGAAGGAGTGTTTTGTAATTTTCATTTCTGCATCTTTGACAATATGCTCAACAATATATAGAGGCTTTGTTTCTTTGAAACGATATCTAGGATCAATTCTAACATAACTTTTGACGACAATGCGTGGTTGGTCTGCTATTCAGTATAGACTGCATCCTTATAAGGATAGAATAGCCGCTTTGCGACATTTGTCCTCAGGCTCTTCACAGAAGACTTCTTCCAGCCGCTAAACCAGATATAGAAGAAAGTGATGGCAACTGAGATGACGTGGAAGGTACACACAGAGCGGAAGAAGTCACCATGAAGAGCCTGAGAAGGAGGTAGGGGATATGGATGTTTACACTCAGGCTCTCGACCGAATCTCGGCCGCAAGCATTCCCGCGGTCAGACCGCAAGCACTTCCAAGGCGACGACATCGACAAAGTGCAGCTACATTGGGATAACTGCGACCCTAATTCAACAGAGAAACAACGCACTCACAGCAATACCAATATAGCTGTGATCCCAGCTTATCGACCATGGCCGACGCAAAGCAACAAATCATGGACCAAGTCCGCCAACAAGCTGCGCTCGCGAATGCAAGATTGCTGGTAGAGGTAAGCAGACAACTCGCAGCGGATCAAAGCCACTTCTCTAAAACGAATGATAGAAGCTCAACGAACACTGCTTCGAGCGCTGCGTACCAAAACCTGGCTCGTCCTTAAGTTCCGGCGAGACGAGTTGCTACACGGCCTGCATGGAGAAGTACATGGCGAGCTGGAATACCGTATCGAAACAATACCTCGGACACGTGCAGAAAGGTATAGGAAGTGGACAAGGTGCTTTTGGGCTTTGAGATGACACCACACCGAACTGAGGAAAAGGAGGAAATCCCGAAAAGACAATGAGTGAGATGCATTTGCCTGGCGTTTGGGGCTGCACATCAAATCGGAAGAAGAAGTTGTCATGAATTTGAGGACAGTAGAGCTGGTGCTCGTTGTACATTATGCGTTGCAAGAAACAGCGCCAGATATATCCATGCTCTGATGCCAGTAGCGTGGAGGAGAACGCCGGAAGTGCGAATGCTCCAGAACTCCACGCCAAAATTTATGATATGCAAACGCCTTGTTATATCACTGGTTCCAAGCTGTGACTGCAGGCTTTGTCGGAGGGGGACTCAACATGGTCTTCTGTCTCTCCTTGTATTCCTTCACGATGATACTGCAAGCCACCTCTTTACACAACTGTTTTCGCCGTGCAGCGGGAAGCAGGCTCGCGAACTCCAGACCCGACGCACGCTCAACTGCCTCGAGAGGCACTTCGAAGTCTTGGAGCGGCTTATCGTTGGGAATTTTATCGTTCGGCAACACAAATGCACCCAAGCTGACTTTGCCTCCAGTCTTTCCATCCTCGGCGAAGATGATCTTGTAGAAGTGAGTGGGCACTGCAACGTTTGGTGGATGTCCAACCACTTCGTACGTCACTTTCCACTTGCCATCCGCATCTCGTTTTGGCAGATACAGAGGCCCAGTCACTATTCGCACAGAGGGATAGAACGAAGTCAATCTCCTGCAGAAATCTTCAAAATGTGCCCAATAGTCTCGATTGAAGCCGTCTCCAACCTGCGGGCACATATTTGACAGCGCAAAGGTCGAATCCATGGCTTCTTGACTCCACTTCGCATCTGCAGCAGGGACCTGGTGTCCGCGATCGTAGCCTGACCTGTAGTAGTCCTTCAACTTGGCTCTGAACTTTTCTGGTATGCTCATGTCTTCCGCAAATGCTGAATGTCTCCTGTCACCGCCTTGCATCAGCAGGCTTGCTGGAGTGATGTGTTCTGCCACCCAATGGGGATTTCTGGTCGCTCGGTTGAAAGACGAAGTCAAGGAGCATGCATTTCGAATGTCGGCGACCGGTCCGGGAAAGCCATATTGGAAGACTCCAGCGGGGTCGACTGGAGGGATCGAGGGTACTTTTGGATCGTCTCGTGGAAGCGCAATCGGTACAGGAGCTGGTGGGCCAGTTCGCGATGCGGGCGTCGAGGTTGTCGTTGTGGTAGTCGCGATAGTATCTGTGTGCTTCTCTTTCGGCCTCCCCAGACCGTACAGAGCCGCGGTTGTCGCAGCTCCAACTGCTGCGCCTGCGCCAGCGACGACGGCCAACGTAAACTTCGACATGACTGGCGCTGGACGAGGCATCCACAAGCAGCGAGCAGACACTCGCTACTTATGTTCGGCCTTCCTGTTCCTACCAAATTCAAAGCCGTCACCTGAGAAGGTCATCTACACGAAGTTTCAGCGACGCGCCAGCCGTAGACGCGCATGCCAAGCCAATGAGAGTGGGGCATTGAAGCAGGGATATTCTACCGCAAAGTGAAACATTGCTTCGACCTCGCTCGTTTTCCATCTCTCACAGTACAGTGAAACTCTTTCGCGAATGTCTGCAGCGCACATCGAGAGCGGCTGTTCTTCTGATACACGATCACGAGCACTTGAGGAAGAGCCTTGAGCGGAGAGATACAGGAAGGTATATGGCTCTCGCTCGTATCAACAGGGAAGGCAACATGCACGATCGCGGTTGCGTTTGTGGTTGCTGTTCGCAGCTGGCAAGCGGTAGGATGCATGACGGGTGCGGTCCACCATGATCCATACTTCTTTTATCTTCAAGTTCGAAATGAACGAGACACAAACAAATCCACCTGCGACTCGACATCGCAATGACTGAACCCAGACCACGCCCGTTGACAGCTATTTCTACTGACTTCATCCAATAAGTATTCACGAGCGTGCACTCACGCTGTCACATGTATCGGCGCTGGATTGCCTCTCCAAAATGACCGCTCTGCGTCACAAGATCTTTGACAATGGCGCGACCTGCTCATTCACGGGCGTGGCGCAGGAGATATTTGAGAAGGCCGCTCCATCGCATACCTTTCTGCTTTCCATCGACACCGCCAGACAAGCCTTGGACACGCTTACCAACGACCTTCACACAATCATTCATGGGTCTCAACCCCCAAGCAGAACCATACACGCCGCAGCAAGCTCGATACACCAGTCCCGAAGGGACAACATTTTTATACGAGCCTCGCCTGCTTGGACATCCGACAGGCATAACCGAAGCCAATTCCGGGATTGAAGAACAGCCAGCCCCGGAACCATTCTGGCATCAATACCCCTCGTGGACTAGGCAGCGACTTTATTACTTTCCAGAATTCGGATACGTTGACCATCCCGTCTACACAGATTACGCAATGGACGGTTCCATCACTTTCATTGGTTATGGCACTCGCGAGGGCAAGAAGATTGCCAAGACCGACCGACCATCGCAGAAGCGTCGATACGACGAAATGGTGGAAATATATGTCGGTGACGAGTTTGTCCAAAATATTCCTTTACGACTATTGAAGCGCTTTTCTCGAGCTGCGAATGAGCAATTCTCGTCCAATGAGGGCACGTCATCGCAACCTCATTCGAAATTCGACTGCGGCAGTGAGTCTGAGGCCTCAACGTCAGCTCCAAGATTGCCTGGAGGCAAAAAGCAGATGGGGCTGTACTTGGAAGGTGTCAAAGCGGCCGACTACCCACGCATAACATTCGTCAAGGACGCGCTCAATTGGATGAAGTCCAACGAAGGTGAGAATGAAAATCTCATTAATTTCGGCCCGAGCGAGCCCAGCGAGACAGGAATTCTGGGTCTCCTGGAAAGCTATCAGGTTGCCGTGGCACTCCAGATCCGGCCCCCAAGTGTGACAAACGCCTTGAGGACGGAGTTAAAGAACAGAGTGACCGAGACAGTCCCTGAAGATGTCGAGAACATGCTGCGAGATGTTACGCAGTATCTTCCAGTTAATGATGTGGTGACTGTTCGGGCTATCACAGCAGCATGGGACAGGTGGAGTAACCATGTGTACACCAGGGAGGAGTGGCTCGGCATCAAGGAACTGCTGTTGAACTCTGAGAACAAGGCGCTGGCTAGGAAGGCAAAGGCGATCTTTGACTACCGCATGAATGGCAAGCAGAAGCGACTGCAAGAGCAGACACCGGACGATCGCGCCATGGAGCAACATCACGAGGGCTGGCGCAGACTGTGTGAGAATTCAGACCAGAACGTGGCGGAGGCTAGGGCCAGTGGCGGTGGACGGAGACGGAACAGACGTGCTCAACAGGAGCGTCGTGACTCTGCGAAGTGAATGTTGCGGTGTTAATCGCGTTGCGCGTAGTGGTGTGGAGCCAGAGAGAATGAGCTCTTAACGGGAGCAGAACGTAGCGCTTTTGGGCCAAGGGCAGGGAATGATGGTCTCAAACAGCAGAAGCGCGACTCCGGGAGACCATAGCAGCAGTGGCCGTTTGCTTTCGCACAGCGACGTAAGACCACGACCGGATTGAAGAGCGACTGATTTGAAGCGCGTCCTTCACAATAAAACAGCTCTTGCTGACTCAAGGCCGCTGCAGCATTCTTTTTCATGACTCGAGTAGCACTATGGTATCATAATAGCCATTCCAATTGATTGTCCCTTCCGAAATTCCTCCATCCACTGAGCTGCTCCTTCCATAAACCTGTCTCCAATTCCAATATAAGCCGAAATCGGAAGGAAGAAGCTTTTGTTGGCAGGGCGGTATGGAAAGAGCTTGCCCGGCACGCCCTGTTACGGGCAAGCTTGTTATCGATACCACGGCTCCTACATAAGCCAAAAAAACCTGCCAACAAAGCCAATCCATTCACAAGCAAGACACCTCACAAGCGAGACACCTCACCTCACCAATAGTCCCCCAAAGAATTCTCCCCCATCCCCCATCCTCAGCAACAATGTCCGCAAACAAAAAAGTCATCCTCACCGACTCCGCCCCAAAGCCCCTCCCAGGAATCTACTCCCAAGCCATCGTCGCCAACGGCACAGTCTACTGCTCGGGCCAAGTAGCCATGGACCCCGAAACGGGAAAACTAGTCGAAGGAAGCATCGCCGATAGAACCGTGCGTCTAATCCTCATCCTCACCCTCTCATCCCATCCCCCTTCTCTAACAACGCTTGTATGGATCCAGCACCAATGCATAAAAAACCTCTCCGCCGTCCTCCAAGCCGCGGGAACTTCGATCGAGAACGCAGTCAAAGTCAACGTCTTCATCGACGACATGAAGAATTTTGCGGACATGAATGCCGTTTATACCAAGTACTGGGGGGAGAAGAAACCTTGTAGGACTTGTGTTGCGGCGAAGCAGTTGCCTTTGGGGACCGGTGAGTGTTACGCGAGTGATGATGGGTGATGATGATGATGATGATGATGATGATGATGATACTGATGTGTTGTTTATCTATCTTAGATGTTGAGATTGAGTGTATTGCTGTTTTGCCATCAGCGTAAGTACGTACATACGTCAACACTGGATTGGAATTTTGGGGGAATTTGGGAAATGTGGAGTTGACGAGAATTGTTGAAAGTAGAGGAAGTAAATTATGATCTCTCTTGTGGAGCATCCACGTTTCCGCCATACATGCAGAATGTTCAGAAATGAAGATTATGCTCGCCATGCTATACTAAAATTCACTACTGGTTTCCCAAAAAAGCTTGTTCGTTAATGTCATGAAACATGTAAATCGTTCAAACATGTCGTCGCTGGTAGCTCCTCGCCAATTACTTGTCAAATGGTGCTGGGGCAGGACTCTTCGCCGGCTCCCTATAATAAATCATCCCAGAAGATAAATGTCTAGATCTCGACCGGTTTTGATGCGTGGGTCTAAAGGGACCTGATCCCAGTGCTTTTGGTGCTGTTTGCTTTGATGTCGGAGATGACCTGGAAGGCGGGCGATTGCTCTGCGACGATCCAGGCCTGGACACATCGGGAGCTATTCTTTCCTTCATTCTCTTGAGGAACCCAGTCTTTTTCTGCTGTTCTAAGCGATACAGGTGTGGGCTTTCGATGCGTGCAAGATTTTCCACTTGACGTTGTTTCTCAAACTCGGTGGGATCAATGCCCAAGTTCGAAGCTGCTTTGGGAAAGAGTGTGGGATTTGTGCTGGGGCGCACGCTCGTCCTCCCACGTGCAGATATCGGCGATGCTTGCGGCTCAGGTGATGTGTCTTTCAAAATGACCCGCGGAGCGGGGGAGAAGGTGTCTGCAGTAGCCTTTGGTCCCATGAGGGAGCGCTGTGGAACAGGCGGATGCTTACCAGACCCACGACGTCTTGGTTGCCATGGCTGAGAAGTTGCATCAGGATCATCTCTGCTGCCGACGTGGACTACATTACGCGGAAGCGAACGGCCTCTTGGAATTGACAAAGACGTACGAGGATTGCTGGTCCTCTCTTTCTTGGTCCTTAACGGCGGGGGGATATCTGCGGGCGTCGGCTCCCACGGAGTCGATGTTGATTGTGGCGGAGGTGTCGATACAGAATTGGGGGCACGTACTTTCAACGGGCTTGCACTTTTTCTCGGCGACTTGGGGCTGATGCTCCTCCTCTCGTCTGCAAGCTGCTGCGATCTTGTTGAGAACTGTCCATACTCATGCTCGAATCGTGAAGGATCAACGGACAAGTCTCCCTCTAGCAAAGATCGGCTGTTGATCAGGTCTGCCATCTTGCGGTCGTAGTCCTGTGTAATGGCCTGGAACTCCTCGGCATGCTTCAGGACAATTTGCGACTTGCGCTTCGATAGACGCTTGCTGTGCTCGGCAACGAGCTTCTCTTCGGCATTGCGAAGTGCTCTAGCTTGATCAACAGGCATGCCGGTGAGCATCGCATTCCGCTCAACAGAGTCATCGAAGTCTTCACCATACTCAGCCAAAAGCTTCTTCTGATCTTTGGCAAATGCCGCTGTCTGCTTCGATGTCACCATGCGTTCCATCCTGTCCTTGTCTCGAGCGAGTGTGTCAATCTTGGCAAGGTAGTCTGCTGCCAGCTCGTCTTTCGCTCTCTGCAGCTCGCCAACGTGCTCTTCTATCTTCCGTGCGAACAGAGCCTCGTTTGCACTGATAACGCTACCGAGCTGGGACAGCTCTGCACGTGCATTATCAAGATAATCCTCGAAAGAGCGCGTTCTCCAAGCCATTTCGTCCTCGGCCTTTGCTTGTCTAGCACCAGGACTGAGCGGTGTTGAAGGACGACCAGCAGAGCTGTAGCCTGTGCTTGGTCGGCTTATCCTGGTTCTCATTTGCCTGATGGAAGCTTGATCCACCTTGGGCTCTGAAACAAGCGCATCGGTTTGCACAAGTGCATCGCGAGTGTTTTGTGGCGTGGGTTTTGGACGTGCACGTTGTTGCAACAGCATCTCAAGCTCCTTCACCAGGAATTCATTCTGGCGAGCGACCTCATTTTTCTCATCGAGACGTTTCTGCAGAAGCAGTCGCATTGCAGCTCGCTCTTCTTCCATGCTGCTGACTCGTAGCTTCAATTCCGCCACCTCTTCCCGTAGCGGGCCCGAGGTGGAAGTCCTTGGTGTCGCTGCTCCGCCCGAGTGTGTGGCTTGGAGGTCTCGGAGCGAAGCCTGGACCTGCTCCAGCTGCTGTGTGAGATCGTCTTTCTCTCGACCCAAAGCGTCCATGTGCTCCTCACAGTCCTTCTTGACATCATTGACACGACGGTCAGCTTGCGCAAGTTGCTGTCTCAGGGAGGCTAAAGATCTTTCAGCCTCAGCTTGACCCGTCATGGACGCATCGAGCCTTGTCCGCATTGCCACAATCTCTGCAGTGAATGAATCTTGTTTCGACGCCAGCTCTGCAGCCTTTTCTTCCTCAAGACGTGCTTCCACTTCGGCCAGCTTGGAGGCGGACTCGGTCTCTAATCGTAGCAGCTCGCCCTGCTGGAATTCGGAATGCTTGAGACGAATCTTTTCGAGCTCTCTGCTGTGTGCAGTGGCTTGGGACGTGCTGTTCTCCTCGGCGGCACGACGAGCTTGGTCGAGTGCAGACTCGATCTCCTTGCGATGAGTCTGCTCGAGCTCTGTCAATCGAGCGGCAGAGTGCTTGGAGGCATTGACGCGAATTTGGGCAACGGCATCCTGGTGACGCTTCTTCAGGTTGCGCACCTCCGCTTGACCACCCTGCTGTGCTTTGGCTACCGCGGCGTCAAGCGCAGCTCTGTGCTGTAGTTCCGCCGCCGCAGCCCTCTGATCGGCTTGCTGCTGAGCCTCAGTCAAGGCTTTGAGCAAGGCATCTGAATGCAGCTTCTCAACCTCTTTCAGACGAGATGCTGTGCTTTCGTCACTGTTGGCTACGGCGGCCGAAATCGCCTTTGAATGCTCTTCCTTCATCTGCACCATTCTGCTAGTCCACACCGAATCATGTTCTGAGAGGGCCTGCTCGTGGCTCGACTTGGCTTGCTCAAGTTGAGACTGCAGGGTTGACTGTAGCTTGCCGACTTGCTTCAAGTGAGTGTTGCGCGTAGACTCCAGCTGCTTCTCCAGGCTGCCCTTGATGCTGGCCAGGGCTTGTTCGTGCTCGGTGCGCAGCATCTCGAGTTCGTGCTGTGCTTCAGACAGGGCAGAATCATGCTTCATCTGAGCATTGTGCAGCTCTTCACGATGCGCCTCGCGGGCACGCTCAGCCTCGGACTCGTGGTGCGACGCTTGCTCTGCCAGAGCCGCTTGAGCACTGTCGAGTTCTCGTCGGATGGCTTTGCGTTCTTCCTCGTATTTCGCATTTGTCTGCATCTGCTCTGTGTTGTGCTCTGCTTGGAGTCGCTTCACTTCGTCCCGTCTTTCAGCGCCGACCTTGTCTATCACGGCTGTAGAGGTAGCTTCGGCAGCGTGGATCTGAGATTTGTGCTCATCTTTCAGTCTGCTCAGCTCATTCTGATGCGCTTCACGAAGCTGTTGAGCCAGAGCAGTGCCCTCGGCCTGAGAATGGCCCAGTTCGCGGCTGTGACTTTCACGAGCATCAGACAAGGCAGCCAAGTGCACTGCATCCCTCTCAGCAAGCTCCTGTTGATGCTTGCGAGTCAATTCCGTCAGCTTCTGTGTGAACTCTTGATTCGACTTCGCAAGATCCAAATCATGCTGGTTTCTGACATCTTCAAGCGTCTGGTCAAGCGTGATCTGCCCTTTTACGTCTGAATCCCGATGAGCAGCTTCCTGCGCAGCAAGCTGCTCTTCATGCTGTTTTCGGAGGTCTGCAATTCCGCGATCGCTGCTTTCCTGGACCTTTGCCAGTTCAGCGCGGTGACCGGCCTGTATCTTCTCCACTGCTGACTGGTGGCATCTCTGAAGCTCTGCCATCTTTGCTTCGTACTCAGCTTCCGACTTCGTTGAAGCAGCTATCGCCTTTTCGAGCTCTTCCCGAACCCTGTGAAGCTCGCGATCTCGGGATGACATTGCCGTGTCATGGTTGGACTTCAGCTGTGATAGTTGTGCATCGTGATCTGATTGTAACTTGCTCAGCCTACTTTCATTCTCCGCGACTGAAGCAGACGATGCCTCGTTCGAAGACTTCGCATCAGCTAGGGCTTTGTCCAGTTCAGCTTGCAAACTGTTGAGCTTCTGAGTGTGCTCAGCTTTCAATGCTGCCACGGCGGCGGTATGCTCGTCTTGGGCCCTGGAGAGGCCTCTTTTATGATCGGCATCGGACGCCTCGCTTGCGCTCAGTCTCGTTGCGACATCTTCTCGAGCCTGGTCCAATTCCGCTTGCAGCGATTTGAGTGCGGTATCGTGGCCGGTTCTCAGCTCGACTATCTCGGAAGTATGTGAAGCACGCAAGCCATCTGCTTCTCTCCGGGTCTTGTCGGCTTCAGTCTTTAGCTTCTGATCCTGCTCTTGGCGAAGCTGCTCAATCTTCTCGTTGTATCGACCCTGAACAGCTGAAAGGGTGGCACTATGTGAGCGTTTCATCTCTCGCATCTGCTCCTCAGCTTTCCGCAATGCTTCTTCGTAATCAGCCTTGAGCTCACTACTTCGTTGATCATGCTCTTTCTGCCAGACTGCGATATCTGCAATATGCTTCTCCCGGAGCTTGTTCATCTCCTCTTCATGCTCAGTTCTCAAGTCATTAACGGAAGATTCATGAGACCTTGCCAGAGATAGGCTTTGTTCTTCCGCAGCGCGCAAAGCCTTTTCGTGCACACCTCCAAGCTCTGCGAGGGTTTGCTGATGTTCTTCACGCATGATAGCGAGCTCGGATTCGTGCGAATTCCGCAGCTCCGCAATCTGCTTATCTATTTCAGACCGGTCCACCTCCTTCTCGGATGAGTGACGACCTATCAGATTAAGAATGGCAGTCTCGTGTTCTTGTTGATTTTTAGATATAGTAGTCTGATACTCCTCCTGGAGTTCCTTGAGGTTCGACTGAAGGGTCTGACACTCGGCCTCATGAGTCTGCAGCAGTTGCATCCGTCTGTCATTATTATCCTGGTTCAATGCTTCCAGAGCAGCCTCATATTGAGATAGTAGTGCACTCTTCTCCCGATCAAATTCGTCCTCAAGATTGGTCATATCTTGATCGTGCTGAGCGTCTTTCTCTTTCATAGCAGTCGCCAATTCTGCGGTGATTTTCTTGATTTCGTCATCTTTCTCAGCAAAAGCAGATGCTGTCGAGGTTTCCTTGTCCTGAGCCGAGGTTTGCAGCTCAGCATATGCTTTGCGTGCACTGTCAAGCTGCTCTTCGACATCTTTGAGTGTTGCGCGGATGCCGTCAAGTTCCTTCGAATACTGTCCTTCCGAGCCCTTGATCTGCTCGCGCAAAGCTCCGGTGATCTTCAATTCGCTCGCAAGGAGTCGTTTCGTCTCCTCATGCTTGGCTTCTGCGCTCGCTTCGGTCTCGGCCTGCTGACTTTTTAGATCGTCTGCGGCCTTCCTCGCAGTCTCGAGCTGTCTCTCGTGTTCGGTGCGGATAGTTTCGATTTCCTGGGCGTGGGAGACTCTCAATTGTTCAGTCTGCTGTGTGACATGATCGAGTTCATCGCTGATTGAGTTGATCTTCTCCTTATGACGAGAGTCGTCCTCACGCTGCTGCTTGAGCGTTGCGATCGCGGTCTGTTGCTCGTCGCGTTCGGAAGTGATGCTGTCGCAGCGCGCTCTGAGAACATTCAATTCTTCCTTCAATGTGCGATCGCTTTCCTCGTGGGTACTGATCACAGTCTGCAGATGATGCGTGATCTGGTGGTTGTGTTCCTCCAACTTGACCAACCTTTCGTTCGCTGCAGTTAAAGATGCTTGGACTTCAGCCTTCTGAGCTTCCAGTGTGTTGACTAGCTCCTGAGCGGTTTTGCGATCCGCTTCAACTCGAGCTTTCTCCGCCTGTGTCTCTGCTAACTGATTCTGGGTTTGTTGCAGCGCTTTGGTGACATCCTGAACCCGTCCATTCAGTCTCGAGATATCTTTCTGGGCCGCTTGCAATGCCGCCTGTATATTTTGCTTCTCCGACGTAGACTGTCGCAATTGTTCTTGTAACTTCTCTTTCTCACTCGTCAATCCATCGACTCTCCGCTCTGCAGACTCAAGCAATGACTCCAGCTGCTCTTTCTGCTTGTCAAACCTCTCCTGTGCTCTTTCAAGCTCTGCATCCCGCTCGTCAAATACTGACTCGGCCTCAGATTCCGACTCTTGCCCCGGGTCGATCTGCGAGATTCTTCTCTCCAGCGTCGGCTTGACTTCCTGCTGTTCATGTTTTATTCTCTTCTTGAGCGCGTCCAATTCGTGAAATATGTGATGATGCGTTAGGAGTTCTCCAGACCGGTTCCTGCTGCGGAACAGCACTGCGGTCACACTGCCTGAGTGTTGCTGTGGTGCATCTTTCGCTCGGGTAATGAGCGTCTTGATGTGGTCTATCTCTTGGCTGATTGTCCTTGGTCCAGCTGAGGATCCTGGGCGTTCTGTGCTTTCGCTCCATGCTCGACTGGGAGGACGCGAGCTACCACTTCCGAACGAACCTCGCGATGTGAGATCCATGTCGCCGCCGATGTGCTACCTCACGCGAGAACTGATTGCCATGTTGCAGCACAATCTGAACGCGTGTATTCGTGCTGCCTATATGAATATGCACAAGAGTTACTGAGCAGATCCAGAATCTGGACCGAAAAGAGACAATGCCTCTGGCTCCTTCAAATGCAAGATGTGCTGGCGTCAAGCTAGCAGCCGGTCGAAGGAGATCCGTAAGTGCCCTGACTCGGTCTGGCCGAGCGGTGTCATAGATGAAATTTAATCAGAGAAAATCAAGAAACCAATTCCAAAATTATACAAGAAAGGACCGCGACGACCAGGTATTATAGAAGGCATCGCGTAGGATGTGCTGGTCGGGCGTCGACAAGGGAGCATGGAGCTCCCGTCTCGGATGATCTGAGCTCTGCCCGGAAACAAATCGTGCACGTCACGCATCTGTCTCGCCATCGGAACACATTTGAAGGAGCCCAAGTGAACTAAACATGTTAGTCTGCATTCATGTGTAATTCTCGGAAATGTAGGAACAGACTGTCATCAATGTCGGTGAAGCAAGATTGTTGGTTGGCAGCGTACTTGAATAAATCATGGAGGGTAGGCCGAGTCAGCGGATAATGGTGAGACACAATGACATTTCGATTGCACGTATGATCGCGAAAGCAGCTGATCACAGACAATCTGTATGCTTTCGGGCGCCTTCTATAGCCTCACAACATGAATGCTTCGCCGCAAACGAAACGTAATGCTGAGATGCGCCGCCGTGGGCTGCTAATGGAGCCTCTATGCCCAAGTCTGAGAACCGAAAGAGGCAATCGCTATGCCGTGGCTCGGTCGAGGCAAGTCAAGTCATCGATCAATATGAATGGGTTGGACCGAGATACACCCTGGAGAATCCGGCATATATACAAGGATTCGACGAGCTCGGACCAGAGTCACCAGACTGTGGGCGCAAGTGATGAGTGCTTCGCCGGTTCGTTGCGATCGGCGAATGCCATAGGCTGGCTAATGTCGCAGTGGGAGGCCGAACGGTTCAAGGACAGTCTGCGATTTCAAGTTCGAGAGTCAATGATTACTATCCGTGATAGTATGATGGTAGCCTCGATTTTTCAGAATTCAAATGCCTCCCATATGGCAATTGTTGGCCTTCGCGATGCTTCGCTCGCGCCGCAATGGTTTGCGTCCATTCCCAAGATGCATACGGCGCCAAAGACGACCATCTAGTGTACGCATGAGTCTTACTGGTTGACCGCTGTAAATGCACTACGACTGCTCTCTCCTTCAGCTGCTGCCGGCGCGGCCTTTCTCTCGCCATCTACCTCGGGGACTGCTGAGCCAGCGCCAACTGGTTCGCCCACTGCGCCTGCGCCTCGATCTACATGTCTCTCAGAATCGACGCCATTCACATCTCGCGTCGCGGCGCCACTAGGCACCCCAGTCGGTGGACCTGTTGGAGCGTAGGGACTGCCGTGCGAGAGAGGCGCGGGCGGGGGCGCTGGCCTTGCGGATTGATGCGCAACTGACTCGGAAGTAGCGTAGTTGCCGTCATCGTGTACAGCATTGCCCGGCACAGTTTGACCTCCTGGAACTGGCACAGGCGGACCAGCAAGGCTAGGTGCAGCAGAAAATGCATATTGCCCGGACTGCAAAGTGTTCGCAGGAGGTGGTGCTTGGGTAACAGATGCGCGACGTCGCCTCTTATCACGATATGGCCGATCTGGTGGCGGAGTTTGCGCGCCTTCGTCTCCGCTTCCTTCGCTCGCGTCGATGTTGTATTCCATGCGTTTCCGTAGTTCGTCAAGCAGGAAGGCGCGCTCGAGACGCATCTTCATGATGGCTCTGTCGAGGCGCAATCGTCGCGTTCGAGCTTCATCGTTGGCGGCTTCGACTTCGTTCAGGCGGCGTTTGAGTTGAATACATTTTCGGTAGTATGCTTTCTCGACGCTAGGCGCAAGCGGTGTGTTCATTGTAGATTCAGCTGCAGAAAGGTCAGTACAAGGGAGCGTTCAGACAGGTGTCGCGAGGGATACCTGAAGGGCCTGGCGGCGCCATGTTGGCTGGCCTGCAGCTCTCAGCTCTATTCGATGCTCAGATGGCGAGATTCAGCTTGATGGCGTGGCCAGCAAACGGTGCGGCGATTGAGATGCAATGGTATGTGTTGCAAGTTGCAACTGCTTCTCGCGAACGGCGATCGGCAGCATCCCTGCGCGTGGCTTTCACTTCACGAATGCGACACGCCCACGCCCACGCCCACGCCCACCATCATCACGACACTTTGCAGTTCACTCACTATTACTAGATGTTTTTAGCCGCACTTTCCATACAGGTTTGAGCAGGCCGCTGCAGGTGGGCAGGCCGCTACAAGTCGAAGCCCGCTGGTAGTTCTACGAACAATTTAAGCCTAGTCTAATAGCGAAAGGCAAGACTGCGATTGGCAGATTAAGTTGTCCTTTCCGTTTTCGATATGAAAACAAACCTGATATAGCCGCGTAGGTAGGAACCTGCGCGGCTATAGCAGGTTAAAAAGTTTAGAATAGGCAAAGGACTGTATACGTGTATCTATATTACCTAATTAAGCGGTATAGCGGCCTGCTTAAACCTATATAGAAAGTGCGGCTAAAAACATCTATTATATATGTCTTGCCTTAAGATAGTGTTAGATATAGCAGACTTTTAGCGTGCAAGGATTGTAGTAGATTTTATAGACATACTCGGTAGTAGTAGAGTCGATTAATAAATCGAGATATAGCTATTTTTGCTAGCTAAATCGGGCATGCCGAAGATCTATTAGTCGGCGACTTTATATCGTAGTAGGAAGTCGTTATATCGACGAAAAATCAGCTATATAGCTATATATAAGGTATTGTTATAGGTATGTAGGTAGGCTAATTTCTACGCTCTTTCTAACTATTATAATAGCCTATCTAATCCCCTCTTATCTCGATATATTACTACGTTCTTAGCTCTTTAATCTACCCTTAAATGGCCTATTCTTAGACAAAGACAAATATAGCAAGGTGTAGCTATTTGCTAGTAACTTCTAGTACTAGAAGCTATAGGAGAGGCATAAGGATAGCTTAATATAGCGGATAATATGCTATTATCGTTATCGGTAGGATGCTAATCGGCTACGCGAGTTGCTAGATAGTATTCGGAAGGTAGAGTATTATAAGGAAGGGTATAATGCGACGTATATAGTAATTGCTATATATCGCTCGAAATAGTATAAGGAGCCTTATATATATAAGGTCGCTTCGTCGTCGCCCGACCCTTCTACTAAGGCAGGCTCGCTATATTGCTATTCGATAGATTATATAGTAAGTTTAGTAGGGTTGCCTCTCGAGTCGATAGCGGAGGCCTATTTAAGTCGAGTTAGAAGCTAATAGTAAGCAGGACGTACGAGGTGCTAGTAACAGCTTAAAGGTCGTTCTCGAGCACTTAATAGACTAATACGACTATAATATAGCTCGTGTATTCTATCTAATAAAGGAAGGTCGTAACGCTAACCGCTTTGCCGTTATTAGAGGCTATCGTATAAAGGAAGGTATAATAAAATAGTCTAAGAAGAAGGACAAGAAGAAGGTAACCTTTGCTAAGAAGGGCAATATCTCCCTCTAACTCGAGAACCTATATAACGAGCTGTCGCTATTAACTAATCTAGTAAACGGCGCTTAGTTATAGTATAAAGCTATATTAGCAACTATAGAAGGGCGCCTTTATAAGGGCATTATATAGTAGGCGGATTAGTAGAGGCAGTTATTAGACAATAGATTAGTAGGAGATATAAGTGCACTACTACTACTACTACCCCGCTTACATAATCAGGCTATAGGAACCGCAAAGCAGCGACTAATCTAGGATTAGTTATTTCTCTACGACGCAACGCATAAGACTACTAATATAGGCTAGCATCTCTTTATAGTATATGTCTGCAATAGATTCGAAAGTTAGATGCTAGCAGTATATATATTGCTACAAATATAGCGTGCGAGGCTTTAGTAAGCTGCTTTCCGAGTCCTAAAGCGGTAGTGCCCTCGCTAGAAGCCGAAGGTAGCTATAACTAACGACTCGGCATAAGAACAAGCGGCTATTCGACTGTCCTTCGACTAGGACGAGGAAATACGACTATATCTCTACTAGCGGTACGCTAAAGAGACCTTCCTTCGACACTTTCCTAAATTCAAGTACCCTATAGTCTAGAGACTGTTTAAGAGGGCTATTTATTAGGCTCGGAGTAAGGCAGAGGTCAAAGAGGTTATTACTACGATAGAAGCCGAATTGCGGCTCCTTAATAAGTAAGAAGAGACTTAGTATTTACTAAAGAATTGGTCGTCGGACAAGTTATAGAAATAGGCTATATAGGCTCGTTTAAACAATCTAGTACTTATGCAAATTCGCACTATATCGCTACTAGAAGGATACTATAATGCCATTAAATACGACCGGAAGAAGAATCTCCCCTAGTTATCGATATATAGCACTATAACTAAGTTACTAACAATCGACGCTCGATAACTATATAAGGCGGACCTCTAAAGCTATAGACTTAGTAAACGCACATAATATTAGAAGGTTAAAGAGATGCTATATTTTAAGCAATTAGGCCCTCTAGTAGCGTAGGACTTCGTTAGGAAACAACTCGCTATTACGGAAGAATATAAGGCTAAGGCATTGCCGCTATACGAAGGCCTTGTATTATATCGTAATAGACAGCCGCCTTACTGCAATTGCCTTCCTTAGTTCTAGCAACATTTGCTATACTACTATATACTAAGACACTACCTATTTGTAACGCCGCTTACTCTATAATAATAACAGATATACGTCAGTTTCTACTACAGCTTTAATAGCATAGAAATTAGTCAATACTAGCGGTAACGAGATAGCACTACCTTGTTTCTTAAAGGCTTCGAAGACACTTAATCCTATACTGCTAGGGACCCTTATCTTCGAGACCTTTGCGCTTACTTTAACGAAGGCGTAGAAGGCCTCTTATAGCACTTCTATACGGTCCGTAACGATAAGACTATCCGTAATAGTACGCTAAAGGACAAATACATAAGAAGCTTCTTACGGCGTATTAAAGACACGCTTACTTAGCTAGCTAACTTCTTACTAGATAACTTCCTTCGAGAAGGTGCGCCTAAGGTTTAATTAACTAGTAACCGACAGCGATAGTAGACTTAATAACAATAACTTCTACCTAAACCTGTTACTCTAACTCGCTAGCAATTGCCTCGGTATCTAACCCTTCCGCTACTACTACTACTACCGCTAGCGACTAAATATAGACCTCGAGCCTTTAATCTTCCGCCGCTTAACGAGACGCTCTTATTACTAATACGACCGTTATAGGTAATCGACCTTCTTACGCCGAGTCCGCTGCCCTTTAGACCCTTACCTTCGAAGGCGCGGCTACCGTAGTAGCCGCGCGAGTCGCTTTTGTCTATACAATCGGCTTAGCCGCTCGACTTAGATACTATCGAAGAAATAGCTAAGCTTATAGACCTTACTTTACTAGCGCTAGTAAGAGAGGCTTTGCTATTAAAACAAGACCTAGAAGTAGTAGAAGACTTCTTTTAATTAGATAACGATAACGTAATGCGAGAAGTAGTAGGCAAGAGGCGGACGTCTAATAAATATAATAGCAATAAGCGTAAGAGGTTAGTAGCGACAATGCTACCTACTATTAAGAGGCCGAAGAAGAAGAAGCCGTAGATAGCAACTAATAACACCTTAGAAGTCGCTATACCAGTCTAATTGCGATAACAATATGGCCTAATTAGGTAAACCGAGCCAACACACCAAAACCGAGCATTTCCGTAAGTTTGGTAGGTCCTATCATACGCCTGATAATCGGGCCATTTCTTAGCCGGAATGGTGGAGACAGTCCCGCAGGAACCCAAAAGAATGGGACGCTAAAAGTCTGCTACAATCAACGCTATCTCTTGCCTTGCCTTGCACGTCTCAACCTCGAGACATCGATCGAGACATGGAGTTGTATCAACAAGAGCCTACGAGAAAGCGTGCATTCACATACGAAGCACAAGCCTGGACCGTCACGCCGGAAGTGCTTGCCAACTAGCCTCATGTGGTATCTTGAATCATCTTCACGCTGACCCGAAGTATAACTTACAGGAGCCCTTCGCACCACATCTGCCTTCAGGATCAATGAAAGGCATGTAATGTGCTGTGCTGTGCTCAGAAATACAGAGGACGAAGCATTCAACATCCCCGCCGTCGCCAAGAAGCGCATCACTGGGCAAGGATCATCCTTCCCGTTGACGTAGCCGGTGTCACTGTCACGCGAACGAGGATATTACGACGTGAAGCTCAGCGGGCAGGTTTCGCTTCGGGGCGTAGAAAGTGAGAGGCAGTGCAGTGCGTGTGCCAGCCATCACTGTTCATCTCCTACTCCTCCATCCAGCCATGACAGCCTCAGTGTGACTTTTATTCTCGTTGCAGCCCCATAACCAGTACATATCCCAGCATGGCGAGACATAGCGACTACGCCGACTACGATAGCGACGAGTCCATTCGCGATGACAGAAGGCGAAGGCGTAGAACGCGGTATCGCTCGCCCTCTCAAGCTTCCTACTTTTCGCGCCCGCACTACTCGCGCCGCCACTCATACCCACCTGAGACGCCGCGTGAGGAGAAAGGCGGCAGCAAGACCGGCACTTTGGTGAAACTCGGTCTTGGAATAGCATTTGTACATGTAGTCGCCACTGCCGTGAGCGAATGGATGAAGAAGAAGGAAGAGGAGAAGGATCGGAGGTATCATCGTGATAAGCGACGCGCTTTTGAGAAGGCCAAAGCGAAGCGAAGACGAGAAGACGACATCGAGGAGAAGCGGAGACAACGCGAAGAGGAATCGGACAGCGACGGCGTGGAACGTGAAGTCATTATCAGAGAGGGCCGAAGAATTGCATACGTTCCTATGGATGCTGACCCAGCGAGGGACGAGCCTGAAGTGAGGGGATATTTGCCAGCACCTGAGCACCACCACGACCAAGACGACTGGGACGATAGAGACGGACCGCAGGACCGCGCGCCTAGCAGAGCGCAATCTGTCGGCACGCGAAGTAGAAGTCGATTCGGTGGCAGAAGCAAGAGCGTCGGAGGCGAAGAGAGGGATGCCAGGAGCAGAAGTCGACCGGCTGTAGATGTTCCGCGATGAGATGAGACGGCTTTATGCCTGTGCAGACTGTGCGAATATGCAAAGCTCATCTCACACCTGACAAGAGAGAGACTTCCTTTGCCGTGGCTATCAATGCATCTACCCAACACGTGCATCATGCATGTTTCACTCGACGCAACAAGTGAATCCCAGGCTGCGCGCACGACTTCTTGATGCATAAAAGCCTCCTGTCGTAACTCGAGCACTATTATCAACATCACGACTGCAAGATATCCAAGACGTGGTCAAACGCATAGTGGTCGACTGCACCGAAGTTCATCTATCACACATACCGGTAGCGCTTCCTCAACCTCGTCAGCAATGACACACCGCATCCTCGAATCAGTGGCCGGCACGCCTCGACCTACGCCTGTCATTGCAGAAGACACAGAGCAGACGCTTAACACTCGAACATCCACACCATGTCCTGGACCAACTCTTGCCACCTTAAACACTTCCGGTACAGCTCGAAACACACAGCGCTCTGAGATCGTTAGCAGCAATGGTGAAGGTATACCGGCAACTCCATGGGAAGAGCTTAATCGCCGTGAAAATGATCGTAACTTACAAGCCACCATCGATCATGTACCGCGATCCGAGGTCACTCGTCTTCGCAGTTCCATTGCACGCTTGCAAGAGAAGCTTGGCGTATCTACGGCACTTATTAACAACCTTCGAACTCGCAATGCTATTCACCAAGCAGACGCTGATCGGGGCGAAGCTCAGCTGAGACAGGCGAACGAAGTTCGAGACAATACTTTGGCTCGGGTGGCAGACACAGCCAAAATCTCCGACCAGTCGAAAGGCAACTCGATGAGCTTGATTTGTCTTATTCTCGTTGCCGTCTTCCTATACGCATATGCTTGTCACTACTATGGACCTGAGATGTCTTACGTTCGAAAACGTCGAAGCGAAGTCTTGGGTGTTTGAGGCAGAATCCGGCCTGGAATGAACGAATTTCAGGCGGAAGACACGAAGTGCTGTTGAACGTCCTCCTTGAAGAGGGTTAGATGTCAATGGCTCAGCGACATGTCCCGTCCAAAATGGAGCAAAAGCGTGATGAGACATGATCTCAGCTGATCATAATCAGCTTGGCGTCATGACAGTCCACGTGAATCTGCCTCGCTTCACTCTGACTTCCAGTGACTTAGTCAGAATCAGGCTGTGTTAGACAAAGCCCGAGACGACACAACTGCTAGGTAGTGACTTTCTGCAATTCACTTTCGACGCACTCAGTGATGGGAAAGCATATATCACGCTGGCAGCCTGACCTCTGCCTCGACTTTTTTCTTTCATATCATACATACAAAAGCAACAACAAGCTCCCGTTGTTTGCAACATCGAGAAGACTCGAAGACAGCTCCACTTCATATAACGCGACAAGACTCTCAATGACTCCATCCAATATCTCCTCCTGGAGGCGTCTCAACCGTGAAGAGTGTTCCTTGTGCAGGCTTAGATCACTACCAGACGACCCTAATCGTCCCTGCGCCTGTGATCGCCTTCCTGGTGAGACCGAGTCGGACTTCTACAGCAGAATCGGAACACCGCTGCCTACCAGAGCTCCAAGAGCCGGCAACGCTCCAGCTCGTCGTCGCCGAGACCGCAGGGAACCAGAACTTGATGGAAGTGATCCTTTCGTTGCTTCAAGCCCACTCCAACAACGCGGCACAGTCCCTTTCTCAATCCCGGCTCTTGACCCTGCTTCCCAACAGATCCCGATGACTCCCACCCTAACACCTCCAAATGAACCTGACAATATCATTGTTCTCTCTCCCTCCCGCAACACGCCCGAGCCCACAGGTCCCTGGTCGTCACCAGCGAGCGCCCAGATCGTCCCCGAGACACCTCTTCTACAGCAGTCCTCATCCAACACTTTTGGTAGCACGCCAGACTTCACAGACGCCACAACTCAAACCTTCGACGACTATTCAACGCACATCTCCACCCTGGACCTCACACAGCTGCGTCGCTCTCGCCGCCAAGCTATGACTGAGCTGGAGAACAGCACAGCTGAAGTTAATCGTCTCTTAGTTTCCGGCCAGATTCTGGAGGCAATCAAGCTTACAACCCAGGCCCTAGTTAAGCAGGCAGAGCATGATCTTGTCGAGGCAAGGCTGAAGCTTGTGCAAGCAGAGAATAAGGCTAGTAAGGCGATCCGAAAGAGGACTGTTGCGAGTTGGATCATCGGTCTTATTGTCCTTATGTTTGCGATCTGGTCTCAATACGACAGTCCGGACCGAATATACATCAGAAACACTCAGAAGCAATTCTGGGAGGGAAGGGATTGAGAAATTTCATTTTGTTCGAGGTTGTCTGAGAGGGCTTTGGAACTGCATGGAGATGTAGGAATTATCATCGATATTCGCGCCGGATGGATTTGCATACCTACACATAGATGATCAGAAAGAATTAGACAAGCGGTGGCGGGGACAATGTACATTGTAATTTATGTCTGTCTACGCGTTTCTAAGCACAAGAGTCTCCTCTTCCTTGACTCCAGCCTGCCCAGCCTCCTCATCGCCCGGCGGCGCAGAATGTAACTTGATAGCCTTCTGCTTCGCAATCTCCTGACAAATCTTGCTCCTCGCTCTCAACGCCGGTCCATACTTGATAAACACAAACGGGATCAGGCAGCACGCAAACCCCAAGAACCCAAGCAAAGAGCAAGCCCACGCCACCCCAAGTGTCTCGTACATAGGTCTCGCTGCAAAAGGCAAGACCACTCCAAAAGTGCTTCTCGCCATACTCATGCCTCCAAGAGCACTCGCCGAGAGCGTCGTATACGAATCAACAATATAATTCGCCAGCGCCACAAAAATCAGCACGAATCCAATCCCCAAAGGCAGACCTCCCAAGATGGGTACGATCCAATGCACATCTTTCCTAGCACCCCATCCAATCCAAAAAAGTCCTGCAGCGAAAAGTGGCCCCCCAAGTATCGCCAAGGGCAATCTCTGATACTCCTCTTTGAATGCCCACTCCTTTCCGCCAGCTTTGGCTCGACGCAAATATCCATCCCACCAAAGTACAAACACCAGCGCGATAGGCAGATTCCCAAGAGCAATCGCCAAAAAAGCCAAGCCAGTTTCACCCGGCCCAAAACCGTATACCGGTGGGAAGATAACGCTATACGACTGGAATAACATGAACTGAATAGCGTAAATCAACGATAAATAAAGACCACAAGCACTCACAATCGGTTCAGTGAGCACCATCCTCAACGGTCGCCCAAGAACCTGCGTGAAAAGCTGTTTCGTCGAAGTCTTTTGAATTTCCAATTCCGCAAAAACATTCCCTCCCTCCTTCTCTTTCCTAATCCTCCTAGCCTTCAACAACAGAATCCTGGGCCCAAACGTCTCGGGCAAAAACACAAGCGGCACAGCACAAACCCCCGCCAAAACCACCCCCAACCAAAACGGCCACCTCCAAGAATACCTTTCCGCCAAATACCCCGACGGGATCGGCGCCAGCGCCGGCCCAAAACTCGCCAAAGCCATAAACCAAGCAATCGACCTCCCCCTCCAAACCGGGCTTTCCAGAATATCAGCAAACAACCCCCCGGTCAAAGATATCGGCGTCGACCCAAAAAACCCCGTCAAAAATCTGAAAACCAAAAATCCGGGCCAGGTCGGCGCGAGGGCGCAGGCGAGCACCCAGATTGTGTAGGAGAGGTAGGTGCCAAGGATTATAGATCTACGACCGTAATTTTCGCTCAGAGGGGCCCACAGCATGGGGCCGAAGATGTAGCCGACGAGGAAGATTGAGTTGGGGAGGACGAGTTGGAGGGCGGTTTGGACGTGGAAGTGGGAGTGGAGTTGGGGGGAGGCGAGGCTGGGGAGGGAACTGGAGAGGGTTGAGTTGAGGATTACGGTGGAGGCGAGGAAAACGGTAAAGGCTTTTTTGCGTTTGGACCAGTTGTAAGGGTTTTCGGGATCGTTTTCTTCGAATGTGATGATGGTGGGTGGTGGTGGGTCTGGATGGATTGTTGGTTAGTTGTATGGTCTATGGTCTTGATCAGATATGTGCGATCAGTAGTACCATCTCCTTTCTCAAGTTCTGATGAGTCGTTTGACATTTTTTTTTCTTGGTATGGTAGATGCGTAGTCGCTGGAAATGTTTAGAACATATATTTGTGCATAGTAACTGTTGCTGATTGAAACCAGTAATGAATGACTTGAGCCGCCATCGTTGGACGTCCTGTCTTTCTCCTCTTGGCCTCGGGTATGATCCTACAGCGCGTGATTTTGCCGCGTTTCCATCAATTGTGACGCTATCATTGGACGTGGGATGCTAGCGTGCAGAAGGAATGGGGATATGGTAATCGCTTGACGCGCTCGGCCCGAGATCGAAATCTTTGAGCTGAACGATCGAAATCTGGTATGTAGGGCGTAAACCGCATGCGCTGAGGTGCAAGGGGATCCTGCTCTATTGAATAGAATCATCATCAAATCTTGCATTGTGCGATTGTATCCGGCATCTATAGACTTCTCTTGCCATGTGTCTCGAACGGTAGCATCAGACTGAGCACAATTAGCAATGCGAAAAGACTAGCGCAAACAAATAGCGGCGCAGTTGTCTCGACATCTGCATAGCTGCCGACGAGCACGCCTATGATCCCGCCAATGCGGTTCATCACCGTGCAGACACCATATCCAGTCGCTCGGTGCGCTGACGGCAGTATCTCAGGCGTATAGTGGTAGATCACAGCCCAGTAGATATTCGAAGAGGCAGCGATGGCAGAGCTGACACCAATATTCTGGGCAGGAGTCTTGATCTGGGTATATGCAAATTGCAGAGCAGTTGTGCAAGCCGCTCCGACAGCAAGGGTTCCTCGCCGTCCAAGCTTAGGCACCTCAACGAGGACACCTGCGATGACAGGACCGATGAGGCCGACAGCTTGATTTATGGCATAGTTGCGCCACGTCGTATAGTTGGACCCATCACCAACTTTTGCGCCTCGTGAAGCCAGATAGTATGGGAGGAATGCTTGGTAGAGTGGGCCAACAGTGCCTATGACAAACCAGTTGGCGATGATGATCGCAGTCGAGTAGGCCAGGGCACGAGTTTCGAAGAGTCCGGAGAAGTGTCTGTAGAGACGAAGACTGGACCAAGCTGACTTTTCTGTATGCAGAACACGGCCTTGGCTTCGCAACGTGTCCAGCTCGAGATCGAAAGGTCGATTGTACTTCTCCGAGACCTGGATGAGCTGATGATATACCTCATCGTCTCTATTCTGACTTACAAGCCATCGCGGGGTGTGAACCATTTTGATGAGGAACACTCTTATGACGGAGAGCGCCAGAACAAGACCTCCAGCTGTAAAATGCAGGTATCGCCATCCCCAATTCTCCGATCGTGGACATCCCCCGATAGGTACTGTTGACTCACAGCTGAAGTTACTCATGTACGCCCAAGCAAACAAGCCGGTCACTCCATATCCCAGAGGCACCCAGATACCCATGAAAGTGACGAGCCAGGCATGCGATCGCGGGAGAAACTCGAAGAGGTTCGTCGCATCAATGATGTAGCCACCACCAGCAGCGGCGGAGTAGATAGCCACCATTGCTGCAAATGAGATGTAGTCTGGCATTCCTCCCGCAATAAGAACAAACACTGCGCAGATGAAGAGGCTTGAGTTGAACGCCAGTCGCCTCCCAATCACGTCTGCTGAGAAGCCCCAGACTGCGGCGCCGACCAGAAGTCCAATTTGGGATGCCAAAGCAATGCCTTTTAGCTTTTCGTCTGGACTGCCGTACTCTTGCGTCACAGCAGGCATGGCAATAGATTGACAGACCACGAGAAGTGAGTCGACAAAGTACCCAAATCCATTTAGGAAGAATAGTTTCCAGTGCCAGCCAGTCATGCCGATCTGATCCATGCTACTTTCGTCAGCACTCCATTTTCACGGGAGGACATATCAACGTACGCCTGATTGACCAAAGCCATCTTCTTCGCCAAGACAGGGTCAACAGTAGTCGCGTCCCAAAGCGCTTGGTCAGTGGCATTCCCGACATCATTGAGGTTTTCACCATTGGTGAGTGTCGATTCGGACCCGTCCTTTGATTTATGCCCGTTCATGTCGTCCATTTCGATATATTCTCCAAGCAGACGCGCACTCTCAGCAGTACTGCTGAAGCTAGCATCATTGTCATCGTGGTGGTCCATCGCGAAGATTCGGGGCAGTGGCCTTGGCCACTGATTTCAGCTCCAGGGTAGCTGTGCGCCAATGTAGCACTCGCATGGTACCACAGCCTATAAGGAGGTCAAATTCGGGGAGGTAAGATGGATTTGCGTGGTTGTGAGGGAGAGAAATTGAGAATGTGTTGTGGTGAAAGTGCAAGGTGGCTTCCTCCGACGAGCCGAGCCCTGGCTCTATAAAAGCTTATGGAAAAGGCTGACAGACGTTATCTCTCATGGATCGGTCTTGACTCTTGAGTGAAACAGTAGATAAATACATCAGCATCAGGTATGATCATGCACTCATATGCGGCCCAATTCCTTGACAATGTGATAACGTCTCGATCATGCTGCGAATTGACAAGCTCCCACCACCCCCGCAGCATACTGAACTCAATCTTTCAACGCGTCTGCAAACGAGAAGTACGACCACGAGAGCGATCGGTGTTCTGCCACTTAGAGCTCATTCCGCGTTGGCGCGGCCGCTGTAGTGTTCGAGCTCGTCAGTGTCGATGATCTCTGTGTACATCCAAATCGCTTGTTGCCCTGATCAAAGATGGCATAGACAGAACGAAGGAAGACGTCGCCAAAGATGTCAAAATTCTGGTCACCACGTGATTGAATACCTCCATAGTACGTTCCATCGCCGAGATCTTGAAAAGGTAGCTCTTCTGGATTGACAGTGAACAAAGTGTCACCAACGGCGAACTGGACCTTGGGGAGGCTGCTCAGATCAGTGCTCGTCGGAAAGACCCAGCCTTGTTGCTGCGAGCTCTGCTTGGCACCGCTGATAGCACCGTAGACGGCTTCGCAGAGATCGTCTCCGACTAGAGCAAGAGTTGTGCCTGTGTCAGCAATGGCTGTGTTCCCAGTTCTAGTCACAGTCCTGTCGCCAACCTTGGCTGATGTGGAATCGAACATCCAGAAACCTTGTGAGGAGTCAACAGCAGTGTAGGAAGGAGTCTGGCCGTTGGTAGCGTCCTGATCGATGTAACCAAAGGTGTAGAAGCTCTCCGCATCGTCGCTGCTCGAGGACGATGATCCTGAAGTTGCGCTGGTTGCTGGTGGTGTACTTCCGAGGTAAGCTGTGAAAAGCTCGGTGTTTTTCGCAATGTCTTGTTGCGCAATCATGTTTTCAACAAGCGTGTTGACAGGTGTGGGTTGCACAGTGTTGATGCTACCGAAGGCTAGCCCAAGAAGTCCATCTCCTGGACCTTGAACGAACTGTGTGCTCAAAGTCTTTGCAAGTTCAATAGCCTGCTTCTCGACCACGAGTCCACCAGCATTGACATTATCCGTGCCAACACCACCAGATGCTGTGGATCCATCTCCATACTGAATCTGCCAGGTCGAACGAGAGCTCTTCTTGAATGTTGAGCTTTTGGAAGAGTCGAAAATGGTGTGCTTATTGCCAGAAGTCTGGTTTTGGATAGACGCAGGCAGCTCCGTGCTCCAGACCCAGAGATCTGCAGAGCCAGTGTCGAAGTCGAGGGCAAGATTCTGAGTTGGAGTGCCGATGCCGACCGTAGCCAGATACTCTGCATTGTTCTCGACATCCTCTGCGGGAACGTTACCAGTCTGACCACTGGCATCTTTCTTTGCCAGAACGCGTCCCTTGACACGAGCGCGGCCGCCGCTGTACTTAGTTCAGCAATAACATTTGGTCGGCTGGAAAGAAAGACTGACACTTTTATCCCGAACTTTCTCAAAATAGCTTGCACGCCCCGCTGCTGGACTTGGTTGACCCTACAGTACGGCCCGTCGACTGTAGGGCCTATGTTCCATTTCTGGATAGCGCGAACATAGGACTTCAGGCCATTTCTGCGATAGTTGTGGTTCCTCTTCAAGGCACCACGAACAAGTGCTCCTGTCATGGTTACTGCGAATGCTGTACAGGCGGTATGAATGCGATGCGATTGGACCCTGGGAGGATGCAGTCAATCTGTTCAGAATCGGGATTGGATTTCTGAGCACTCTCTTATGCCAAACCAGGGACCGTCTCCAGGCAAACGAGTGCTATGGCGTCCGCGTACGTCATGCTGCCACGTTGTAACGTCACGCTGTTAGAGGTTTCGATTTGGCAACCAATTCGGCCTCGGAAAAGTGCGACAGTGCAGATCATAGGCGCTCGTCAAGGCGCAGTGCTGTCGCAAACTTGATTTAAGGGGAGGCTTCGATAGCAAGTCGTGTGCCGTGAGATTGGGGCGTGTGAAGCGGCACACACATGCGCCTGACCTTGGCCTCATCTTCGCCCAATTGATGAATGCAGGAGGATCAAGCTTGAAGTGCTCCGACCCACCACTGCCCAGAAGCTTATTTTGAAGCTTGGTCACGCTTAAGGTGCATTGCGTATGCCACGCAAGTCTTGGACGTTTTCGAGATGGTCATTTGTGGGAGGTGAGTGCCGCGGAGCGACTACAAGGCACCACACGCTTTTCGCAGCTCTATATAGGTACATATCTAGTCGAGTTCATCTACCTCGTCTTAGCCTTTGCCTCTTTCGGCGCACTGTAGAGCCAGACAGCCACAAAGACGATCCAGCCGCCAACAGTGGCCCAGATGCCAGATATCCACGGCCATGCAGCTGAGATGGCATATGACCGTGGCCACTCATCGTGAGCAAAATGTCTCACTGTCACTGTGACCTTCTCCTCGACATTGGTGTAAAACGGTCTTCGGTACTCAACGAAGAAGTTGAATATGCCGTGTTGGTCTGGTGTGCGGAACTCTTGCGCGTAGATCGTGCTGTTGGCGGTCTGGCTCTTTGGCTGCAAGTTGAGTCTGTGGAATGGCGAAAGCATGCTGAACTCAAGCTGGAGATTGTCACCGGCTGGTGGGTGGAATGGGGCCCAATGGTCGCTCTCCCACTCGCTGACCTCAATCTCGTAGTGCACATCATTCTTGATTCGGTAGATTGTTGGGTTCAGGTCAAGAGACGCGACCTCGGAAGCGTTCGCAATGTTCTTCTGTGGTCCCTCGTTCAGGTAGTGCTTGATAGATCCAACCTTCAGCACACCCAGCTCTTTGAATGTCCACGCAGACAATTTCTCCGCGAATGCCTTGTTACTGCTCTTCTCGCCCTTTTTGCCTGCACCTGGCAGCTGTACAGATGCATCAAACCACTTGTCCTCCAAGGCCTCTGCGCTGCCTAGAACTGTGAAGCGTGCACTATTGCGAGCTTGGAAGGCAGATACAATATTGATCTGCGAGCCAGTTGCGAAGAGATCTTCTGGGCCAGCTTCGCTATCATCTTTCGGATTGTACACATACGCCGTGCTCGGTGCCTTTACTACTGACGAAAGCAATGGTGAGTCATTGCCCAGAACTTGTCCAACTGCATGCGGGAAGGCAATCAGGCCGTCCACGCTGAAGAAGTTCTTGACATTCTGCTTGAAATTTGGAGCTGGAAGTAGCAAGACATCATGCTTCTCTGCGGCGCTTTTGCTGTCGTGGTTGAAATGATCGACTACGACGCTCGTTCGGTCGGGTGGGAGGTTGATGTCCATTTCGAGGAGCAAGCTTGAGATCGCGCTCGGGATTGCCTTCTCACCGGAGAGGGCGAGGAGGATGTTCGATCCGCCGTTGACGAAGTCGACAAGCAGGTTTGGTGTAAGAGCTGGTCCAAGACCTTTAGCCTTGACTGGGAGAAGGAGGAGATGCGAGTAGGCTGGGAGGCCATATGCGAAGAGCGACAGTGAGGAGTCTTTCGGCGCGCGATATGTGATTTGGAAGCCGCGATCTGCATACAGCCTTAGTATATCGTTGTAGCCGTATCAACGCTTGCCAATGCTCACTCTCGAGGTCTGTCCAGAATTGCGTGTACTTTGATTTGTCTGCATCATCCTCGATAATGACTAGCAATTTTCTTCCTGTCGCGCTCAATGCCGAGACGAAGCTCAGGAGACCGAATAGAAGGCCTAATATGGGTAGTCTCATCTTTGCGATGATGTGTCTGCGAACAACAAAAGTGACGTTGTTGTCGCAAGCAAATGCTGGCGACGAGAAGCTCTACGCCAGCTGGCTGTCCAGGGCAAGTCTTGGCGTCGGCCGTTGGAGGAAAGAACTGACTTCACCTGCGCCGCCATTGGATTACGAGCATACCATCACATCCTCCCACTCCACGAGCGTCGCGCCCAGCGGACAAAGTAAGGAGTCGCCTCAACAGGAGACGGAGACATAATGGCGCCAGTCACGTTCTGGCAAGCGCCGACGCAATGGGTGTCGTATATGGCCCGCAAGAAGCCAGCGCTCTTCTGGTCTGTTGTAATTGGTAGCTTGGGACCAGTCGCATTGGTATGGAGAATGACACTTTTGAGAACAAGTAGGTACTATGTGCGAGACACTGACGAATTCCTCCCAGGTCACAATCCCACCAATCAGATACAGACTAGGAGATGGACCACGCCGACAAATACCTCTCACATATCCAAGTAAGCAGAACTATAGAGCACATGCCACCAAGCCGAATGCTCGTGGACTGATCATGTTCATTCGCAGTACCCAAAGGACCACGGCAACCACCGAAGGGTTACGAAGACTAGATGAAACATTTGGACTTGGGTTACGGAGGATAGCAGACGAGGAAAGACGGCGGCATTACGCTGGAACAAGCAGACAGGGAGAACCTTCGCGTCAGTGACATGTGCGCAAAGAGTACGACAGATGCGAAAGCATATTTCGCTTTGTACATATGATACCATGGAAATTGTTTACAACCAGCCGGCCTGCAAGGTCGCCTCACACCTAGTTCCGGCGAGCGTGAATATCTGGGTAGAGAACAACGGCGGTAGATACGTCAGTTCAAAGGTGTTGAAGTTTGCTCTGATTGATCACGGCTAATGTGAAGACGCGGCCTTGACAATCTGCGCTCGCACATGCAGGAACCCACATCACCAGCAAGCGGGCTGCCGTTTGATGGCCCCAGCTCTGACTTGATCACATCTTTTGCACCTGCTCTTCGAAGTTGAACTCCACGAGACTGCGCTTGCAGGGCTTGGTGCCATTGGAAGTCGGTATAGCAGGAATGATGGATAATGCAGCGGCATCATGCGAGTCTTGCACAGAGCTGTACGAAAAAGCCTTGGCACGTGTCGCCGCGTTGGAAAAACGCACCGAATCGCTCGAGCAGGATGTGGGCCGGCTCAAAACACTGCTGAAGCACCATGGAATCGATGAACTATTACTTGCCAAGCATCGAGACTCTGCTGGTGATCAAGGGCCGCCACGAGACGAGTCTCCATCTTCAGATTACAGCCCGTTGACCAAAGCGTTTGCTGATGCCGACATTGGTGAAGATCATGCGACGTGCTCTGAACGAAAGGATCAAACGATGGAAGTGGGTGGTGCCATGGTCGAAATTTCAGTTGCCTCTGGTCAGAGCTAGAACAACAATGACAGACTCGCAAATGCCGCCAAGCCGCTGCCGCCGACAATCGCGAACTTTCGGCTGCCAAAAGAACTTCGAGACCACATTTATGCATACCTTCTGGACGGCAAATACACAACTTACGTCCCAGAGCACGGCCAAGCGACACATTCTACCGACTATAACAACCACCATGGCGAGAGCCATACATACAAGTTTCACCTCGAGATACTGCGAGTCAATAAGACGACAGGCAAAGAAGCTTCTGAACTGTTTCAAGAGCGCAACCAATTCGTGTTGGTCTCTTACCGCACTCCTCATCCTCTTCACTTTACGATACCGATTAAAACCTTCAACATCCCGATCGTGAAGGATTTTGGCAGTGCCAGGCCTAAAATACATGCATTCGCTGTCGGTATCCACTGGAAACACAAGTCGGCTGGGTTGCGTGTGGGCAATGAACCTGAACAAGGAGTATACCTCATGCTGCTCCGAGACTTGCCTCATCTCTGGAATCTCCTGCGCTTTCAATGCCTCTTCACAACACCAAAGAACCTTTTCATTGGCACATCTTGCGGTCTTCCAATGACCTCCTTCTTAACCTCCAAGGATGACAACAGCACATGTCAATTGGTGGTCCAAAACACCTTGCCGAAAGGATATCTTAGCTCCGATAAGATCGAGGCCAAGTTTCTGCGAGGCTTGGATGATGCCATGGGAGCAGGATACTTGCTCACCATGCTCGGGTTCAAGGATTTGGATCACGTGAGACAAATCAAGAATGGGATTGCACCCTCTTTGGCGTCCTTACTGGCAGTCTCTTGGAACCGCTTAAGCTTCATGGCGGAGCTGAAATGGGCTGCAGATGACTGCATGCGCCGCGGCCGGATTCAGGCCGCTGAGGTTCGATATCGAACTATCTTGTCTTGCTGTTCAAGTAAGGCCTACAATCTCCACATGAGGACCTTGAAAGACGGAGACAAGAAGCGAATGCGAAAATCTGCAATCGTGCATGGGGCAATCGTGCATTAGGGTGTGATCTTATTTGCAGTCTCGGCTGGTGCAATCTATACTTGAAACACTTCGACGACCAACTCCAGCGGTACATGCAAGCACTCCAACACGTGAGAGAAGAATTCGGGCGCGGTGATTTCATTGCTTCCAAAATGATGCATTTCCTAAATATCATGTACTTCTGCACTTCGATGCATCCATACATGGAGGAATGGGAGGGGCAAAAATTGCGCAATAGGGTGGAACGACTGAGGCAAGATGACTCGTATGCTCAGCATGATGCAGAAGTCATCGCCTCGGTAATGGCGGAGCAGTTGGACAGTGAGGTATGAATATGCAACCTAAAGAGACTGATTGATCACGACTCGCTAATCCTGATTTACAGGTCTCTGGCCCCCAGAAGCTCCCTGTACCTGTGGAAAAGCTCAGCTTGTATGCGATGCCGCCGAGAACATTCACTCTGTTCGACGATGGGTTCTCTCGGAATGAAGATAGCACCTACTCTGCCTATCCAGAGTATCTAGGCGGTCTTGTAGGCTGGCAGGACACGGAGCAGGTTCAGAAACTCACGGCAGAAGACAAGGCGCTGATTCACAAGTTTCAACAACAGCACGGCCTACCAATTACAGATTTTGACGAGCTTCAGCGGAGCTGAGCGGTGATGCCTGCGCAGCGTATTATCGGCGGCAAGAGGAGGACTTCGTCATGGGAGGTTGGAAACCAGGTACCGAGTCTGAGCAACTCTGTGAATCCATCGCTGGACCCGCAAGAGCTTTTTATTGGCGTACCCGCCTGAGACAGCTTCGCACCAAGTACAAAGAGAAGGCTAGGTGAAGATCGAACCCCTCAGACCACCGTTCATCCTGCATCGCGCTACTTTTTTGCTCATCTCAATTGGCGTCGGTAGTCGCGCAACAAGTCTCAGTTCTGGGCTTGGCAGCCTTTCCTTCACCCACTTTCACATGCATGACGAAACTCTGGCGCTAGTGAACGGCCCGCTCTTTAGCTATAAATGCTCCACTGCCGCCTCGTCACGAACTCTCAAGTCGCATGAGGTATCACACCTCGAAAGAAATATATACCCTCTTCACGGAAATTGCTGGACTACGACTACACTAAATATCCAGAGAAAACATATATACCTCGCAGTATGACAAGTATATCTTGCACGACATAGCAATGCTGTCCAGCAAGGCGGAGCCGATCTCGCAGCATGCATGGTACGCTCAGCGCTCTTGCGATTCTTGGACAGTCTGTGTCATGACAAGATTTTTTCCGTGGTCTAAGTATCTTCACATTGCCCTTCCGACCGTTCGATTCCAAGGCAGACCGCCTCACCCGGATCCGTCCTGCAGGTCTCGAGAATTGGCAAGACATGGCACATCTTGCGCAGCTAACTTCGAAGGACAAGTCTAACTTGTGGTGGGAACAGCAACGCCGAGCTATGCGTTGAGGTATAAAGTGGCACGGACCAGGGAAACTTGATACTACATCCAGGCGCTGAGAGGAATGTGAACGACGGAGAGACAAAAGTGCTCGACACGTGCTGCAGGGTTGTGAGATCTACTGAAGATATCAAAGCAGCGAAGACTTCATGACAGAGAGCTGTCAGCTCAGTGCTCACTAGGATAAACCACAATACGATCCAGATCCGCACCCTTCGTGTCATTCCCATTCCACAATCCACCAACCGTAATCGTATTCTCCTTGCCTTCGTTCAACGTCAAAAGCAAAGGCGTACTCAAAATGATACTCTTGTGCGTGTCCCTCTGCCTCAATTCATGGAAATTTTCCACATCACTATTAACCACAACACTACTAATCCTTCTTAAAACCCAAGTCCCACCGATGCGATCCGGCGTCCCACCGGGCTGATCACCGAATCCCATGTCATCGGTATTCTGGTAATAGAAAGATATCCATTGAGGCTTACCACTTCCCTCAATCCCAGAAAATGTGACAGTGCTGTCGTTACCATAAATTCCAGTGACGATCGAGCCATTGCTTGCGAAATTCGCTTCTTGTTTGAACGCATTTCCGGAGATTTGAGCTTCATTGGCAAAGTAAGTCCGACCTTCCACGGGCGCCCACTCTCCAGTCTTGACATCAAGATCATAGACGTCGTGCCAAAGGAGTTTGAGATCTTTCTTGTCGTCATCGATGGAAACAGGAAGCCAGATATAGCGGCTTTCCCAAACAGAGCGGGAGTCCCATTGGTCACCTAGGTAGAGGTATGTGGTTTGCTTAGTGCCGTTGATGCGGAGGGAAAAGCCGGATTGGGAGTTGAAGGTGCGGGTGTTGAGCGGTGCTACGAAGAATGGTTGGGACCAGGGACCTGCTAGGGAGTCGGCGCGGAAGGCTACGACGTCTGCCAGTCGGTCAGTAACAGCAAGAATCGGCACTTTGACTTCACTCACTGTTTGGTCGATATCCAGTCTTATGGCTCATCAGAGCATAATAGCTCTTCTCCGTCTGTATGATTGTTGGAGCTTCAAGATCATACTTGTCGAATCGATGGATGACAGAATCCAGCGCGGATACATGATCATTGAAGCTGGTTAAGTAAATATCTCGCCCTTCCACTCGATCGCCATTCGAGTATAATGCATACGACTTCCCGTCCTTATAATCAGTAAAGATACCAAAGTCTTGTGACCAATTTCCAAGAGGCGCTGTGGCATCGACGAAAGTATATGGTCCAGTGATATTTGGCGAAGTTGCAAGTCCTTGCAAAAGCCAACCGTATGTGCTGTTATCGGCGTGCCACCACATGTGATACTCTCTCGTGAGCTCGCTCCAGACCACTTTTGGTCGTTGAATGATATGCTCCGGGCCGATGTATGGATGACCTTCGATGGGTTCTAACGCGAGGCCGTGGTATTCCCATGTTCCAAGATCTTCTGAACTGTAAACTGAGATGCCACCGCCTTCAGGTGCGTCCTCAGTTTTGTGCTCGCCAAACCAGTACAATTTGCCATCGTCTTGATTGGCAGTGATACCACCTGCATGTGCGTTGACAAAGTGGCCTTCGGTGTCCAGCCACTTGCCTCCAGGAACAATAAACTTCGAGACAGTCGACCGAATGGTCACGGCGGTGAGATATATCTTCCTGAGCTTCATTGCGCCAGTCAGTGTAGCAATCAATATTGAGATATGTTGTGAATGGCCGTCCTTTTGTCTTCAGCCGGCTACGGTCCATTTTGACCCGACCTCCTCTTGCCAAGACTCTTCGCATAATTGATCGATCCTCCGTTCTTGAGGCCTCTTTGGGTTGAGATCGAACCGGCCAAGAAGAAGTCGCGAGAGCCAAGTCAAGCGTAACCAAAAGCAATTTCTCCGTTAGTGGACAATGCCGAACCCAGGCTGTCATGACTTCAGCACCGCCATGTTGCGATAGCTCCAACTTGGCGGGTGATGATGGAAAAGGGATATTGAATATATTCGCTCTTCGTCACAGGAGTTCCGTCAGAGACCGATCAAACCCGAGTGAAGTCCGGTTGCTCGGCCCTTTCCAGTACTGAGGAAGTTCCCGAGATGTGATCCATATCCTACAGATCCATGTTGATGCAAGCATTGGAATCCACCTTCAACCAGCCTTTTCGAGCCTTGTGGACATGCACCTATTGACATGCGGTCGCGAGTCGCGTTAATGCACCAGACGCGAGCGAGTGCGATTGACTTGACAGTCTTCAGCATAGGACAATGGTATACCCGGCTTGGCCTCATCGGCTTTTTCATTCAATCTGCATTGAGCAAGATTCTGGGATAGGCACAGGTCCACAGACACTGGCCCACACTCCTGTATGTTCCATAGGCTCAAAGTCGCGGCTGCCAGTCGACAAAGCCTGAATCGAAGGCGAGGATCGAATGAGTCCTGCCAGAGCATGCAACCGCATCTGTCAGCTGGCAGGATCAGATAAACACATATGCCTCGATAAACGCCCAAATCTTTCGCGACGATTTCGAACAACTTCTGCTTAGAAATGCGACAGATGAGAAATCTTGTATAAAACACAATCGCCCTGAGAAAACGTCGACAAGCATACAGAAAAATCTTCAACAGATCTCAGCCGTTATGGCGGACCCTTCGCACCACGAGCATGACCCGAACGAGGAGGACGATGCAATGCTCGATCCAGATGAGGCAGAAGAAATAGTGGAAGACGATGGCGATGCTGCGATGGACAGTGGAGACGAAGACGAAGAGCAGACAATTCAATTACAGAACGACAGCACGGCTCACTTTGACGGACACACAGATAGCATATTCTGCATAGCGCAACACCCAACGAGGCCAGAACTCGTAGCAACAGGCGCCGGCGACGATGTAGCATATGTATGGGATTGCACGCCTCCCGAAGGTCCAGTACTACCTGCAAGCTACGAATCAGACCCGCAACCCAGAGAGAGACAAGGGCAGCAAATAATAGCAAAGCTTGAGGGACAAGACGAGAGTGTGGGTGCGATATGCTTCACTCTGCCGAAAGGAGAATATGTCGTGACGGGCACATTGGCGGGAAAACTGAATGCCTATACAACACCAGAGACTGGTCGACAAGCACAGCTAGTCGGCTCAGCCAAGGAGGTGGAGGAGATCCGTTGGATACTTCCGTGTCCGAATGCACAATACCCAAATACAATCGCTTTCGGTGCAGGCGATGGCTCAGTATGGGTCTACAGAATCAACAGCAAAGACCATTCAAGTCCTCTAACAATCGTTCAAACTTTCTTCCTTCACCAAGGAGCATGTGAAGCCGGGGCATGGACTCCAGATGGAAAGCTCCTCGCCACAGTCTCCGAAGATGGTAGCCTCTACGTCTGGGACGTTTTCGGCGAAGCTGCAGCAGCAGGAATTGCAGACCCTAACGGAGGTCAAGCAATAGTCGGGCTCACGGCAGACGATGAACGCTTCAAGGTAGAAGGAGGTCTTTACAGCGCTGCAATATCACCGGGCGGCGGCATTGTGGCGGTAGGAGGTGCAGATGGCAATGTCAGGGTTGTCGGCTTACCACGTCTGTCCACAGTGCAACAGCTTGGCGCAAAAGGAGCAGGAGCAAAAGCGAAAGCTGGAGGTGCGAAACAGAACCCTTCACAAGCTACGGCTGGAAATGCTGGAGCCATCATCGCTGCATTACGAACGCAGTCGGGTAGTGTGGAGACTCTGGACTTCAGTCATCCGCCACTCCAAATCCTCGCTGCGGGAAGTGTGGATGGCAGCATCGCACTTTTCGACGCACAGCACAACTTTGCTGTAAGGAGGCATATCAAGGGCGCGCATCAGGAGGAGGATCTTGAGCAGACAGTGATCAAGGTGGAATTTGTGAAGCTTCCGATAGGCACTGCAAACCCTCTCGGACATGTCTTGACGAGTTGCGGAAATGATGGCGTGTTAAGAAGATGGGATGTGAGAGGCGGAACTGCAGCTTCCGGGCAGGGTTTGCTGGGCGAGTGGAAAGGTCACAGAGGTGGAGGGGAAGGAGGTGGAATTCTTGGCTTCGTGCAGGGCGGTGGTGGAAAGAGGGTGGTCACTGCAGGCGATGATAAAGTGTCACTTGTATTTGATGCGGCATAGAACAAAATTGTGGCTGGCACAAAACGATCAGTCAGCGATGAAAAAAAACTTCTTCATTCATTGCTCATCCCTTCTCTCATACCCTTCTCACAACTTCGCCCTCTCATCCCTCAACTCAGCCCCAGCATTGCTAATACACGCCTTCCCCGTCTCCTTCACTTTCGCCCTATACACAATCTTCCCATTCCCTTCGTTCCACATCTCCGTCACAATCGTCTGACCGGGCAAAACAACACCCGAAAACCTAACCTTCAAACTCTTGACAGGCCCAAAAGCTTGAAAAACATGTTTCCCGCAAATCCCAAAAGTCGCAAGCCCATGTAAAATCGGCGTCTCAAACCCTCCAACTCTACTGAATTCCGGATCGATATGTAAAGGGTTGTAATCTCCCATCAATCGATAGACGGCAGCGAGATCTTCCGAAGTTTTTTCTTCGACGATCTTATCAGCGGGACGGTTTGGTGGGTTGTTCAGAGCTGTAGCAGCTCCGCGATCAGAAGGTTTCTTTTGACCTCCGAAGCCGCCGGCTTTGCGGATGAAGGCTGCGCTTTCGTTGTAGAAGACGGGTTTTCCTGATTCGTCGAATGTGGTGTTGCTCCGTCGGACGATGGCTGCGTTGCCTTTGTCTATGACTTCGATGAGTTGGCCTTCGGTTTTCAATGTGGCGGAGGTGGGAATTGGCCATTGGAGGATTTCGAGATATTGTTCTCCGTGGAGTAGTTGGCGCATGTCGAAATTGGGGAGGATGTCTTTGAAGTTGACGGAGGATTTTGAAGTGTACGTTGGTACGATCCCAAAAGTCGGGAGAACGTGGAAATTCTTGGAGCCTTCAAAGACGAGGTCTAGGTCTGTTCGTTTGGCGTTGAGACCGAGATGGTAGAGGATGATGTCTCTTTCAGTGTAAGAGTAAGTCGTGGCTTCGGACTTTGCTTGTAGTGCTTCGTTGATTTTGGCGCGACCACTATCTCCAGGGTCGATCTTTGCTGATGCAAGAGCTGCTGCTGATGTATACTTGCTGCCGTCTTGCGGAGCGTCAGGTAAGTCAGCCTCACTGTCGAATGTGACGATCTTGGGGAATGCTTCGGCGACCTGATCGACGCTGGGCACTTCGCTGTGGAAGTCGAAGTCTTTACCGCGGGCTCGTTGCCATCTGGTCACGGCAAACCACCCGCCAGCGGCCTCGAAGATGGTTGCTGTAGCTGGCGGCTTCTCGCTGCAGAGAACTGCGACCAATGGAGCAACATATTCTGGCTTGAGGGCTTGCACTTCCTCTTCAGGCCAGATTGTACGGGTCATGTTTGTGCCAGCAGATGGAGCGACGACATTGACGAAGACATTATACTTTGTTCCTTCTCGTGCCACAGACTTGGTGAAGCCGAGGATTCCAGCCTTTGCCGCAGCATAATTCGCTTGCCTGGAGCGCGAAATTAGCGCGTATCACATAGTATAACTGTTCTAGCTTACCCGAAGTTCCCATATATGCCACTCGTGGATGTAATGTTCACGATTCGACCATACTTGTTCTTGACCATATACGGCAAAGCAGCCCTCGTGATCGCATAAGTGCCATTCAAGTGGACATTGATGACCTGATGCCACTGCTCATCTGTCATGTTGGTGAATGCCTTGTCCCTGAGAATACCGGCGTTGTTGACGACGAGGTCGATCCGGCCGCAATTCTGAATCACGAAGTCGACCACTGCTTTTCCTTGCTCGACCGAAACATCACAGGCAACCGCATCGCCTCCCTTCTTTCGGATGGCATCTGCGACTGCTTCGGCGCCTTGGATATCGTTCACGATGACCTTTGCGCCATGCTTCGCAAGTTCGAAGGAATAGGCTCGGCCAAGGCCTGCGCCACCCCCAGTGACCAGAGCCACCTTGCCTGAGATGCCCAGCTTGTCTTGCGAAATAGGCTTGTTGGGCGCAAGACTTCCCGCGGCCTTCAACATGCCCATCAGGTCTGTTGGCTGAGTCGGATATTCCAAGTTCCCCTTGCCGAAATCCACTACTTCACTCCATCGATCCAGAATGTGCTGCGGGTGTAAATTCGCGTCAGGCTTCAACAGCAAGCCCTTGCTTCTCGCCCACCTGATCTTCGAAAAGTGTCCAGCGCCAGCTTCAAAGATACTGCCATTCTCACGACAGTCTGGATGACACAAATAACCCACAAGCGGTACAACCCATTCTGGCTTCATCAGGTCCAGCATCTCCTTTGGCCAGACTGTTTGCGTCAAACGACTTGCCGCTGCCGGCGCTAGGATATTGCATTGGATATTGTACTTGGCTCCTTCCTTAGCAAGAGTCTCACCAAAGCCGACTAAAGCGAATTTCGCTGCCGCGTAGTTCGATTGACCAAAGTTTCCGAACAGGCCAGAAGCAGATGTTGTTTGGATGATTCGTCCATATCGTTGCTTCCGGAAGTAGGGCCAGGCAGCACGTGTAGTTTTGTACGCTCCGTGCAAATGGATATCGATGATTGCATTCCAGTCCGAGTCGGTCATGTTGCGAAGGGTAATGTCTCGAAGGATTCCAGCATTATTGACTTTGAGAATCGTCAGTAAATGCGAGTGACATATGCTGTCCAGAATGGCAAGGCTCACCTAGAATGTCAACACGTCCAAAATTATCAATAGCTGTCTTGATGATCTTGTCTCCTTCCTGGACAGGGTCGTAATTCGCGACAGCAGTCCATCCTTTCGATCGCAATTCCGCGACAACCTCATCTGCGACTTTTGAGCTTCGCTCATTGCCTTTGGCGTTGAAGCTGCCTCCAAGATCGTTGACTACCACTTTCGCGCCGCGAGAGGCGAACATGCGAGCATATGCTCTGCCAAGCCCGGCACCAGCGCCAGTAATGACACACACTTGTCCATCGTACCTGAGTTCTGGAGCCATCGCGGTGAGATGTGAGTGAATGGCCAGCTACACAGCATGCTAAAGAGAAGGGTGTCCAGTTGGCTATTTGATGTTTGATGTATCCCAGCTGCGGGGCTGATTCAAGGTTGCTTTGCCGATACCGAGAGCAACGCCCTCGGTCGGTCGATCAGCCCATGCAGCCAGTACAACTGTCTTGTCGTTGCGTGAGAGTCAGACTTGGTTCCTTTCATAGGGCTACGCTTTGGGCATCGGAATGCTGACTTGTTGCGAATAATTGCGCGTGTTAACGAACTGTGTGTTAATTATTTGATCAGCTCTCAAACCACGAGCTGAACGGCTCAAGGAGCCATGCTCGAATTGACACCTGTTTCGACGAAGTGACAACCACGTTTCCTACCAGGCAGAAGAGCTGATTCTGTACAAGACCAGTGGATTTGGGCAATCGCTGGAGCATAGTCCCAAGATTTTCGTCTTGACGACATTGTTCAAATGTGTACAAAGTATTCATGGAGCATTGCTCCGTAGGGATACTGCTTCCTGAGAGCGTAGGGGTGGCATCCCTTTGTGCAACTAACCCTTGACGGTCTGCCGCTTCATGCTTTTCCGTTGAGACTTCTCCTTTTCCTTTTCGAGGAACTTCTTTTGATTTTCGGCGCTCATCTTGCCTAGCAACGTAGTAAGTCAGCATATGAATTCAGATAGCGCTACTGTATACGGAGCTGCTGTGAGGATAGGAGAAATTTGCACTTACTGAGCTTGCGATCGCGCTCCTCCTTCTTAAGCTTGTCGCTAGCATTTCTTCGTTCTTCCGCTTTCTCATCCTCGTCAATCTTGCGAATCTTGCGCATCTCTGCCTCGCGAGTGGCGCGGACCTTGCGCATAGCTTCAGGTCGGAAGTGGGCGTAGGTGACCAAGAAATCTGGGATTCGTAGGAAGTAGCTGAACAAGGCAAGGCTGGCATCGGAAGTTGATAAAGCCATTGAAAGCTGCACGCGCTTCTTCGGAATGATCTCATCTAGCTTCTGAGGCGCATCAATTGGCTGATCAGAAACAATCAGAGCTTCGAGATCCTCGCCTGCATCAGTGACGACCTGGATGAGCTCTGGTGTGAGCATAGCCTCAGTCACTTCAGCGCTCTCGGACATGATGGTTGCCCACTGAGGCAGCTTTGGATGATCCTTGGTCGAAGTCAAGCTCAGATCGTATCGGTCGTCTCGCAGCTGCTTCATGCGGTCCTTGTGTACGATGGCCCAAATAAAGCCATCGAATGTGCTGTCCTGGTTAGGCGCAGAATTCTGACCTTGAGCTTGCGCCGGGACAAACTGCTTCTCCTTGCCATCGAACACATACGCTGTTGCCTCGACTCGTTCCGATGGCGCGGCGACACTGTCGAAGAGGAAGGATGCAATCGACTCTCCAAACCACATGATTGGGTTGTAGCGCTTAAGCACCGTGAGCTTAAGGTGCAGGAAGGCCACATTCTGTCTGCCAGTGGCATATGATGTGAATTCGTTCTTGCTCTTCTCCTTCCACAAAATGTCTTTCCCGAAGCCGTCCTTGCCAAAGCCAATCTTGGCGAATTCAGTATCCAGCTGAGGAAAATGCTTCTCTTCCCACGATTTGGCACGCTTGCGGTTGGCAGAGGCTCCCCATAAATTGACGAGGATTACCAGGATGATGATGGGTATTATGACCAGTTCCTGGTAGAAGTCCGTTATTGTCACGCGTTCCCATATTCGGTACCAGGCTGTATACGGCCGGCCGGCCATTGCAGGTGAAGAGAAGGCGCCGAAGGCATTTTTGGTATTCGTTGGAGCAGCGGCGTCGGCTGGAAATGCGGATCTGGCAGCAGAAGAGGGTGTTAGCAACTACGACTCCAATGCGCAGCGCATGCCCGGGGTCCAGATGGTGTCTGTGAGGCAGCCCAGGACGGAATGTACTCACGATGCAGTATGGCTGGGTGCTACTGGTGACGCAGCAGTTGCAAAGTCCGCGAAATCGTCGGCATCTGAGGCTGAGGGTATTGAGGATGGCGTCGATTTCGCGCCGCCGCCGAGGACGTTCTGAATGTTGCTCAAAAGCCCAGCCATCGCTCCGCCTCAGATGTGGGATGTTTGATGAAACAACGATTCAGATGCAGGGAATCGCGTCGGCGTCGGCGTTGGAGCTGAAGAATCGCCGAGAGGCTAGAGCTTCACAATGGAGAGCAATAATACAGTGCAATTTCGGGAGAGCCCCACCCCCACCGCAAGAGCCTCAGGCCTCAGGCCTCAGCCTCAGCCTCACAGTGGCGGGGTGACATCGACTTCACCTTCTGACGACAGCATCAATCTACTACTCCGAAGAGAACAGAGTCGCCGTCGCCATCGCCATCGCGGTCATAGCGGCTGTCCATCAACGCCTCACACACGCCCTATTCAAGGTATTAGATCCAGCTCAGCAGGCAACAGTCATTCACCCGACTCCATCCATACCGCATCAGGAAAGTCGCTATCACCCTAGCGTTCCTCAATCACAACCCATCTTTCTCTTTCTCTCTCCCTCTCCCTCTCCCTCTCCCTCTGTACCATCAGACAACAACTTGCCCTCGATCGACTCTTCTTTGCGGCCTGCACACAGTCCTGACAGCACTGAAGCCGAATCAGCCGCTGCTCGATATGTCTCGAGAAGAGCCAAAGCTTCCAAAGCAACGTGAGCCATGCGATCTGCCAACGAAAGATTCGACCAAGTCATTCTGGCACACAGAGCCCTCTGCGCTCCTCCTTGGCCATCGTTCGACTCGCAATCTCCCTGAGACGGCGGATGTCGTGATCATTGGCAGCGGCATCACTGGAGCATCGATTGCCCATCACTTGCTCACAGCAGAGAATAAAAGCAAGCCCAAAGTTGTGCTTCTCGAGGCCCGGGAAGCGTGCTGGGGCGCGACGGGGCGCAATGGAGGTCACTGTCAGCCCATCTTCTTCGAACACCCCCATGATCCGACCATTGGCCGCTTCGAGCTTCAGACATTCTACGCTCTCCAGACTTTGATCAAGGCAGAACATATCGACTGTGAATTTGTCGCCCAGCCTGGCGTTCGGGCGATCTATTCTCGCAGTCATCTCAACGACGCCGAACTCGCGCTGTTAGCAATGAAAGACACGGCGCCTGACCTCTCCGCAATGATGAAGCTCGTGACCGATCGAGACGAACTCAACGCTCTACGAATCCCAACAGCACTCGGAGCAATCGTCACAGACGTAGCTGCAAGAATGTGGCCCTACAAATTCGTCTCCCACATTCTCGAGAGCCTCCTCACAAGCAACAAACTATCTGGAAGCTTCAACCTCCAAACCCTAACCCCAGTAACCAAGCTCGAAGATTACTCCTCTCACATCACAGTCCACACCAAGCGCGGTACCATCAAAGCCTCCCGCGTGATCCTCGCAACAAACGCCTACACCTCGCACCTCCTTCCCACCTTCTCCGACCTAATTGTCCCCTGCCGGGGCCAGATGTCCTCTCTAATTCCCTTCCCCTCCGTCTCAGGCGAAAGCCGTCTAAAAGCCTCTCTCGCCTTCCTCGGCGAAGGCTTAGACGACTACTTAATACAACGCCCCAACGAAAAAGGAGGCCACCTAATGTTCGGAGGCGGGCGCCAACACGGAAAATCCATCGGCGTCACAGACGACTCCTTCATCGACGAAGAGACCGGAAAATACTTACGAACCCGTCTTGTCGAAGCTCTAAACCTTCCAGAAGGCGGAGCGCTTGAAGCTACGCATATGTGGACTGGAATTATGGGTTTCTCCAGAGATTCATATCCTTGGGTTGGAAAAGTTCCGGATTTGAACAACGTTTATATCGCCGCGGGGTTTACGGGACATGGTATGCCTAATACTTGGTTGAGCGGGAAGGCTATTGCGGTCATGGTTGGGAAGGATCTTGACGGGGTTGTTGGAGAGGATGAGCAAGTTGAAATTGCGAGGAAGGAGACGGGGTTGCCGGAGTGTTATGTTGTGACGAGGGAGAGGATGGAGGCTGCGTTGGAGTTGGAGGACGTGGAGAGTCAAGACTGGGCTGAGATGGAGCGGGGAAGGAGAGGGAGATCGGACGCTAGGCAGAGAGTGGTGAGTGGGTTTGCTTGATGTTGTCGGCAAGGAAGGTTATGGACTGTTCCTCGACAAAGAGAGAGAGAGAGTCTCTCTTGCGTATGCGCAAGTTTCGTACAACCCGCTGAGAACTTGGAAACGATCTGAGTACATTACAATTCTTCATCAATTTTGGATGGCTATCAACGACAACACATCAACGATAGATCTCACATCTCAATCGCCCAGTCCATTGTCCTCCCAATTACTGTCCCTGAGCCTTAAACGTCGCTCCAGGATAAGCCTTAAAAAGCTCATTATTAAAGCTATGCAATTGCGGACAATTGAGTCCTTGGAGCTGCGGTCCCAAATTCTTGCTCATGAAATCCAAGATCTGTCCGACAGGCTCCAATAGTGGGAATGCAGCATCCGATAGTCCAGCTTGAGTCGCTTGCAACAGGAAGCAGGAAAGGTTGTTGCCTTCGAGAAGAGAGCTTCCAGTGAATACACCTCCCGTCAAATTTCCGGTATCGATACCGACGAAAGAGTTCGTTTGCCCGGTGTTGCCTCCGAAACGAATGATACCCGGATACATTCCGTTGTTGATGACGGTGTCGGCGTTTGTGTCGACGGTGTTCATGGGTTGAGAGGTGGGGCGTTTGTACCAGTTCAAGGGGATCCGTTCGTGGCCTGGAGTGTGCACGAAACTTCCGGGTTCGCCGGTGACGGAGAAGAAGGATTTTAGAACGTTGGCTTTGAGGTCACCGCCTTTATTCTCTTCGGAGCGGTTGGACATTAGGTGGACGACGAAGTTGTGGGCATCGGGTGCCACGAGGCCGGAGAAGGGACCAGAGAAGTAGTATCTAAGAGGTGTGAGTATCATGCTCCATGATTCAGGTGTAGATGTTGTACTTACGGGTTGTTCTCGATCGAGTATTGCGCGGTGTAGTATGCTTGAGCCGCGGCTTTGTCATGGGTCAGACCGTCTGATCCGATGGCGTCGTAGAGTCGGTTCCAGCGGTGGTCTTCAAAGAAGCCAACAAACCCATCGTGCATATAGGCATCGCCCTATCGGTCAAAGTCAGCTGGATGATCGTCATCATATGATTTGCGACTCGACATACTCTGACGATCGATGCGTCTCCCTCGTAGCGGTTGTGTGTGCCAAGAATACCACTTGGCTTACCCAGAAGGCCTAAAGTACCGCCATATGCACCGCCGATAGACCAGGTGCCTGCGATTGGATCGCCGGAGATAGCAACAGAGATGACTGCCAGTGCCAATGCGAGCTCTGGCGACATGCTGTAAGCAGCTCCAAGGCCGTCAATCGCTACCAGACACGTCAGCTCTGCTCGCTGTTTTTCGATAGATAGGAGGTTCAATGGTCAAGACCTACTTTGCTGAATAGTTGTGACGCCAGTGCGAGGCAGGAAGCCGTGATTTGCCGCTGCATTTAGGCCTGGGCATTGTCCGCGTTGGTCGCTTGGTCCAGGTGCCATCCATTCATGTCCGCTACCAGGTTGAACATTGACAAGCTGATCCTCAGCATCGAAGACGGTGCATTTTCCGTGAGAGCCACAGTTATCTCGGTCAGTTGTGAACTTGGGCGGCGGGACTGTTGGATATGTCACTCTCTTTGCGAGCTTTCCTTCCATCAATGTTGGAAATGCCGTAGCCAACGGCAGAGCCGCGGCGAGATATTGTAAAGTGTTGCGCATCTTGATGTGATTCTAAGGAGATTACACAAGGCTGATCGAATTTGCCTGACAGGCTCCTGCGCGAAGTTCCACCTACCTTTCGAGAATGATATATGGACATCTGCCGGCTCATTGTCCTGGATCGGTACAGGCCATATGGGGAACGGCAAATCGGGATAGTCACATTGGACCCTAATGATCTACAGAGGCTTGAGTAAGGTTAAAAAGTAGCTTGTGGATGTGCGGGCGCACATTGCGGAGGTGCTGTGTTTGGCGACTACCTCTAGCTTCTTTCGATGCACAAATTGGTCGATCATGTACTTCAGCATGCCTGACCTTCCCTGAAGATGGTAGACTTAGTAACAAGCCGGATCTGATTCGATGTTGTGAAGTCTTGGCTGCGGTACTGGAAGAAGTAGTGTTGCACTCTACACGGAGTACGACGTCGAGGTACTGTACAGCTGACCCATCCAGGCATTGCCGGTTGGAAGCCTCCCTGGGAGATGCCTTCGATGGCAAAGTCGTCATACCAAGCATTGTGGTGCTCGTGGTGCTCTCGCTGGGAGGTGGTCAGGTCCAGCGACTCGTTGTTCGATCGTCTCGCGGCCATCGTGTCACTCTCGGATGTCAGACCAGCTCCATCTCCCAGAGCTTCTTCCATCGCAATGTGTCGGTTCCCGTCTTGTTCGGCACAAGTCCATTTGGTCTCCATTGAGTCGGCTCAGGTTGCATGGTAGACATGAGCGTGGTGTAGTCAAGCAAGGTCGAAGTGTAATCGCGAATTGGATCATCAGTGGCCATATTTCAGAATTGCAGCACGTAGTCATGGCGAATATACTTTTGAATAGCCGATAAAGAGAAATAGTTTCATATTCATGGCATAAATGCATTTCCTGCATTGCACATGTGTTTGCCGTGTTTGCCGAATCTACAGGCACGACTTGGTGACTGCCTGAGGGTGACCTGCCGACACCAGGTTCAGCTGCATCTCTGGAGTCCAGCACTAGGGTCTAATTATTGGCCTCTTTTGGCGGACCGCCTTTCCTCACGATATCTTTCGTGGCATCGAGACCCTTGCTGCTTACATACAAGAAGTAAGGCTCCTTGAAATTGTCGACATGGTTAAAGAACTTGGAGAACTCATTATTCTCTTCCTCTTCTCGGAAAATGCGCTGATAGATCTCTCGCTCCTTGAAAGCTTCCAGCTCAGTCTCATATTTGCTGAAGTCAAGTTTAGGACGATCGTGCTTCTCTGCTTGGAAGTTGTTGTATGAGTCAAATACTGGGCGCTCGAGAAGCAATCCCAACCCTGGTACCTTGGGTATGCTGTACCTCGCAGCAGTGAATGAACTCTCCATGGTTTCGAGATTACCGCCAGAGCGAACGAGCAATGTCACCATGCCGACCATCTTGCGAATCTGGTGCATCATAAAGCTTTGCCCGTGGACCTTCAAGCTAAGCCATTCTGTCTTCTCTTCTTCTGGTCCATCCCCAATAAGAATTGGCTTAGGGTTAGCAAGGAAAGACTTGATATGTCTCTTGACGCTTGGATCCTTGAAGGTCTTCTGGATGGTGTAGTTGTGATAGTTCTTAGTTCCCAAATATTTGTTGAGGGCGTTTTGGATCCGCTCAACACGCTGAGTTGGAATTCTGTATCGTCGCTTTGCTGCTACGTAAGCGTTGCGCAAGAGCTTCGTAGCGGCACGTAAGCGAAGTATGCGATCAGTCTCTGGAGCATCAGACTGCCCTGTTGATATCTCGCCTGCGGATGGCTTGGCATCAGGTGTTTCCTTCAAGGGCAGCACCGAGTCCACCATAGCGCGGCTAGAATCATCTCCTGTAGCAGGCGCAGGCTCATTTATGATTATTGCCGCATCTTCGGTAGCCTCACATTCTTGTGGCTCATCTTTCGTTTTGACCGACTTGCCCTGTTTCACAGGCGCCTCGATGTCTGCCTCGTCTTTGGCGGTTTTTGCGCTAGCTTCTTCTTCACCTTGTAGAGCTTTGACCACATCGAATCGTAGATCCTCGTCAATGGTCTCCAGAATTGCTTTGATGTCGTTATCGTCAACATTCCCCCAGAAACCCTTCACCTCTGCTTGTCGGCTTTCATATCCCTCTCGGTCTCCAGCTTCGTCTGCAGCGTGCTCCAATTGCTTTGCCAGCCAGCTACTGGGATGCGGCGGTAGGAAAGCATACGAAGGGATCAGGTATTCGTACCACCTGCTATCGCATGCTTGGTAGCACGAGAAGCTGCCAATGGTCCGTTCAATGCCCCAAACTCTGATTTGTGCACTGAGCTCGGCGTTGATTTTCTGTACGATATCATCGTCCTCCACAATCAGCTTGAGACTGACCATGTTACCTGCCGCGTGAACGCCCTTGTCTGTCCTCGCGCATCTGACCAAGCCAGTCTTCTTGGGATCTTCGGCATTGGCTTTACTGATCGCGCCGGCTTTGATGAAAGCATGAAAGAGGTCACCTTCGATAGTCTTCTCAGTCCCAGATATCTGCATGCCTTTGTACCCAGTGCCAGAGTATCCAATGAGTACTGCGACTTTTCGCTTTGGTCGTCGCTCTTCGGCATCGATCTCATCCTTGGAGAATTCTATGCCTTGACCTTGTGCGCCGTCCCGCAATCGCTTCTCTTGCGCTTCTGCATTGCGTTTGCGCTTGTCTGGGTTGCTCGCACTTGTGTCAGAGTCAGTTCTCAATGCGCATCGTCCATGACTTTGGGAGGTAATACGGACAAATACTCTGCTCGTCCCATATCGCCCTTCTTATGCCTCTTATTGTCGTTACGTCCTCCACCTCGTGATCCATGCTGTAGGCTCTTGTCCTGCCAGTTGCCCTTCCGCTTGCGACTGCTCCCGTCATCATGTTTCGACCGGCGATCGTCTCTGGAGTGGTCGTTGCTCTTGCCGTCTGGCTTGCTGGAAGATGAAGCTCCCGGCTTCGCAGCAGCCTCGATATTCTTGGTCGCATCTTCCAGAATTGCTGCGGAGTGTTCCATGGTTGCATTGGCTGCAGGCCGCAATTCTCAAAAGAATGTCAGTTGGTCGAGTGCCGCTGTTAAAGCTCGAAGCTCTCCATTTTTGCACTTGCGGAGCCTCACTTCGGATTCGGATCTCGGCGAGGCGGGAGCGGGAGCGGGTAGATGGCAGATCACATAGTGGGGCGAACAAAGCGCTTGTCAATGCTCAGTCACAGACCTGCTTCACCAACACGACCACATCTTCTGCGGTATTTGTTCTGCTTCCCGAATGCACATCTCCCACAAAAGGCGTCGACGTTGACGCGCGCATACATTAGTACATAGACCACACAGCATGGCGGACCTCGCCCAGTCTCTCATCCGCACCGTCGCTCGCGGCTTCTACCATACCGACCATATTCTCGTCATCGATGCGCTCACGCGACACTCGACGCTGCAGGACAGTGACCTGGCGCTTGTGCTGGGCACCCAGGTGAAGCCCCTGCGTAAGACTTGTGGCCGCCTGAAAGAAGACGGCCTCATCAGTGTGCAGAGTCGAGCGGAGCGTCGCACAGATGGCAGCAGCAGCTTCTATGGAGGCGCGCCGCAGCAAGGGAAGGAGCGGCTCACGAATCGTGACTGGTACTACATCAACTACCATCGCGCCATAGACTGCATCAAATACCGCATGCACAAGCTAAGCAAGCACATTGAGAGCCAAGGTGCGCCAACGACGGAGAAGAAGGACTTGAAATGCCTGACTCCCAACTGCGGCGGCTCATACACCGAGCTCGAGGTCATGGACCTCCAAGATTTCATGACAGGTGAATTCCCTTGCCCACGATGTAAGCACATACTCCAACCGGTCGAGCCAGAAGAACGTGCGAATGAGAACGAAAACATGAAGCGTCTGAACGTGGAGCTTGAGAAGTTGCTTAGCCTCATGCAGAAGATCGATGCTGCCAACGTGCCTGAGAATGACTTCGAAACTGCCCTTGCCAACCAGAAGCCTATCCACCGATCCGATGCAAACCCTGGTGCTAGGACTGAGATCGTCGACCAACCGAATAGAAATCTACAGAGTGTCAAGGGTCTTGCGCTCCAGCCGGAGAAGATCGCGGTGCAGATGCAGGATGACGAGGATGTCAAGCGGGAAAATGCCGCAGCAGAGGCTCGTGCTCGGAAAGAGAAAGAGGCGAAGCAAAATGCGCTACCGGAATGGATCTCGAAGTCTACTATCGACGGGTCTACCACTGCAGTTGGCGCCAAGGAAGAGAAGCAGCGCGCAGAGCGCGATGCCAATTCAGCGGTATTCAAAGACGAGGATACTGAAGAGAAGAAGGTCGTCGGTGCGGATAAGGACATCATGGATCAGTACTGGGAAGAGCTTAAGAAGCAGCAGGCCGAGGAAGCACAGCAGAACAAAGAAGAAGATGAAGAGGACGAGGATGACGACGAGGACGAGTTCGAAGATGTCGACGTGTCTGGTGGTGGCAATACGCCAGCAAATGGTGCTGCCAATGGCACTGCTGCCACCTCAGGCATGAACACGCCAATGAACGCGGACAGTAGCAATGCTACAGATGATGAGCGGGATACAAAGAGAGTCAAGTTCGAGCCTTCATCTCTTTCGAACGGTAGACCCGCAGAAGACACACCCGCTGCGTCAGATGCGGATGACGATGAGATGGAATTCGAAGACGTTGGCGCGTGATGCGGAAAGCGCAGGAATCGTCGAGCGAACCGTCATGCACCGTCGGACGTGTTGTTGAGTGCATTATTGTTTGAAGATTAGCGAGGCGTTTGGTACTAGGTAAGGGCATTTTTGCCACAGCATTGGGGCTCAGAAAAGCAAATGTACCATACATAGTAGCTTTAGGTAAAAGCTAGGCAGCATTGGGAACCGACCCTTTGCTTCATCCTCAAGTGCCACACTGTTTACTATCTCCATGATACACTAACCTCGTATTTCGACACGAGACCAAAGAAGCATGCATCTGCCGTGTATGCATGACAGTGGCTTCGCATCCATGACTCAACATCCTAAAGCAACGCCACGAGATGCATGTCAAACGGACTCCACTCCTTTCATAACCTGTCCTTGACCTATATTTCACATGTCAAATCCACATCCCGCGGAGTCCACTCCTAAAGTTTCATTCACCAAGATTGCACGTTCTTTCTAACGAGGCTTCAGATACCGTCCTTGCTTCATCTCTTCCCTCAAACTATCTGCCTGAGACGGAAGAGGCGCTCGTTTCCTGACACTGCCTCCTCCCCCGCCATTGCTAGCAGCAGGTTGTGTAGCGTTGAACCCTGGCAAGCCTGGAGGCGGTGGGAAGCCTGGCGGATAACCTTGTGGCGGGGGCGGAAATCCTGGTGGAGTGAAACCTGGTGGCATCGGAGGTGCTTGGCCGTTCCTAAGGGCTTTTTGTAGAGCATCGATGTCCATGCCAGGCGGAGGTGGTGGGAGGCCGTTGAAATTTGGTTGAGGAGCGTTGAACATGTCGTTGCCGGGTGCTGGGTTTGGTGGTGGAATTCCAGCTCCCAAACCAGGAAGGCCACCAAGACCTGGTAGTCCAGGTAGTCCAGGTAGGAAGGAGCCTTTGTTTGGCATTCTTTGGTCTTCGATTCCATCTGCGTCGTCTTGCTCGTCTTCTTCCTCTTCTCGTGCCTGGCGTTCGGACTTCTTGCTCCATGTGCCTTTCTCTTCTGCGGCAGCTTGTCCAATATGCCACTTATCGTATTGGAAGCTGCCTTCGCCTGGTCGAGGACGGGTCCAGAAGCGAGTGGCGCGATCGTTGGAGCCTGATGCAAGGATGTGACCCATTGGATGCCAGGCCATGCTCCAGATATTGAATTCGTGGGCGAACGCCACTTTGTGTGCGGGATAAATGGTCTGCGCTGGGGTATCTGCTGGGTTGGGAGTATCGTATGGGGAGACTGAGAGAGGTGTGCCAGGTGGAGGATGTTGCTCATCTAGAAGAAAATGACACATCGCACCATCTGCAGCTCCGGTCGTCAAAAGATTGGAGTGGAACGGATGCCAGACTAGGGAGTTGACTTCTCTTTCGTGCCCCTTAAGCAGAAAGACGTCTCGCATCATGTGAAGGTCAAAGATTCGTACTGTCTGGTCTCGAGCACACGAGGCGAGAAGAGTGCCTCTGCTAGGTTCAAACTTCGTCATGTTGACCGTGTTCTTGTGGCCGTGCAGCGTAGTTAAACATCTGCCAGATCGTGGATCCCATAGCTTGATCTGGTGGTCTTTAGAGCCGGAAACCAGCAATCCTTTGCTTGGATGCCAATCTACGCATTTTGCATCCCACTGATGACCTTGAAGCGTTGATTCCTCCTGACTGCTCGCGAAATCCCAAATCTTCAAGCTAGCGTCATCTGAAGCTGTTACAAACTTGGAGTCGTTCGGCGAAAAGGCGAGATCTCTGACAGCATCGCCATGTGCATCAAATTCCGTGACTGGGTTGAAGTTGCTTTGGTAATACTTGACACCTCCAAGCTGATCAGCCGAAATGAGCCACTCGTCGCTATGAGAGTAGACGGCGGCTCGGATCGGATCTGCATGTGCTTGAAAGATAGTCTCAAAATTGAAGCCAGTTCCATTCCAAAGCGTCAATTCACCACTCGTGTTTCCTGTCACTAGTCGGCGTCCGTCTGGTGTCCATGTCACGACATTTACAGGGGCACGGTGTTTGTTGAATGAGGAGTGAAGATGCTTGGCGGGTATTGTATCGACTGCTTTTCCTCTTCGTGCTGCGGGAGGAAGCATAGAAGTTGTCCAGCTCAAGGTCGGTCGTTCAGCCTCAAAGCCCCTGATTGAGCTTGTCTTTGATCTTCTATCGAGCATCCAATGCACATAGGTATTGCCGATGTCCGTGGCGTTTCCTGTTTGATAATTCATGTCAGTATATTGCCCCCAACGCGTCGTGAAGTCAGGCTGTGGATGGGATTCGGCATGATCGGTGCGTGATTGGGACAAGACGAGAAGCCACCGTAATCATGTAATGCGAGACCACGTTTCTTTGTGAAGTTGGACATTGCATTCCGCAGCTATCGACAGATGCTAAACATGACAAAGACTGCTCTGCAAGCTTAGATACTCACGTCGACTGGGGCGCCCTCGAGGCCGTGGTTGCTCAAAGCCGCCATGATCGCCGTGATCCATGGCGGCTAAGCTGGCAATACAACTATCTCCAGTGCCTTCTCAATCGGCCGCTGTCCCGGCGAAGGAAGACGTGTGTTTGTTGGTATGCGGAGGCGCGTTGAGCAGGCTTCTGGACAAGACAGTCAGATGGGTCTGGGGTCGTAAGAGGTGTGATTTCGATGGAGAGTGATGAAAACTCCAGCTTCGCGCGCGCAGAGCAGCCAAAAAGTGAAGTTGATGGCCTTCTGGAGAGTCTTCGGCTAAATTCCCAAAATGGAATAGCGCAGTTTCTCATCCCAGTCGCGCCGACCTTCACCCTCTCTCCTCCTCCACTCGCATGAACACTCTCAACTAAGCACTTCACCACGCGATCGCGCCGTCCTTCTGGCAACCAAATGGCAGAGAAGCATCGATCTCACCTAAGACATCTTCGAACAGGCGAGAAGAGCGCATTGTGCACGGAATCCTGCCGCTCCTCTTCCTGGCCAACGCCGATCAGTATTCCCCTGCCGTACGGAACAGAGTGATCATAAGCAGCTTGTCAGACACATGATCTACAACTCAAGACTATTCTACTTCAAGAAACTACCATTCGTTTTGGCCAGAATGTCATCAAAATATGGCTGAAAGGCGAGCCATCCTTTCTCGGGAGCACCGACCTGCTGATAGCTGTACCTGGCCTCTTCATCCGGAATGTACGTCTTCTGGTGCCCACTACCTCGTTCGGCAGCGTCACAGAGTAATTGCGCATGGCAAGTCTTGTCCAGACTGATGAACCAGAATGCTGCAGCATCAACGGTTTCGCCCACCTGGCCTATATCAGCTGATGACATCGAAACGTCCTGCCATCAACTTACCGTTAGCAGACCGTGGTTTTGTAAGATAATCGCCTTGCCGTCTCCCAAATGCGACGCAATTCTTCGGCCTTCTTCCCGATCTAATACCACACCTCCGAATTGAGGATATACAGCGTGGTCCTTGTAGAACCGGAGACTGTCTTGGGTGATCATATCAAGCTCCCGGCCAAATACCGAAAATGCTTTGCCGTATACACTATGTGCATGGCAGGCAGCATGAACGTTCGGCCTAGCTTTGTGAATCTCGCTGTGGATTGCGAATGCAGCGGCGTTGATAGGCTGTTCGCCAATCACGACTTCGCCATCCTCGTTGACCAGTATCAAGTCAGACACCGATATTTGCGAAAAGTGCATTGAGAGTGGATTCAACCCTTCATCTGGTCAGCTGTATCACACACTGTTCACTTTCTCTACTCACAGAAATGGTCAGGAAGAATTGGGTCCCGGACGGAGATGTGTCCAGCAACGCCTTCGTCGAAACCTCTCTCCGCGAAGATACGATAGGCGGCAGCAAGATGTTGCTTCCTGTACAATCTCTCTTCTTCCAGCGAGTCGAACTTTGGATAGCTCCGAATCTTAAGAGGTCTGCCATCTTTGGTTCTCCCAAGAGCACCTACATTTGCGTTGCTCTTGGTTTCCGATACAAGGGTGGTAGCCATTGGTGCCATGGTTGCTTAATCAGTATGCTCTTTTGTGGCAAACAGCTGGCACGAATGGCACATCGAGAAGAACAAGTGAGAATGATCGTAGTGAGTCTTACTGCGGCTTCCGACACCGGCTTAGTGGCAAGGTTGCAATCATTTGCCCCGCATTGCGATACAGGTGTGCATTGCGGATTTCTCGACGTACCAGCAGAGACGATGCCGTGAGCCGAGCATAGTTGTCGATCATGTTGGTATCCGCTTCAAAGGATGCGACAATGAGTACAGTGTAGGTGCGGACTTGAAACGGGAAATACTGACACGTGGCTTCATACCGGATATACGTCAGCAACAAAGCAAAACTGTTGGAGAGCAGAGACATAGTCCTAGGGACGCTGTATGCTTCAGACAAGCATAGTATTGTAACTTCAGACTGTCCATTCAACACTTCAAGCGAGCTCGTTCGACTGCGACAGCACGCTTTTTGCTCACCGTTGATGAATATCAGGGTGTGTCTCGGCAAGGCGAACAACGCAATGCTCATGTTCAAGCAAACAGGTATCTTTTGAGCAGGCTGGGCCCGCAGTGTTTCATTCGCATCACTCATAGAATAGCATGCAGTTGGATTAATCGTCTCGCCTGAGAATTGCGTGCTATCATGATGGCGGTCGAAACACAACCCTCCACGACATGCTCGGGTACTGCGCTCCATTCTCTTTAAAGCTCAACACACAACTGCTGTCTCCTACGGCAACCTGCCATAGCCCTGTCAGGATGAATCGCTGCCAGTGGCCGGAGTCTTGCGTTTATGGATGATCTGGACTGTCTGATAAGAGACTGGCCAGCGGAATCGTGGAAACACTCTGAGTCTCAGACGCGTGCTGTCACATCATTATATACTTCTCTGCACCAAGCTTGCATACATATTTGCATGGACCTTAGGTGCTTCGAAAGAGTCCCAGCATGTTGGCCATCCCGGTGATCGCCAAGCCACGTGTGAATTTGACCCATGGAAGCAAACAGAGTTCAGATGCACCGAGTAGCGGTACCATGCAGTATGTCTGCTGCTTAGGAGACACTTCTCCTTTCGCCTAGCTGAAGGACCGCTATCAAGGCACAATCGCCAGATGTTGCCGCCGCGGCAGACCATTAGCGCAAGTACATTTGTGTTGAGGTTGCCACGCACCTGAAGCGGTGATAAGTAAACTCAAGGCCTGGTCCCCAAAGCCAAGACGACGGCCTATCTACATAGAAGTAGAAAATAGCACGGCGCAACGGGGTTAGTTCTGCTGCTGCATTATCCGGCACGCGGCACCCTGCCTTACGAGCAGTATTATGCGTGCACGGGATGTATATGGTAGCTTCACTGTCTAGCCGAATCATTGCGGGTACGAATGCCATCTGGTGGTAAACCTAGCCATTCAGTCAGACCGTTCAAGAAATTCTGGAAAGTGTCTCGGTGGTACCAAATCGTACAGGGTGTCATATGCATTCGTGAAGCCGCTCAGTAGTGCTTCCTTCCCGTCCACAACACATGAACAAAAATAAGGGGGCATTGGCACGGCTCTCATTCTGGTCTCCGACCGGCTTCGCGAATGCATAATCCTCGCCACTTCCCCGAGCCCTAGCTACCCGCCCGAGCCCCAGTGATACAGTAGATTATAGAATCCGCTGTTCCTAACAAAATCGCGTAGGGAAGCGATTTCCGGATCCCTGCAACCACTACCGACCGGGCAACTACCTCTATACTACTGCTAGCTATAAAGCCAAAGTTTGTTAGCAAATCAGTAGTATAGCAAAATTCAAGGTATTATTAGTTATTAGCTATCTACTTAGGTCTAAGCGGGTTACGACCTACAGCCTTATAACTACGCGAGGCTATATATACTAGCTTATACTAGTCTCTAGCCTACTAACTAGCCTGCTATATATAATACTGCTGCTAAGTAAACTAATAGTGCTATTATTGCAGTACCTAGTAGTAAAGTGGCCGTCCTATTAGCTATATAAGCGACTATTGTTATTATTGCTAGTACTAGTAGTATTGCTAAGTAGCTTGTCGTCGTTGCTGTTTAAACAACGCCGCCTACTATCGGCTATATTTAATCTGTTACTAAGTACGCTATTCTTTACGCGCTCGAAGGTTATTAAGCTCTTGCCGTAGAAGGTCTAGCTTAGAAGGAGGTTGTAGTTTAACTAGAGGTACTTCTTAACGTAGATTATAGCACTCGAAGCCGCTTAGATAGCAAGCAGAGCTATAAGCACGATTAGCCTTCTAGTAAGGGCATTGTTAAGTGCGGCATTAGCTCTTTATGCACTTATAGTGCTTAGCAACTATCGTCCGAAGCTATATAAGAGACACGCCTAGCTCTAAGGTAAAGTCTACGGTCCTTACTATCGCTATCTTCTGCTTCTTAGCTACTATAGTCTTATTTAAGTCGTCTAGTTCTCGAGCCGTTACTATACGCTTTGTTATATATAACGTCGCTCCGCTAGTAAGAAGTTTGCAGTTGCTATAGATTACCTATAGCTCTCGAATATAGTACGAGTCGAAGAGCCGTGCCTTTCGGAAGTCGATAAACTAGTAAGCGTAGAAGTAAGAAGGCAATAGCACTACGCGGCTGCCCTCTATCTCTAGAAGCTTTATAATATCGTAAAGGTAAGGATAGCTATAAGTCTTAGATAGGTAGTCGTTATAGCGGCACTATAGACAAGAATACGAGTAAGCCGAGTGCTTAATCTCGTTACTATTAGTATTAACTGTAGCCTTTAAAAGCGAGTTAGCGCGCGAGTATAGAGCCTACACTTCGAGAAGGCAATAGTCGCTAATAACTCGAGTTATAGAAGACTAGAATAGACCGATTAAGGCCTTAGAACAGCGCTTTAAGTTGTTAGCGAGTATAGTATAGCGGCGGTCGTAGCCTTAGTGCTACTAGTTAAGAAGCGACTCGAAGAGGGTAAAGATATCGTATCGACTGCTATAGTTTAACTACTCCTTAATCCGACTATAGGTTGCCTCGACTCGTAACGTTGTTTTATAGCCAAAGTGTATTACTTAGTTAGTCTAGAAGTAGACAATCTTCTCCTTATAACACTACTAGTTATTATTTAGATAGGACTTAAACTATAGAAACACGTTATCTAGCTTATAAGCCTTATCGTTAAATTCTTCTTCGGACTAACTCTAGACTATATAAGTAAACAGCTTTATAAACTAAGTAGTCCTTAGACTATTAGTCTACGAGCTATCGTTAGCCGCCTTTACCTATACAAAGTCGCCTCGTTCTTTGCGTACTCGAGTTAATATGTCTTGTTATAGGTGCTAGTCGCAGACGATATTCTTAGACTCTAGATATACCTCGTTAATCGCTAATATAAGAGCCGCTTTACGGTTAGTGCTAAAGATAATAGGTAGTAGACAACTATACTTCTCGAAGCTATTCCGGATAGACTGCAATAGCTATATAAAGGCGGCCTTGTTAGGCTTCGGTTTAATAAGGCTAATATCGAGTTTAATCGTGTTATTTATCGGTCTAGCGGCGATAATATCTAGCAACTCGAGGTTATATAAATTGGTACTATAAGTCGTATCTAAACAGATAATATATAGCGTGTTCTTATAGGCAGAGAGCGACCGTAGATAGAGGGCAACTATTAACCGAATTGCACTATTCTTAGGATTAGTTATTATCTCGTAGAAGATTGAATTCTCGTCTAGTAACTTAACTATTCTCTCGGCCTAGTTTAACTCTCTTCGCGCGATAGTATTGCGGTTAAAAGCAATATTATATATATCGTATAGCTTTAGAATAACTCCCTACCCTCGGAAATAGGCTATAATCTTCGAGGTTAGCATCCGTAACTGCTATAATTGCTCTAGTTGCTTAAGGAATTGCTAAGACCTCGTACGGACATATATATTAGTTAATAAGACAACGTCGTTAGGTCTATAGTTATACTAGCAATGTAAATCTTTAGAAGAATAGCGAATATACTACTAACCCTCTAGCTTATAAGGGTTAACCGCAACGGCGTAGAAATAGAACTTGCAGCCTATCTTCTTCGTCTTCTTCTTCGCCTTATTAGTCGTTATTTAGGTGCGTTTATTAGGCTTACTAAAACAGCCGCAGACATAGAGATAGCGGTATTTAACACTATCCTTGTTCTTTCTAGGTTTCTACTCTTTAAACTCGAATCTAGTATCTAGACTAAACGACTAAATATAGCGCGCGAGCGCGTTCTTCGAAAGAAACGACGACTAGCGCGGTAATAGTCTATAAGGGCGCTTAATCGTTACAAACTCGTGCTTCTAAGGTCGCGGCGATACTAATCGATATTCTAGTAGATAAACACGCTTACGCGGCAGCGATAGTAAGCGCGAGCAGCCTCGAATACATGTCTCCGAGATAAATTAAACCTCTTCCTACGACTTAATAACTACCGCCGAGAGCGCGCCTTCTATTTCTACCTCCTTCTACGACTTAATAACTACCGCTAAGAGCGCGTCTTCTACCTCTATTTCTACCTCCTTCTACGACTTAATAACTACCGCCGAGAGCGCGCCTTCTACCTCTATTTCTACCTCCTTCTACGACTTAATAACTACCGCCGCCGCGCCTTCTATATCTATTTCTACTACCGCCGCCGCCGCGCCGTTACCGCTGTTACCGCCGTTACCGCTGCTAGCGATAACTTTATTAAGAAACTCGTCGTAGAATAGAGATTTAGCTATTTTCGGTAGTTACTAGGCAATCTACTATAAAAGAGGGAAGAAATGCGAACTTTAGGTCTACGGTAGAATTCGAGGCGCGACTTCCTAGTTAACGCGCTCCGCGCCTATTAATAGCACTATCTAAGAACGGATATAATATATAATAGGTAGAAACAGTACGTAATCTAATTTAGGACGATTCTATATTAGTATATCTACTGGGGCTCGGGCGGGTAGCTGGGGCTCGGGGAAGTGGCGAGGATGCATAATACACCCTGTGGTTAGTATGAGGAATCCAAATACTGATGACCGAAACCCAATTCGGGTTCGGCACGGTTGGAGGCGCTCGGCACTTCCCCTTGTTCCGCGCAAGGAATCAACTGAAGTCTCAAGCCTCAAGGGCGTTGAGCCGCCGCGTCACGACCTAACTTTGTGTTTGAACGTACTCATTTAAACCTCATCACCACAGTCCACACTGAACTAACGCCGTGCAGCGTGTGATGAAGCGGGAGTGGCCGCTGATACCACTCGGAGGGCATTTTGCTCGAACGAAGTCGACTGGAGAAGGCGGAAGCTGTTGGCATTGGCAATCGAGCATCTCAAGCTTCGGGCGGTGTGTCCGAAATGCTCATACTGGAGCGTCTTACTGGTCAAGGAACCCGCTTGCTGAGACCGAGAATGCGCTATGTTTGGCTTCCGCCTCATGCGGCTTGAGGACTCTGCGTCATGTAGGCTGCATGGCTTCTACTCCAGGACCTCGGAATAACGTTAATTGTGCTCGAGCCCTCGGGAGCAGATCGTGGCGGACCGATCCAATGCTAATAATGACAGTAGCTTCATCATGGCCTCGTCGCGTGGAAGGGATCAAGTCAAGTAGCTTGTCTGCCCTAAAGAGCTTCTCACGCGCAACCCTCAGCAGCTTCTCCCTTGTTTACTCTACTCCAAGCAGTCCTACTGATTGCTTTCCATACCTACAACGACTCCTCTTGAGTGTCAATCAACACCTCATTCCACCATCGACTATCTAGAGAAACAGCTCCCCGAGTGGCTACACAACCATGGCAATCTTCTCAAGGAAGGCTAGAACGAAGAAGGATGAAGAGAAGAAGCCTGAATCTCAAGTGAATGCCGAGAAGGCGACGCCAGCAAAGAAATTCGTGCCAAGGCATGCCGCTGCCGATTCCACAGGTCAAGTGGGAAGGACGGTCGACAGCCAACAGATTGCATCAGCCAACCGTAGGCGGCTTGCCGATTCCATTTTCGATAGCACGTTGAACAACGCATCTTATGCGCAAGACATAGCCCACAGCATGGCACATGGAGTTCCATCGCCCACATACCCTGGCGCTGGACGAAGTCAAAGCGAGGAAGCATTCTTCGCCAACAGAAGCGCTCTGGCAGGAAGAAGTCGAGTAAGCCGAAGTAGCAGCGACTATTTCAGGCATTCTGGAGCACCACCTTCAATTGACACCAACGTTGGCCAGTACAAACGACCCATTACGAGCACAGGGGTTGGATACTCGAACTACTCAGACTCAGGTTATGAATCTGCTGGGCCCCCGTCAGCCATACACTCTCGTGCCCCGAGTGAGCATAATCTTCTAGACTACAGCAAGAACTCCTTGTCACGAAGCAGTTCGGGATTCCTTCTACCCGAGCTAAAACTGGGCGAGGAGCAAATGAAGCCCAATAAGTCTGTCGAAGGGGTACTCAATCATACTGGAAGTGTGTCACCGCTAGACCTCGCATCCGACTCAAGGTCAATCAAGTCTACACGATCCACGACATCTGTGAGCAAGAGAACACGCTTCGAGGATGAACCCGACCCAATGCCACCACTTGACCAACTAGAGGCTGTACGAAATGCTTCTAGCTCCACTGCGCCGCTTCCTGAGCTCGAGAGTGCACCAGCCATTCCAGAACGCGCGCCGGCTCGAGCACAGTCGATTTCTGAGCACTTCCCTCCCTTGACAACCCTGGAAGGCCTCAAGGTCAACAAGAAGGGCAAAATCCTCGATGAAGAGGGCGATCCTATTGGAGAGCTCGTTGAAGGCGACCTTCTTGATTGCGTGCGCCAGAAAGTGAATGGTGCCGGCGAAGTCCTCGATGAATATGGTCGGGTTGTTGGTACAGTGCGCACCGTTGCGAGAGTCCCTGCCCCAGGTCGTTCGCGCCCAGTCCCCCAAACTCAAGCTTGTGAAGAGGTATCGGCTGCTGTTACAGTACAATACACGCGACCAGAAGCACCGCAGGTTGAGATGCAATCCGCAGCCCCGACACTTCCTGTTGTAGCACCACAGCCAGAAGCTCAGCTTCGTGAGCATGAGGAGATCTTGGAGGTGCAGAGCAAGGAACAGACCCAGCCATCGCTTACTCGGATGAAATCCGAAGTGCAAGCTCCGGAAGAAGTCCCGGCCCTTCCAACATTCGAGCCATTTCAGGACATCACGACCGCGATAAGTTCTTCTGCGGCGCAGCACACTGCCACACAGAATGTTCTCGAGTCCACAAGTTCGAATGAGATGCTGCACCCAGCCGACCACAGTCCCAAGCTGGCCACAGTGGCATCGGTGGCTCTTGCCCACGAGCCCTCGTTCGCAGAGGCAAGATCTGCCAGTCGCTCTCAGGAGGCCTTGGCGATCGAACAACCACATTTCGCACGCTCAGGTGATCCAACTACCATTGAGGTGACTCCATTCGCTCGTACTTCCAATCCTAAGGCTATCGAAGTCACACCTTTCAACCCACTTACTCGGACCGCAGCAGCACCTCGCCATTCACCTCGCTTCCATGCACGAGATTTTGCTACAGAAATGCAGACTCTGCCAGGGACTGTGAGACGAGGCCTTGTTCCAAGATCTGCAAGCGAGCGCAGTCTTTCAGAGCTTTCCAAGCCCTTCGCCCGTCCAACGATGACCTCTGTGCCTGAGAATAATGTGCCCGATGATGATATTGCTCCCGAGATTCCCGCTAGTGCCTTCTCTTACAAAGGCGATATCGACAGTACAGTTCCTGACGCTCGAAAGCGGTCAAATTTGCCGCCCTCAGCAATGCGTCCAGGCGCCACGGCGAATGTCATACGCGTAACAACACAATATGCCGGTCAATCTGTTAAGCACCCTGCGTTCTCTGCATTGAAGAAAAGCGACAATTATGGTTTTGGTGAGCACCGAGCGACTTCGAAAGCCTTCCAACTGTTTGACTGACTCTACAATTTAGATGTGAGCCCAAGCGGTAGTGAGACCGGCACAGACCCGTCCTCCTCTGATGACGGATACCCACCAATGATGATGGTGGGACACTCGCGGTCAGCCTCGCTCCGCACGACAGGCACTGCATCAACTTACAAGCCTCGAACATATTTCACGCATGGTGGCAGATTCACAGTTGACGTCCACGACATCACACCCAAACCATCTATGGATATCAATGCCGAAACTCCAGCTGCCACAGCTGAGGCAAAAAAGAGCGAGAAGAAGAAGAGTAGGATGAGCCTAGGATTCGGGCGGAAGACAAAGGCTGCGTGAGACCTCACTGCATCTCACTGTACGTAGGAGAATTTTCAATTGATAGCGTTCATAGCGCTGGCAGCAAGTAGGCTGTAATTCGTTCCTCACGATCCTGGAGGTGTTAATACCTACGCATACTTCAAACAATTCAAGCATGAGTGGCATTTCAGCATTGATCTTCGACATTTGGGTGGCCATGCTCAGCGAAAACAGTTCTTCGCTATCTGCTGCAGTGGATCTCCACCCACGTGGTCAGCAGCTCCGTCCCACAGGTCTGTACAGACGATCTCGCCAGCAGACAACCGCACCTCGTGCTGCCCTTGAGCGAACGCATCTGCATCCCGCACACACGGTTGGTTCATGTGTATGTAGAGCTGAGAGCTCCTGCTCCTGCTAGCTTCCCGCACTTGTGGCTGCTCGGAGAAGGCCGGTCAATCAAGTACCTGCGCCTTCAGCCTTAGTGACGATGCAGGTGACAGCCCTCGCCGTCGAGGTCTGTGATATTCTACTACTACTGCAGCCTTGATCACAGGTCGCGGCCGAGTAGTGTTCCGGAAGATTGACCGAGTTGTTGCAAGGATGACATGGTCGAGTCTAGAAGTTCTCAAAATTCTTCTGACCCAACAGTTACCTCAGCCGATCTAATCGATCAGGGTTTAGCTCATGCAACCCTGCCGCCACGTGGGGCAACATCCTTGCAACAGAACTCTCAGTTGAGTGAAGGAAAAGGAAAGCTCCCGTCATCGGCAACCACACGCCTTTCCTCTTCCTCACTTCACTACTACTACTACTGGTGACCTTATCGTGAGCGACTTCTTGGAGTCTTTGCGCTCGCGTTATTCTACATTTCAGAAAGCTCCAACTTGATTCTTATCGAGCCGCCTCTCATTCCAGGATACAGTAGTTCCCGAGAACAAGAATCCCAGATTGAGTTCCAGCTACCGGGATGGCGAAGGATGGAGTTATTGAACACTATGCCTCGGCGCAGCACGACCGAGAGATTGAAGCTGCTGCGAGCAGCGCTACGTCTTCGAAAGGCCAAAGTCATGGACCTGTCGAGATCCTCAGCAGCAATGGCGGGGATCAGCCCGAGCTCCAAACCACCGTCGCGCAGCTCGAACGCGAAAAGGGCGGGCGCTTTAGCTACCTGAGACGGAGGCAATTTTGGTTTATTCTGGTTCTCTCACAGGCGCTGGCCGTCACGATTACTGGCACGAATACTTTGTCGACCCTGTTGTCTATGCAGGGGACTTCGATTCCCGCTTTCCAGACACTGTTCAACTACGTTCTGTTGAATATCATCTACACTAGCTTGACAATCTACAAGTATGGATTCAAGGGCTGGCTGAAGCTGATGTACAAAGACGGCTGGAAATTTTTCCTTCTTGCGTTTTGCGACGTCGAAGGAAATTACTTCACTGTCTTGGCATATCGATACACAACAATTCTCTCTGCGCAGTTGATCAACTTTTGGGCCATTGCAGTAGTGGTCGCGATATCCTTAATCTTCTTGAAGGTCCGATATCACGTCCTGCAGTACATTGGTATCCTGATCTGCTGCGGTGGATTGGGAATGCTTGTTGCTTCGGATCACATCACTGGTTCCAACGGTGGGCCAGCGCTTGATGCGGTCAAGGGCGACCTGTTCGCGCTGGTTGGTGCCACATTCTATGGTTTGTCCAATGTCTTTGAAGAGTTCCTGGTCAGCAAGAGGCCTTTGTACGAGGTCATCGGTCAGCTCGCGTGGTGGGCCATGTTTATCAACGGTGTCCAAGCGGCCATCTTCGACCGAGCAGCTTTCCAATCTGCAGTATGGAACGCCAAGGTTGCTGGCTACTTGACTGGATATACATTGCTCTTGACCTGGTTCTACACCGCTGTTCCTCTGGTGCTGCGTATGGCCTCCGCCGCCTTCTTCAATATCGGTCTGCTCACTGGCAACTTCTGGGGCGTCATCGTGGGCATCAAAGTCTTTGGATACCACGTCCATTGGATGTATCCAATCGCTTTCGTCCTCATCATGGTCGGCCACTTCGTATACTACGGAACTGAAGGTGTCCTGGGCGAGGCGAAGAAGCCGTGGTTAGGCGAGAACCAGGAAGGTGGTAGCGATGGCATTGGTACGGCTCGTCGACAACTCGAGCATCCTGGAGTGACGCTGTAAAAGTGTCGTCCCAGCATAGTGTTTATGTAGTCCGCAATAGTGATGAATCTCCTCAATTCCCGACCTCCTCTCAAAAAGGCCATACTGCTCGCTGTATTTCGATTCGGTATACCCTTTGAAGATATGTCCGTAGCCACAAGTGAGCCTGTAACGAGAATGGTGCTGCACGCCGGAAACTGTACTTCTCCGTCTTGCTTGCAGTGACAAAGTCGGACGGAAGATTCGGCGGCAGTTCAGACCCGCTCCAATTTCGAGCAGAGCCCACACCTGATGCTGCGTGGCTGGTACTGGAAGCGCGGATGGCCGATTGCATGCCGGCGCTGCTCTTCCTCAGCTCTCGTCTTGTACGTTTCAATGGCATGTGGCTTCTTGGAGAAAGAAAAATGGACTGTGCCCTTGACAGTCAGATGAACGCGACGTACTGTCACACTCAAAGACCTCCTTGAATTGCGAACGAGGACAATATCAGGACCAAAGCATTAATTATTCCCCAGGATAAAGGTATCCAGGTAGACATTCGAAAGAAGCCGGCGGTGTAGACAGCGCCTATACTGCTTTTTGTCAGTCCTATAGGTGATCGGGTTACTTGCACGAGGATTGAGACCTACAGTGCCCCCACGACATTTCCAGCGATCAGTCCTTCGGTTGTGCCAATTATCGCATATACGAGAGGAAGGATCCAGATGAGCTTCCAGTTCCGCCATTGTATAACGCAGCCATATGCCGCAGCAATCAAGTGCACTCCTCCAACACAGACCAGCGTCCAGTACAGGGTGAATCGCCACATGGGTTCGGCATCGTAGAGATAGACGACCTGCGGTCCGTTCACAGGAAAGGGCCAGTACAGAGACGGAAAGGTCGGCGTCTGGTAAGCAAGAGGCTTCGGATTGACCTGAAATTTCAGAAAGCGACTGTCGAGCCCCATGTTAGATGATATAACTAATGTTGAGTGCGATCTAGGGAGCATTATTGTACCTCATGTTTTGATGACTTGACGTTGAGGCTTACTGTACTTAGCCTTTGCATGGATGATTCAGCATTCATTCGAGGTTCGTCAAGATCGGCAGGACGCCGCTTTTGGGGCCTGCGGTCGGATCAAGGCACCGACAGCGCGAGTCGACGTGATGCTCGCCCTCTTGTAGTCCTGTCTATGTTGATGGTGTTGCCGTCGAAGCTGATGGCAGGTTTGGCGGGGATAACACGGGTCATGCCGCCTGTGCCGAGGCGCAACTGGGGAAGCGACGATACCCAACATCACTTTCTATCAGCATGCTGTCCTTGACACTCCGTAATGAGCGTCCAAATAGTTCTCGATAAAGAAAGGAGCACACAAAATGCCTGGGGATCGCCTTCTTGGAACTCTTCTTAGGCACCTCCAGACTTACACAGACGAGCAAGACACGCCCAGGTTAATCTCTCCTTCAGAATACATATGCCAAATATCTGACACGCAATAGGATATTTGGAACTGCTTCATCACTTTTGACGACTCTCAACAATTCTCTGAATGTCACCCTCCTTACGAGTCAGTTGTTATCAGCCCCGGCGATATGGGCATGCCCGGAAGGATTACGAACATGCATGCGAACCATCAGCGTCTTTCATGCTGCAGCGCAGGCACTGGTCAAGCATGAAAATGCTGTGAAAGATCGGGTGCCTGACCAGGAATTCTCAAAGCTTCAACACGAGCGGACTCTTGCGAAGGACGAATGGATTGAGGCTACCATCAAAGGTGCTGATGACCATTCGCCACGATGGCGGCACCTTCTGAGCATGGCTGGCCTGCTGCTTGGATTTGGACCTATCGAGGATGAGAACTTGTCGCTCAGTATGAGACAGAAACTCGAAAGTGCCCTGGTCACGGCTGCCAATCTTGCTCTGGAGGAAACTCTGGAAGACGATCAGCTAGGCAATGGCGCGATCACCCTTGTGCTCAACCATTGTTTCCCTATACTCTCGGACCACGAACGAGCTGCCCTGGATTTTGACCAGTTACTGCCATGTCTAATGCGAACAACCTTTCACTCAGGTGAAGGCCTTCAGTCAGGCTACTTTCTTGGAGCCTTGGATCGTGACATTCTGACCGCGAGCGACGGCAAGTTAAGATGGGTGCAGCGAACGACTTCCTTCCAGCACATACAACAGATGAATCAAAGCCCACTAGTAGGCTCTCTAGGTCCTCTTTCACGGTTGATCGGCCACACTGTGGAAAATCTTACTCAAAGCTGGCTTGTGCTGTCCGCTCTTGACGACCTGGAGGACTTTTCGAAAACGCTCTTGACGCAATGGAGGCAAAACCGGCTCTCCGCTATTGACTACACCGAGCAAGAGGCGTATCTCGCTGATGAGACTATCAAAATAACCACCCCTGTGCTATGGAAAGTTCTTCAGTCCACGCTCTTTGCCAGTGTCATTATCTTGAGGAGTGCGCTTGGAAGGCTACTTGGAGACTCTATTCTCGCAAGTGATAAGAATGCACCAAAGATGGCCGAGCAATCCCTGCAAATCCTGCGCAGCCTCTATTTCATTACGACAAGACAAGGCTCTGCAACGTTCTCACAGTACAACTTTGTGTACTATACGGCCATGGATGTCTTAGGTTCATATCCCTTGGAGGTCGAGCGCGTACTGCATTCTATGCAGCCGACGTCTGTTGGCACAGTGGCTTCGCATCCCTTGGATCGCACTCTGGATCTGTTCTTCCTCAACACAGCCGAGCATTTTACGCTGACTGTGCCGCCTAATGTGACAGTCAACCTGTTGGTGCCGACTGTCACTGCTTACCTTGCTGCAGGCGGCAAGGGTTCTCTGTTTTCCATCTTCGAAGCAGCACATAGTGTTACGCTGGCCATATTCTCGGCACCCCAAAACGAAGAAGCTACTGTGGCCAATCTCCCCTTCTATGTGGACTCGCTGTTCAGAGTCTTCCCGCGAAATCTATCGACACGACAATTCCGCCTGGCTTTCAAGACTCTGCTAAAGCTGACTTCTCCCCCATCGTCACTAGCTGTGACCCAGCCGATGATGCCAGCTGTTCTGCTAGATCTGCTTCACGAAAGAGCAGCGCACGCCGAGACAACTCCAATCCCCATACTACCTGGCTCCCCCGAAAGCGCAGTCGAGTCACCGGTTCCTCTGTCGGAGCAGGCAGTTCTGACGCTCACCGTCATTGATGGATTAACACAAGTACCCCTGGATGTCTTGGATGAGTGGCTTCCAATAACTGCAGACATGATTCACGATGTGCAAGACCACAACATGAGGGAGCATTGCAAGGAACACTTTTGGCATATTCTTGTGAGCAGTGGAGAGCTAGATCCTGAGAGAAGTCGTGTCTGTCATGCTTGGTGGAGCACGAGCGGAGGCAAAGAATGGGTGTTGCGTGGGAGAGATCATGCAGCGCTGATGTCGGGCGGATTGGATGGCGATATAGCAGAGAGCAAGTTGTAACGAAGACGGTGTGCATGTACCTAATACGATACCCGTTCCGTTCGGTAAATATTGAGTTTGAGTTTGAACCAGGACCAGGCAACCCAGGTTGAAGCATTTCAAGCTCCAGCTGTTTCCCTGCCATTCAGAAAGCACTGCGACTCTGCGAGCATTGAAGTGCCGACAACTAGCAGACCGGTAACTACGCTGTGCAGGTAACAAGACAAGACCTCTAGCCCTCGAGATGCCCAGTCTGTTATAGCAAGGTGACGTACACGTGGGCGTGCGCGTTCACTGCATCCACAATCCCACATTCGTGTCACTCCACTTTCCCAAACACGCCAGGCCAGGCCAGCTTCGACACTGCATGGACTCTGCCCGCCAGCCTCATCTGCGCTAATTTATTGTTTGCTGCTTGCTGTTTTCAGCCGGTTTGTTTTGCATAGCGGAGCGAAGCATTGCAACTTCTTCGACCATTGACCACGACAACTCATTAGTTCTAGCAGCCAATCTGCCAAGATGAAGGCGGTGCAACGCATGGGAGGGAAGATGATGAAGCGGTCGGCGGACCATCATGATGTGGGAGCTGTGATTGGAGAGTTCAAGTCGACGGACGATATGCTTGACAGGCTCGAGAAAGAGTTGAAGGCTTGGAGAAATGGATGGGATGACATTCTGAAGCTGCAATACGATGCCAGCGAGGCTTTTGCGACCCTTTACAAGCCGATCGAGCCAACTTCGTACCCAGAGCAGAGACATGCACCTGAAGCAACACCACAAGGACAATTGCAGAAATGTCTTGCGCTGCAGAAGATGTACTCGGAAACGAAGACGGACCTACACCAAGAGATATCTATGATCGATAACAAGCTTCTAAGACCCGTCCATGAAGCCAAAGCGGCCACGAAGCCTTTGCATAAGACTCTGAAGCATCGCGAAAACATGAAGTTGGATTATGAGAGATTTTTGAGCCGAGCAGAGCATGCTAGAAAGAAGCAGAATCGCACCATCAAGGAGGAGTCAGCATTGGCGAAATGCGAGAGCGATCTCCAACAGGCTCAGCTTGACTACGAGACTGCAGATGATCAGGTCAAGCAGACGTTTCCTCCCGTGATTGAGGCTGTCCAGGCTCTACTACCACATATCCTCGCCATCCAGATCCAAGTGCAGACCACAATCGTTGGGCAGCTGTACACCACTTTGGACGCATACTGCAGACAACAGGACCTCCCAAGTCCGGCGCCCGGCAACGAGCAGATTGTTGCAGCATTCGATCAGCAGTTCACGAGTTTCAGGAAGGAGGTCGAGGGTGGGCTAAGTGTCGTGGCGCAAGGCAAAGCTGTCAGGATGCCCATGGATCTTCCAGACAAGCAAGGCAGTTCATACACTGGTTTGGGGATCAGGAACAAGGCTGGAAGCGCCTATGATAGCTCGAAGAACCTCGTCAGCCGGAACAAGACAAGCCGGGCAGGCTCACAACGCCCAGTGCCGCCTGCTGTGCCCGGAGCAGCAAATGGAGCAACGAACGGTCGCATATCCTCTCCTGCTATCACACCCGCGGAAGAAGAGGCCCCTCCGCCAAGACCGCCACGTCCATCAGCTTCCCCGGCCACGTCGTATGACCATCGTTTCCCGTCCCCAGCAGTGTCTACAGGTGCCGGTGTGCCTTTTGGCATGAAGCCTCGTATGCCCTCTTACACTGGCAACAATGCTGCGCCCTACGACAACAAGGCCACTATTCCGATGCCCTCTTTTCCAAATCAGCCTCCACCTGCATACTCAGAGTCGCAAGTCTCCACGCCGGCATCACATTACGTCACTCCGCCAAATGGCCAGTCTCCTCGACCAGGATACACCAAAGCTGGGGCAGACTACTTCGGTGGGATGCCGCCTCTCGATCGGAAGCAGAGCGCGGCAAGCATCGCATCTTCTGCGGCAAGCGCTGTGGCTGCTGCCAAGAAGAAGCCTCCACCACCAGTACCTGTTAAGCGCATTGGTTCCAGCCAAGGCACGTATGTGACGGCATTGTATGACTTCGAAGGTCAGACTGCAGATGATTTGCCTTTCAGAGAAGGGGACAAGATCAAAGTGATCAAGAAGACGCAAAGTACTGATGACTGGTGGGATGGAGAGCTGAGGGGGAGGCGTGGTCAGTTTCCGGCGAACTATGTGCAGTTGTGACAGACAGGATAGCAGTATAGAAGGCAGACGAGCACACAGTCGTTCTGTCGAGAAGTGGGATCAGCACGAGACAACCACACTAGAGCAGCTCTTTCACGTGTTTAGCAAGAAAGCTTAATTGCATCATGGTGCCAAGGTGCATGCTCGCGCGCTTTGACAGCTAGCTTTGACAGCTCCTTGTACCACCTCGCGGACTTGCTATGCCAGCACATGCATTACATGTATTCTCCTCTGCCGCGCACATAGCCGAGTTGCAGTCGCCGTAAGATGGAACATAGACATGTAGAGCAGGATCGAAGGCGTTGAGCACCACATCCGACACTGACACGCACGCCCGACTCCTCCGTTTGGAAACACCACTCGGCACACCTTCGCCGTTCGCCGACATAATCTCTGCTCGAGCTCTCCGCATCGATACGACAGCGCCATCATGGCTTCGTCCTCGAGCGCTGCCGCCTCCGAGTCGTCACCTCTCCTTGCGACCACTAATGAGCCCTCGGCTCCGCGACCCACCCCCAAGCCACCGCGACCGCGAAATGTAACCTTCAATCCGACCATATCGACCGCGTCACCACCAAAACGTCCAGCTTTTGTAAAGTCTCCTTCGAACCCAGCCGGCGCTTCTGCTGCGAGTTCGAGCGCCATCGTCAATTCGTCGGCGCGCGAAGCCTTTCCACAAAGCACATTGTCGGCTTTGAACTCCAAGCTGCGAAGGAGGAACAGCTCTGGCGCTGCGCTCCAACTTCCACAGTTGAATCCAGCTTCGAGGATTGGTCCACAGAGGACCACGCGAACAGCATCCAAATTAAAGCTTCTTCCTAACCCAGATGTTGTCGATGATGGGCCCGATGAAGAGAGTGGGCGAGATGTGTACTCCCAATTCACGCGCATCAAAGACCCCACCGCCAGAAGAGACGCGGCGAGACTAGGCAAGGAGGACAGACAGAGACTCCCGCGTGTCACAGCATACTGCACAGCCGGCTCATACAGGATCGAGGACTTGATGCGCTTCCTGAAGGGGAGGGTCAAGACGAAGGGGGCTGCGCCGAAATTGTTTGACGAATGCTTGTACTCTCCATACTCATATCGTAAAGAAGGCTCGAGATCAGACGGGAGCAGGAGAAGAAGGAGTAATGGAGCGATAGATGAAGACGGTGATGCAGACCCCAGTCAAGTCCACAGCCAGCCTCAGAGACGCTTTAGTGACTCAGCAATTGAGGTGGAAGAGCAGGCCAGAGAAAGGAGAGAGGATCTTATCGACATGAACACAAACAACGAAAGCAATGGCAGTTCAACCAACGGAGCACCCTTAGCGAGTGCAAGCAGTCATGACTTGACGCGAGACGTGTCTATTAGCACGGATGACATAACGATTGATGCTCATGGCGCTGACCAACCCTTGACGCCAGACTTGGATACGACAGTACATATTCCCGAAGTCTTTCTTTTCGAGTACGGTGTGGTGGTGATCTGGGGCATGTCAGTGAAAGAAGAGCAGCGCTTCCTGAAAGAAATCTCAAAGTTCGAGCGAGAAAAGCTCAGCAAAGACGACGTGCAGACGGAAGAGTTCAACTTCTACTACACGCGAGAGTATCAAGCACGAATATACAACGACTTCATCTCACTCCGGGAAAAGAAGAACTACATGACCAAACTAGCCATCAGCCACGCGTTGGCACAGTCAACGAAGGTATGCAACAGCAATAGCAAATCCCCCTGGCCCCTTTCAACGCTGACTAGAAACAACACAACAGACATCCCTATACGAAGACCTCCTCGACGCGACCATATCCACAACCCAAACAATCCCTTCCCAGATCGCCTCAACAGGACGCATCCAAATGACTCGCAAAGAAATCAACATGCAAATCGGCGAACTCTTTATTCTGAGAATCAACATCCATCTCCAAGGCTCCGTCCTCGATGCCCCGGAACTCATGTGGGCAGAACCACAACTCGAACCTGTGTATCAGGCTGTGAGATCTTATCTTGAAATGGACCAAAGAGTGGCACTTTTACAGGAGAGGTGAGTGTAGAAGAAATTTCAACTGATCATGAGAGACTTGATTGAAGCTGATTCGGATTTTTCTTTCTCAGGGTTGGCGTCATTGCGGATCTCCTCGCCGTACTCAAAGATCAGTTGAGTCATACCCATGGCGAGTATCTCGAATGGATTGTGATTGTTTTGATCGCTGCGGAGATTTTGGTGGCGGCGATTAATATTGTTGTGGATTTGTATGCTGGTGGGGATTAAGATGGCAAGAGAGAGAGAGAAAGGTGTGGACTGGAAAAATGTTGAAGGGGAGGATTGTATGTGCGATAGGATTGTGAAAGTGAAACTTGTAATCAATATATGCACATGAGAGGATGGATGGATGGGACAGCGCAGGAGAATACCCTACAACAAGGAGAGGCCCCCGAAATTGAGATATATCATGACTGGCGACGCATTCTCTTCGAGTAAGAGCTTCAATTTATTATTATCACTAAGCTATACATTCAACATGTCTCTTGTCCCTCAATCCATCTCCTCCACCTCCCCCGATTCCTCGACACGACCGTCTCCCTGTTCTCCAGGCATCTTATGCGTCCTTTCAATCTCCTCAATCTGCTTCCTCCCCTCCTCAGTCGTAGCATCAATAACCCCTTGCTCCAAACTCAACATTCCACCATCCCCCAACTGCTCCACAACTTCTTCCGCTTCTTCAACGCTCATCTTGCCCAGCACCTCATTAACCTTATCCAGACTACCACTCTCGAGTGCTCGCTGGAGACCCGGTGGGAAACCCTCGAAAATTCTACGACTTGCTCGCTCATCGTCTGTTTGGCATTGGTCGAGAGGAGGCGGAGTTAGGATGTTGATTGTGGTATTGGGGTCTACGGCGTGAAGTTGGATTTGTTCTTTATCACCAGTGCCTTCTTCCGCAGCTTGCTTGGCGAGTGCTGCTGTTCGTTCGCGGATACGTGCGTAAGTGTTGTTGACGTCGTCGAGGAAGAGTTTTTGGGCTTGGTGGTTTGCGGTTTGGACGCGTTGGAAGAAGAGGCCTACACCGTCCTTGCCGAGTTGGCGACAGTATTGGAGTAAGAGGGCTTGGTGCACGCAACCGCGGGCGTAATCTTCTTCTTTCTTCTTTTCCGCCTTCTTCTCGGCATCGGTTGCTTTGGTCTGAGCATTGAAGGCTTCAACCAGCAAGCCATCTGTCTCCTTCTCGGATAGGATTTGTGGGTGCTGGCCGATGAACTCTAGACTTTGCTTGTAGTTTCCATAGCCCAACATTCCGAACTTTCTTGCGAGTGGAGAGCATTCCATGTCATCTTCGTCTTCTCCCCGGGCTGGGTTCAGGCTGAGATCTTCGACATCGGCTGCTGAACCAGAGTCACGAGGACCGCCTATTTGCTCCACGCTCGAAACGTTCTGTGCCTCACTCTGCTTGCCGGTTTTGATCACAGCAGCGCTGCTCGTGTCCACTGGCTTAGCTTTAGAGACGTGCGAGCTGTCGAAACCAGTCTTGTACGTTTCGCTGGTGATCTTGCTGCCCTCTTCTTTTTCCAGCTTGGTGAGTTCCGCAGCCAGATCTTTCTGTAAGTTTTGCACTTTCTGATTGTGACTTTGAACTTCTCTGATATACGCCGTATATCGCGGTGGACCTTCTGCGCCAGTCTTCTCTACCTCAGACCTGACCTGGTCAACCAGTGCGCCCATCATTGTGCTGTAGCTTGGCTGCTCCATATTCTTATGTACTCCAGCTGGCGGTGCTGGAGGCTGGTCCTCGCCTAGGCTCATATCACCCGCGACATCGGTCAGACAGTCGAAGACAACCTCGTCCACGCTGTCTGCATCTTTCGATCCCTCGATGTCGGCCTTGTGGTTGTCGAGAGCCTTGAGCAAGGCGTCAATTCGTACCAACAGACCATCGTTTATTATGCGCTCGTACTTGAGCGTTGTTATGCGGTGCTTTCGATCGATTCGCTGCTGGTGGATCTGGTTCTGCTTCGCTCTAATGAAGGACTTCTTGTCGACGTTTGGGTGGACTTCGATGTCGCTGTCGTCGCTCAGCTCGAGAGCGTCCCATTTGCTGTAGTCAACAGGCATCGTGGGTATGTGCGTGGAATTCTCTCACTTGTTTACGCTGTCCTGCTTCAGTTTCTTGTTCTGTTGTCCAGCAGTGATCAACTTGAACCTTTTCTCAGGCTCGCTCGTAGCTTCTGGAAGTCGTTAGTCGTTGGAGCTACTGCCCCACACTCGCCCGGGCCGACCATATCTCCGGGCCCCTCTTTCTTCCCTGCAGTGGGTACAGTATGAACGATGAAAGTTCCAATGCTACTCACAGGCATTCATTGACATTGACATTACTTCACTACCTCATCTACCTCATAGCTAAAACTCTCGAAGTCTCACCTTACAGCATGTAGAACGTGACAGCAAGCAGTAGCAGTGCTCCAAGATTGACCCATTCAGGAGCCCGCTTCCCAGCACCACCAGTCGACGCCTCCACACCGGACGACGTAGCATTGCTGCCACTCCCACTCATCGAAGAATTGCCGCCACTCCCACTCATCGAAGCAGTTCCTCCGATCGTTCCATCTTCGACCCCACCAAAAGAGATCTTGAATACCCACGCATACATGTCCGCGTTCTTGATCTCCTCCGTGACAGTAAGCTGCAAGCTGCCGTTGCTCAACAATTCACTAGGCACCACAGTGCCAGCCATCTGTCCACCGACGACCGTGACCTCATCGCCGTCCACATATGGCACCGGACTGTCGATAACCAGCGTATCATTCGGCGCATATAGTGCGGAAATGTAGAATGCATTTGCGTTTTGTGTGAAGCGGATGGTATCGCCTTCTTCGGCCGTCACGAACCAATAATTCGTGTTGAAGATAGCTTCACCGTGACTCTTGATCCATTTCCCGGCAGCTCTCAGATTATCCTGCTCAATTTGGACGATCGTTCCGTTCGCCGTCGGGCCAACGTCGAGCAAGAAATTCCCATTCTTACTCACGATGTCGATCAGACTCACGACAATGTCTCTAGGCTTGAGATATTGATCGTCTGGTGTAGCACGATTATAACCGTAGCTGAACGGGTCCATGCCAAGATTGCTCTCCCATTTACGAACCTGGACGCTTTCGTACCGTGCATACTCTGGGGTATCGAAGTCGCCTGGTATACCACCACATCGATTGTTGATTAGAACCTGCTTGCCCTTTGCGGCATTATCGTTGAAGTACTTGGCCGCGAACGTTGCACCAGCGAGTTGGTCTGCATCAGGGCCCGAACCAATTCCAATATCGCACCACAATATCTCCGTGCCCATCTCCGCGAGAATACGCATCTCGGGCAGGATGAGATCTTGCACGTAGTCATTGACTGGCACGTAGCCGAGGTATGGAACGGTTTTGTTCTAACAAGGCAAAGAAGTCAGTCACCCGGACGTAGAGCCAGCAGCGTGGTCTATCCGTTACATGTACTTACGGTATATGGATTCGTGGCATTACCCCCTGGCCACGCTGAAAATCCAAGCGATTTATAGTCAGGATGGAACCATTCAGGTGGCGAGAAATAGGTCGTTTTATGCAGATGTGGTTGGTATTGATCAGCCGCGTCGAACAGCTCTTGAAGGAGATTTCGGTGCGGAAATTGAGCCACACTCGTTCGTGTGGTAATATTTGCTGGAATGTCGAAAAGTGCGTAGCCATCGTGATGCTTAGACACTTGTGTGAAGTATTGTGCTCCAGCATCTGCGAAAAGATCGACCCATTCTTTGGGATCCCAGGCGTCGGCAGTGAAATTTTGGATGAAGTCGTCATATTCATGATTCGCCCCATAAGTTTCCAAGTTGTATTTGTAAAAGCGATTGTCTTCAAATGGTCCCGTACTATAGAACCGCCAATACCATTCTGCGTATTGTTCGTGCTCGCCCACATCACCCCAGCCAGGCACGGCGTAGACGCCCCAGTGGATGAAAATTCCATATTTGCCGTTCGTGTACCAAGGAGCGGGTTCGTGACTGTAGATGCTGTCGTAAGTTGGCTCGAAGTCACCAATACCGAAAGTCGCGTTGAAGGTCGCGCTGGCATTGACACCATCACCAGTGACCAGAGCTGTAGCTTCGCCACTTGATCCTTCCGCTGTACCCTTAGTATTCACGACACCAACATTCACTGTGGCTTGATCGCCAGGTCGAAGGCGATTGACAACGCCAGGCACGACTGTGGTGAGACCGGGAGAGTCGACTGTAATCTTCACGCCATGCTTTGCCAGAAGCCATTCAGTGCCAACGTTATTGACCTTCACTTGGACAATCTGAGTCTTATTCGTGCCTTCGATCCAGGTCTGTGTAGATCGAGCTCGCTCAATCTCTAGGCTGACGCCAGATGGCTTGGCAGGCACCAGCGACACGGCGAAAATGTGTAGCCTGGCATCTTGCTCCTTACCTCCAACACCAGTATTCGCACCCTTGGTTACATTGGGTAGCTGAATGCTAGTAATCTCTTTTGATGCATCCAACCAGTTGACCGAGTGATAGATCATCGAGGTGTTTCGATCGATGCTGCTGTTAGTCAAACTGCACAGTGTTAGACTCGAGCTACCCAAGATTATTGGGAACATACTAGTAGGGGAAGATTATATCGCCACCATATGGGTTCGGCCAGGCCCAAAAAGGGTCAATGAGAATGGGTGTCGAGGAAGTGGTGTTGTCGGTGTAGGTGACATTGACATGTCCAGTAGCTATTGCTTTCTCTGCAGCCGCAAGCATGTGGATGCTAAAGTACCGTCCTGCGGGCGGCGTAATGATCTGACCTTCAGCAAGCACATTATCATTGCCGCTTGTCTTATACTGTGGGAATATGAAGTTCACACCCGAGTATGTGAAGTTGCTTGCGGGGATGAACTGAGCAGGATAGCCAGAGTGTATACCATCGAAATCTGCATCTCCGGGCGACATGGCGAATGCTCGACTGTTGACCATGCCAGAGATATCGAATGGGAGCGACTCGGCGCTGCCAGCAGCTGTTTCGACATCGTACTTGGGATTGAGGACCAGAGTCTCCAAAGTATCTCGCGCCGATGCAAGGCCAATCAGGCCAGCGAAGAACGTGCTCTTCAGCATGTCGACTGTTCGTGGGAGGGCTTCTTCCAGGACAGACACAAACAACACGAAAACAGAAGCATTGGAGAGTACTTGTACCTGCATAGCGTCACTGCCGCAACGGTTAGTGGAAGCTTGGATGAATAGCTCGCCTATCATGAGGTGGTATGCGAATGTGATGCCAGGGTGCTGCTACTCCGCATGTTTGGCCGAATGTGTAGCAGAGCGCTGGCGTTCCCCAGTTGTTCCCCGCTTTCACAGAAATTGGGCGTGGAGATGAGTGCGAAGGTGGGATGATGAAGTAGCATTGTTGGTTGTTGCTGCGCTGCAGCGGCCGCATACGCATCTTTCGTGCTCGGTGCGAGAAGGACCGAACGCCGGCTGTCAGATGATCATGATACGGAGAAATATGGATATGATCCTCCGCAGAACTGTGTTGTTTCGCTACAGCGCAGCATCATACTGACTGGCAGTACTGATCGACAATAAATAAGAGGGGTTGTTGTGAGTAGGAACGATTCATTGCCGCCAAATTTGACCTGTTTCACTCCTTGCGTAAGTCGTGCATTATCCGATGGAAGGGCCAGGAAGGCAGGAATTCTTCTGCTGCAAAATGAGGCTGAGTCTGAGTGTCAGCGGCCCGGCACGCGCAATTTCAGAACTAGCCTCGAATGCTTGTCCTTTGTCCGTTGCTGGGGTTGTTGCGACGCACTGGCACTGCTATGAGAACTGCTAGCGAACTGGCGACGCCCACGCCCACGCTCACGAGAAAAGACACGACGACGACGACGACGCTCTGACGCCCAACACCTGTGACCAGACCCGGTGTCAACAGTTCCACTGACTTTCACCCCTCTTATTCATCCACATCGGCCCTCAATACCCACCCAAATTGCTTAGAACAATCGATAGTGACACATGTCTGGACGATTCGTGAGAGCGTCGAAATACCGTGAGCTTCACAGCAATCCATGCGTGCTGTCGCAGTCTCTCACAATCTATAGGGCACGTGTTCGGCCAGACGACGAAGCGAGAACAATGCTACGATAACTTGCGCATCTCGAAAAATGCCTGGGACACCAACCTGATCAAGGCGAACCCCAAGTATCTTGCCGTCAATTGGGAAGCCGGCGGAGGAGGCGCATTTGCAGTCATACCTTTGGAAGAGCGCGGAAAGGAGCCTGAGCTGCTGCCATTGTTCCGAGGCCATACCGCAGTCGTGCTGGACACAGACTGGAGCCCTTTCGACGACTCCATTATCGCATCAGCCTCGGACGATGGCAAGGTCTTCCTCTGGCAGGTGCCTGACAACTTCACCCTGCGCACTGATGCCGAGGAGCCTGAGGATGTCAAGCCAGTGGGCAAGCTGAGTGGCCATTCCCGGTATGACACGAGCGGAATGTCTTTCTGAGCCAAGGCGTGAAGCTGACGACAGCACAGAAAGGTAGGCCACGTGCTTTTCAATCCGGCCGCCGAGAACGTTCTCGCATCAGCCTCCGGCGACTACACTGTCAAGATCTGGGATCTGGAAGACGGCAAAGCGAAGCTCACGCTCAGCGGCAGTGATATCTTCACTTCGCTGTCATGGAGCGCAGACGGTAACATGCTAGTAACAACATCAAGAGACAAGAAGCTTCGATTCTGGGATGTGCGACAGGAAAAGCCAGCACACGAGGTCATGGGTCACAGCGGTGCCAAGAACAGCAGGGCAGTGTGGATGGGCGAGCACGATCGCGTTGCGACTACTGGCTTTTCAAGGATGAGCGAGCGTCAATTAGGTCTTTGGGATCTTCGCGACCCCTCAAAGCCCGTCGGAGGAGACTTCACCGCTTTGGACTCTGGCTCGGGAATCGCAATGCCATTCTGGGATGATGGTTCACAAATTCTCTACCTCGCTGGCAAGGGTGACGGTAACATCAGATACTATGAGTACCAGAACGACAAGTTCGAGTACCTGTCTGAACACAGATCGACCAACCCGCAGCGAGGAGTGGCCTTCATGCCGAAGCGCGGAGTCAACACCCACGAGAACGAGATTATGCGCGCCTTCAAGACAGTCGACGACGCTTATATTGAGCCTATCAGCTTCGTGGTCCCACGAAGAGCGGAGACATTTCAGGAAGATATTTATCCTCCAACAGTCGGTACTGAGCCTGCAGTGTCCTCTGCGGAATGGTTATCGGGCAAGACCGGCCTCCCTCCAAAATTCTCGATGGCCGATTTATTCGAAGGCAATGAGCCCAAGATGATGGCGGCGGAAGCAGTGCCAAAGCCAAGCGCCACCCCAGCGCCTGCGCCCAAGGCTCAGCCAAAGCCGGAACCCAAGGTTGAACCCAAGGTCGAACCCAAGGCCGAACCAATCTCAGCACCAAGCGCGGCCGCACGCGAGATTCCCAGCGTTAAGAGCAACAAGGATTCCATGTCCAGCATGGCTGAGAAATTCGCTGACAAGGATGCGGAGAAAGATGACGACGACAGTTCTTTCGAGGAGATCCAGAAGCCTGTGGAGCGTCCATCAGTGGCTGCTGCAAGACAAGCAGAGGTCACTAAACCTCGACCAGAGCCAACCAAGACTACATCAGCGCCAGCGCCAAAACCAGAACCGAAAGCGGACACGAAGAATCTTCCCACCAGCGCCTACACGGGCGAAGGACTTAGTGCTGCTTCATCTTCACCAGCGAGCGAGCTTCGTGAAAAAGAGTCAAAGCCATCCACACCGACATCAGCCACGCCAGCTCCATCAGCCAGTGCCGCAGCTGGCGGCTTGCGTGACGTTCTCAATGAAATTCGAGGAATGCTGCAAAGTCAAGGCAAGCAAATTGAGCAGTTGACGAGCGAAGTGGCACAACTCAAGGCCAAGGTCGGAGAGTAGGGTTCTCCACCAAATCCAGAGAAACCAGCGGCGCTGGTCTCGACGATGAAGACGACGACTGAGACTTTGCCCACAGACTCTGGTAAAATCAAATCGCAGAGCATCTCGCACCGATTGTCGGATATCCTAGAAACACCCCCGGCTCGATACGCGCCTCCCACATCTACGAGCTCAAGGCGACAATCAGTGGCTGACCTCGTAGATCGTCTCACGGCTTCATCATCACCGTCTAAAACAGAGCGATACAGACATCATGTCATACCAGACTTGTCGGGCAGAGTTGGTAGGGAGGCGAATAGAAGGTGACCCCATTCACCACCATATCCAACTTGGTCTGGTGGCGTTTTATTTTGTAAAAAGGGAGAGAGAGAGAGAATAGTAGAAGCTTTGGACACCAAACCCCCTTCTAGCTGTATGGACGATGCATGACACGATTCCCCAATTCCCCATTTCTGCGAGCTACATCTACATACCCTTCTTCTCCTCTCCAAGCTCAGCAGTCATCAGACCTAGCCCCAACCAACGCCAAAACAAAAGAAACCACCCCCAATTTCAACGAAGCCTTCAAGTTATCGTACCATCCTTGCCCCTAACTCTTATAATAACAATACTTCTGAAAACAAGCATCGCACTCCCGAGGAAGTTCATCTTCAACCCTCGCCATGATCCCACACGCCAAACAAAAACTCCAACCTTCCGTCCCATTCTGCGTAGCGATCGCATTACCATTCTGAATCATAGCATTCGTTTCCGAAACCGAATACTGGATTTTACTCGTAGGTTGATTACTCGCGTACGTGTAATTCACGTTCGGTAAGTAGATTATGAGCATAGTCTTAGGTTGATCGCAGCCGAAGAAGGTTGCTCTTTTGTTGAGACCTTTGGAGACGAATTCTTCGACGGGTGGGATGTAGGGCATTTTGGTGAGGCCGGAGGTTTGCGCGTTTTCGTAGGTTTGACGAATTTCTGTGCCGTTGGGGAAATTGTCGGTTGTGTCGGCGGAGTTGTCGTTGGCGATCAATACGTCCACAGACCGGGCGGATTGGATGAAGGGCCAGATGGGAATGTTTTGGCCGGCGAGTCCGCCGTCTGCCATTGTGATGAGGGGGTAGGAGGAGACGCGGGAGGAGCGTTGGTATTTGTAGAATGGGTTCGGGTAGATGCCGTATAGGTCTTGGAAGCTGGGCTTTTGGCCGTTGGCACTGAGGATGCCTTCGAGGACGTTTGCGAGGTCTGATGATGAGGAGTTGCTGGGTTGGAGAGGAGAGCAGATGGCGGCGAATACGTCGGATGATGTACCGAAGACGTAGCCGATGTTGTCGTAGTCCTTGATACACTTGCCTGCTTGCGTTGCTTGGCCGTTGGTGATGTTAGAACCCATATAGAGGGTCAATGCCATGGCGCTGACTCCATTGTCCCAGCTTCCGTATTCGTAAGGATGGAACTCGTACTGAGTTGCGCTGAGAGTAGGAGTGCATTGACCCTGGTACGAGTTGTCTACGCCCAGAGCAGTGATGATTGGGTAGGGCACATTGAAGGACGTGAAGTTGCTCATTGTGGTCAGGCCAGACATACGAATCTCGTCACCTCCATCGTTACCATGTAGAAGCTGGTATGATAGGAGACGGCCATAAGGGTCGACGATGGTGTTGTCGAAGCCAGCTGCCTTCTTCTTGGCCAGGTCGTTCACAAGCTCCGGATATTCATCGAATCCCAGGATATTAGCTGGGAGTAAGAGGCTATTCTGGAACGCTTGCTCCCACAGGCTATCGCGGAGAGACGATACTGTCGGCCAGTTGTTGCCGGAGAAGGATGACAAGAACCATGCACCGCCGGACAGACCGGACTCGTAGGTGAGGGATTGGAAGACGCCGCTCACATTGGCCGTACTGTCCCGTGCATCGAGGGCTTGGATGACACCAGCGGTCTCCAGCAGAGCTCGATAACCTCCTCCACTGGACGCGAAAGCTACAACTGGCTGAGAAGAAGTGCTGAAGGAAGCCTGTGTCTCAAGCCAGGCGGCGAGTGCAGTGCTAGCCTTCGGTTTCCGCGAGGCCAAGTATGAAGCCTCATTCGCGTTGAGGCCTTTGGCGGCTCTCACGAGAGGAGTGCTCGGACATGCTGTTGGCTTTGGCGCATAGTCGTCATCGAGGATAGGGAGAAGCTGTCGCTCTTCTATTCGTGCAGGTTGTTGAAGTCCCAGCGGTGCAGGTGCGGGAGCTGCCAAGGCTGATATCGCAAGGAGAGCGAGGATAGATAGGAAGGAATGAAATGCCATATGTGCAAGATACTGATCAGGGAGGTGAGGTGCCAAGGCAGACTCAGAGTTGGTGCCGACGAGCGACGAGCGCTTGTCTTGGGGCTCTACTTAGCTTCATTCTGGAAGGCGCGGCATGTTGTATCATCTTGAAAATTCCCCGATCAATCCCCGCCATCGCAGCCACTGCTGTAATGACGGTTTCGGTTGCGGGCAACAAGCTTGATTCGGACTGCCGTGCCGTGCTCGCCTTCGATGATTCGATGCGCGTCGGGCTGTGTATGCGCTTCACGTCAAGCCTGCCACGACGACGCGAAGAGGCGTACGTGTACGCAAGATGGCGGACGGGCAGGAGCACATGTGATGATGGCAGGCGAAGGGGAGCAGGTTCGGAGGGATGAGCATTGCAGGATGAGAACCTTGAAGGTATGAAGTGCTTTGAGCGCCAAGTGTCAGTGTGTGTCAGTGTCAGTGTGTCAGTAGTGTCAGAGAGTGATGCTGTCTACGAACCCTGGTACGCCCCGCCAAGCGCCACGCATCGCCGACACTTCACCAGAGCGCTGCGGCTGCGGCGCACTTCTGCTTGCTTCCAACCACCTCCGAAACTAGATGGCGGACAACGATGGTGGTGGAGGAAGTGGTGGTGGTGGCGGCGGCGGCGGCGGCGGCCTGCTGGATCTTGAGAAAGAGTTGCAGTGCTCTGTAAGTGGCATGCGAGAAGAGCTGGACGGCCGTTGGAATGATGCAGTAGAGTGTCCTGACCGATCCATCCCTCATAGATATGCACGGACATCCTCTACCAACCACTGACATTGCTGGACTGCCTACACACGTTCTGTGGAGGATGTCTGAAAGAGTGGTTTACCTGGCAAGCCACTGCTGCAACGACCAGCAGAAACAGACACAACACCTCTCCGTACACCTGCCCACAATGTCGAGAGCACGTCAGAGGCACCAAGGCCGACTGGAGGACGACGACCCTTCTAGAGGGCTTCTTGAAGGCAAATCCGGGCAAGGGAAAGTCGGATGAAGAAAAGGAGGAGATGCGACAGCAATACACACCGGGCGACAATGTGCTGCCACCGGTCCAACGAGTGGAAGACACAGATAGTGAGGATGAACGGCTGCTTGCCGAGGTGCGCGATCTCAGCATGGCAAACGTAGATCCCGAAACGGCACGTCGCAGAGCAGACAGAGCAGCCAGAAGGAGGCAGGATCGCGGTCAGCGTCACACACGCCCTGAAGAGCTAGGCCGTCAGCAACAGCCAAGTCGATGGATAGCCCACCACGCAGCTCGCCAGCAAGAAGAAAGCGAGAGACAGGTCGAGCATCAGCCGTCACTTCGGAGTCTACTTAGTGATTCTGAGATTAGCTCGGCAGATGTGCAGGAGGAGATACTGCAGTCAATATCCTCGGAAGGTCTTCTTGACGGCATCGACATTGATCATTTGACTCCCGCTCAAGAGGAAGAGCTTACGGAACGAATAGCAGAAGCTTATAGGAGACGGCAACGAAATAGAGACAGATCCAGAAATCGTGACCGCGGTGACACTCAGCACGAACCTTCTCAGCCAGAGCCGAGGAGCACTGCTGAAGGCTCAGGGCGGCGTCAGCCCTCTCCTCCTCAGCAGACTCAGACACGAAGCAGGCCTCCTATTTCGCGACCTCACTTATTCGAGCAAACATCTGCTGGTGCTGAACGTGGTCAGCGAAGATCTACTAGCTCGACGAGCCAAAGCACTCGACAGTCAGAAGTACACGAGACCACATCTAGTCAACCTCCACCAGCTGCGCGTTCAGCCACTGATCTTTCTGTGCCATCTCAGAGCAATGGTCGCTCCACTTCACAGCCCAGATCACGAGCCTCATCCGGCAACAACAGGAGCTCCACAGATCCTGCTAGTGTGAGAGACAACGTGCAGCGTGTTCACGCGACATCGAACTCCCTGCGACCAGACAGCCACAGTACTACAGCAGCCTCTAGACCTCGAAGTCGAGATTCGCAGTCTTCTGAGCCAAGCAGAAGACGAACAGGTCCCGCGACGAGCGATTCAGTAATATCACGGCCACAGCCACAGCATTCTCCAATTAACTCTGGCGGTCTACAAGCAAGCACCGCAACGAACCAACACTCCGTGAGACCAGCCGCCTCAACATCAGCGTTTGCGCCTGAACCAGTTTCGACCCTCTCGGACTTTCCGACGATAACATGTTCGCGCTGCCAGCGTCCCGACTTGGCTCAGAGTCTACACTACAATTGTTCGAAGTGCGACTCAGGAAACTTCAATCTCTGCCTTTCATGTTATCGAGACGGTCGTGGATGCAATCACTGGTTTGGCTTTGGACTGATGGCAATGTATCGCTATCACCGTGCTCAAGAAGACGGCTCTGGACAGTACTCCACAGGCTACGAGTACCCGCATATCCTAAGCCCACGAAAGTACATCGAAATAAACCAATCCGCTTCATCACAATCAGCCCATACCCACGATCCCGAACTTCAAGAAGGTGCCTTCTGCGAGCACTGTCTCAAATACACCAGCGACTGCTACTGGTACTGCGAAATCTGTCTCGAAGGTTCCTGGGGCTACTGCAACACCTGCGTCCTCGGCGGCAATCACTGCACGCACCCCCTCCTCCCTCTCGCCCACATCAGCACCCTCCGAAACGCCCCCCACGACCCCTCAAAACTCGCCTTCCTCCCTGTCCCACATCTGAAACAACACTCATACGTCCTCCTCCCCGTCCTCACAGACTGCGATATCTGCCGCCTTCCCATCCCACCGCGAGCCACAAGATTCCACTGCTACACCTGTTCCCACGGAGACTACGACATCTGCAACGACTGCTACAATTCCCTCGTCGCCATGGGAAAAATCTCATCGAAAGACGGACCGAACGGTTGGAGAAGGTGTTTGAACGGACATAGAATGTCTGTGATTGGATACCAGGACACGCCGTACGGAGGCGGTCAGAGGCGACTGACATTGAGGGAGATGGTGGGAGGTTGGAGATTGAAAGAAGAAGGTATGCCATCTGGAGGCGATGCTGTGCTTGTGGCTGGACGTACGGCTGTTGTTCCGCCGGACGGTGGGGTGGGGTATAAGTGTTTGGCGCAGTGGTCGAGGTGGCCGAAGGAAGGGGATACGGATGAGTTGGCGTTTCCGAAGAATGCGGAGATTCGGGAATGTGAGGAGAGGAATTCGGACTGGGCGGTGGGGGTTTATGATGGGGTTGTGGGATTGTTTCCTGTGAACCATACGCGGAAGATCTAAAGATGAGATGAGATGACGAGATGAGGTATGATGCAAGATGAATGAATGATGAGCTGAGGACACAGGATAGAATTAGTGAAAATAGAAGTTTTGGGAATTAGATCTTTTTCTATTCCCAAGAGCTACAATCAACGACCAGCGTCGAGGGCGCTTTGTAACTATATTTACATGACAGTTTGCTGACTGTTCCTTGGTCGTGAGACCGCTGCTCGTTCTATAGGGGTACTGTGGAAAAGCAGATGCGAGCAAAGCCAAGAACCAACCGTGTGCGCCTTGGCTATTACCATTCTCTTGCGGCGCCATATCGTGAGCCCCATCCCTTCCAATTCTACAGTTGAGTCCTTATCTGTACTCAATATGCATGAAACCTCCGAACGCCTTTGGATCTGCGATGTATAAAGTCCAGGTGCACTCAAACAGAGAGGCCCTTCGCCAATCTCTCCATCCGGACGAGCTCGATGGTTGGGGCTTCGAGCTGCTTGACTTTCTCCTCGTATGCAGCAAGCTGTGGCTTCATGCTCGACCACCACCCGTTGAATTTCTCGACGACAGCATGCCACTCGCTCTCGGACCCCTTCTCAACTCTGAGTTTGTCGACTGTGTATCCACAACCCTTCAGGCGGACCCAAGCGTTGCTGCGAGTGTCCTGCAACTCTGCTTTGTAAGCGTTGAGAAAGGTCTCCCAAGCGGCCTCGTCGAATGCTGGACCAGAACGAGTACTTGAAGTGTCGGACATGATTGATGAGAAGGATCCTGTGACCTGCGACTTGCCGGACTGAGGGACTGCTGCTTCCTTCATGTAAGCACCAGTCACAGAGTCAGTCCGAGCCTCCCTAGACAGGTGACGTGACAGCTGGTGAACATCCGGCATCGGCGAAGTCACCGCAGGAGTGTCGCCTTGAAACTCTGGCGTCGGACAGACTTGGGAGTCAACAGGTGTGAACGGCGGTGTCTCCATGCCCAGGATTTGGCGAGGAGTCACGGAGTCGTTCAGCTGCGACAGCTTCTCGAGTGGCAAAAGGCTCGACTTCAGAGCCATGTGAGTTGGAGACACCGACGAACTAAGCGGTGGCGTGTCCATACCGGCACCACTAGCGGCAGTGGTCATGCTATTGACGCGAGACAGATGGGAAAGCGACTTCTCTGGATAGGCACGATGCAAGCTCTCATGGTCGAGCTTGGCAAGACGGTCAAGCGAGGTGCAGAGAGCAGCGCCGGCGTACTGCCAGTCGGTAGCAGTGTCGCGTAGCTCGGAGGGGAGGCTGTCTTGGAGGTCCTTTGGCATCTGCCACTTGGACAGATGTGCCTCATCGTAGCTGAAGTTCTCCATTCCGAAATCGTGGCCGGGGCTGCGGTCAATGGCGAGGTCCTTCCGCATGTAGTGCTCGTAGGATTTGTCGCGCTGGGCCCAGGACGGACGGCGGTAGACTGGTTGACGAAGGGTGTGGGGAGTCGACATGTTGAATCTTCACTTGCTCGATTGCTTTCCTGTGATCGGCGGGTGGGGTTCCAGGATAGGAAGTAGCGAATGAGTCGAGTCGTGGAATGGAATGGAGACTGCTATTCTGACGCTTGGATTGCTAGGTGGATGAGTTGTTGTTTGTTGCAAAGGCAGTTGCTTTGTTGCTGCCAATTATGCTTCACATGGAGGTGTCGAGTCGGAGGCGCGAGGTTTATGTGGATGATGCGACAATGCTGAGGCGGTGGGTAAGTTTGCAATAGTCGCAGCGCAGAACCGGATGGAGTCGAAGCTCAACGAAGCGCAAGAGCGGACGAGCGTGAGGGTAATGAGTGAGCGGCGCAGCGAGCGTCAGCGATGGAGCTTAAAAGTGAACGAGTGTGATGGACCGGACGCCGTTGGTGGTGTGGTTGGAAGTGTGTCGAAGGGGAGGGGAAGGGGGCGCGGTGACCTGACGCTGGTGCGAATGGATGCGATGCTGGATGCCCGCTTGCCGCCCGCAGCTGTCGCACGAGAAAAGGAAGTGGTGAAGCTGTTCCTGCTTCACGATCGAGGATGCTCGGGCTGCGCTTGCCGAAGCACTCGGCCAACTTCGTGCCGATCCGCGTGTCTTAGACTTCCCGCCGATCACCCACTTGCCGTGGATGTCGTTGTTTGTGCGCCACTCTAACGACTTCATACGATGACACTCAGGTTGTGCGTCAGGCGTGTGGCGTCAGTCCGACCAATATCGAGCACCCGGAGTTCCACGCTCTTTTGCCGTGCCAACGAAGATTCTTTGCGCTCGCTCGAGTGGTGTGGTCTCTCGTGATAATAACGATATCATCGCCCGAAGCTCTGGCATGTCTTACACGGAACGTTGCACGAGCCATTCTTCGTGATGGATGGCATCGGTACTTGATCGCGCAGCTGGCACAAAGAAGCACATATAACTCTCACCTGCTGAATGACGGCATCGACGTTTCGGGTTTCGTGGGCTTTGACACACTGTCAGTCGGAAAGACTATTGCGACTTCACACGCTACCATGCCGCCCATCGTCTATCCTTCGTGACTAACCACACTACTCTGCCTATAACAATCGCCTTTCCGTGTCACATTGGCAGTCCGTTTTGCCTGCTTGTCCTGCATCATTCACAACGCCGTGCCTTCTACGCTTCCTATCCCGGGAGCTTGAGCTATTCCAGCCTGCACAAAGAATCGTCAGTTACATCATACCGCAATCGTATGCACAATGCAAATGTGCGCGCATCGGGACTGCTTGCGGAAGGATCGTGACAATGTGTTCGCAGCTTGCCACGTGCGACGTCCAGCGTCACAGAAGCTTCAATGCTTACCTCTCGATGATGTGGAGGCCAGACTGCGTCTCCACGATCTGCGACACCTCTCCTGGTTTGAGCGCAAATGAGGCCTGCTCAAACTCGGTCTGCATGTCACCTTTGCCAAAGAATCCCCTGAATCCCCTGTCAGCAACTGATCACTTCGGAATTTGCAACGTCCTGTGCAACACGAGCGTCTACGCTTGCGCCAAGCGTACTCAAGCTTGGAATTACTCACAAGTCGCCTCGCTTCCTAGCAGATGAGCAGTCACTCTCAGTCACCGCCAGGTCGCCCAGACTGCTCTCACCGCTCCGGATTTTGCTCTCATACCCGCGGATGATGCGGTATGCCTCGTCCTTGGAGCGTGTGATTTCAGCCTCACGCCATGACGAGGGGCGTCGTGATTGCGCGTGCTTGACCAAGAGGTGTGCAGCGCGGATCTTGCCTTCGAGGTTTTGGTTCTTAACTGCGTCCGCGTTGGCATTCGCCGTGTGATACTGGCCCATGTAGTGCTTCAGCGTCTCACTGTCTGTCTCTGCTGGTGGCTCCCATCGCGACTCCTTCGTGCTTGGGTTGAAGTAATATGGCAAATTCTTGCTGTTGGACTGTCGAACCTCCCAACCTGCTGGAAGACCTGTTGCCTACTATTGGTGAGCATGTGGCATGTCGTGATAAAACGAGGGTAGGCCAGACAGGCGGCATAGCTCACCATGGCTGTGGGGTATTTGTTGTGCTGGAGAGCGTGCGTTGGCAGAGTGATTTCACACAAATCTGAAAGGCTCGTCTGCAGACACCTGTTATATAATGTACCTCAAAGTGTGCGAAAATTGAGATGCGCCCCCTGAAAATGCTTCTCAGGTGTTGTTGAGATCGTTGCCGTGGTATTTGCGCAACTGACAAGATCCTGCTTGCTCACTTTCGCGACCTTTTTCGGCTCTTTCTTCCCCGCCACTCGGAAGGCGCCAGCGACCGGGATCTTCTCGTTGCTTCACGCTAGGATCTGCTGGATTCTGGACTTCGCGAACATCCCTCTCACCATAATAATTCCACCAGCGTTGCGATCAACACTCGACTCACGGCAGCAACAACACACACCATGTCAAACTACGAGATGGAGGACTCTCCTGCGCCGGACAGCAAAGGCGAGGATTCGAAGAAGATCAGCTTCCGCTTTTGTCGCGAGTGGTAGGTAGCACGTGAAACGCGAGCCAGAATCAAACTGACGGCCACGATAGCTCCAACATGCTCTACCCAAAGGAGGATCGCCTTACCAACCAGCTCATGTTCGCATGCCGCACGTGCCAGTTCAGCGAACCCGCGACGGCGTCTTGCATCTGGCGCAATTCTCTCAAAGAGGATGTTCAAGAGACGGCGGGAAATGTAGACGACGTGGCGCAAGATCCTACGGTGGGTAACTCTAATGACTCTTCCGACTACGACGATATCATGGAGGATAGCACCGAGCTAGAGGATGTCGAGGGCGAAGACATTGTTCCTGGACTTTGTACGTTGTGTGGCCAGGAGATACTGTGTCCAATATGTGAAAAGCCGACAGATGGCGGTACCGCGCTCGAGGTCGACGATCCTGACAGAGACGCGAATGATACCGGAGATGAAGCGGTGGAACAGGAGAAGCGCGAGAGAGAAAGCGCATAAGGGAGGCAAAAGGAGGATTCTGCACATTCATACTTGCTTGCACTTGCTTTGCGTTTCATGTCTGTACAGCAACATGTGCTGACATGTCTGGGAATCACAGCTCCCACATGCCGAGGAAGAGTGCAAGAAATGTCATGTTCGAGACGCAGTCTACTTCCAGTCGCAACAGCGGACTGCCGAGACCGGAATGGTGAGTTTCCTTCTGTGCTTGTACGCAATTCTTTGCTAACGACCGGTCAGGCTCTGTTCTACGTGTGCTGCGGAGTATGTGCAAGGAGCGCACATTGTTGTGGACTTGCTGACCAACTACAGTGCCAAAACGTGTGGTCGACCCTTGAAGGAAAGCGTTAGAAGGGCTTGACTTCGAGATCGACTTCACCAAAACAAGACATTCAAGAGAGCCTCCCTGACTTGGACCCTCTCGCGGCGGAACGGTCTTTTGAATCTATCATGAACGACTATTCCCCGTCACCACTTGCACAAGTCCTCCGCCACGGGCCTCTGCCAGGCCAGAAGGGCGCGCAACCCGCAAACCACGACATGCGCCAACCTGATGCGACCTCCAGGCCCTAGATCTCGCGTCGTCTCTTGGTGAGCTGCCATCGAAGGCAATTTGGACGCAATGCTTCATCTCGCGTGGAGGACTACGGTATGGGAGGGTGGTTTGTAGCCTCTTGGACGCACAACGAAGTGCTTTCTTCGCCATAGTCTCGAACCCTCGACTCCACTGCTGTTCGCCTTCCATCCTTGTGACTACCTTTCGGCCAAGCCCACCGACCATTTCTCTTTCTTTGCCGTTGCGAGTTCACAAGCATGTAGGAGTCGTGCAGTATGTCTCGTATCCTTGCGCATTCGCCCTCGCGAGACCTCTTCTGCGCACAAAGGCAGGCCCGCACTGGACCCTTGTCAAGCTCATCTCGTCGCCTCGTCGCCTTTCGTACTCCTTGCAGCTCATAGATGCATCGGCGCCAATGATAGAATTTTGCTCCATCCTCGTTCCCTGACCTCTCTCCCAACGATACCGTTCAATCTCGTACCGATAGGGTCGCCGCCCTTGTTGATGAGCACGCACGCGTTATCATCAAACTTCACCACGCTCCCATCCTTCCTCTGATATTTCTTTGCTGTACGCACAACCACCGCATGCCTTATATCGCCCCGTCGGACCTTGTTCGCAGCAGAGACTGAAATGGAGCCACCAGGACCAGTTTCCGGGCCAAAATTGCGCTGCTTTTGGACGACAACGATTATACGATCGCCGACGGTCGCAGGTCGCTTCTTCTTGAGGACTTTGACACATTCTGCGATGGCGGCTCCAGAGTTGTCGATGACATTGACCATGGTCTGATCACGCATTCACATTAGTATACAGCATAGCACGCGGGCAAGCCAATTGCATCCTGCAAGTCCAAGTGCCTACCTTGAGTTGGATCATCTTGACAGCGCTTCACGGCCCTGCAGGCCTTGTTCCGATGAGTACTCAACGCAAGTTACGCACGACGGTGTACGAGATCTTCGACCTGGACACGGAGATGCGGCTCGGCAGAGACTGCGCACCATTGGCCGGCTTACCTAGTGCATGCAGCAAGGGGCTTACCGCTGAACTCTGTTAGGGACTCGCGACTGGCGTTGGATTCGTGGTGGCTGGGCTATTCAGAGCTCGAGGACGCAGAGGCTATTGTCCACACGACAATACCACCGCCGCCTATGTAATGTGCGCGCAACAACGTATTCCTTTTACGCCGACTGCTTGTTGCCAGTTCTGTTTGCTTTGCGCATACTGTCCTTTCTCCTTGCTTACAGCGCGTGCCATACAATAATGATTTGCAGCATCAAACGGCATCCATAAAGCGAGAGAAGGCCGGAGCGCAGATGACCACAGGAATGCGGCTGTAAGAAGGAGGCGTTGCTGGTGTTCTTGCGCGACACCGACCACACTCTAGAATACCCCGGAGAGAACACTGGTCCTTCACGGCGCTTCTGGTCACCTGCGATTGCATAGCATTGGTGCATGTCAGTCTCTACGGTCGCCCCGCGCAGTCAGGATGAAGCCGCAAGCTGCCGACTTGGACGAGGCGCTGAGGAAGAAGGGCGGCCTGACGCTGTCGCAACTTGCCAATTATGACGACCTGATCACTGATGCGCTGGTCGACAAAGTAAGTCGGTGACTGCCAGGTCATGTGTTGGAGCCGAGTACTGACCAATCTTGCAGGTCTACTTCTGGTCCAAGATCCGCAAGCTGAAAGCCAACTACCACGGCCGTCGCGGCTTGATCGACGAACAAATATGCAAGACATTACAGGAGAAAGTAATCATAGAAAAAGATCCCGCTGGGGCGCAGGGGAAATTACTGCAACAGCAGTCCGCCCTGCTCAAGTACCACAGAGGCTTGAAGACGGAGGATGAGAAGGAGCATTTCCTGCGCCATATGCGCAAGTACATCAACATCTATCTACCAGATTGTCCATTCGAGGTCGGCACCACGAACCGATATACCATTACAACTGCAGAGGCTTGCATAATTGCACGTAAACGAGTCCGCCGAGGAGAGCCCATCAAATACTTGACTGGTATTCAGGTTGAGATGACCGAGAAGGAGGAGAAAATGCTTTCGAGCCGCACAGATTTCAGCATTGTGATTTCGAGCCGGAAGAAGCGGCCTTCTCTGTTTCTTGGACCTGCTCGATTTGCGAATCACGACTGCGATTCAAACGCAAAGCTTACCACCACAGGAGCCCACGGCATCCACATCCAAGCACGCAAAGATATCGAAATCGGTGACGAAATCACAGTCACGTATGGCGAGAACTATTTCGGCGAGGGCAATTGTGAATGTCTGTGTCACACTTGTGAGGTAGCCACACGTAATGGTTGGGATCCAAGAGGTCCCATCATCCGAGAAGACACAAGCGACGAAGAAGAATCTGAAGATGAGAAAGACGTCGAAGCCAGGTCTGCACGCAGTTGTCGGGCCGGACCAAGTAGACCCGCGAAGCGAAAATATCAAGAGGACGACGATGAAAGCGAAGGAGGTCTCTCTCGGCGGAAACGAGAACGGCCACGCAATCTTTCAGGATCCAATGCCGGGCTAGAGCTGGATCTCTCTTCTGACGATGGTTCTGATGACGAGCGGAATGCGCGACACCGCAATGGCCGATTTATGACGAAGAAATTTCACCAATCCTCCTCTAGCACGTCTTTCAAGTATGAAGATTCGGATGAGCCACTCTTGGACCGAGTCTTTCGGTTGCTGGGCAGTGTCGCTGACAGGACCGATCGTCGCAAGCGTGGACTATCGGATTCTGATCCACTACATCTGACTCCTCCAGATTCTGACCGCGCTTCTTCTGAAACCGACTCCACCCCGGTGTCTCTTGGTCCGAAAGAAGAGGTTACCGCGAATGGCAGGAACATCATCCGAGGTGGTGGCGGCAGATTTGTTCGCAAGACAGCTCTGCCCTCCCTCAGTCCTGGAGAGACCAAGGAATCTCCAGGAAGTACCCCAGCGCGCACTCCAGAACATGTCTTGAGTGACAAAGCATCCCCGACTCTGACCCCGGACTCCCCCAGGCCCAAGCTACCTTCCATAAGACGCAATTTTTCGAATCTACGCAATGTTACGAATGCCAACGATGCACCTGTTGACCTCTACAGCGTGCAGCCATCCCCGGCACCTCCATCAGAAGCACTTAAGCGAGGACGGGGACGACCAAGGAAGGAACGCGCAGATGACACAGCTGAATCGGACCATAAGGCGAACACTGAAACGAGTCCCTCATCGAGTGCTAATGACACCTCATCTTCTTCCTCACTGGCTTCCAGCGCGACATCTCTGGAAACACATACATTTGCGGCTGGAAATATAGCACAGGACATCTGCGAAATGTTGACTACAGAGGATGACGAGAAACCGCTACATGATGTCGAGAGCGTGGCCATCACCAGGACCGAGACTGAAAGCATAAGTCGAAGTTCGACAAGACTGAATCGCATGCAGGCTGACTTAGAAGAGCAACTTTCTTCTCCGGAAAAGGTCGGCCCAGACAGGGCCACGATTCTTAAGAAAGTCACGCGTTCCTCCTCTGCTGCCGGAACGTCCACTCCACCTATACACAGTATCGAGAAGGTCGAGGCCAGTGAAGAATCGGATGAGGAAGTGGAGCGTGGTGAGCCTCGCATCCCTGGCGACTATCATCTGTGCAAAGCGCTTCTTGCCACAAATTACCATCGCTGGGTCGAATGTCGGAATTGCGACGAGTGGTTTGTTCAAGAGGAAGCGTTCTTAACGCGAATAGCGTGCCCAAGATGTGAACGTCACAGCAAGCTTTACGGGTACTACTGGCCAAAGACAGACAAGGAAGGCAAGTACGATACGCAGGAGCGAATTTTGGACCATCGCGAGATTCATCGTTTCATTCCACCTGATGAAGAACGCGAGGAGCGGAAAGGTCGTAGAACTCTTGCCGAAGTCCTCCGAGAGAGGGAGATGAGTGAGCGCGAACGCAGCCAAAGTGATGAACGAGACGACGAAGGGAGACTAATGCGTCCGCGGACTGATAGCGAGCGTCGAACGCTGAGGAGAACAATGTGAAATGATACGAACGACAATGTACGATACTTCCTTCATTGCATCTGGGACGGGCGTCATTGCACACGCGGCGCGTCTGTGAGGGATCTCGTGTATGCGCACAATAATCACATAAGCATTGGCATGGCCGAGTTGTGAGTCGTGCGACGCAATCGTGATCATACCGAAGCAGCAAACTCACATGTTCCCGCCATAGATGGCAATTGATGCGATCATTTCAACTCAGGCTTGCAGCTCTCTCTCTATCTCTCTTCGATTAGGCCAGAAACAGACCACCTGTGGTACAGGACCGGCTGACGCGAAGAAGGTAGGACAGGCCATGCTGCAGGTTTCCGATCCACCCTCGAATTTCGAGCCGCCCTCATCTTAGGATGTTTTCATTCGCGGGTCAGGCCATTTTAGGAGGCAACTCCAATTTGTTTGCTACTGCTGCATTTGTGCTCCTCCACACTCACCGTCTTTTCGCTCACGGTTCTCGAGGGCGTGCGTTTCGTCGGGCAGTTCACAGTCTTTCTTTCCCTCATCTCTCAGTCCTTCGTTGATCTTCCATGGTAGACATGGGCGTCCAACCCTCCAAAACAGAACTCTTCCTGCCTTCTGACACCCTCAGAAGATGCGATCCGGATAGATGCTGGTGTGACAGACCGTATCACAGGAAGTCAAGATACGTTTATGTTGAGAGAGGAGGTAGGCCACGATGTGATGTGAACCAACTCTCGTAGTTCTTCGCTGATATTAGAGTCTCAGGGGACGGAAGTGAACGCTACCACGACCCAATGGACATGATGAGCAACATGATGACGATGGGCGGAATGCCTAGCATGCCATGGAAAGACCCTCGCTCATGGACCGTCCGCGACTACGATCGCTTAGGCGAAGTGCTCGAAGAATTCTACAATCGTGAACGAGGTCGTCGTGCTGGTGGTGCATATCCCCCTCCCTGGTCCATGCCTCCCCCCGAACACCAAGCTTGGGACGATGGCGGCGGTAGACCACATCGTCGAAGATCTAATCGTCCGGGTTGGACGGAATACAATCGTCTGGAGGAGCAGTTTCGACACATGTATGACGAGTATATGCGACATCGGAATGAGAATGAATCTGTGCTCTATGGGAGTGATGTTGATCGCAGGAAGGATCAGTATCGGTATAATATGCTGAAGACTTTGCAGGAAATGTGGCCGCAGATGAGTCAGATGATGATGGGGGGACAGCAGCAGATGTATGGTGGTCATCAGAACCATCCAATGATGCCGCCGCCGCAGATGATGCATTCTCCTCCTCCTATGCAGCAGAATATGCCACCCACGAACATGTACCCCCCAGGACCACAGATGAGTCCGCATTACGGGATGAATCCAATGGATCATGGTGGGATGCATGGGCAATTTTCTCCGCCAATGAATGCTGGCATGCACAACATACAGCCAGGATATTACGGCAGCCGGAAGTCGTATAGACAACAACGTATGCCACAATCAGCGTTCGAAAACGAATACAACGAGTTCGACTACCCATCATTTCCGCGAAAGCACCACACAGGACCTACCGGAGGCGGGTTCGGACCACGCTGGGGCGATGGTGGTGAGTACGTAGCAACTCCCCTCTCATCGCCAGACTCCTCTTTCTAACCACGCTTAGGTTTGCGCTCGTCTGATGATCCTCTCGGTCCCGCTCCGCCAATGGCACCAAGACCCAAGCCCGGCGGAGGAGGTTTGGGCAGCGGCGGAACGACCTTTGGTCGCTACCCCGACGCAGACTTTCGTGCTCCTATGCCATCAACACCCAACGACATCCCCACAATCCCAGTCGGAACAGGAACAGGACCTCCCAGATCCTCCCCTCTCCATCCCCGACCCTCAGATCCATTCTACAATCCCCCATATACCTCTTCCATCTACGGAGGAGCCCAAGATTACATCTCAGCCGGCTACACGCGGCCCCCTACCGGCATCCTTAGAAACCCTTTGACTACAGGAACATATGGTAGCACCATGGCCGAGGAAAAATATCCTTACGTCTCAGCAACAACAGCAGCAGGAGTCGACGGCATAGGGGGATTGCACACTGGACCTGAGATGGGCAGTGGGAGACCAGGCATGCCGAAACGAAACGTAAGTTTCCAGCCTGAGGCGGGCCTAGCTCGATCTCGAGACGAGGAGGAAGCGAGAGGTGAAGCGGAAGCTGGGGCGCCGGTGTCGAAGAGAGATGGGTTGTGAATTGCATTACGACATTGGATGGATGGCGGGTTTTCGGATTCGTTTTGGCGGGAAATCGGAACTGTTTTCCACTCAAATCACTGCTGTTGATGATTCTTTAAAAAAAATCGTTGATTGTATGTATGTGGGCTCCACAGTGGGCTTTTGTTGAGAAAGACGGCGTGGTGATGATCATGGCTAGCCATCCTACCATGGGAAGAGAAATTGAATGGATCGTGATAAAGACATGACTGTCCCCTATAGGCTATTCATCGGTCATGCCACGCCACGCCACCACTTATGGCGGGCGGCCGAAGATAGCATGGTTTGTCGCCCTGGTTAGTGCAAAGATTACGCTTACAAGTGCCTGCTGACACTCTGGTGTCGGGGAGACTTTGGGACTTTGTGGATGTACCTTGGTTAGTGAAGGTGGTCATGTCATTGGAAGATGGGGCTAAGATAAGATAGGTGAAATTGGAGCAGGAGGTGAGTGTAGCGTAGGGTAGATGAGGGTTTGAATTAAGACGGACTCTATCAGCACAGAAGCTCAATATAAGCTTGGCTTTGCCTCGTCGTTAATGGCCACAGAGCATAAATGTCATTGGCGACTGCCAATATTGCTCAGCGGTGGTTGATATCAGAGTTATCGAGTTCTTCGCAAGAGTTGCAAAATGGGTAGGAGCTTTCCAGGTCCATCTCTTGGGCCGCTGCATCGAGACTTACATTGATAGCAACGTGTGCAACGCAGCACCACAAAGTTCTGATACTTGGTTTTCCGACTGGCCAAAGCAGAGTCCTCGAGTCCAGACTTCGCATTGTGCTCGGGCTGTCCAGAGCTCTGCAACGTCGTCCTCGATGAATCTTTCAATTTGAAACAGTGCGATGGCCGACCAGCACAACTCAGGGCTTTGCGACGTCTTATACCCGTCGAGTATGAGTACCACTTGCCTTAATCTGATACGCGATGTTTGCCCCAAGTTGTCGAACACCACGCCGGCGATCTTCGTATCCAGCTCCTAGAAACAATGTTGTGACTTGCTTCGGTGAGCGGCAGCCCACATCGAATTCAAGCAAACGTGCATGCGCTGAAACGGAGCGTGTGATCATGAGGACTGCTGGCATCTAGGGGAACGTACCATCATGTTTGGCAATACGAAGACCGTTTGTGTGATCGAGGTGAATCCTCAAGATGCATACTGACTTGTTAGGTGCATCGTAGGAGGCATTCCAACTTCTGCAATTCCAGTACCGAGTGTCTCATCTATCTCCATATACGTTGACTGACTCGCCAGGTTTGATGTGACCTATTGCATTGTCGGCCGTATTGTGCTTGTATGCTGCCATTGAAAGCAACAAACAGGACTGCATATCGGAGTGCCGAATGCTGATCTTCCGTACGACCAAAGTGTCAAGCGGAAGCTTGTCATCCCAAGATATGCTGGTCAACAGCATTTGCATGCTTCGCGTACGTCTGGATCTGCAGAGTAAGGCGAAAGAGGTTATGCGAGCTGGTTGAGAAGCTACGAGTCCTCTACTGCGATGCGCTTGCCCAATCGCTTGATTTTCCCTTCTCGCCTTGCTCGCCGATGAGCGCTTGTATCCTCGTCAATTCAATTGCTTTGCGGGGTTGCGCCTCCAGCACCATGGTCTCAAAACTCCGGCCGGAAGCTCGACAGTTCTGCAGCTGTCGGTTCGAGTCGGCAAGGTGCAGGCCTTGTTTGGACGCGAGTATCGCTTCTGGATCCCGAATGCGACATGAAATATGAGTGCGGAGCTGTGATCCATCATGTCAGCACCAACACATGCACCTGGATCATGGCAGTGATGAAGGGAAGGTTTGTTGGTCGTTGTGGAAGAATTTTGCGTCAAGAGAGCTAGGCTTAGCTCGTCGGAATTGTGTGACATGCTTCTGGAAATCAGCTGACGGAAACGAGCTGACGGAAAGGCGGCGATATTAATAATTAATACACATGCACATGAACGGCCACGATGCTTCACCGGAACTACCACCAGCTCAATGAGAACTTACGAATGGCACCCAAGTCGAAGGGTTGTACGCGTGCAAAAGACGGTGACTTAGCTCTTCTCAGCTGTGCATCTTTTCGCGGTGGCAATGTAGCGGCACACGGCTACCAAAGTCTTGGCATTGATTATTGAAGCTCCTGCGTACGTAGACCTGCATCGTACGTGTTCTGTACAAAGCCTATCTTGTTCCACACTGCGATATTAGAAAGTCGAATTAGGTAGCTTCGCTCCAATTCTGGTAGACATGAACCCAGCACTTGGAACCAGCTGCTGTGCCTCGATGTTGATCTGTAGCGGTTCCTATGCAAAATGGGTCAACGAGTGCCTCGCAGAGTTGCACTTGCATGCCTCTCATATCTGTCAATGGTAATTTCGGAGGTCTTTGTTTGGTATGGCAACAGCAAGTCACCTTTTTGAGCCTCGAATGCTGATGCAAGTCGCCCAATTCGATCGAACGTACATTTCGCATCGGGAGGACAGTGGTTGTACGTTGCCGATTCTGGACCCCTTGACTCTTCGCCATGCACGTAAAAGTTTGAAGTGTCACACAAATCCCCTTGTCCCATCCTTGACCAGTCTAGTCGAGTCCGCAGTGGAGATTAATCTGGCACGCGCGAAGTTCTGAGAAGACCTGAGCACAGAGAAGTGTGCTGGAGTTGGTTCGCTTTTGAGCCTGTAGAACGTATCAGGTCTTGCCAGAGTCCTCGAAAGCCGCGGCAATTCACGAGACAGTTCACTGCGTGCATTTGATCATCATGCGAATCATGCAGGCAGCAAAGCCCAGGAAATACCACGAGCTCAGTGTATATCATCAGATGGGATGATGTCGAGACGTGGAATACTGTTTTGCGAACGCCTTGTGGCGATAGCTCTGCGGCCACATATCGTCGTTGCAGGTATACTGAAGTGGCTCTTGCAGAAGATCTTCACCATGAGTACGTATTGCAAGGGTATTTCAATCCCTGAGTGGAACACTACATCGTGTGGTCACCCTGACATGTTCTCCATGAATGAGCCGTGAGGCTTCCACAAGAGATGCGGCAAAAATGGTTGCTGGCTCGCGGGGATTCCTGCTCATTTTGGCAGCGGGGCAAAATACCGTGACGATGCCCACATCATGAACTCCAAACGCTGCAGAAGGCTTCTCGTTTGTCCGGTCTTTGGAAGCTCAGATTGCAGAAGATAATCAGTTTCTCCACTGGCCCAAATAGCTGGGACAGACCACGAGAACGCTTAGTGGACCGTTCCAGGTTGCTGCGTCATCATGCGCGGCCAGAAATTGTGCGTGCGTGCGTGTGTGCTCGACGCAATGACCAGGCCAGCCGCATAGCGCTGTCGGCACACGGTGAAGCAAGCACAAGCGAGTATTGAGGTTTGGCTCTCCAGGTTGTATGTGAGCGGGAGAGCACTGAGCAGCTCGTTTGCGAGGCGAGGTCAGGTCAGGTCAGAGTTCATGGCGAATCCATAGCGCGCAGGTTCTTCGGTCGGGGAACGGTGGGCCCGGGGCCGTCCTTTCACCGTTTTGTTACGCTGCAAAGAACAGGTAGGTCGCGGAGCCATACGCCACATCCGCTAAATTGTCTGCATGCGAGCCGCGATCAGGCGCACCGCGTGTGCAACAGACACAGCGAAGACGGCAAGGTGATGGCTTTGAAAATTGACGCTGTACACAATGCAGCTTGTAGTGCGCTCTCGTCATGCCAGCGGTGATGAAGGCCAGGTTGTGCTTGTCGTACTCGGGGCACTGCCACGCCATGCCATGCCATGCGCGTGGTTCGATGCCGACGCCGATAGTTCTCCGGACCTTTCGCCCGCTACTGTACAGGCGTGCTGCATGCCGTGCCGGTCATCAGCGCGATTCAAGCCAAGACTGCATGAGCAGGCCTGAGATGCATGCTACGACCCGTTCCTGGGCCTGCGGTCAAGGAGATACAGCGCTGCAGTGCATCATGCCAGGCGTCGTGTTCAGCCGAGCAGAATGAGCAGACCAGGTAAGAGTGCTGCGGGTCAAGTGTGATGCGATGCATAGCTGCGTGCTACAAGACCGCGTCGATGGCAGCCAGCGGAGCGAACAATAGCGTGGTTGTCGTCGGTCGATGGGGATGGGTGCGAGGGACAGCTCCGAGACGAGAGGATCGACGTGAGGTCTCATCATGTCTCATTGGCGCAGCTTTATGCTTTCCACCCGCTTGCCGCCCGCTTGAATTTGGTGAATTTGACAGGCGGGAAGGAGAGCCTGGTTGCGGAAGGCACAGGCCACGTGGGCCGAGGCTCATTTCATGACATCCACCACCACCTGCATCCACCTCGCTCCGCAGTCCGCACGTCGCTGGTCGCTGCCTGCTCATCTCTGATGGGGGTGCGGGCGCGAACGCGGATGCGGGCTGCTACCCTCATTGTTATTGCCCGGCCAATGGCCCGTGGCGTGGTCCTCGTCCTTCCACCTCCCCGTAGTGACTTATGCGATGTTCGGCGGCGTTCGCGACGGCGTGGAAGCTGTAATTGGATGATGGCGCTAGCGCTCTGCTCTGCTCTGCTTGGCAGCCTGCAGGCCTGCTTTGCTCAGCTCCCACCTACTCGGAGGCTCGTGAGGGTTGTGAGTGTGCCGCAAGACAGGCAATGCAATGCGTAGCTCTAGGCTCTAGCTCTACTGCAGCTCCATCCATCATCATCGAAATTCCCGAGCTCTGGCCCTGAGACGCGCTGCAACCGCAACCGCAACCGCAACGGCCAATGCAACCACACCTCCTGACGTGTCCCACACGCGCCTCCGACATGGCGCCCACAATGGAAGTCGGTCAGAAGTAGTGAGGTGTGCGCCTGCTTCACCTGGTCGAAGCTGCGTTCAAACACTCTGACAGAGCTGGCCCGGATTCGATTGCGTTAGGCCCATTATTGCTGCATGCTCTCAGGGATCCAGGATTACCGGCTGCTTTAGCCGAACGCCAGATTCTCTCATTTCTCTGGAATCATCAGCAAACGCCCTGCCAGCACACTCGCGAAGGGAGCAGGCCATCTTTCTCCATTCGACGCATCGGGCATTCCTCTTGACTCTTGCCTTCAGCTGTGCCCCTAGACAAATGCTGCGTGTACGAAAACGCGAACACTTGACTTTCATACCCCGGGCTGTGACCAGGGTCAGCAGATTAGATGCTGCGATTCCTGTGCTCAATAATGCTCATCACTGGTCGGGCGTGTGTGTGAGCATCCGCGTTCTCGTCACAGGATAAACGGTCGATATTGCACGCCAAGCACAACCATGTCCCTCGTGAAGGCGATTTGTGACCAGATCTGGAACCTGGTTGAAAGGTGCTTCGATTAGCACGAGTTCCGCAGTCGTCAGCACACCGCAACACCACCAGTGGGCCGATGTGCCTTCTTTAAGCGGGAGACGGGGCGCATAATAAGTCGGTAGAGGTGGGTAGCACAATACGAGTGCGAGTCTGAAAGTGGACAATTAACAAATGTTCAGGCCCCGAATACCTCGTATTGAATTATAGATAAGTGTTGAATTATCTATAAGACAGTAGATATCGTATTATCGTCTTATAATAGCGTGTCTTATACTAATTATAAGTATTTAAGCCTAATTATCGATTTCCGCGCTCTTAGTATAATCTCGTAACCTTAGCTCTTGCCTATACCTTTATATAGACTGCTTCTTGCCCTTGCTACTAGGTATTATTGTATTATAGACCGCCTCGATACTACTAAAGACACTACTACCGCCGGCTATACCGCTTAATCCGAAGGCCGCTACGAAGATATAGTCGAAGGGCGCGAAGAAGTCGAAGAAGGCGGCTAAGAAGGACAAGGCGTAGGCTAATAAGGTAAAGGCGAAGCGATAGCGCTAGGTACCTTATAACTAGACGGAAGATTAAATAGAAGAGATACTAGAAGCGCTTATCGAGCGGATTACGAAGTAGAATAATAATTAAGGGTTTCTAGAGTTAGATATAGCGGACGTCGCGAAGGAGTTAAATACTAAGTTTAAGGTTAATATTACTATAAAGCAGGTACGTAACAAGTTTAACGCCTTCCGGCTATTATAGAAGAAGTAGAAGGCTTACCTTAGAAGAACGAGCGGTTAGTAAGGATAGCCGCCTTACGCCGAACTAGACGTTAAAGAGGCCTACTTCGAGGCTTATCTAGAAGCGTTACTATTTAGAGAGAATTTACCGGACTTCTACGATAAGCTAGAGGTATTGTTTAGTAATTAGTTAGCGATAGGTAAAGGCGCGTTAAAGGCTAGCGACCTTACTAAACCGCAAGAGGGCGAAACAATAGCAGGAGATAATAAGGAGGTTATTACAACCGAGGAAGATTAGCCTACGTCGGATAAGGAGGGCTTACCGCTCGAGCGGTCGTCTAGTACTAATAGCAGTATTAGTAGAGGTAGGAAACGACGTTCTAACCTATAGAAATAGGCGGTTATAGCCTCTTAGAAGAAGAAGAAGGAAGATAAGATACCTAAGGCTCGTTCTTACTATACTAATAAGGTAACTACTACGCTATCTAACCTCGAGAAGCCCTTATAAAGAGCAATAGCTTCTCTTACTACTAGTAGGCAGTTTTCCGCTTAGCCGAAGGACACTATTATAATAGCCGCTACTCGAAGGGCTATAAACTACGAGGGCATCCAAAAGCTGTCCTTTATAAAGCGGATAAGCATTATAGATCTAATAGAAAATGAAGGTACCGCCGGGCGTATTCTCGGGTGTCTAGACTATAATCTCGAGCTAATACTAAAGTACTTATTAAAGAAGAGAGGCAAAGTAGATAAGGAAGAGGAGGAGGAGCCCTAGTCGACTATAGCTCCTACTATAGAAGTACTAGTTCGACCGACTCCTAAACAAACCGTAGGACTAATAGACTATTAAACCTAGCAAATAATAAGGCAAATAGACCCTTAGAATATACCTCCGAATTACCCTATGCACTAAATGTATTATAGGTACGGGGAATACTTATTGCCGTCGCTCTAAGAGATAGGGTTTAGTAGTTAGAATAGGTTTAATTAGTAGTAGAATACTAATAGGCGAAGCGTATTCTATAGAATACTACGGGGTTGTCTATACTATAAATTTGTATAGAGGTATTGTTAGTTTTTGTATATAGTTATTAGACCTATAACCGTAGCTGCTATTACGAGCATCCTCGTTAATGTTTTAAGCCTAAAAGACAGCTATATTTTCCTACGAGTGTACTAGCATATAAAGCTAAGCGCTAAGCTTAGCAAAAACTGTTAATTTGCGCTTTATTACTAGTTTCCTTAACAACGCTATAACTAATTTTCTTCGTTGTTTTTTTATATAAAGTATCTGCTAATTAACTCTTAACTGCTAGGAACTTAGAAGAAAAATAGTAGTGTTTCATTTATATAGGGATAATAGCGATATAGCAATAGGTATCGGGTTTTAACGCTAAGCTCGGAGCTTTCCGCTTTCTTAGTCGAGAGGACGTAGAATAGCGTCGATAGTATAACACCGCCTATAGAATCTAACTAAAGTTCTAGAAAACAGCGGAAACAGCGAAATAAGGTAAGGAATAGCGCTAAGACCTAATTATACGAAACTACGCTACGATTTCGTATACGCTCCGTTCTACTACTAACTTTACTATCCTCTCTTACTAATAATATTATTAATCGTCTTCGTACGGATTGCTACTCTCCTACCTTAGTATATACTCTCGCTATATTGCCGTCGATATCTTGTCTCTAAATACCGCTATCTTGCTTCTTATTACTATTAATAAACGGTCTATATCGGCGACCTCGTCCTTAGCGATATTATCCTTATTAAAGCTAGCATCTCGATCGTCCGGTTGCTATTAAAACACTTTATCTTCCGCCGCCTGCTTATAAGCATTAATAAAGTTATTTACGGCGTAGAGAGCGATAACAAACCGCGCCTATTAGATAGCCGAATACCCCTTATTTAGCCTATGCCTTAGTAAGAAGAACTGCTCCTTTATTATACTAAATCGCCGCTCGATATAGTTACAAAGCTGCGAATAGCGCAGATTAAATAACTCTTCCTTCCGCTTAGGCCTTATCTTAGAAGCGTTATAAGAAGGGTATATTAGCAGGTAGATAGGGTAGTAGTAGGTACGAGTAGTATTCGATAAGGAGCTAGGAGGAGAGGGAGGAAGGTAGGCAAGTTAGCCTATTACTAAGCGCTAAGCCCTGCCTAAGGTATTAAGACCCTAGCTTTACTCGAGCCCGGTTACATGCTAATTACGTGTAACCTCTTTAGTCCTAATATACGCTTCCCTTCTAAAGGCCGCGCCCTCGTAGCCGGTCTTTGTTCTAGTCTTAACCTCTATTGCTACTAACTTAGCAGGTCTAATAGGCCGCTTAGTCTGCGCTAAATTAAACGCACAACTACCGATTATATAACTATATTAAACCTTACCTCTAATATAGCACAATATGTAACTCTAACTGCGCTATCTCTATATATAATAAACTATAAAGTAATATGTATCTATAAGAATTAAAGGCCTTCGACTAATTATAATACGAGCGCGTCTTCCCTACTATAATAGGTAGACGTACGAGGTATTGCAGTACTACCTCCGTTCTAAGTAATATCGTATCGAGTTCTTTACGTCTACTCTTAAAAGACCTAGCAATGTCCGCTTCCGAGGGTTTGTTCTTGTTATTACGAGGGCTATTATTTACTTTTTAGAAAAAACACAGCTCGTCTGGTTTCTATAAGTAAAGGCTATTATAAGTGTAGTAGTTAAGGTTCGCCTCGCTTAAAGGGTTAGAAAGATCGAGGAGTAACCTATTGTCCGCAAGATCGACCCTAGCTAGCTTAGCTCTATAGTTTTGCCCTTAGTTAGTCTATTAGTTACTTAATCTTTTAGGCGGCTTAAAGTTTTGACTTAGCCTTAAAGTTTTAATTAAAGTTTTAATTAAGGTACCTTAGGCTCGTAGTATAGGTAAGGTTGTGTCTATAGGCGTAGCGATAATAGTAAGTAATATCGATAATAGCGGCGCTAGTCGTCTTAGCGCTAACTTTACCTTGCTTTCGATTTCCTTCTTCGACTAATAATACACTCTATAATACTGTTACTAATATAGCCGCGCCGGCCGTATCGCCCTTTAGTATAAGCGTAACGCCGTCGTTACTATTATTATTACTAGCACTATTCGCCTACGCGCGCGCGCGCCTCTATCGACCGCCTAGGCCTTAGGGTCCCGATAGGACGTAGAAATAAAAGGGGCGTTAAGAGGAGGACCTTATAGGGTGCGCTAGTAAGGAGGTAGATTCTTTAAAAGAGTAGGCGATTAGTTAATAGTTATAGTGCGCTCGTTAGTACTCGTTGCGCGTTCGTTATCGTAGTATAGTTTTATTGTCCTTTGCTAATAATTAATTGCCTCTAATTAGTTAGCTTAATAGCACCCTAGGGGTAGCATTATTCCTAGGCGACATTATAGGCCCTTAGCCTTCTTCTTGTTCTTTATACTAGTCTAATACTTATCTAACAACTTAGTTATGTCCTCGAAGGAACCTTTAGCTTCCTACGAGTCCTATTTAGGTAGATAACCTTGCTATCTTAGCAGGTACTCCTTCTTGCCTTACCTAGTGCAATGCTATAGAATACATTCTATAGACTATAGCTCCTTACTATCCGCTAGTATGTCTTCGTATTCTATAGGGGCTTTATCCCCTTCGCGTAGGTAGTACGGCTTAAGGAGGGATATATAGAAGGTGTTATAGATAGTATAATAGGGTAGGAGCTATAACTAATAGGCCTATATGCCCTTAGCCTCTCGAATGCAGAATAGGCTAATATATCTTAGTGCGAGCTTAGGCCTTGTTTTGCTATTAGGTAATAGGTGTTTACGGATGCGGAGGTTCTTTATACTAAGTATAACTATATCGCCTTGCTTGAAGGTTATTAGTATATAGCGCTTATCGTAGTAAGTCTTTTAGTACTCTTAGGCCTTTACTAGCTTCTTAGCTATCTTAGTATAGATTTCTCGTATCTTCTAGATACGTTCTATTGCCGCTAGCGTTTCTAGTACTTAACGCGCTTCCTTTTCCTTACGCTCGGCCTCGAGCGATAGTAGGTCTTATAGTATAGCAGCGTTTTAGCCTATTATAGCTATATAGGGCGAGATCTTAGTTAATAAATATATACTATTGTTGTACACGAATTCTATAGGCTATAGGAGGTTAACCTAATCCTCGGGGTTCTTATTAATATAGCTACGTAGGTACTACTATAGGGTAGCATTCTACCTCTCTATTTAACCGTTAGTCTATAGATAGAAGGCTATTAATAGCTAATACTTTAGTCTTAGCTATAAGCAAATCTCGCTCTAATAGTAAGATGTTAGTATCGATCTACGATCGGACACGATCCCCTTAGGGGTTCCCTAATAGGTACAGAAGATATTAGTCTATAGCGCCTCTGCTATATTAATAGTAGTCTAATCCTTGCGAGTAGGAATATAGCGAGTACCCTTAGTAAATCGGTCTATAACGACTAATATAGCGTTAAAGACGTCTTTGCTTCCTCTTCGCTTAGTAGGGGGAAGACCTATAATAAAGTCTATTATAAGCTCTATAAAAGGCTTCTTTAGAATAGGGAGTAAAGACAACTCGCTAAATAGTAAGTGCTTTAGTGCTTTAACTCGCTAGCATACTATATAGGTCTGTATATACTCCTTTATATACCGCTTACTATTTAGCTAGTAGTATATACGCGATAGTAACTCGTGCGACCTCTCTATACTATAGTAACTAGCGAGCTTACTATTATAGTGCCTCTTTAAAAGCTCTTATCTAATCGATTGTTTAGCGGGGATATAGTATCTGCCCTTAAACTTTAAGTAACCTTTGTCGTCGATCGACTAATTACTCTTACTAGATCGAGTCGTTCGCCTACTTATAAGCCTATTAATACGGTTAATAGCAAAGGCGTCCCTCTGCTAAGTACGTAACAGCTTATCTATAAACGATTAACTATCCCTATTTATAAGGTTATTTAATAGTACCCTCGCTATTAAACGAGGTACGCATTATATACATCTAATAGTACTAGCAGCTAGAACTACTACAACCTCTTCTATAGTACTATCGCTATATAGACTATTACTATAGATAGCAATGTCCTTAATCGAGTTATTATAGCTCGAGCGATCTACGTCCTTCTTAACGTATACTAGAAGAACGACAACTCCGCTATAGTATTTATTGCCGCCGCGGGGTCCGGAAGTCCGCTTATCCTACGCTTGCTTATTAATAATACGGGCTATAGCAATCTTATACTATAGGGTTAGAAACAATGAATTGATATACTAAGTCTCGCTATCGTAATTAGGTCGCCTCGATAGGCTATTAGTAGGGTTACTTACGCCTAGCCGATATAATATATTAAAATTAAACCCGGCGAGGTAGACGGCCTATCTAGCCTATCGACCTATAACCCTTATAACCTTAGTAATGCTACGTAGGTTGTTATAGTCTGTATAGACCTGAATTGTATACTAAGCACTATTAAGATAGTAGCGCTAATGCTTAAAGGCTTCTACGATTGCTAAGAGCTCTTACTCGTAGGTCTTATATCGACGTTCTATATCGATTATTTTTCGTAAAAAGAAGGCAATCGGGTGCTAGTAATAGTTATTATCTAATTGCTATAATATAATAGCCGATATAGCGAACTGTAAAGCGTTAGTCTTAATTCGGATCTGCTTGCTTAGCACGAAATAGTATAATAAGGGGACATTAGTAAAGCGTTGCTTTAGGCCGTTAAAAGCGGCTTATGCTCTATTAGTCTATTTAAACTCTCTAGTTAGGTTGGCCTTAGTTTTAGTAAGCTTAGTTAGGGGTATTACATACTATAAATAGCTCTTAATAAAGCGACGATAGAAATTAGCGAAGCCGAGGAACGACTGCAGTTCCTTAATCGACGTAGGAATAGGCTATTTAGTAATAGTTTTAATCCGATTAGGATTAGCCTTAACACCCTTAGTTAATACGAGGAAGCTAAGGAAGGACACCTCCTTAGTAGCAAAGGTGCATTTAGAAGGTTTGTAATATAGTTTATAGGCTCGTAGGCGGTCGAGGACCTTACGTACCGCGGCCTAGTATTCTACAATATTAGGTAAATATATATAAACTAGAATATTATCTAGGTAAACTATACAGAGATAGTCTAATAGGCCTAAAAGGGCTCGATTAATGTAGGACTAGAATATTGTAGGGGCATTAGCTAGGCTAAATAGTATAACTAAGTATTCGAAATAGCTATAGCGAGTACGGAAGGCTGTTTTCTATTCGTCGCCCTTATAAATGCAGATACGATAGTACGCATCCTTAATGTCTAGTATAGTATAGTAGTAAGCCCTAGAAAGGCGATCGAGGGTCTTATTAATAAGAGGGAGTAGATAGCGGTCTTTAATAGTAATAGCGTTAAGCCTACGATAGTCGATATATAGGCGTAGGCTACTATCCTTCTTTAGTACGAATAGGATAGGTGCACTAGTAGGGCTATTACTATACCGAATTCGACTATTAGCTAGGTTTTCCTCTAGGTACTTACGCAACATAGCAAGCTCTCGCTTACTAAGGTTATAGAGGGGGCTAAAAGGAACCTCCTTGCTCTCTATAATATTAATCTTATAATCCGTCTCCTTAAATATAGGCAATATCGATGCTAGGTAGTGTTTAAATATATTAATATAGGTCTTTCGGATAGGCTCTAGTATGCGAGCAAGCTAATTAGGATTATTAGGGGGCACAGGTTTATCGTTATTACTACCGAGCAGGTCGGCAGTCGGATTAGCTAAGGCAGGTGTTAGGTTGCTAATAAATAGGACCCTAATATCGTTAGGGCACTTGCTAATATTAATGTGTTTAATGTCCTCTTTCCTAGCGATTCTAAATCGCTACTTCTAGAGGCCTAGGTCTATAGCTATAGCGTAGTACTTAAGAATAGGGTTACTAATAACAATATCGGATAGGAGGCTGTCTATGTCTACTACGTAGGCAGTAAAGTCTAGCAGGCGCTCATTTCCGAGGTCGTCCTTTAGAGCTATAGGAATATAGTAGGCCCTATAGGTTAAGTACCGAGCGTTATTAAACTAAGTAAGGGTTAGTAGGTTAGTCTTCGGTAGTTGTCGAAGGTCTAATTACTTAGCTAGGCGATAGCTAATAAGGGCACTAACTGAATTTCCTAGATCTAGTATAACCTTAGTTTAATAGGTAGTGCCCTTCGTATCCTATATAAGGCAGGAGCGTATTATAGCTAGCACAATGTCGATAGTCTTACGCCGTACAAGGCTAACAGTTAGTGCGGCGCTTACTCTTTTTTCGAAGGTTAGCCTATAGGGGTAGCGTTAGCCGCTAAGAGATGCTTTCGGTATTTAGCGGAAGCACGGTCAATTCGGGCCTAGTCCTTAGGTTTGTCGCATTAGCCTAGTAAATAGCTAGTGCTATTATAATTGAAGCACTTCAATCCGGTTAGAATACTATCGTAGCTATTATTGTTAGTTAAGCGGTTAGCGTTGTAGGGATACGAGCCCCTTCTACGACCCCTATCGCGGCCTCCTCTATATAGCCGCCGGCTACGGCCTCTTCTACGATCGTTACTGTTCCTATTATTAGTATTATTGTCCTAGTAGGAACCTTAGTTTCCTCCGCGGCTACCCCGGTTACTACGGTTAGTACTAGCTAGTCGGATTCTTAATTCTAGTCGCTATTAGAGCTAAACAGCCCGTTCGGCTATTTCTACTTCGACTATAAATTAAATACATATTAGATTAGCTTGTTCGAACACGCGGCGACGGTCTAATTCGAGGATAAGCTCCTATCTAAGTTTTAGGCGTATCTCGGAGATCTATATAGAATTAGTCTTAGGCGGAAGGTCGTCTTTAAGGGTTTTTAAATAAGCCTCGAATAAGCGGGCCGATTAGTTAGTCTTTTGCTTAGCTCGAAGGTACTAGTCCTAAGCATATTGTTGCCTTAGTATAGGGTTTCTAAGGGTGTCTAGCATAATAGTTTTGTAGGTTTGCTACTAGATAGCAGTCTAGTTATTAAGGGAGTCGAAATAGTTATCCTATATACGCTTTAGGTCGCTATTAATATACTATATAGCGTATACGACTAAGGAATAGTCGTCTAGTAGCGCTCTTAGTGCGTTGCGCTAGTTAAGTTTACAGTTACGAATATAGTCGTTATACTGCTTCCGACTAGAGCTATTAAATATAGTATAGTCCTTAAGTTTAGTATCCTTCTTTTAGATAGGTAGTAAAGAAGGTCCTACTATTAGCTTAGCAGTAGTTATTAGAGATTCCTAGAGGCGGCGAATCTCGAGAAGATTATCCTTTAGCTATTGTTCTTAACGCAAGGCAGTAAGCCTGTTTTAGGTAGCTTCTTAAAGTCTCGCTACTAGTTAGGGACTAAAGGCTAGCTAGCTATATCGACGGTTAATAATATTGTTAAGAATATCGTCGATAGGCAATTCTAGGTCGTTACCTAGAATTGCAGGTTCTTCTTTAGTAGGTCCTATAGTAGGCTCTTCGGTAGGAGGCACTTTAGCAGGTGCTTTAGTAGGCACTTTAGTAGTAGGCACTATACTACTAGCGTTGTTATTGCTAGCGCTACTAGCGGTAGCACGGTTGTTATTGCTTCGTAATAAGCCGGCTATTATAATAGGGGGTAACACTAATAATATATTATTAGCCCCTAAGATACGGATATAGCGGAATTAGTAGATATTAGTCTAGTACGATTAACTTAGTATAATAGGCCGTATAGAAGGCCTTGCTTAATAATTAGTACGGTTGTTTCGATAGAATAGTACGTATAGGTCCCGTTCTTCGGGCGTAATATAGTTAGATTAGTCTTATTCGTAGCTATACCGCTAAAAGCTTAAAATAAGAACTATCTAGCTACTACCCTTAAAGGGTAGATCGAATACTATATAAGAAGGGTATATTAGTAGGTAGATAGGGTAGTAGTAGGTACGAGTAGTATTCGATAAGGAGCTAGGAGGAGAGGGAGGAAGGCAGGCAAGTTGGCCTATTACTAAGCGCCAAGCCCTGCCTGAGGCATTAAGACCCTAGCTTTACTCGAGCCCGGTTACATGCCAATTACGTATAACCTCTTTAGTCCTAATAAGCGTACTATTCTCGAAGGTAATAGCGCGTTCTTTAGTATAGTACGAGGGTATATTTAAGGTTCTTTAAATAGCTACTATCTACTAGATAATACCGCCCCTTCGGTATTCTTAGGCCCTTCCTAATAGCTAATTGTAATATAGTGCTATCCGCCGCCGAGCCCTCCTATCTAGGCAATACGTATATAATTATTCCTTCGAAGTTATAGTACGCTAATACATTCTACGATATACCTCCTTTACGGTTACGATAAGCGCCTAGATTAGACACCTTTACTGCTTTAAAAGGGACATAAGTACCGTTAAGAGCGCTAATACAACCCGAGAAATATAGCTAGAATTTAGGGTTATCGGATATCTCGCGAGAGGTCGGTTTATTGCCTAGCTACCGCGCCTTGTCTCTAAATATAGCATATAATAGTCGACTAATCTTAAGAATAGCTCTTCGACAGCTTAATAGCGAGTGTTAATACAGTCTACGCAGTTAGCGGTTAGTGCAGCCGTACGCGGCTATATTAAGGAATATAACTACTTGTTCCGCTAGACTAATTCTATAGCCTCTAGTAAGGCCGTATTCGTCGACGAGAGTGCTAATTAACGCTTTAAGAATAGGTTGTCGAAGCCTCGTCGTATTATAATAATACTCCGGCGGTCTAACTAGCATTATCTATATCTACTAAGAGCCTAATTCTAGCGCTATAAGGCTCGTTATTATACCTACTAGTCGATACTTTAGTCGTTCTACCTCTTCTAATAGTATACGCGCTGTTTACAGTATCGTATAAATCGCTAGGTATAGTACGAAGCCTTCGAGGCTCTTAATATCTGCCTCTTCTATCGTTATAGCGACTATTTAGTTATTATAGCAATTATATAAGAAAGAGCAAGGTATATTAGACTAAACTAGAAGGAGATAGAGCCGTACGAGAACAGGCACCTTGCTATTAGCAGTTTAATTATAAAAGCGAGTCTCTCTAGCTAAAGGGCCGCTTTTAAAATTAGCCTATCTAAAGGCCTAAATTATAGATAATTAGACTAACTTATAGATAGGCTAGATAAGACACTTAATTATAGGTATTCAACGCTGCTTATAATGGACCTACTCGTCTTATAGATAAGTGGCCTTAATTATCGATAATTGAGCGCGAGGTATTCGGGGCCTCAGTGAGCGCTTTTCCGCGTGAGCACTGCGGGCACGGCAGCAAATCCGACGTTGATGCCGCCCGGCACCGCACGGCACCGGCACCGTACCGCACCGATTCCTGGCGACGTGCCTGGCTCTTTGCCCAGCTGCGGGCGATGGTGATTTGAGGTGGTCAGGCATGTGGTACTTTGGGGCCCCGGGCGAAACGAAGTTGAGACCGATGCCTCAGCCAGCAATGCTAGTTTTGGTTGGCGCGGCGTGGAGCAGCAGCGTAAGCGGTGGAACAAGCTTTCGAACAGTCGGCGTCGGCGTCGGCGTGTCCATGTCCATCTCCATTCTCTCCAGCCGGTACAGTAGTCGGAAGGCAACATTGCTCTTTGTCGCAAGGCCGGCCTTGGAACGAGCGGTTCATGCACTGCATTGCGTACAAGTCAGACGGCAGCGGGACAGTGCTGTAGCACGGCAGTAAATTAAGATTTGGTAGCGCGGTCGGACACGGGTTTGCAACGGCGAGCTGGCTGCCGATAACCTGGTTATTGTTGTTGAAGGCCACCTTGACTGCGGTAAGCGCAGCCTGCTGGCGCATTCCCTTTTCAGCGCTGCGCTTCGGGTTGTATACAGCATCGCATGCACGCACACGGCCCAGTAGTGCACATGGGACGGCGGGCGACCAAGGTATGCCGCATTTGTGCTCTGTGGGACGCGCGCCTGGCACCTGGAACCCCGTCCTGTCTGGCTGCTGGCCCGCGCTGGGGTGCTGGTGCTGGTGCTGGTGCTGGTGCTGGTGCTGGTGCTGGTGCTGGTGCTGGTCCTGCTGCACGTGGGGTTGGCACACGGAAAATGCCCGCTACATACATGTATTCGGAAGACGTCAGAACGGCCAGCCTGGCCAACCCTTGCTCATTCGCTACCAAAACGCCGTCTACTCTGTCGCTGGTCTTGACGCCTTCGCGCAGCTGCAGCACCCTCAATCCCAGGCCAGGGCATCTGGATGCGCTCTTGCCTGCCTTAGCGCCGGCCCGTGTGTGTCGCGACCAGAGGCATTAATAAGTATACCGCACCGCACCGCACTATCCCTGCCCTCCCACTGCACCGACCGCTCTTTCTCGTTGTCGATGTGCACGACATCGCTTCACCTCGTGCTACGCCTGCTTCTCTTCCAAGCCCCTTCGCCCAAAACCCGTGCCGACGACCACTGCCCGTTCTTGCCTCGTAGCGCACGCATGATCTTCGGCCGCCCCACCATTGCCTCTCAAATACCGTGCTTCCATCCTCTCCAGACTGCATGAGTGCGCCAACCGCCGCATATCTCGAGCCTGTTGCTGCTCTTGGACCTCCTCCCTCGCCAACCATATATTCCCGGCTGCATCGAGGCACAGCGCTCACATTGCTCCCCCGAATCGTCAGATGACGCTCGCATACGCGCCCGGCACACGTGAATCTAAGCATCTATGTCGCATCCAGGCCGGCCGTCACCTCTCCAGCCTCCGTTCATGAGCAGTGAGCCGAACAGCATGGCTCAAATACAGCATCAGTCGACCTTTCCGCCACCAAGTTTCCGGGGAACACCAGAACAGCGCTCCTCAGGGCCGCAGCTGCCTCCCATTCACTCCGTGCCGCCCCTTCGACCAAGTCAAGAACATGCTGCCTCTTCGCTACAACTGCCGCCAATGCAAGTAGCACCACCTGCATTGCCCTCACCATCGAGGCCGCCCACCAGGTCCATCCCAGTCGCCCAACTCCTGTCCTCCAACCCGCCTTCTCCACCACCATCACAGCCGGCGACTGCAGCGCAACAACCAGTCCCCCGACCATCGCCCACGACCTCTGGCAATCCGGCACCTGAGCCTCGCCTGCCACCTCAACAATATCAACCAGCACCACAATATCGCTACGACCAGGTCTCCATCCCGCAAAGACAGCCACAACCCATCTCCCACCAGGAACAATACGCCAATGCACAGTATCCGAGAACGCAGTATCCCACTGCTCGTCCTCCAACAGTGAGCACAGACCAAAGTGTACCACGACAGTATAGTCCAGCCCTCAGCTCTTTCTCTTCGCCCGCAAGCTACACCCACTCAGAGCCATCTCCGAGGTCTTCTCTTGCGCCGTCAAGCTACGGTCGGTCTCAGCGCGGCCAAATTCAACAGCCACCTCCACTCAACTACACTTTGAGCATACGTCAACAGCCAGCCGCCGCACGAGCCTGCGGTTTCGGGGAGCGCGATCGGCGTGTCATTGACCCTCCTCCGATTATTGAGCTCCAGATCACCGATCGTGATGGTGTCCCGGAATGCGATTCCACCGGCATGCTTGCGCTGCATTGCACGCTTCTGAGTCCCGACGGGAGTGACGACGAGACAGAGCTACCGCCTGCGCATCCAGACATGCCTTCCACCCGAAGACTGATGGGCACTCTTGTCGCATCACCTTATCCGGCCAAGGACGAGAACAATCGTGCAGGCACATTCTTCGTGTTTCCTGACTTGAGCTGTCGATCGCCAGGCAAGTATCGGTTGAAGTTCAAACTCTTGCGCATAGATCCCACCAACATCGTGCCGGGCGTCAAATTCAAGGGAGATGTCGCGACCATCGTGACCGAAGTCTTCAGCGTGTTTACCGCCAAAGATTTCCCCGGAATGCGTGCCAGTAGCGCTCTGCTGAAATCGCTCCGACGGCAAGGCCTGAATGTCGGCGTAAAGAAAGGATCAGAGGCACGAAAAGGCAAGGGCAAGCCGAAGAAAGAAATCGAGAGCTCGGCGTCTTCTGACAATGATTCTGATGGTGGTAACTCATACACTTCTGGCAGTAATAGCCCGAACTCCAAGTCCCATTTCAGAAAGAAGGGAAAGAGGAGAAAGCACGATGAATAGTAGCGTGGGAGTCTGAGCAGTGGCGCTTTTTGTATTGATGGTGCGGCAACTTATGCCTGTCTGGACCGTCAATCTTTATCGTGCGCGGTGCGCGAGACCAACCGATGTGCGTGCGACGCTCACTTGTTGCACAGATGTTCTAATCAGCCGAGTTATGTGGAGGGTCAGCTTCAATTATCAATCTATGGTCAGGCAGCATTGTATATTCTGGATTCTTCCTGCAGTAGCAGCAGCAGCAAAGCGACGAGCACTTTCGACTGAGCTGGGCTTTCAGTGCCCGATTTTTGGAGTGTTGGAGTAATGGTATGAAGGATGCCGGCGACTCTGAATCCGCCGTGAACGAGAGAGAGACTGTTGATGACCAAACGAGATATAATTTCTAGGTATGCATAGTGGCTCAGTGCTGCGGCCCCATGATTGTGAACATTTCTTTGGCGCGCGGGTGGAGATCTTGATTTACATGTAACCTTAGTCTAGAGCAGCAGCATGGCAATGGAACGGTTCTCCTATCATCGCTTCGACGCGCGACGACAACTTCCACTGGCAGCTACTTCGCGAAAACACCTACAATCGGCGTCCACGATATTGTCGAGTGTACTGTACAGGGCGCCCGAACGCCCAATAAAAGTGAGGCTTGCAATTACATACATGGCCAAGTTGTTGCTCAGGCCCCGACCGGTTGCCATCGATTATAGCATAATCTCATCGATTATAGCCTAATCGATTACAGCAACCACTATAATCAGTTGTTATCCGATTGTAATCGATTGCCACTTTCTAGGTTATATAGCATGCTCGTAATCTCGCTGTATTATTGCTATATATAGTATAATCGGCAAAACTAGGTCTAGAGGTAGTTTTATAGCTATCCGTACACCTATTTAGACTTCCGCTAGGCGCCGCTATATCTACCTCTTTTTAACTATAGAATTCGATAGTATAGCGATTTTAAAGGTATAGGTAGACGTTATAGACGATTTAACGGTCTTATTGCTAGCGCTAAGCGCTCTTAGTGCTATAGTACCGCTATTCTTCTTCTAAGAGGTGCTACGCTTCCGTAGGCAAGGCGCCTATCGACCGAGCGGCCGTATATCGACGTAGGTAGAGCGCAATAAGTTTAAGAAAGAGGCGTTTTAAATACTAAATAGACCGAAGCGATATTATTACGATCGGACGCGTTTACGATAGCCGGTACTACGAGCGTTTATCGAGGAATTGAAGAAGTATAGATTAGAAGGCAAGAGATACTCGGCAGAAGCGAGGGTATATATATTTCTCGTATATATTAGCTATAATAGCACCTGCGTAGAGTTAGCGACTAAATTTAGTGTCTTACGAGATATACCGTATAGAATAGTACCGGAGGTTTCTAAGTATATATATCGAATAGCAAAGGACTAGATTAAGTTGCTATAACTATCTTAGAATAGCGAGATTCTACTATAGGCGGAAGGGTCTAGCAATAGTATATTCTAGCTATATTTTAAGGGTTGTCTAGGCGTAATAGACGGTACCTTATTAATTGCTAATTTACCGAAGATTAACTAAAATCTATAGCGTTATCGGAAGGGCTATATTGCTTAGAATGTAATAGCTGCGTACGACTTAGACCTACGCTTTCTATTTATTATGCCTAGTTACGAGGGATTAGCGACTAATAGTATAGTGCTAAGAAAGGCCTATTCTAGTAGCTTTAACGTACCTAATAGATACTTCTACCTAGCCGACGGTAGCTATTCCTTTAAGGATCTACGCCTTCTCGTACCGTACTAGAAGACACGATATTACCTTCGTAAGTAGGGTAAGGCGGAAGCGAGGCTAGAGACCTATAAGGAAATATTCAACCTCCGCTACGCTTAGCTCCGTAACTATATCGAGAGGGTGTTTAGTATAATAAACCGACGATTTAGGATTATTAAAGAAGGTCTAAGTGCATAGTTAATCGCTTAGTAAAGCCGCTTTGTTATCGCCTATACTATTATCTATAACTTTATTATTTCCGATAGTCGACAACCGCTATCGAGCGAGCCTAATTTACTGCCGACTAATGCTAAATTAGACGCGGAAAGGGCGGCGGATACTACGGCGGAGGTTTATAAGGATAATAGGCGGCACGCTAATACGATAGGCGATAAATCTTATACGGATTATCGTAATAGGATAGGGAAATAGATGCTTGCTAATTATAAGGTATACCTAGCGAAGAAAGGACTTAATATAAGGGCGCAAAAACGAGAAGTACCGGATAGAGTGCGGCGTAGGATATAGGGAGGTTATCGAATATAGAGGGAAACAATAAAGGCTAATTTTAGTAAGGAGTTTAGTAAGGAAGGCTAGTTATATATTTCTATAGTTATAATAGCGCTTCTTGCGTACTATTATCGTCCTCTAGTCGAAATTCTAGTAGGGTTAGAATTGCCGGTCTTAGCATACTTTTATAATATTAGAGTTCGAGCTAATAGGATATAGTTTTTTTGCATATGCAAGCAGCCGTATGTAACCAATATTTGCTAGTAAAAATTAACAACACCTCTATACAAATTAATAGTATAGACGTTAGCGTGCATTTACGACGAATTTTAGTCCTAATACTACGAATCTTCCTATTATAGTGCCGCAATTTAAGTATATATATAAACTTCTTCTACTACTTTTAACCCTTCTTATTTATAATAACCTATCGTCGATAACCTAATAGTACGTATCCACCGTCTAGCTGCATCTGCTGCAGGTAGCTATTATGTAGGTCGTTCGCCCTCCTTAGATCTACTAATACTAATATAAAGTATTCCTTAAACTGCTACTAGTTTATCGATAAGGCGACCTTAGTATAGTCGTATTTACTATTCTTCTTCGCGACCTCGCGCACTAATAACATCCGATTGCCGCTTAGTATATCCTAGTCCTTCTACGTATTCTTATCGAGTAGGCGCTTAGTTATAATAGCGACGGTAGAGCTAGCATTAGCAGCGGCCTTATTATTAGTACGTTGCTGTTTAGCTAACTTCCTCGCAGTAGTACGCTCTTCCTTTCCGTCCTTTATAACCTCCGCCGCTATTAACAATAATAGCTCGAATGCCTTCTCTAGGGCTTTAGCAATACTAGCATTTTATATAGCCGTATCTTCTTGCTTCCTATAAATACGATCGGCCTCCTTCTATATCTTCTTTTAGTACCGCTCCTGCGTCTTCGCTACATTTACAACTATTAGTTATTTAGCCGTTAGCGCTATACTATTAACGACCTCGCCTATTACCTTAACCTCTGCCTCCGCCCCTGCCTCTATACCTGCCTCTACGTCCGACTCCGAGCCGCTATCGACCTCGCTATCCGCTAATTCTTCGTACGAAGCGACATAATTACCTACTACTATATCCTAACCGACTAACTCGTCTATAAGATCGAAATATTTAGGCAATTCGTTATAGAAGGCGGTATACCGCGGGTTAGCCTCGAAGTAAGCGTCTTCTATATTACTCTTAGCCGTTAGGGGCATACTATTCTAGCCGCTAATATACTTCAAATAGCATACCTAATAGCTCTAGTCCTTCTTAATAGACGACTAGCGGTTCTTTAAGGCTTAGTCGTTACGCTAGATATTAAACTTCTTGTTTATTAACGTTGCGAGGTTACGTAGGTCCGGAAGCCTAAAGTTGTTAGCATTAGTGCCTCTGCCGACCTTCTTTAACTCGATTAATTGCTCGAGGAAATATTTAGTCTGCGGCTAAGTCTAATAGACTAGCGTAGTGCGACTCTGCTTATTAGTCGATTAAGAGTCTATTAGAGTCGCTATAGCGGCGCGCTTCCGACGGTTAACTGCTAGAGTCCGTAGTTTATTAGTCTAAGATACTATAGTAGTATCGAATAGCAGAGATTAAGAGAGATTAGCTACTAACTTCTATAGCTAAACTATAGTGAAATCGGCTACTTTTAAGTATATATACTCCTTCCGACCTCGTACGACGATCTCCTATACTGCCTCGTATACCTCCTTCTTCTTAGTACGCTAATCCGCTACCTACTGTAGCACCTGCGGGCTACTATAAGAGCTACGATTATAGAAGTTTATTAATAAAGCGGAAGGAAGCGGAGGTCAATAAAGTGGATACCAGATACCTGTCCTTGACCGGTTATAATCGATTATAGCGGTCTATAATCCGAGCAGATTATGTGGCTTCTATAATCTAATAGATTATGCTATAATCGATGGCAACCGGTCGGGGCCTCACTTTTGGCAAATCCAGCTGGACTTGTCACTGCCAGGGTGCCTGCCTTTCTGTGCCTCTTTTTGAACAAGGTCCACTACTGCCAACATGAATGACCTTCGGGAAGAGTCAGCAGTCAAGCATGGTATTTGAAAAGAGGACCGAGTTGGGTGCCGTGCCGAAACCTGAGTTTGAACCTACGGAGACCAGGACAGCACTTCAAAGATCCCGCGAGCTGCAAAATTCAAATGCAGCGATGGGAGTGGCCGCAAGCGCAAGATTGTCCTCCCGGACCATTTTTATTTTTATTATTATTACTTGTGAGGGTCGTTCGTGGCCTTGCTCAATGCCCACCCACCCAGTACCTACATCAAAAGGTGCGACCACTTTTTTTTTCCACTTGGAGGCTTCTGGTCGTCTCACGGTTGCCGCATGGCATGGCATGGCATGCTCGATGCAAGACCAAAAAAAAAACACAAATCCCCTTTGACTCTGAGACAAGGCATGGTGCACGCCGAATGACAATGGATCACCCTTTTCGCATCTGCGGAGTTCGAATAGTAAGGTAGGAAAGTCTGTTGGTTTTTGATACTCAGTGCACATTTGATCGGTGTGCCGGGTTCGAGGAAAAGGATATCCGGAATCTCAATATGGGGTCTTCATCAGGAACGCGGTAGTTAGCTGATGATCCATCGTCCTGAACACCGCCTGTGGGTCTGCTACGATGAATTTGATGAAAACAACCTGATGATGAGAAGCGCGATGTGAGGCATCTTCGAGCATGGCCATGCCAAAGAGGTATCCCACACCCGGGGACAACGATCATGCATACCGAACAGCAGTCAATGGGATGTGGCCAATCTTGAGTCTGCCACATTCGGTTGCTCCACTGAAAGAAATTCCAACAGCATGGTTATCCTTCATGGAACATCCCATTCTTCGCGACTCGATTCCAGCTTGGCATCGTCGCCAGCCCCGAGCTTCTGCGCGGCCCTGCGTGGGAGCAATGATGAAAGAGAAAAGCAGTTTGGATCACGGCCATCTGCTGTAGCTTGGATGTGCGTCTCCTGCTTGGTTGCATCGATGGCAAGGGCCTTGGAAACTTTCTTTCATGCTCAAGGTTGCCATCCATATCCAGGTGACGCAAGACGGATAGTTCTGCGAATGCCGTTCCGGAATTGATCCCACCCCCACCACCAACAAACAACAGCAAGCGTGTGGAGTGAAGAATCAAATTTCCCGCCCGTGTCAGCACGTCGAATATCTGAACGGCTGCACCCGTCGAGTCGGCACTTCTTGTTATTATTATGTAGCTGTGCCTGGTCATCGACGAATCCTTGGTGCTTGATCGTGTCTGGGGGCGGAAACGCGAAAGCACGATCTTCGATAGTGACCAGATTGCGCGCGTGCGTCTTGTAGGGTTGTACATACATACTGCACAGGGATGCTTGAAAGCATGGGATGCCCGTTTTCCCTCGGCGCCGGGACGCTGTACCGCAAGCGACTTTGTCATGGTTGTTGCCAATCCCCAGACGGGCGACGAACAGAGCGGCGACTGATGAGGTCGACGATTGCGCGATAACCCGAGCTTGCACAGGATCAGATGCGATGCAATTATTATTAGGTGGCGGAAGGAAGCAGTTGTCCTCGTACCTTCCTCCGCTTCTATTGAATCTCGCATTGGACTGGGACCTGCTGTGTTGGCAAGCACAATAAAGTACAATTCTACGTTACCACGGCTTGTGTCCATCTTGCAAGTCCAACCTTCGTCCCTACCCCAGTCATTTTCAAATTCAATCATTGGAAGCTTTCCCATTGACTCCAATCAAGTCGATATAGAGGATATGCTCGCTGGAAAGTCGACCGCCTGCCAGAGTCGTTGTGTAGGGGTTTGGCCATCTGCTAGGCTTCGAAGCTGGCCGTCTAAATCTATTATTTAAGAGTCTTCTCCGCCTCGAACACCCCCTGGACACCTGGAGCAAAGAGTCGATAAGGCGGTAGATTATGCACCAGAATCCATGGACCTGATGGCACTCAGCCACTTCGGCTCCTTCGCACAACCTCATCCAGCATGCCTGCACTAGCGGCGATGAATCCCAAGTACGGCTTCGATGGTTCCAAGACGCGACTGAGGTACTCAGGGTGGAATTGGACGCCAACGAACCACGGATGATCCTTGAATTCAATGACCTCCATCCTGACGCCTGTCTCGTCCTTGCCAATGAATGTCAAGCCAGCCTCCTCAAGTTGGCTGATGTATTCCGGGTTGACTTCGTAGCGATGACGGTGTCTCTCGTTGATGTGGTCATTTTTCACTCCGTAGAGGGACCGCAACTTACTCCACTCCGAATTGGGCTGCCAGAATGTTGGCTTGATACCCAACCGCATGGTTGCGCCCATTTGACCAGGGTTGTGCTCTGGCATATCGATCACGACCCGATCCGGATCATTGCCATCAAATTCGAAAGAGGTAGCCTTGGGCAGCGGAACGTTGCACACATTGCGTGCGAATTCGATCACGGCGATTTGCATTCCCAAGCACACGCCCAGGTATGGTGTCTTATTCGTCCTTGCCCAATGTGCTGCGGCAACCATGCCTTCAGTGCCTCTGTTACCGAAACCACCTGGCACAAGAATTCCCGAAGCCGTGCAAACGTCATGCCACGCCTTGTGGTACGCTGCAGGGTCGGTTCTGTTGGTGGCCGTCTCTAGATGCTCAGCGTCAACATTCTTGACCTTGAGCTTCTTCCGGCAATACATCGCTGCGTGCTCCAGGGCTTTGATGACTGAACAGTAAGCATCGGGCTGGTCGAGATACTTGCCAACAAGAACAATCTCGATGGTCTCGTGGACATGCTCAAGACCCAGAGTAAGGCGCCGCCAGGTCTCCCAGATGTTGACGCCCTTTTCTTTCAACTCCGGTGAGAGCTTGAGCGCATCCAATTGCAGGGCCGAAGTGAGCAGCCTAACCAGGTTCTGCTCGTGGAGGAGGATTGGCACCTGGTATGTTGATGGCATGTCTCTGACTGCCAGCACATTCTCATTCTGCACTTGGCAGAAACGTGCAATCTTGTCAATTGCTCCTGCATCCAATGGCTTCTCGCAACGGCACGCAATCAGATCCGGGATCAGACCTGCGGAGCGGACGGCTTTGATTGCCATCTGAGTAGGCTTGGTCTTCTGCTCTCCATGCACGACCGGCACGTATGAAACGTGGATTTGCATGAAGTTGTCGCGACCAGCGTTTCTTCTCAATTCGCAAAGAGCCTCGACGAATGCCATGCTTTCGATGTCACCAACTGTACCGCCCAATTCGACAATGCAGACATCTGGCTCTTCTCCGGTGTCATCGACAGGAATTCTCGCGACCCGCGCGATCCAATCCTCGATTTCACCCGTGACATGCGGCACTACCTGGACAGTCTTGCCCAAGTACTTGCCATTACGCTCCTTCCAGATGACTCTCTCGTAGATCTTGCCGGTAGTGATGTTGTTGTCTCTAGTCAAAGTGATGTTGAGGTATCGCTCGTAATTTCCCAAGTCGAGATCGGTCTCTCCGCCGTCGTTCAAGACGTAAACCTCGCCATGCTCGCGTGGATTCATAAGGCCAGCGTCGACATTGATGTAAGGATCGATCTTGATACTGGAGACTTTCAGACCCATAGTCTTGAGCAGCAGGCCTGCAGAAGAGGCTTGGAAGTGTGAGCAGTCACTCGTACTTCATAATGCATCAATGCCATACCAATAATGCCTTTTCCCACGCCGCTGATCACGCCTAGACATAAAGTCAATTTAGGTGGCCGAAGCGAGTCTGAATCATGTTACAAACCTCCAGATACCAGAACGTACTTCATCTTGTCGAGTTTGACCTTGTCGTCGCCTTACTCGAACCTGTCGAGCGGAAGGAAAGAAGGGAAGAGAAATTTGGCCGAGTCGCGCCTTCTAAGGCAGACGCGACAGCGGGGAAACTTTAAGGTTCATCCCGTGCACTAGCCTGTTTTCAGTTCGAGTCTCATTGCTCTCCTGCATGTGAAGACGTCCTCACACTCCTTCACTTGCAACTTTCACAAGACTCAGTCGACGCTTCCGCACGGTCCCCATCAACTTGCGATCGAAATTTGTTGATGTAGCAGACCTCTATGGACGGCGGCGAACAATACTGGCGGAACGCGACCTCTTCACATCCGAGCAAGTCTTGAGCCGCTATACGCCATTGCTTTTCCTGGTCTTATTGAAATGTTCATGGCTACAGATTGCCACGTTTTACCTTAACTTGAATTTATTATTACCGATGGCCGTCAAGACGTTGTTCGAAAGCAAAGAGCACACGAATTCACGGCATAGACCTCGAGCTCCTGAGCTGAGCTGAGCTTGAGCTTGAGCTTGCCCTGCAGGTGCACGGCAAGTCTTGCATCATCATAACCCATCCATGTAGCCATTGTAACGAAGAGCAAGGCGGGACCAGATCCATCAAAGTATGATAAGGTGATTGATATAAATGAAGTGTCTCCGCCACATTCCTTTCTCATCCTCCCATCTCAAGCAGCGATGAAGCTCGCAACGACCGTGCTGCCATTGGCAGCTCTTGGAGCATCTCAAGACAACCAGATCCCATTGAATACTCAGGATTCCCGACCTCTGACATTGGCTGACATGAGCCTTTTGGGCTTCGGAACATGGAACTTGAAAGAGGCGAACACCAGCGAAGCTGTCTCATGGGCCATCCAAGTTGGGTACAGACACATCGATTGTGCCGCTGCTTACTACAACGAGGAAGAAGTAGGCAAGGGAATCGCCGATGGACTGGCTAAGACGGGCTTGACAAGAGAAGATCTATGGATTACTAGTAAGCTATGGAACGACCATCACGACAAAGTTGAAGCCGGCATCAATGGCTCGTTGCAAAAGCTAGGCCTAACCTATCTCGATCTCTATCACATGCACTGGCCCGTCGCAGGCTCTGGAAGCGACAGTTATATCTCCTACCACGATACGTGGGAAGCGATGACCAAACTCCAACAAAGCGGCAAAGCTAGGTAAGAACAAAATCTCACACGCCCATATACAGTACTGACATAGATCCCACCACAGACACATCGGCGTCTGCAACTTCTCCCCTGACCAACTCACCTCCCTCCTCAACAAAACCTCCGTGCCCCCACAAGTCCACCAAATGGAACTCCACCCCTACCTCCCTCAAACCACGTGGCTAAACTTCCACAGCCGCCACAAAATCCACGTAACAGCCTACAGTCCCCTCGCCGGCACGAATCCAACCTACAAAGACCCACCTCCCCCCGACCCACTCCTCAAAAACAAAATCCTCCACAAGATCGCGAAGAAACGAAACTGTACACCTGCTCAAGTCGCTCTACAATGGGGAATGGCGAGAGGGACGTCGGTGATTCCGAAGAGTATCCACAAAGATTACATCACGGAGAATTTTCAAGCGCTGGAATGTGGCTTGAAGAAGAAGGATTTGGAGAAGATTGATCGATTGGGGAGGTTTCATCATAGGTATAATAATCCGAGTGAGAGTTGGGGGGTTGGTCTTTATGAAGGGTTGGAGGATGATGATGGGAGGCATAAGGGGGCGAAGTGGTTTAGGAAGAAGGAAGGAGAGGAAGATGTAGGCCGGGAGAGGTTGTGAGCGAGAGGTGTTGAGAGGGCGCGGAAAAGCTAGTTTAATGTGAAGTGTAAGAAGAATATGGAGTGAACCAAACTGTGTGTACCGGTACATTCAGAAGCCCGGAGACATGAACAAAGGGCTCGATTCACATGCTGGAACGAGTAGGTTCCAAAGCATAAGACATTTATTCGTGAACTTATATCTCTTATCATCACCATCTGTACTCTTCCATTTCCACTGCTGTCCCACCATCCAAAAACTATCCACCCAGTAGCGCTATGTCTCCACCGACCAAACCCAAAATCAAGCTCATCATCAAGCGAAACAACAGTGGCACCTTGAACGCCTCATCGTATCCGACATCAAACTCCGAAAAAGAGCCCTCGCCTCAGCCCATCGAGCCCATCACTTCAGAACTCAAGCTCCCAGCGAAGCCCACACTGCAGCAAGCTCAAGAGCTTCTCCGGCGTTTTGGCGAAGACCCGATTCCGCTGATCTACGATGTCAAGAAACAAGAGGCGATTCCAGGTTCTGCTAGAATGACTGTCCTTGAGTCGAGGAGAAGATATGGCAAATCGGTAGGTTGTCTTGGTCCGTATGCCATAGGTAGAAGGTAAGTATGTCTCATGTTCGGGCACACAAAATAAACATCGTAAGCTGAGCAAATCCAGCATGTCAGAGAAAGTTGCGCTCAAGCGTCTGCAAGCGAACAGAGAAGCTGCTCGAGTGGCTGCGCGTGCTGAGAAGACCGCCAAGCAGACCACAGACCAGCCGGTGGCTTGGACAGGTGCTTTCTTCAGCAACACTTGTTCGCGAATGTTGCTGAAGGAGTACGAGCTTTGCATGGCCATGACCATGGCAGTTGTCGGAGACGTTGCGCAATCCAAAGAGTCGACCACCATGGCCACGAAAGCCATCACTCCAGTTGACACGCCTATACGAAAGACACCTAAGCGGAAGGCTGCAACAGCAGCAGGTCCAGGAATCGCGAATTCCAGTGAGAAGTCCAGTGCGAAGCGGCGGAAGAGATGATCTTTTGCAGGTCGGTTTCATCATTCGCTTGAATATCTGCTTGAAGCTGATGAGTTTCTAGTGCGAATGTCCATGGCACGATCCCGCCTTGAACAGCTGCATCCAGAACAGGCACTTCCACAACTCTCACAGCCTAAGCCGTCGCCATCCGGACCACTGACCATCTTTTTGGCAACGCCGGCGAGGGCCCTCGCTACTGTCACTTCAAACATGGCCTTTTTCAGATCCTCACTGATGTCTTGGCATATCACGGACTTTGGCGTGTCGTGGTAGAGGAAAGCGGCTTCGGCATCTCCATAGAGATCTTCCAGATGTGTATATCGTCGCTCGGCGTCAGCAACTTGGTCAGTGATCTGCTCGAGTCGGCCCTCCAAGCGATCGATCACGGTTCGAATGCGGGTGAGAGCAAGATCGACTTGAGAAGCCGAGTCGGTCGCGTAAGCATTATTGTATGCGAGGTCGTGGTAAGAAGTCGGCGTTTTTGGGCTATCGTCCATATTGTGAATGTAAATGTTCTCGTTATGAAGCTGTAAGGATAGTTTGCTTGCCGGCGCAGATGCTATTGATGGGTGCGAAGTTATGTGCAGGCGGCGAATACTAAGGAGTGACTGCCGTGGGAAAGTCGGTCGGGCGCTCAAAGCTGTTGGTGGCAGGAGATCACTTTCTTATGTAGTGTTGATGCGCTGGGTAGCCGGTCACAGCCGATAGGGTTCCGTCAAACTCAAGAGATGTTGGGAGATTTGATTACTGTCCAAAAATAAGTAGACCCTTGCGTGGCCTGTCTCGACATGCAATAATAGCCTCCTATTCTGTGGTGCCATGCGTTTGCTTTATTACAGCCATAGCGCACCCTGCTTGGCAAGCCGAAGCTTATAGTTCTACTCCTCCGTAGCAGTCGGTCGCAATTTGCGGTGTTGGTGCGGCAAATGGCGAATGGATGCTGTTGGCTTGCACTTGTCCAATGCCTTCTCATCCAACGCTGTTCCGAAGTGGATTGGTCTTTACAGTCGTGCCACCGACAGCATGGTCGGCTTGGAGCATGTGCCTGTCGTCGCGCGCATGGTGGGCGTGGTGGAGAGGAGGAGGTTGCTTCCAGAAGCCGGCGCTTTGAGCAACGGATCGTACGGTCGTAGGTTCGCCCTGGGCTGTGGCAATGGCCAGGTCGGCAAGAAGCACGACTCCGAGTCCTTGAAGCACGAGTAGGCGCATCTGCTTCGGCGAAGGTGCTGGTGTTCGCTGGAGGCCGAGAAATGTGCGACGTTGGTGGAGGGCGTACAGTCGCTGTGCGGGCACAAGGCCTCTGCGCGGGAACAAGGGCATTTTCGATGGCTATCGTATGGCAGGCACTGCAGTCTCACAGATGGTATTCTAGATGAGCGAAGCGTCGTTCAGAGTGATCGAATCCCGTGACGTGTAGTTCTACAGCTGCGCCGGATGATGCGACCGAAAAGCGAAAAGCCGTTGCCGTCTGCACGTGGCGGAGAGGCGTCGGTGTCACCCATGTTCGCTAGTTTCGCTACGCTGCGCTACGCTATATCGATATTCTATCAGGTACTGCAGCGCGGCTGACGAGTGCTGAACGCAGTGGGCTATGCGACTGCCATTTCCATGCCATGCGCAATACGACCATCTGGCAGCACCGAATCCACGGCTAGCCTTCACCATCCATCCCGAACGGCCGCGTAGGCACGCTGCGCAAGAGCGTGGAGTCTGATGCTCAAGCACAATAGCGGAAACACTTCCATCCGCCGAGTGCCTTGAGCCATCATGGCAGGCAGGCAGGCCTACAACAATCGCAGCCAAGGCCAGCAGGACGACGATCTGCTCGGCTTAGACGACGAAGAGGCGCCGTATTACAGCAGCGGCAGTCGCCCACCCGTGAGCGACGACCGCATACTGCACGACTACCACACACAGCGCCGCATTAGCACTTCGCATGATGATTTCGTCGGCTCCTCTCCACAGCATGCACCGCATCCCACCGCCTCTGTGCCTGGCGCGCCAGCATACGCCCCTGCTTCAGGCTTGCACGCGCCTCCGACACTGGGAGAGCAGGGCAGGCAGATGTCGCAGACGTCCGGCCTAAACGACTACCAGCGCTACTCTGACCTGGATTACGACGACACTGCTTCAATGCAGGGAGGCTACTACGCCGCGGGAGCGCAGATCGACGAAGATGCCATACCCATACAGCACGGCCAGCGCAAGCACAGAAACCGGAACAGCATATTAAGTCTGGGCGGAGGATTAATTGGGAAAGCAAAACACGCCATGGGCATGGCACCAGAGTACAGCGAGATGGACCTGCCTTTGACGGAGCAAGGCGCTGCTCGCATGCAGCCAGGAGCTGGAGAACCACCGAGGAAGACGCCTGGCGCAAAGTTCAAGTTTGGTCTGCCTGGCCGAAGCAAGCCCGACCCATCTACACTTGGGCCCAGGATAATACACCTGAACAACCCGCCCGCCAATGCTTCCAACAGATATGCCGACAACCATGTTTCCACGACCAAGTACAACGCTGTGACCTTTTTACCCAAGTTCTTATTCGAGCAATTCAGCAAGTACGCCAACTTGTTCTTCTTGTTCACCGCCATCTTGCAACAGATACCCAACATCAGTCCAACCAACAGATACACCACTATTGTGCCTTTGGGAATTGTATTACTAGTTTCTGCCATCAAAGAAGCAGTGGAGGACAACCGGAGACGATCCCAGGACACCCAGCTTAATCGAAGTCCCGCACGAGCTCTGAGAGGAACCAGTTTTCAGGATGTGAAGTGGATTGATATCAAAGTCGGAGACATTATCCGCATCGAATCAGAGGAGCCTTTTCCAGCAGACGTGGTGCTATTGGCATCATCAGAACCAGAAGGATTGTGCTACATTGAAACAGCGAACCTAGATGGTGAGACGAATTTGAAGATCAAGCAAGCCATTCCAGAAACATCACACCTCGTTTCCGCTGCCGAGCTAGCAAGACTCGGCGGCAGGGTGCGCAGTGAGCAGCCCAACAGCAGCCTCTACACCTATGAGGCCACGCTCACCACGCAGTCTGGAGGCGGTGAGAGGGAGTTGCCTTTGGCTCCCGATCAACTCTTGCTGCGGGGTGCCACGCTGCGAAACACTCCATATGTGCATGGCATCGTCGTATTCACCGGACACGAAACGAAGCTCATGCGCAATGCCACAGCCACGCCCATAAAACGTACGAATGTGGAGCACATGGTCAACAGGCAGATTCTCATGCTTGGTGGTGTCCTTATCATCCTCTCCGTTATTTCCTCGATCGGCGATATCGTGGTCAGGAAGACCATTGGCTCTAAGCTGTGGTTCTTGCAATATGGTTCGGTCAATGTCGCCGGCCAGTTCTTTGGTGACATCTTCACATACTGGATCCTGTACTCAAACTTGGTGCCTATCTCCCTGTTCGTAACAGTCGAGATCATCAAGTATTATCAAGCTTTTCTCATAAGCAGTGACCTCGACATTTACTACCCGGAAACAGATACACCTGCCAATTGCAGAACAAGTTCACTGGTTGAAGAGTTGGGACAAGTCGAATACATCTTTTCTGACAAGACCGGCACTCTGACCTGCAATATGATGGAGTTTAGGCAGTGCAGTATTGGAGGGGTGCAATATGCTGATGAAGTGCCCGAAGACCGCCGGCCAGATGAGGACGGCAACGGCATCTATGATTTCCGAGGCCTTGCACAACATCGGAGCGCAGGACAGAACGCGAGCGGTATCCATCACTTCCTGAGTTTGCTTGCGACTTGTCACACGGTCATTCCGGAGATCAATGGCGAAAAGCCTGACGCCATCAAGTACCAAGCAGCATCTCCCGATGAGGCGGCTTTGGTCGAAGGCGCTGTGCAGCTAGGCTACAAGTTCGTGGCGCGAAAGCCTAGAATGGTGACGATTGAAGCTGATGGCGAGCTGTCTGAGTACGAGCTCTTGGCTGTTTGCGAGTTCAACTCTACTCGAAAGAGAATGAGTTGCATTTATCGATGTCCAGATGGCAAGATACGTTGCTATACCAAAGGAGCAGATACCGTCATTCTGGAACGACTCGGACAGCGCGATGATATGGTTGAGAAGACACTTCTGCACCTGGAAGAGTACGCTGCCGAGGGTCTTCGAACACTCTGTCTGGCAATGCGTGAAATACAAGAGTCGGAGTTCCGAGAATGGTGGGAGATCTTCAATACCGCCCAGACCACGGTCAGTGGAAACAGGGCGGAAGAGCTCGACAAGGCGGCAGAACTCATTGAGCATGACTTCACTCTTCTCGGCGCCACTGCTATTGAGGACAAGCTCCAAGACGGCGTACCAGACACTATACACACGCTGCAAACTGCTGGAATTAAGGTATGGGTGCTTACGGGAGATCGACAAGAAACTGCCATCAATATCGGCATGTCCTGCAAGCTCATCAGCGAAGACATGACTCTGCTCATTGTCAACGAAGAAAATGCGACAGACACCAGAGCAAACATCCAGAAGAAGCTAGATGCCGTCAACAGCCAAAGATCTGGTGGCGTGGAGTTGGAGACGCTCGCGCTCGTAATTGATGGCAAATCGCTCACATACGCCCTGGAGAAGGATCTTGAAAAGCTTTTCCTCGATCTTGCCGTCATGTGCAAGGCTGTCATCTGCTGTCGTGTGTCTCCACTACAGAAGGCCCTTGTTGTCAAGCTGGTGAAGCGACATTTGAAAGCCATTCTACTTGCCATCGGTGACGGTGCCAACGACGTATCAATGATCCAAGCCGCACACATTGGTATTGGCATTAGCGGTGTCGAAGGTCTGCAGGCTGCTCGGAGTGCGGACGTGTCGATTGCGCAGTTCCGCTTTTTACGGAAACTGCTTCTTGTCCACGGAGCTTGGTCCTACCAGCGAATCAGCAAGGTCATCTTGTATTTCTACTACAAGAATACCGCGCTTTTCATCACTCAATTCTGGTACTCTTTCCAGAATGCCTTCTCCGGACAAGTCATTTACGAATCCTGGACGCTATCCTTCTTCAACGTCATCTTCACTGCCCTGCCGCCATTTGTGCTGGGCATCTTCGACCAGTTTGTGAATGCCCGGCTATTGGACCGATATCCGCAGCTATACCAACTGACACAGAAAGGAGTCTTCTTCCGCACTCACAACTTTTGGGCATGGGTCGGCAATGGCTTCTACCACTCGATCATCCTATACTACGTCAGTCAGGTCATCTGGTGGCGTGATGGCGTTCTCTCCGACGGAAAGATTGCAGGTCATTGGGTATGGGGTACTGCCCTGTATACCGCTGGACTTGTGACTGTCCTGGGCAAGGCCGCGTTGATCACAAACATCTGGACCAAATACACTGTCATTGCTATCCCAGGATCTCTGGCCATTTGGTTCATCTTCCTGCCTGTATATGCGACAGTCGCACCCATGCTCAACTTCAGTACCGAATACAAGAACACACTGCCCATACTCCTGACAGATCCGAATTTCTGGTTGATGAGCTTGGTCATCCTTCCAGCACTATGCCTTCTGCGTGACTTTGCTTGGAAATACGCAAAACGAATGTACTACCCTCAAGCATATCATCATGTGCAAGAGATTCAAAAGTACAACATCCAGGATTATCGTCCAAGGTATGTCAACCTACTTCGCGTCCGGACTGATATCGTTGCTAACATGCTCACAGAATGGAACAATTCCAAAAAGCCATCCGCAAAGTTCGCCAAGTGCAACGGATGCGGAAACAGAGAGGCTATGCTTTCTCGCAAACAGACGAGTCGCAGGCACGTGTCTTGCAGGCTTACGATACTACGAGGGAAAGAGGACGGTATGGAGAAATGGCGAGCAGTCGGCCGCTACGGTAGCATTTTTTTTTGGTGATCAGAAAAAGGTCTTTGCATGCATTGTATGGTGGTTTACTTTAGAGAAGCGGGATTGAATGGAATGGCCTGGACGAAATAAACCCCCCCCCCCCCCCCCGGAACCTGGGATGTGTATATGTGCATGTACATGTAGCGATATCATGTCATCTTGATGCAATCCTGTCCTTCCTCCTCCGTGAAATTTTCCCCTCCCTCTCATTCCTCAGTAACAAAAAATTCTTCCTTACTTCCCATTCCAGATCTCGTTCAGAAAGTTTTCGGCGTCAACTACATACACAACAGGAAAGAATTTCTTCGATCAGCACATCCTTCCTGTAGAGCAGCAGAGCTGTTAACAACAACACTCACCAAATTCATACCCCGGCAAAATTCTATTCCACTCATCCCCAACATTCAAATCCTCGTCTGCGATACTCAGCAGAACACTCGCATTCAACTTGTCGGCGAGATTCTTCTCACAATCTCCTATACCCTTATTATGCTCGACTTCCGGGATCCAAGAGCAAAAGACGTTGTGATTTTCCAAGTCAGAACGTTTGAGTTTCTCGATGGTGAATTTTCGACCTGTCGGAAAAATCATCAACATATATGTATGTATGTTGTACTTACTTGGTCATAGAGTTTTTTTTTTATTTTGGGTGGGGGATTTGGATCTATCTATCTTACCTCTAACCCTCTCCCCGACATCCAAAAATTCCTTCACCGTCATTTCCGTCCCTTTGATCCCTCCTATCTCCGGCCATGGACCCTCCTCATACCCAACAGCTTGAGCGACGATTTTCGCGAAATCTGAAACTGTGGTGAGAGTGATGCGAGCGGATTCGGAGCCTTCGGCGTAGAAAGCTCGACAGTGTTCGAAAGATATACAGACGGGGAATGAGCGGAAGGATTTTGCGGATTGCATGGGATAGGCGAAGTAATCGGTGAACCAGCCGGGTTGGAAGAGGGAGAACTCGAGGACTTTTTGATCGTGGTTGATCTCGGCTAGGTAGTCGCGGATGGCTTGTTTTCCCCAATACCATTCCATATGTTGAAGTCCGGAGCCGACCCATTCGCTGGGTGCGAAACGCTTTGCGCCGGCTTTGACGGCTGCGTCGATGAGATTCTTTTGGACGAGGTTGTTTTCGTCGGTTTGGGGTGTGAGGAATGATAGGAGGGTATGAATGCCCTTCAAAGTGTTTGCTAGATCATCGACGTTGCTGTAGTCTACTTTGATCCATTTGGTTGACGGTGGCTGAGGAGTATCGGGAGCGTCCTGTTGGGGAATCAATTGGCTGCGCTTGGGAAGCAATCGTCGTCGGAATCACCTGGCGGGATAGCAGAAGTATCTCATGCTTCTTTGTTGCGAGCAGGGTATCGGTGACCTCTCGGGCGAGCCCTGATGTTGGATGGAATGAGCTCAAGCTTGGGTCCAGGATTAGGAAGAATATGAAACTTACCTCCAGTACCCCCGACGATAGCGACTTTGACCATTTTGATGCAGCGTCTAGAGAGGCTATTGTACTTCCAAAGAGAAAAGAAACGTTGATGGCGAGGAAGAAAGCCAGGCAAAGTCGAGGCATATATGTCAATTACAGCGGAGGCCGAGCGGACGGACGAAGCTCTTGGCACGGAAGTAGTTTCAGGGACGATGATACATCTTGTAAGCAGTCATGGATGCCGCAGCCCTCGTACTGTCAACCATGTTGAGATTACAATTATCATCCGAGTAATGGTTTCCTCACTGCGCAAGCGAGGTTCTGTTCAACTGAGGCGGCCACTCGTAGGCAAGGCTACACTCTGTAAGTAGCATCATAAGTCCGGTATGGTAGGGTCCATGCCTCGAAACAGATCCTCGAACAAAGCAACATCTACTCCTTGCAGAGAGTAGTCATCGCCAAAGAAGCTTAAATCAGGCTCAAGTTGGTGTGCGGCCTCGTGGGATGTGTCTCGGAGTTGGTCGGTCGCGTAGTTGGGCTCAACCCTGATGACTCCGATCCAAGGTATCGATACATCGAGTCTGTCGCCAGCCTGGCTTAACTCGCTGATCATGTTATCTGCAGAGGTGTTGTCCTCTGACCTGTAGACCGCGAATAGTTTGCCCTCTGCCGCCGCCTGAGCTTCGCAGCGGAGGAGATGCTCGATTGCCACAGCCATCGGGGCGCCAATGCTGTCTTGCGTCTCCTTTGGTGGCTGCTTTACGACTTCGAGTACTCGACTGATGAGCCCACGATCCCCAAGACGCTCGTGATCTAGGAAGCTGAGAATGGACGAGGAATCGTTATGGATCCAACGGCACGCTTCGATGTGTGCAACACATAGCGTGACTGCTGCAAGGAACATCAAGAAGTCGATACCTCGGCAATAGCTGCAAGTAGTGGTGAGGCTTCTGAACGAGAGGTACCGCATCAGAACGTTGCGGCTGGCACTAATCGTCACAAGTCCGTGTGCACTATACTTGCCACCATCTCCCGATTGAAGCAGATATGGCAGATGCAATCTTGATAACAGATTGAAGTGCACCATCTGATCCATGAGTCGATGGCGCTCAGCTCCTGAGCCTGCGTCATCTTGAGGCAATTTGGGAGGAGAGGTTGGAAAGGCCCACCACTCCGGACTCATGGCTGCTGCAGCATCTTTCAAGATTCTGTCAACGAAGTCTATGGATCCTGCATCCCAACCATTAGCTGCCTTCCGTTGGAGGATGTGGCCAGATGCTACACAGTGCAATCGCTGCATCTGCTGCCTGGGCATCGATAGAGCGAGGACTTTTGGGCCAGCCAGCCAGCTGTCGTCCACCGTACACGGCGGCAGGCCGAGCGTGAGTGACAGATACCGATCCGAGCACACGAGAAAGAACCAGAGCGTATCACCACTGTTCTCTCGACCTTGGAAGCGTTGATTGCCTTTGTGCAAACCAAGCATTTGCGCGAATGTCATTGCACGACGTATCCCCAGCCAGGCTTTTCGCAGCTCTCCCGCCGAATTCCAGTACATGGCTTCGATGGCGAGGCACTCGACGCCGTCGCTTGATTGAACGAGTTCGTCGTTATACAGAACATGTTGGCGAGTCTGCCAGATTCCACGCCGTTCAATATCAAGGTAGTCGATGCCAGCATCTTCCAGCTGTTTTGCAGATTGCTGCGGTAGGCTTTGAAGGATCGAACTAAGCATCAATATAGATCTTGAAAGAGTGACTAGGGGTGCATCGACGTTGTCAAGTCTCAAGAGTGTCTTGAGGGAACATTGTCCACCGTGCTCGTCAAGGCAAGTCTGAATATAAGGCAGGTCCATCAGCGAGCCAGGCACATCAAAAGGAGTGGCTTGAATGGTAGCAAGATCGTGAGCACTAGGCAGAATAGACCGTAGTTCTGCGCGAATTTCGCGGACGTGTTCGGAAGAGCTCATATTCATCCTTGCTTTCCCAGCTGGACGATGGTTCGAAGCACCCTGGACATTCCCGCCAGTGACAATTGCGTCGGGCTCGTCGGAGCGTTTGCCCCCTTGAGTGACTCTGCCATCATTATCTGCTTTCTTCTCAGGCGGGCGATGCTCGGCAGCTGGAGGAACTTGAAGTCGCCCAAGGACTTCCTCTACCAGGTTCTCGACGCGGGCAATTCGGTCAGTTCCTTGGGACACTCGGCCCGTATCGGGAAGATGCTGAGATACGCAGTGCAGGCCGCGCTGGCCGCAATGAGTACATGCAGCGTCGTGAGATGAGAACACACATCGTATCTTCCGTCGCCTGCACTCCCAACAGCTTTGCGTTCCCTTCCGCAGTTTCCTTCGCTGCGGGCCCACTTCACCTTCGACGGCTCCACTTCCACTGCGTTTCGATGGGATGGAATGGATAGGATGCCCATCTGACATGACACCGAACCAAGATCAAGACGCCGACGTTGAAAGCAAGTGCGACAACCATGGTAGAGCATTGCAAGACGTTCAACGTCCGTCTTGATCCGTGTTCGGGCGGAGAAGGATTGATTGGTAAGCTGTGGCTGGTGGCTGGTGTTGCCAAGAGCTCTCGCCGCTAGAACTAGCGCAACGCGAATGGTCAAATTCTTGCGACGCTCGCAAGTGACCTTCTCTTCTTCATCGAAAGTTTGCTCCAATACCCTGAGCTGATCACAAATACGTTGATCACCGTCTATTCTCCGCGAGCAGAGAAGAATATCAGCCTTTCATAATCCTGACACGAACCGTAGGCGCCGAAAGGGGCTGTGGAGTGCAGGTTCGCTTCTGGCGCACAAATCATCGCGGGCATGGAGAAGAGCTGGGAGGCTTTGAGCCGTGTGGAATCTAGGCTCTTGATATGATGTGATGGGCTTGACACGAGCAGGAGCTCTTTCCTTGGTCTACTGTCGACGCGAAGTCGTGGTCACGGACAATGCAACTGCGTTTGACACAGCTGCACGCGGCAGCTTTGCGTGCGTTGTGTTCACGAGCCTTCGTGGTCCGTGGAACATCTGCTGCAAGGGCCTGTGACACTATGCCATGTCAGCTTCACCTTGTGCCAGGATCATCACAGCGCTCCTCGAGCAACATGTCAGGTGAGTAGTGAGGAGATAGGCAAGAGCAGCATCGATATATTTTCTACATTTTGGATTCCCGAGCCTTTCGCTTCGCTACACACTGTCAGCACGGCCTCTTCGGCGTAAGCTACAAATTTAGACTCACCGGCGAGTTCGTTCATCTTGGCCTTCATTCTCAGCATGGGTTCGCCGTCTACAAACCTCTCACTAAGCGCTTGCCAACTCTCGAACAAGCTGAGAATCCTGGCGTCACGGGTGCCCTTGTTCTGTAGTCGCTTCATCTCCATCATCGATTTCCCACTCCGTTCCTTGAGCATGTCCTTGAGATAATTATGTACATCAGCGTGGAATGTTTTCGTGGGGAAGATGTTGTTCACCAGACCCATTTCTTTCAATTCCTGCGAGGTCGCCTTGCCACCGAACAGTAACCAGTCATTCGCCCGATGCACACCCATCGACTGCGCCCAGCTGGCGGCAGCTCCATTTTCTGGGACCAGACCCATTTGCGAGAAGGTCACTTGCACCCAGGCATCCTCGGCGGCATAGAAAAGATCGCTGGAACCTTGAAACCAGGCGGCTCCGGCACCCACGCCAGGGCCGTTCATGGCGAGGACCAGGACTTTGGAATGGTCAATCATTGAGCGCACAAGCTCCATTCCGACCGCGAGTCTTTGTGCCCAGAAGACCTTCCTCTGGCCATCGTTCTTGAAGTCGTTAGGCGTGGCGGCAACGGCAGTAACATCTGCACCTGCTGCGAAAAAGCGACCTTCGCCGGTGATGACGGTAAAGGTGGTGTCGGGATGGGCATCTAATTCTCGCAAAGCTGCAATTGTGTCTTCCACGAGCGAGCCCCCAAAGGAATTTAGCTGCTTTGGACGGTTGAACTGGACATGTCAGCGTCGTATGATGGGAAAGTCATGCGGCGGTCTTACTTTGATTGTACCAATTCCGTCGGCAACGGTTACAACGATGTCGGTATACTTTTGGGCCATGATGGAAGATGCAAATCACGCGAGTATGGAAGCACAATGCCACTCACGTTTTGCACCCGACAGAAAATGTACAAGCAAATTTGGGGGTGTATTATTACAGTCGTGTCGTCGATGCTGTGTCGGGTCATGTCGTCTCATCACGTTGCTATGCCGGAGGTTTACCTCGGTCTTACAGCACGGCGCAAAGTTGGTGCCTCAGAATTCAGGTGGTACGACTCGCAACGGCATTCTCATTCCAAGACCGACAGCACTTGGGTGGCAAAGACTCGGACGACGGAGACGGAGACGGAGACGGAGACGGGCTTGATTGGCTGCTGCAGCCAACACTGAGCTGAGAGGATGGCGGCGCGAGAGGAGTCACACGAGGCCGAAAGGCTGCGCACATCTTCATAATAAATGGTGGTGACTTAGGGTTCGCGAAATGACAGAGGGCCTGACGAGTGGACCAAGCGTAATGGCCAGTGGGGATAGCGTGCCGCTCAATATTAAATCTTGCTCAAAGCAACGCAGCGCAGCGACTATATGATGCTCGACGACGCCGCAGGAGAAGGTGCGATGCGACGCGATGCGATGCGATGCGATGCGCATGCTCGTGCACCTCGCTCGATTCCAGAACGCCGCCATCCATACATGTACCGGACCACCACGCTGCAATCCCCCCGTCTCGTCTCGTCTCACGTGGCGGTGGCGCTCGCACGTATCGCTTTGTGCAGATACATCGGTCCTGTTAATAACTCGTAGGTTGCGGCTGAGGCAGCCACCAAGATGCCCTCGACTCACACGTCCCCTACGAATCCGGCGAGGATCGACTGTGTGACGGACAGACGCTGTGTTGCGGTGCGGTGCGGTGCGGTGCGGTGCGGTGCGGTGCAGCAGCTGCAGCATCTCATCAATTATTATTCAACTTACCCGGTCAAAGACGCGGGTTCCTGCAGCGCAAGCGATGCACGTCGTACAATACCACGCACCACGCACGTCATGTCATGCGACGCTCGCTCACTCCCCTTTGCGGCACTGTCTTGGCAAGCCCCGTGGTCGAGGCTAGCGTAACCATGCTTGGACATCCCAATCCCAATTATTGGAAAGCTGCAGGATTCCTGGGCACACTCGCTAGACGATGGATCGGCCTGTCACGCCGCCTGAATCTCGCTGATTTCCCGTCTCCATTGCCAAGTAAGGCTTCAGCAAATTGGAGGTAAAGTGCCTGCATTAGGAGATACGTTGCAGCCCGTCTCCAGCCAGCCAGCACTCCACGCCGGCCGCGCGACTATATGGCTGTCGGCCCACCCGCAACATCGCCCTGTGCAAAGCCTTTCGTTCGCAGTTCCCTTGCCTTGCCTTGTCTTGCTTTCACCATGTTTTCTTCTTCTTCCCTTTTGCTGGGCTCTGTCCTGGCCGCCGGCTCCCTCGTTCATGCCGCGACCAGACAATTCTCCATTGAGGCTTCATGGGCTACAGGCGCCCCCGACGGTTTCGAGAGGCAGCTCATTCTGGTCAACGGAACCTCTCCCGGCCCAGCTCTGATCGTTGATCAGGGCGACGATGTCGAAGTACGCCTTCGACCATCGTGCACAATGCCAGCGCTGACCTGCCTTGCAGTTCTACGTTCAAAACAACCTGCCTTCTGTTGCCACCGTTCACTTTCACGGCATTGAGATGCTACACACTCCATGGTCCGATGGTGTTCCGGGACTTTCTCAAAAACCCATTCCCGCTGGCGGCAGTTGGCTGTACAAATGGAAGGCCACCGAGTACGGTGTTCGTCTTCCTCCACCATTCTCCATCTTTTGCTGTCGTCTTGACTGACTGTGTCGTCGCGTAGACCTACTGGTACCATGCCCACTACCAGTCACAAGTGAGCGATGGCTTTTACGGACCAATCTACATTCGCCCTCGCGACCATGTCGAGAGACCATTTGCTGCCATTGCCGGCGACCAGGCTGCCATCGCTTGCGCTGAGGAGAACCCTCAGTTCGCCATGATCGCTGACTGGCAGCACGTCACCTCCGAGGAGCTCGAGAAGATCGAGTCGGACAACAACATTGATGTCTACTGCGCTCAGAGTATTCTTATCAACGGTCAAGGTCGGGTCAACTGCTTGAGCCCAGATCAGCAGAAGGCAGCGCTTGCGCCACCTTTACAAGCCCTCTACGCCTCGACTGGACCATTGGCGGGCTTGAACATGACCGCGTCTGGTTGCGCACCATTTGTGCCATTCACACAGCGACCAGGCCCAATCAACCCAGCAGGTCTCCCAGACACCATCACTGGCTGCACGCCCACCGAGAGCGATCTCCACAACTTCGATGTCGACCCAACCAAGGGATGGGCTAGCATGCACTTGATGAGCTCCGCTTCCATCAATGCCCCAGTCGTCTCTCTTGACGAGCACGACATGTGGGTCTATGCTGTTGACGGTCGCTACATTCAGCCATACAAGGTCCAATCAGTCCAGATCTTCAACGGCGACCGCTACTCTGTCATGATCCCATTGACCAAGAGCAGCGGCACCTACACTTTCCGTGCCAACCACTTTGGCTTCAACCAGCTTGTCGGTGGCTTCGCTTCCGTCACCTACAAGGCCGGCAGCGCACCAAGCTGCAGCAACAACGGTGGAAGCCCGGGAACTCCTCCAGGACATGGCGGCGGTGGCAACGGCGGCAACGGCGGCTACTCTCCAGGCCCAGGCCAAGAGAACCCCAACAAGAACCATGGCATCGACTGCGGTATTCCAGGCTGGAAGTTCAACAAGCCATACGGCAAGAAGCCAGACGGTGCACCAAAGAAGGTTCCATCGTGGCCACAGCCCCATGTGCCATCCAACTGGGACTGGCACGGACAGCTCCCTAAGCCAGGCCAGGTCAGCCCGCCGGCTTACGTGCCATCCCCACCAGAGTCCTATGGACCTGATGCGGACGAGCCAAAGGAGTCCCACACGCCAGCTAAGAACACCACATCTGCCGCACACGCAGCTCCAACTGGATACTCGACAACTGCAGCAGTCAAGGAGCCTGTCGCCACTACCACCCCTTGCACTGCCGAGTCCAAGTCGACTGAGGCTGCTGCTTCATACGCGAAGCGATCAGACCAATTCCGCAGCAACATGTGGAAACGCCAATCTGCTCCTTCTGCCTCGACTCCATGGATCACCTACGGTGGTTTCCCTGTGTCGCAGAACGTAACACAGCTCAACGAGACCATGGTCGTTCCGTTCGTCAACGTACCACCATCGCAGAACGTTTCCGCCACCTACATTTTCAGCATGTCGCGCACAACGGCTCCATGGATGTGGAAAGTTGGTGGTAACTCGTACCCATCGCGCCCACAGGAGTACTCGCAGGACGCACCACTGCTCTACTTTCCAGAGAGCGCCAACGCAAACAACCAGAACCTTACCATCATGACCACCAACGACACCTGGGTGGATCTGATCTTCACTGTTCCCGACATCTTCGGTCCACCTCACCCAATGCACAAGCACAGCAACAAGGCTTACGTTATTGGACGCGGCACCGGCAACTTCACCTGGACCTCCGTCGCTGAAGCTGCTGCTGCCCAGCCGCAGAACTTCAACTTCGTGAACCCCCAGCTCCGTGATGGCTTCGCTACCGCTCCAACTACCGGTGCCCCGGTCTGGCTTGCAGTGCGATACCACGTCATCAACCCAGGAGCATTCTTGCTTCACTGCCACATCCAGACTCACTTGAGTGGTGGCATGGCTCTTGCGCTCCTCGACGACCTCGCAGAAGTAGGCCCGATTCCAGCGGAATACGGCGTCAACGGTAATGGCGAATGATTCAGGGAATTGGGAAAATTTCAAAGCTATCGACAGCAATCATTTCGTACAGTATCTCATCAGCATCAGCCAGCTCCAACGCAGCGGGATTCCTTGAAAAAAAAGAAATCCTGTTTTTTTTTTTTTTTTTTTTGGCTCTTCACCGTATCTCTCATCTTCTCGCTCTGTGCACTAGTCGCTATATGCCTATGCTGTTGCTATGCAGAATTGTATATACCCTTCTAACGACTCCGAAAGAGTCTTTTCGCTGTAGCTTTTTGGACACGTTCTGTCATTATTCCCGGAAGACGCGGTTCCCGTATTCTAACGTCGCCGAGTAATGAATGCCATTCCGTCCCGATTATTGATCGCACGACCAACGGCTTGCCGACGAAGCAGTTGGTGGCTTGGTCTTCCCTGTTTGGCAAGCCGTTTATTCATTTCCCGGCAGGTGCCGACGGTTTTATCCTACCGAACATCTCATACCAACCAGTAACCGCGGCCCGCCGGCCAGCCCTACGCGACGCGGTGCCTGGCAAGTCATCGCTCCACTTCGACCTTTCCTGAAGAGACTACGTTCTTGTCGATTCTCATCTGCGTCTGCATCACCACGGCGTTCGTGTTTTTGGGAAGCGGAGTTCAGCCCGAATCAGGACGGGATACTTGGCGTAATTAAGACATCTTTCCCATGCGCGAGCGGAATGTTATTGCACACAGCGACTCGCTGGATGAACATGCAAGTAGTGCACTCCATGAAGCAGGTACAAACACCGAACTCGAGTCGGCTCATTTTCTCCAGGGCGAATGTCACCCACTGCAGACCAGAGCACTTCTTGCCCGCTTACTAATTCTTTACCGAACCTCGCATCAAAATTCGAAGAGTCGCATCGGCACGTGACGATGACGAAAAGGCTCGCATCGTGCATTCTCTGCAAAAATCGCCCCATCTCGCTTGCTTATAGAGGAATTGTTCCTTGCAAACGAAGCTCCCGTATAGAGGCACACTCGTGGCGGACGGTCTTGGAATCCATACGAACCTAATTCGTTAATAATCACTTGAATGGCGACCAAAGTGCTGCTAAACGGAGTCGCCAAGGATCGAGTAACGCAGAAGCAACCGCCCACTCCCGGAAACGATCTAGATGCCGAGCGTTGTGCTGCACTTCACAACACACTCCTCTTGTATGCTTGGGTTTGCTCTGGAAAGAAGATCAATCAGCTTGAGAAGAGGTCGTGGTGGGGCAAGCACGGCAATGACAACTTGACCAAGATACTACGCCCAAAGATCGTTCGTTTCCTGTCAAAGGTATTCGATGTCCCTGGAAATCATAACTTCTTCTACCATGTCTCGGCCATTGCGAGCGAGAAGGAGCTGCTCAATCTTGGAGAGGTTCTGGAGGATAACGACCACTTGACCCCGGCCGGAAAAGAGAAATATCGATTCATCGTATTATACAGGACTTCTTCCGCTTTGGTGTCACAGCCAGCAGGAATTGTGTTCGACCAGCAGACTGGCAACGCACTCTTGATGCCTACATACCACCATCTGTTTGACTTCAATAGTCCCCATCTCCCATGGCAAAAATTGGAAACCATTCTCAGTGCCTACGTTGACATGATTGAAGTTGAAAAGGCAGTGGCGATCAACGATGCGATTGGGCAATATGGACCCGAGGAAGATTCTGCAAAATCTGACCTGGAGGTCAACAAGACATTTACGAGATATCGCACACGACCTTGGCTTCTGCAGCCCTACACGCTGAGCGATTTGAATGCATGCCTGGACGCTTGGGGACGCTTGGTAGAGGCCGTCGAGGAGAAAGCAGGCATTCCGCCTAGACAAAACGACCCAGATGCTCCTGATTACGATCCAGAAGACGACGCACCCCTCGCATCACGAACGGCTTTGAACATTGCGGGAGTACCAAAGGGCTTCGCCTACGAGCTTCTATCTCACGCCCAGCAATCATCAGTCACCTTCATCGCCCCCGGAATCCGGCTCCCAAAAGTCGAAGAATTCCTTCAACAACCATTCAAGCACATTCCAAAATTGTTTCCGCAAGAGACGAAAGCAATGAAGATACCTTTCCTCTTCCTGCGTTGTCCGGGAACCGTAAGCGCCAGAGACGCAAAATTCCGCTACCCCTTCTCCACGGTAGAATCTGTGCCGTGTGGTCTTTACCTCGACGCATTCCCCAATGCTCAAAATCCTTTCGAGGACGCATGTCGCCTGGTGTTGCCCATTCGTCTTGGTGATAGGCGGTATGCCAGGACTTCTGATCACAGACCTATCATCAAAAGCCATTCGGAGCTGTACGAGACCGGCATCAATCCTTTTGTCATCAGACACGGACCAAAGCTGGTTGCCGTACTAGAGAACTGGTTAGGACATGTCGAGAGTGAGCATTGGAGGGTTAATTCTAAAGGCGTTGAGGGCGGTATTGGTGTTTGGAGACAAGCTGATTCTAGAGAGCATTGGTGGCGGTATCAGAGCGAGCATTTGTTTGTTTAATGATGTGAATAGCGGCGGAGTATCACATAGCGACGGTGGGAGACATGATTGAGCAATAGATTTAGATAGCGTAATGAGCATCTTCCCCCATTAGGATTTCTATAGTAGCTAGCTCTTTCTCCCCTTCCTACTTTGCTCAATTTCTCCCGTAACCAAGGCACTTGTCCATTCCCAACAAATCTTGCCCTCTGGTGCCATCCTCCCAAGCGCACCGTTGCAGTCGCTCGGAAGCCCACGGATTGGACCACCATAGATGCAGAGGGAGCAAACGACACGCTTGTCGGTATCGACTGGCCTCGCACACCGTGCCAACGATGCCAAGCCTGAGAATCTCTCGAGTTTGGCCGAAAGTACAACGGGTTTGCAGAGCAGTTGTGCGCCGAAGGAAGATGGGAAACCTCATGAGTACGTTTGGTACACTCTGTTGTTTGTTTCGTATCTCGTCAAGTATTCTGAGCTGCATACTCTGTGGATTTCTCCTCGCTCCCTCGCCAGCTCTCCAACGTTCCTTTTTACAGCTCTGAATTCGAGCCGCGCTCGTTCTCTCGCATCTAGCAGCAGCAACAGTCATCGATGGCATGGCAGCAGCCCTCCATGCACTCGCAGCAGATGAAACAGGCGCAGAGGTCGACTGGATAGATGATGCCTGTCAGGTCTGTTTGTGTCAATCTGCTTGTGGTGGAGCGTGGCTTACCCAGGATGCCACCACCTCTCATTCCAAGGAATGTCCTCTTCGATGGTTCTTCATTTGTGGTCTGCAGCTCGTCGTTCCATTTTTTTAGCCAATAAGTTAATGCCATGTTCATCGTCGCTTGCGTCATCGTACCTGTTGCTCGGCAGGGGAGTCGTTGCTTGGCTGCTCTTGGCACATCGTGGCAGCCGGGCTCTGATATTGCATTTCAACATCGGGTTGAGCTGGCATTGTGTCTGGTTTTCGGTCGTTTGGAGCTATGATGATGCTTTCTTGTGTTCTGAAAATGTCGGTAAGGTGCTGAAGGAGTAAGACGAACTCTGGAAGGCTGGGGAGCACGGTGATGATCAATCGCAGAGTTCACTTACAAGACAGGGCAAGCCTTGCCAAGTAGTGCTTGGTTCTGAGCTAAACGAGGAAGCTTCCTCTCGGCCCACGTCCAATGTGGCTGGCTTCGCAACAGGTCCACGTATACTGACCAAGAAGTTAAATTCAAAGTAGCTTTAGCACACCTCGAGGGTTCCATAGGCCCCTGCAAAGTACCCTGAAACCACGCAAATTAGTGTACAAATCGGGGTACTGCAAACACCCCTTATATAACCTAATTACCTCGGATTTCTACTGTTCCGAACAGCCGTAATCGCTCGAAAACGACTAAGTCTACGCCTATACCTTAGCACTACTACTTCTACCGCTTAGAAGCGACAACCTCTCCTTAGATCCGTCGTTTTAGTAGTCTAATTAGTATAGGAGATAGCGTATAAGAGGATTAATCTATCTAGTACGGTTTAGGTAGTATACCTATATATAACCTTCTATAAGCGCGTTTCGAAGGTGTTATAGGCTTACTAATTAAAGGCTTCTAACGACGAGGTTTACAAAAGCTACCTAATAGCTATAGTAGATTAATTAAAGTGTCTTTACTAGGTAACTATATAGGTAATAAATGCTAAGCTATAGATAGTACCGAAGAAGGTAGCGGCTCTATAGAAGGTAGTAGCTCTATAGAAGGCGGTAGCTCTATAGAAGGCGGTAGCTCTATAGAAGGCGGTAGCTCTATAGAAGGTAGTAGCTCTATAGAAGGTAGAGGTAGAGGTTAGTATAGTAGAAATAGCTTACTTAGTAATAGTAAATCGTCTAGTAAGGATTAATGCTTTAATGCCTCGTCGTTATCGTATTAATTACTTTTGCTAGCGTCTTTTAGTAAAGATAGTAGCAATCGACTACTCTCGAGTCGACTAGCTTTAAGTAGTATAGATTATAGAAGGTCTATATCCGATAGGCTATCGAATAGGTTCTTATCGTTAGCCTCGTATAGAGCGTCGTTATTAGTAAGGTCTAAGAGGTTTATATTAGCGTTATTATTAACTATAATAACGACTAGAGCGAAGTTAATATTATCGATAATATTGTCTTTATTAACTAGACTATAGACAGGTAGTATACTGCTATTAACGACGATAAATAGCCGCTACGGAGCCTCGACGGAAGGTGCTAAAGGTGCTAAAAGTACTAGACTTAGTAGTACTAGCAGTAGTTTAAAGATAGGTTATTATAGCGGCCTATTGTCGACTAAGCGCTACTTAGCCTTACGACGAGGTATTAAATAGGCCTGCGGAGCGCCTCTATTAAGCTATTATTGCATCTAAATATCTATTACTAATTAAGCTATTTCTAAGTAGTATATTACCTACTATAGCAAGGCTTCGTATTACTGCTCGTCGTTTAAGTAAGGCTTAGAAGTCTAGCTATTATAGAAGCGGAAGAAGGTTTATATAAGACCTTCTTATATAGAATAGAAGTATTCCTTTACTATACGGAGCCTATAGATACTAGGGGCTTTGTTTAGGTCGATAAGCTATCTAGTAGGTCGATAGTTGTTGTTATCGTTAAGAATTAGCTTACTATTATACTAGTCTAGATAAACGAGGTTGCTATTAGGTCCTTAAAACCGACTAATATAGAGCCTATAGCGCTAAGCAGTAAGAAGGCTCGTTTTGTCGATATAGAAGCGCTAAATATACTTATAAGGAAGGTAGTAGCTATACTAGAAATAGTAGAAGCATTTAGTATAAGCATCGTTGTCTATAGTAGGTAGACATATCCGCTAGATAGGCTTGCTATTGTTACGGTCCTTATATGCCTATATAAGCTTATCTGCTATCTTCTTCTATATAGAAAGCGGTAGATTCTTAAAGGATAAACAGGATTCGTTTTTCTATAGTAGAAGCTAGCCCTAACCGTCGATCTAGCCGTTTTAAAGCGCGCGCTCGCAGATGTAATTGTCTAGTTATATAAGGTGCATTACTAAGCCTAATAACAGTTAGTATAGGCCTTGTTGTTAGTAGAAACAATATAGAATAAACATAGTCGAGAAATCTAGATAGCTTAGCGGGAGTACCCGAAAGCCGGTCTAGGAGCTACGGCCGTTCTAAAGAATATAGGCGTAGACTTCTTTTATATAAGATTTCGATAGCACTATAAGAATAGGACGAATACGCACCTCGCAAGCTCTATTAGCGCATCTAACGCTTGTCTCGGCGCTTTAAGTATACGTAATAGCCCTTAAGTAGTAACGTTGTTCGAATCGCTATTAAAAGGGGGTCTCCGAGCCGTGCCTAAGTCGCCTATCGATCGCTCTATAAAGCCGGCTAGTTGTTACGGAGGTATTCTAGCTTCTTCTTTGCCTTCTAAGCCTCTAGTTTAATAGCCGCTCGCTTAATAAAGTAAGCATACTCGTCCTAGTCTCTCGCGATAAACATAGCATTAGACATAGCCTTAAGCGCCTATAGATGCTTCTTAAACCGCCGTTCGAAGGTCTTTATAACGTGCCGCTAGCAAAGCCGCTGTTTAATATAGCAATCGGTTAGCGCCTGCTAGATAGCACGTTGTTTACTTACTAAGTCGTCTATAATAGACTAAAGCGGTATCTAGTTAGACTGTTCCTTATAAAGGTTATCGGAAGCCTTACTTACGTATATAGGCTATCTAAAGTAGTAGGTTAAGCTATTGCTATTATAAGAGCTCAATTTGACTTAGAAGTTAGTTTTAGCTATAGAACGGAGCGTTCTTATAGCCTTCTTAATAAGGTGCGCCTACTTACAAGATAGAAGTATATAACTAGCCGGAAGCTACTCGAGATGCTAATTACGGACGTATACCGTAAACAGTAGCTAAAGAGGTTTGTTTGTACTAAATATAGAATCTAGCAAGAACAAGCTACTATAGTTACGAAGAAGCTATAGTTGCTAGTTAGAGGCCTAAACAAGGCCTAATTAATACGTGCCTTTCTTGTCGCCTACTAAATAGATTGCCTCCGCCTAACTAGTTAGATTGTCGCTATATAGGCTAAATTTAGCATTTAAGTAGGCCTAAGCCTATTATAACTATCGATAGATAGACTCGCTAGCGCTAGACCTGCGTTTATCGCTTATTCGAGTAATAGCGGCCTTGTTAGCGTTACGGACTTAATTACGTATAATTCTTATTATACCTACGTCTCGCTATACTATCGCTTACTTAGGCCTTCTTATTTTATTAACTAGCTTAGAAACGGTCGAAGAGCCTAGAAACAGGTTAATACTAGTATATAAGCCGCTAAGACCGCACTTACCTACTCGAAATTCGAGTATTTCCTTCTAAATAGCCTTTATACTATTATTAACCTATATTCTATTAACAAACTCGAGAGTATACGAATAGCTATCCTTTAGCGGTAGGAGGATAATATACGAGGGCCTTAGTACCGTTATATCCGTAGGTAAGTGCGCTAGCGCTATATTATCGAAAAATACCCCTAAATCGCTATTTTAATCCTTCTCGTAGAACTTAAGGATAGTTAATTTCGTAGGGCAGTCGTACGCCTTCTACGTAATACGCTTCCGCTATAGATACCTCGACGCCTTCTAAGTACTACTACCGCCGCTTTCCGCTCGCTAATAGTCTATAAACCGCTTATAAAGGCGATACTCGAATTTTACTCTACGAAATAGCCACTTTGCTAGGTCTATAGACAGCCTATTCGGTCGATTCTTAAGGAACTAAATATTAGTAGTAAACGATCGATATTTGTCGTATTTAAAGCCGCTTATTCGTACGCCTTACTAATTATATATAATACGATCTAAAGCGAGGCGAATATCGTCTACTTCTAAATAGTATTTATAGTTACGAGGGTAGAAGAATTAGTGCCTTTACTAATATATATTTAGTAGAAAAGGGCTCTAAAACTGCGATAGTAATACCTTAGCGATTATCTACGAGATTATAAGAACGAGCGACTATATACTAACTATTTATACTCTAGCTTACTAAGCAACGCGTTTATATCTTTAGGCGCTAAATGCCTAGAATAATTACCTATACTAGCGACAGTAAGGTTAAAACAAGCGCGATACGTAACCGCGAGAAAGAGGTAGAATAGGTCGATAAATAAGAGGTAGAAATAGCCGCTAGATAAGGTCTAGTTTAGCTTTATTGTAAGTAGGCCTATACTATGCGATTACAAGGCTTCAAATTGGCTCGAAATTAGACCTCTTAGCGGTCTATATATAGCCTATAAACAACCATGGAAGTGGACAAGCCGCCGCTGCAAACCTAGCCGCCGTGGCGGTTCACCACCCTGGCATTCTTGGTCAGTATACATAGACCTCTTCGCAACGCGTCCTTCAATTGGGCAGCTGTACGACGGGAGCACGACATGCAGGAGCGATGGTGTGGCTTATAAGTTAGCTACGTGAAGAGGCGTCAGCTGCGATGGGAAGATACCATATATCGGACTCTTCAACACCGCCACTCTTGTACGCGATACGAGAGCTGAAGACTCGTGGCTGAGACAGTGGACGCGCAGAAATGTGTGTGAGGCATTTTCATGATGGCTGGCACAGAGAATGAGTTTCAGCGTCTGGGGGTATGAAACATGAAAGCGTATGGGACCATCAAACCATTGACTCGTGAATGCAGACGCGCGATTTAGGTCGACATGCATTCGAAACTCGTATGCCCGAGCGCGTAGCAAAGCTCCTCGCCAGCGAGAACACATCGAACACCACTTCTGGTGTTATACCCAACCTCGCATCACTCCTCGAGAATGAGACAAACACAGAGTTGGCCTATCTGTGCACATATTCTGCCGTTCAGGTGTCGAAGCTTCCAAATGAAGGCTCACATTTCTGCGGATACAGAAACATCCAGATGCTGCTTCTAGCGCTTGCTGCTGCTAGCAATGACATGGGGGATAGTCATGCGGACGTGAAGAGTAGCATTCCTGAAATCCAGCGGATGATCGAGAATGCTTGGGAAGATGGTCACAATGCTCATGGCAAGGTGTTGACTGGTGGCATCCAAGGCACAAGGAAACACATTGGGACATCAGAAGCGGAAGCACTCCTTCTCAGTCTTTCGATTCCGTGCAGAGGAAGGGCGTATGTCGGCCCAGATGCATGGAAAGAGCTCCTAGATGCTGTGGAGACATACTTCACATCATCCAAAGTCCGAACTCGTCCTCCCAGCTCGAGGGTCATTCCAACGGATCTACCACCAGTTTTCCTTCAGCGACCTCGTCACTCATTAATGATTGTCGGCTTGGAGAGGACAAAAGCAGGTAAGAGGTATCTTGTAACCTTTGATCCCGCATGGCAAGCGCCGTCCAGGATGTCTGAGCCTTTGCTCAAAGAGAATTGCAATGGCTGGGCATCTCGATGGGTTCTCAGACGTTATCGCAAGAGTGAACGGTATCTCCAGCGCTTTAGAGCCTTCGAAACCCTCGAAGTGTCCCCCGCTGGCTGAGATGCCGACGATGAATTTGAAGCATCAATTTAGACTTTCAGGGCGCTGCACAGCTATAGGTCTGCCTTTTTCGAGGTCGAGGTCAAAAGAGCCGAAGGATTCCCTTAAGCACTAGCAAAACATGTCAACATTCACTCGCCATCTGGCGGAGTTCCGTCCTCACGCATGGAGACCAGAGCTCAGACATGGAGGACAATGCCCCAGCAAAGGAGACAGCAACCGAACAGCTTGCCTACGACACATTCAACCCTGATCGCACAGAGACAATCTTGTTCATCCACGGCGCATTTGGAAGCGCTGTAGATTGGGACCTTGTCACTCCACATCTGAAAGAGCAACATCTACTATTGCCCGACCTACCGAGTCATGGTCGCTCTCACAAAATCAAGCCATTCTCGCTGGACTACGCCGCTGACTTACTGGCTGACCTCATAAAACGCATAGCGCATGACCAGAAAACCTATGTCATCGGTCACAGCTTAGGAGCAAGTGTTGCGATTCGTCTTGCCACACGGTATCCGAATCTCGTCCACTTGGTCCTGGTATCCGGAGTCTGCAAATTGCCACGATCGTGGTCCACCCCATATCTCCCGCGAGCTGTTTGGCTGAATGCGCGAGTGGAATACGCTATACCGCGAGCAGGCACTCGTTGGCTTGTAGATGGCACAGACCTGAAACGACCGAATCTGTCGCGCGTAGACATGGAGCTTGCTCGTGAGATTTTCGCCGATTCTCTCAGTAGCGATGCGGATCAGTGGCCATGCTCATGGCCGGCCAAGACACTCATCGTTGCAGCCACGAAGCGAGGAACCGTGCCGTCGAATGACAGCGTTGAGGTGGCGAAAAAGATGGCCGAGATCGGGCGAGAGTCGAACCCAGATACTCTTGCTATTGAACATCCTTTGATGCGCCATCCCTGGACGAGACAGGATCCGGCACTTTTTGCGGAACTTGTGAAGGCTTGGCTGGAGGATAAGCCTTTTTCCGCGGATTTTAAGACTCTGTGAGGACTGTGCCTGAAAATGCTTGTGTATGAAACTACGCAAAGGACCTCATTTTAGACCAGCTCGTCCCAGCGGTTTGATCAAGCAGTCGGCTTCTTCTATCCTCCAATTTATTACATGAAAATGCTTCCAGGAATGGCAAGCATGGGAAGGATTCATCGAGTCCCAGATTGGTAGAACTATTTGAGACGGCGATCGAGCTAGGCCACTGCCACTTACGGCATGCAGTTTGTAGCTGAACTTCTGTGCCACACGGTCAGACTATCACTTCTAGGCTGTCTTTGCACCCTAGTAGACGATGCATCTACCAAAGTGCAATCATCTTGCCGTCTTGACTGCGCTTGGAGCATCGGAAAAGACACTCTGCCCTGAAGTGGGTGCCGGTGATGGTCTATCGAGGTCGTTTAGGGAAGGGTTGCGCAGAATGCCGAGCGAAGAAGACCAGGGTAAGTGATCGCATAGATGCCAGAAGAGGTATACAGTCTGCTAAAGGTCTGTAGTGCGACGTAGTTCGCCCCTCATGCGGTCAGTGTAAGCGCGCTGGCCGCAAGTGCTCAGGATATCGAGATCTGGGTGCTCTCCGAGTGGTCGATCAAACATCTCATGTAAGCCAGAAGAGCTCTGGAAAGACCAGACCTCCAAATGGTACAACGAATGTCGTCACCTCTCCGGATTCTGGCTATGCAGGTTCCAGCTCCTCGCCGGCAAAATCGACAAGTTCACAGGAAGATCTACTTGAGGCTGTATCTGGTGTGAGAGCATTCACAAACCCGCAATTCTGGGCAGCGCACGAGGCGTCACTCTTGTTCTTCGATCAATTCATTTCTGTTGCCTCCGCAAATCCCAAATCAGAGCTCGATTTTGTTGCACTGCTTTATGGCGACGCTCCTTCTCATGGTATGCTGGCCTGCATTGTTTCGGCTCTGGGCTTCATGGCATTACCGCCGCATTTGAGAACACAGTCACACATGATGTTCGCAAACGAGCGATATGTATCTGCGGTGAGGAAGACGCAAAAGGCCCTACAGGATCCAGAGTGTGCCACGTCAGATGAAACATTAGCAACGGTATTACTCCTCGGTTTGCATGAGTTCGTCGACGCCGAAGAGCCGCAGTGGAACACAACGCGGTTGTCCATGCATCTTGAAGGTTCCATCAAACTGCTTCAACTGCGCGGTGATGCCGGCATGGACCATATGAGCGGGACAAGGATGTTCCACAGGATCTGTTCCCAAGTCTTATTGGGTTGCATGCATCGTCGACAAAGGATTCCAAAGGCATTGCTCTCATTTGCGAATAGCATGCATAAACACCTTCATGCCGAAGAAATGATGGCTCTGGAACTGGTCGGTATAGCTGCACAGCTCTGCGATATTCTTGCTTCAACAACAGTCGTAGAGCCTTCCGAGGTGATCGGAAACTTCTATGCCCTGTCGGAGTTGGAACAACAGCTCGCCACCTGGGAGCAAAGAATTTCGTTTCGATATCATTGCAGAAAAGAGCCGCTGCACGGTCAAGAGTCCGCGAAGAGAATTCCGCTCCGTCACCAGGACTCTTACTTCAATCATATTGCGGCCTCGTGCGTGAATCGATATCGAAGCGTGCGCATCGTAGTCAATGAAGAAATGATTCGACTGGCCGAAATGGTACCAGACTTGATCACGGCAGCTGGTATGGATGCGGGTCATCTTTGTCAACGTGCATCAATCATGATCGCCAAGATGTCGGAGGGCATAGCCTACAGCCTCCCATTCTTTTTCGGAGAAGAAGCATGCCACCTCGATGTCGCGGAGCAGTACGTAGACGGCAGCAAGCCCCGAGCGGGAATGCATGCTGCCACAGTCACGCTCATGCCGATCTACTACGCCTGCAACAGCAAGCGAGTATCCCCGGAAATGTATCGATGGCTGATGCGCTACCTGGACTGGATTGGACAATCTCTTGGCATTGGCAGAGCAAAAGTTTTGCATCGAGAACGCCAACTGCTCGAAGATCTTGGCTGAGCGTTGTCCGCCGATATATATGAACGTGTGGGGCCTAACCATTTGGAGCATCCTCGGTGAAAGAGCTTGCATCGAGGACGCTTTTGGTCACATTCCAAAGAGCACCATACGCCACTAAGGCTCCCTTGCTTCAGGGTTCCGCTCTCGGATGGTCTCAAATGCGGGCATGTGATACATGTTTCGATTGCTGGATTGAAATGTACCTGCCGCTTGAGACCAACACACCCAAGTTCTGAGATTGTCCGGAAGAGGGTTGCATCTGCTCGAATTCGGAATGGCAAGCTTTTTGCAGCTTCGGGTCGCGCAGTGCCACGACAATCTCGCAAGGGGAGTCTCGATGTGAAGCCTCAGATTCGCCTTGTTTCCAACACCTCACAGAATTATGACACCACCAAAGCCTAGAAGCAAGAGACAAGCTAAGATGCAAATGTTCGGGAAGCAAAGACTGGAGTTTGGACTAGCCGCGCTGACGTGGGCACGACAGGCGCCTCCATTGCTGGTCTGCTTCGCACCTGCCGTGATGGCGACCTGATATCGATAATAATTCGTGCCGGTCAGATTGAAGGAGACCGTTTTCGAGATGTCGTTGCCGTATTGACCAGCCACGATTGTCTCGATACAGGATGCTGAAGATGCAGTGGTGTTGAGACGGCATGATTCGGTGACTACCGCGCTGGTCTCGGAATAGATAGCTGGTGTTGTGGCCAAGTAGAAGTCAGAGCCCTCGGTAATGGTGGCAGTCTGTCAAGGATGATTAATGTCGCGGTCGTGTCGTGGTGAAAGCGCATCTCACCTGGCCGCTGCAGCCCATCGCTGCTGACGTACAGCTCATCACATACGTCGTCGATCCTTCACACGCATTCTGGATCGATGCTGCCCACTGGATGTCGGGATTCATGTGGTCGATGAAAAGCTCCACGGAGTCGCTTTTCACGAGTGCGGCTCTTGCCATCATCAGCAGTAGCAGTGTCGTCCATTTTGTCATGGCCATGTCGACTTTCGAAGAGTATGATGCGAGGAAGGCGACGAGACAGCAGCGCCGACAATTGAAGGTTAAGGTATGCCCGGTAGCAGGCGGTCTGGAAGCGCGGAGGTGCGCGTGCGCGTGCGCGTGCATACATGCAAGGCAGGAGGCAAGGTCGACATGTGGTAGTGACCAGTCCTCGCCAAGCTTTGGCTGTCTCAACGCTTCGTTGCTGAATCTCGCTTGACGCACATGGCTCAGCGAAGCAAGGCGTAGGTACCTTACAGACCGCAGACTACCTCATGGAAGCGAGACCTCCAGCGCCTTCTTCCCATCTTCCTGCTCGCCATCACTCTCAACAGCATTCACCTCGACACCCACCAAAACCTTCGAGTCGACATCAATACCCGTGGTCCGACCAGCTTCCAAAGGACGCTCTGTCCAATAAGCACAACCTCCTTCTCGATAACAGCATCTGGAGTACCTCGGCGGAGATACTTCAGAACTTCGACTGCCTCTCGATCGCGACCCTGAGAGATCAACCATCGTGGACTTTCCGGCAGGATAAACCCTCCTACAACCATAATAGTAGGGATGACGAATTGCAGGATTATCACAAGTCGGTAAGCCCATTGATCACTTCGCTCGTTCATAGCCCAGTTGACGATGACCGCAATAAGCGCACCGAAGAGAAGCATGAATTGATAGGTATTGACAAACGACCCTCGAAGGGAGGCGGGAGCGACCTCGCCCTGGCAGATAGGGATGATGCTGAGGAGTGAAGAAGCGTCAGTACATAGAAATCTTCATATTGAGATATTGAGTTTCTCACTTGCAAATTATCCCCATACTCAAAGCATTAACAATCCTCCCCACCACCAATTGCCAATAACTACTCATACTCGTCGCTTGAATCAATATCCCCACGAGCGCAATGGCAGCCGCGAACCAAAACGCCTTGATTCTCCCAAACTTATTCCCAACATATCCTGCAATCAGTGTGCCGATGGCAATCCCAGCAGTCGGTGTCCCGGACCCGATCGATTGCCATGTGGCTGGAATTCCCCAAGCTTGAGTCTCGGCATTGAAGACACCGAAGTCTTTTTGGAATTGTTTCATGCCGAGCAGACCGCTCCAGTAGTTGAGGTCCAGACCATATGACATGCCGGCCAAAGATGCGTACATGGTGACCATGAGCAATGGCGTGGTGACATCGCGGCCGAATTCGTTTTTCGTTTCCCGAAGCCATGTCGTGATGGCCACCATCGTGGTGGTCGATCTTTGCAGTAGGAAATTTGCAGAGAACGTAAGTTCGTCGGTGAGTTTGGGAAGAATCCGCCATATCATTGAGCTTGAGCTTGAGCTCGAGAAAGATGGCAGGCCGTATTGCCGAACATGTTGCTGTTGGAAAGCTAGTAGGTGAAGCATGAGGGACAGGGATGACTCGACTGATGATCGGCGGATAAGCGTAGGCGTCTAGAGTGTATACATGTACAGTTCGCCTACTGGCTGGTCCTCCCTGCTGCGTTGAAGGTGACTGCGATTAACGGCGCGGATCTCGTGAGATTGCTCTTGTGGCATTAGACAAATGAAGAGCTTTTGCATTACCTATAGTCGGCCGAGTCTTTGCTACGGCTCATTAACGGATGTTCACTATCCTGCCCCTGGGGTTTCGCTTGGTGCCCTTGCCCGCGGGCCAATGCCACAAAGGTCGGGATATGCCATCGATAGGCCGGCCAATGCGGAGTTGAGGCGTCACCTGATATTTGACTACTGCTTGTCGCTGTCCTCCCTTTGCAATACTGAGTCGGATCTGCTTGACGACTGTAGAACACGCCAACCTGAGTCGTTCTTTTGAGCAATCCACTGGCCGGTGCGCAACCTGTCGGCCCACTGCGCAAAGTAGTCTTGAACTGGAAAGAACTTCCTGCTCGCCCAGTGATCCGGATGCCATTCAATTATTGCTTCTGATGACAGGTCAGCATCAAGAAGAGGGATCTCATGGCATTGAACTTGCTCGTATTCAAATCATATGCTACGCTGATTCCAGACGGACTAGTTGCCCTTGTAATCCTCAAGGCCCAGTCTGGCAGCAATTCTCCATTTCCAGGATCGGTCTCTCTTATACCAGAAGAAAAGTCAGAGCCGACTAGATACGAAATGGCGCTAGTTGATGGTGCGATGGGAATAGCATCTTTGGTGTTTGACCTTTTCTGGTGCTCGATGATGATTTCGTCTGTGAAGCAGGGCAGTCGACCAATGAGCTCGATACTCTGCGGGTCCATTCCAATAGCCCTCAGGCCAGCAACATTGACGGGATCCTTTGGCAGTCCATGGGGCGGTACTTGGACATCTGTATTCTGCACATAGCCAGAGTCGATGAGGATGCCGTGTATCGTTTCTAGGCCTTCGATAATTTCTGGGTGTTCAGCTGCAATGCCACTTCGGCTTGGCGTAAGATGGCTCATGGTGGTCTGGAATCATGACAGGTATCACTAACGAAAAGGTAGCTGAGGCATAGGTAGATTTTGAACGTTCATGACTGGCGTTCGAGGGACGAATGTAGCCAAGCTTTGGGTGAAGCACTCTGCCATGGGTATTCTGCTGTCTCCTCGTGGCGTGTCGCACATGTCCCACAAGGATCCCGATTCGTGGCCTCTGGTTTGACGGCGGTATCTGAAGGAGGCAAATGCCCTAGCCAAGGCCGTGCAGCGGGCGCGACTATTCGTAAATCAGCTCCGGCTATTCATAAATCAGTCGTCCGATCGCGGAGGAGGCCTAAGGCAAATTTGTTAGTCATGTCCTCCACCGCTAGATAGCTGTTTTCCACCTCACCGTCGCCATTATACACACCTCACTGTCGCTATTGTCGCCATTCTATCGCCGCCCTTCTACACCCCATATTAGCTATGTTGTCAAGCCCTTCTGCGCAGCTGCAAACCGAGGCCGCCGCCGCCGCTCTATCTCCTGAGCCATATGATCCAAGAAAGCGCTGGTTTCAAGAGATGCGTAGTGAGAGGCCGCGGCCGGTACAAGAGCCGAAGCCAGGTGACCTCGGAGGCCTTGAACTATAGATCGAGACGCTGTCATAGGCACAGGCAGTGCGATAGAAACCCTGTATCCACTCATTCACCTACTTAGGAAGGACCTCCGCCCGCTCCGAGGGCTCTACCAGTACCTACAGCGCTAGCAGGTATGCCAGATTACACTGAGATTGTATAGCAGGAACCATACGTTGATGCGAGGGTCGTAGAACCTCATTTGCTAGGCAGGCAGTATGCCCAGAACAGTCAGGATCAGCTATAGTGTCGAATTCTACGTCTATTATTCACTCAATTCACTCAATTCTTCTTTCCTACGTCATTATTCTACTAAACAGCTAGCATAGGCATTACAGGTCTTCATGCGATGTTGTTCTATATAGATTACTAACAATATAGTCTCACCGAGACCGGAGCGGCCCTAGGTCCGTTGATTTATGAATAGCCGGAGCTGATTTACGAATAGTCGCGCCCCCGTGCAGCCGATCACGAAGCATTCTGGACCAGGCCAGACACGCGAGCAGCAGTTTTGCAGATATCCACTCGGGTATTTCCTTCAGGCCTGCAGCAATTCTAAAGCGGTGTATGCATACGTCTTGTTGCATTGCTTGTTACAAGTAATCGTATGTGTTCTCTCCCGGCAGTGATGCGATGAGTTCCCCGTAGCTTCAGTAGTGTTGGTGGCGACGACTCATAACCGCGACCGAGGCGGAAGCTGGAAGAGCTGGACAATAATAATGCAGCGATATCACTGCCCCCTCATCGCCTCTGAAGTAGTTATGTGGTGCACAACACTCGACGATGCCTTCTTCATAAGGCTGAGCCATTCGTGTTTTGATGACAACTGCTCGCCGCGCATTTGTCCCCCGCGAAAGAAAAAATGTCCCTGGCCAAGGCATGCCGGGATGTGTGGCAGGATCCGTGCTGCGATGACGGAACGCTGCACGGGCCACTTTTCACGTGCCCGCATTATTAATGAGCAATCTCAATCCAGACAACATTTCCACGCATTTTTGCACCTTCATCCACCACTACAACTACAACTGCTGATCCAAAGCCTGAGCCTGACCACAACTCTTCCGATCGCACACTACACAATATGGCGCCTGCAGTCATAATCGACACGACGCCCGACCTCGACATGAACTTCTCCCCGCATGTCAAGCAGCAGAATGGCATTTCCTCGACCCGCACACTGCTCCTCGCACCGCCCTCGGTTGCTTCACATCCTTCCGCGCTCAGCGAGGTGGCACAGTCCTTTGACCGATCACAGACCGACATCCAGATGCTTGACCGCTTAGCACTTGGCCTTGTCGCCCTACCAGATTCCACATACGACATAGTCCTCATACTCACAGACGTAGATCGCACACGCACGGAGAGCTCGCGCTTACTAAATCGAGACGTTATGGGCCGGATAGTGGCAAGCATGAAGCCTGGTGGCAGATTGAAGAGCCAGGACGGCACATTTGGAACAACACACAGCGCAGAGCAGACCGAGGCCATCCTTGCCGGCTTGACAAGTGATAGTGGGCAGGGCATGATGAAGCCTGACAATTCAGCTGGCGCACAAACTGTCAAGCTGAATTTCCGGAAGGAGAAGGCGGATGCCGTGGCGGTCCCAGCGAATGACATCGAGGCTATCAACACGGGCAAGCGGAAGGTGGCAGATCTTGAGGTCAAGGCCGCGCCTGCTGGTGTAGGTTTCATCGACACAGCAGGCGATTTGAATGATGGGTACGAAGATGATGAAGACGAGTTCCCAAGCGACGAAGCTCTTGCGAACGCCGACAGGATTGACCCGGACACTTTGTTGACTGAGGAGGATAGACAGAAGCCGCTCAATATTCGTAAGTTGTGGAGTAGCAATAACCGAGATATGATCAGAACTGACTCTGCAATCTTAGCTGAGGCATGTAAGCCGAACACAAAGCGGCGGAGAGCCTGCAAAGATTGCACATGCGGTCTTGCCGAGCGAATCGAGGCCGAGGATAAAGCGAAGCGCGCAGAGGCGGACAAGAACCTCCAAAAGCTCAATGTAGCAGCCCCAACCCTGGCACAAGACGATCTGGCAGAAGTGGACTTTACTGTTCAGGGCAAGGTCGGGTCATGCGGCAACTGCGCTTTAGGCGACGCTTTCCGATGCGACGGATGTCCTTACATCGGCCTACCTGCGTTCAAGCCTGGAGAGGAAGTCAGGCTGTTGCAGAACGACATTCAGCTGTAGACGGACCACTTGGTACGACGACACGATAAGATAGCATGAATAGACGCGGAAATGCCGCATGGCCCAGACTTGAGGCTAACCATCTGTAGATACCATGAATATTAAAATGAACTGAAATTGGACCGCATTCTTGAACTTTAAAAGCAGTATCGGCTATTCCTCCAAACCAGGCTGCAAAATGAAACCCATCCTTAGCCAAATAGTATCCGAACTAGTAGCCATCACGCATAATTCTCCCACGTCCCCAGCACCGCCCTTTTCAACCTCGCCATCCTCTCACCCTTCCCACTCCCAGCCTTCTCCACCCTCGCAAACTTCTTCAACCCTTCATTCCTAGCCTCCTCCACATTATCCAAAACCTCTCTAACCGTCCACCCCCTCACCACAACCTTCTCACAAACCGTCGCAACGCCGCCCGCCTCCCTCTTCCAAACCGTAACCCGAACTTCCGTCGGCGGCGGTTGACAAAGATACATTTTCCAAACACTAGACTCCGGTCCTGGAAACAGGGCATGGAGAGCTCGTTGCGAGGCTTCGAGTTTCGAAAGTTCGCGCAGTTCGAGGTCGAGGGTTGGGAACTTTGGGTTTTGGTTAGGGAAGAGGAGGGTTGGGTTTGAGGCGTGGTTGTAGAAGTTTTGGATCACATAGTAGTGGCTGTGATGGGAGAGGACTGGGGAGGTGAGGTCTGGTGAGGGGAGGTAGTCGGAGAGGTTGAGGAATTTATGGATTGGGTGCATTCGGGAGATTTTACCGAGGGTTGTGAGGAGGGGGTTGAGGTGATAGGTTTCTTTGCTGGTTTGGGGGCGTGGGGCTATGAAGAGGCGTCGACGGTAGAGGGGGGTGGTTGTGATGATTTGGTGGAGGGATCTGTTGACGCGCTGGCAGGCGATTAGATCTCGGAAGGAGATGTCTTGGAGGATTTTCTCGAGGAGCTCTTCGATGGCGAAGACTCTTGAAGCGGCGTTTGATGATGTGGCTGTCGTCTTCGTGTTGAAGTACACTGACGTGTTGTAATCGGCCATGTTTTCGCGAACGTTGGAAAATTGCTCTGGCTGATCTTCTGGAAGCGAAGTCTTCGCATCCTGGAGAGCTCTACCGTGGTCGATGACTGAGCAATTGTTTGCGTTTCTCTTAGCCAGCCGCTTGCTGACCTGGTCACTCACGGATTGGAATGTCTCAATGACGCCGTCGCCTGACATAGGTAAGCCACCGAGAGTGGCATCGAAACTCAGGACACCGGAGGTGGATCTTGAGCGCTGCATCGAGGGAGGCGAGACGTCTCCAGTAGACCAGCCATCACTTCTTTGGGACAGGGTACTACTTCGCCAAAGATCGAAGCCGGATTGAGTCCTAGAAAGGATTCTGCCCACAGCAAAGTCCACTGGATCTGGAGTGACAGAATCGATGCCTGAAGCCTCCTCTGCTCTTAGGCCCTCAGCCGTAGTACACACGTCTTTCTGTGTTGGAGCCAAGCCTGCTTTATGCGATGAACTCCTGGTCAAGAGCTCGAATGTTGAGCTTTGTCTGCTCACGCCTCGTCGAATCCTGATCGTCTTGTTTCTCGCCGGTATGGGGCTTGCCTTATGTTGATCCACCGATGCGAGACTTGCATGGGCATGACTATCTTCCGACTTGGCTACACTACCAGATGATGTACTCTGCAATGCATCCATTCGGAGGTCATTTGAAGTGCGTTTCTTCTGAAGACGTCTTGGAGCTCGCTTTGGGCTTCGATCACTGCGAAGCACGACCAATTGTTTCTCTGATTTTGTGTTGTCCTGATGCTGAAGTACATTTGGAGCACTTTTGGTTGCAGCCGCGATCGGTCCGGGGGCATTCAACTTGTGAGTACCATTGTCTGTAGTGGTTATACTGTCTATCGCTGTCAAGTCGGGTTGCTGGAACGCATTCTTGCGAAAATGTGTCGGGCCTGATATGACCAATTTCTTCTTCTGCTTCTTCTCATCTTTCTTCTCGGTCCGCTCGAAGTCGTAATGTCGGACAATCGCCAGTGGGGCTCCAGGATCCATGGTTTGAGCTTGCGCGTGCTTGAATGGCTTTAGGTACCAGAAATCGGTCGAACTGCCGGCGGGCGCATGGGGAAGAGGATATGGTATATTGTCTGGGGAAAAGGGTGTGCTGGGTAGATAGTGTTCTTTAGTGATGTCAGGTCGTTGGATGATAGTCCGAGGCTTGATCAACTTTGAGGTCGAAGAAAGTAGAATCAAGCTCAAATGAATATTGTTAAAAGAAGCTGGACCAGGATGTGAGGGAAATGCGCGCCAAGTGAGTGCCGGAGCACATGATCGAGCATGTGAGACTTGGTAAGTGAGTCGAAATTGTGGCAAGCTTTCATGTGCCCGCGGGATCTTGTGAAAGTTTAGTGAGGGCAACAGACAGTAAGGAGGCAGGTGATGGACGCGACTCGGAGAGGAACACTGTACTAGGCAAGCATGTGTTATATGATGGAACATGCGAGAGAACTTACGGTGTAGCCTGAGACTCAATGCCTACTTTGACCCTCAACTACGTTTGCTACTCGCCATTCATACAAGGGATTGCTCCTGGCAGTGCCCATGTCGGGCGTTGCAAAATTGATGTTGTGGTTCGGAGTATGGGGTGGAGTAGACATTGTCATAGATCAAAGCAGATCCATGATGTCCTTGTCGGCGTCACTCGCAAGCAGCTCGTGCATTCCTGTGGGCATGATGGGCTTGCCGTCAGGTCCTTTCACGTACTTGAAAGGCATGCTAATACTCTCTGTAGGTCCCTTGCCATCGCGATTTGGCTGTGAAGGCACATGGATTTCTGGTCGGTCGACGTAGTCAATCTCGTCCAGCTTCTCTGGGTCATAGTAAGTATCTGATGACTCCTGGCAGGCAATAACACTCACTGCCTTCCTGCACGACGATCCTCGTCGTCCTCACTGCTGTGTCTGTCGTCATCTGCTCGGGCCCGAGCCTCCGACCTGGAAAGCCGAGCTTCCTCAGATCTCCAGTGCGGTCGCGTGGCGGATCATCGCCCAGTATACCACCGAACAAAAAGCCATCGAACAGGTGGGCGTCTTGAGGGTTGATGTCCTGGTCGGCTTTCGGGTCGAGAAGACAGATCTTCTGTCTGGCTTCTGGTGTGGCGTACAGAGCCTCTACCGACTGTGAGGTCTTGCTGCTCGCAGGAAGTTTCAGCTTTTCGAAAGAGTCGAAGGAAGATGTCAGGCCTGAGAGGAGGAAGTGGTAGCCAGCAGCAGTGCTTTCCTCAGAAATGGTATTGTATTCGAGCGCTTGCCAATCTTCCAGCTCGGGATCGAGATGCTCGACGATGAACGTGTAACTTTTCTTGTGCCCGGTGGACGACATGCCGATGCGAGTTGCTCTTGCCCCGAGTGTCATAGTCTGCTGGTGGATGTTGACATCAAAGCAGAACTTTTTGATGGGGCGTCAGGCCTCGCAACCAATCGGCTTGACTCCAGGTGTGCTTGAAACATTGAGCATCCGATCTCGCATTGCTTGGAGGCAGGCTCGTCCTTCTGGCCATTGAGTAACAACTGAGTAGCAAGATGCTGGCGGCACGGAGAGCGAACATCCTCTCATTGCCCAGCCCACTCCGACAAGTGCTTTCACGTACCCTCGCGACCGCCACCTCCACCCCCCTTGACTCTTCCTCCCCGGCCGCGAGCAGTGTCGAATCGCGGACGCCGCCCTATTCCAAGCTGGTCCAGAATCTGCACCACGTACGACGACTGCTACCGAAGCGACCTCTTACTCTTGCCGAGAAGATCTTGTTCTCACACCTCGACAATGCCGAGGACTCATTATTGCAAGGCACCAACAATGGCACACATATACGGGCCAAGGCCACCCTGAAGCTCAACCCAGACAGGGTTGCTATGCAAGATGCGAGTGCTCAGATGGCCTTGTTGCAGTTCATGAGCTGTGGAATGCCCACCACTGCTGTGCCTGCGAGTATACATTGCGACCACATGATCGTGGGTGAGAAGGGCGCAGATATCGATGTGCCAAACAGCATCAAGGGCAACAAGGAGGTCTATGATTTCTTGGAAAGTGCAGGCAAGAAGTATGGAATCGAGTTTTGGCCACCGGGCGCCGGCATCATCCACCAGACAGTGCTGGAGAACTACTCTGCACCCGGCTTGATGATGCTTGGCACAGATAGTCACACACCGAACGCGGGAGGTCTTGGTGCTATCGCGATTGGTGTAGGAGGCGCTGATGCCGTGGACGCCATGGTTGGCGCTCCATGGGAGCTTAAGGCACCCAAGATCCGTGGTGTTAGACTCGTCGGCCAGCTCAGTGGATGGGCTTCGCCAAAAGACGTGATTCTTGCGCTTGCTGGCAAGCTGACGGTGCGAGGCGGTACAGGATACATTACTGAGTACTTTGGACCTGGTGTCGAAACACTGTCATGTACAGGCATGGCCACTATTTGGTAAGCGCCGATCAGGTCGCGAGATCACGAAGTGCTCACTGACACTCTCTAGCAACATGGGTGCCGAGGTCGGTGCGACCACATCTATCTTCCCGTATACTCCTTCATCACATGGCCCATATCTCCAGTCAACGCACCGTGCATCGATCGCCGAGCAAGCTGATGCGATTGCGGCCTCGCCTGGACCACACAACCTACTCAGACCCGACTCAGACTGCGAGTATGACGAAGTAGTTGAGATCAACCTTTCTGAATTGGAACCTCACATCAATGGACCTTTCACCCCCGATCTCTCTACTCCCCTTTCAGGGTTCAAGGAGGCAGTAGAGAAGAACCGATGGCCATCGACCTTTGGTGCCGGTCTCATTGGTAGCTGCACCAACAGTTCCTACGCCGACATGACTCGCGCCGAATCCCTCGTTCAGCAAGCACATGCTGCCGGACTCAAGCCAAAGGCCGACTTCTTCATCACTCCTGGTAGTGAGCAGATTCGAGCCACCTTGGAGCGAGACGATACTCTTGATACTTTCACTGAAGCAGGAGGCGTTGTTCTCGCCAACGCATGTGGACCTTGCATTGGAATGTGGACGCGCACAGACGGTGTTGAGAAGGGCGAGGATAATGCCATTTTCACATCTTACAACCGCAACTTCCCGGGCCGAAATGATGGCAATCGGCAGACCATGAACTTCTTGGCATCGCCCGAACTTGTCACCGCCATGTCGTATGCTGGCCGCACTGACTTTAACCCGATGACAGACTCCATCAAGACACCTTCTGGCGAGGAGTTCCGCTTCCAACCACCCCAAGGTACTGATTTGCCAGCCGCCGGTTATGCTTCTGGAAATGCCCTCTTCCGCCCTACCGAGCCCGTACCTAACGCCAGCATACCCATCTCTGTTGACCCCAATTCCACCCGTCTCGAGCTGCTAGAGCCATTTGAGCCCTTCCCAGAGGGCGAACTTACTGGACTAAAGGTACTTGTCAAGGTCAAAGGACAGTGCACCACAGACACAATCTCTGCTGCCGGGCCATGGCTTAAGTACAAGGGACACTTGACCAACATTAGCGAAAATACTCTCATTGGCGCCGTCAACGCCGAGACTGAGGTCGTAAACCAAGTCAGCGATGTTGACGGGCAGACGTATACCATTCCTGAGCTTGCTAAGAAATGGAAGTCTCAAAATCAGCCATGGCTCGTTGTCGCTGAGCACAATTACGGGGAGGGATCTGCCAGAGAGCACGCAGCACTCCAACCTCGCTTCCTGGGTGGTAAGATCATCCTGACCAAGTCCTTCGCGCGCATCCACGAGACGAACTTGAAGAAGCAAGGCGTCATTCCTCTTACATTTGAAAATGAGGCAGACTATGATAAGATGGCCGGCTGCGACGAAGTCTCAACCGAAGGTCTCTACGACGTGCTCAAGGGCGGCGATGGCCCTATCACTCTGATCGTCAAGAAGAAAGACTCAGGCGAGACTCATCGCGTACCAGTCAAGTACAATCTGTCTCCTGACCAGAAGAAGTTCATACTGGCAGGATCAGCATTGAATCTGCTGGCACAAAAGAGCAAACAGAAGCAAGCGCAGTCCTAGGAATACTACCTTCATCTGTATTGCTTGGCATTTAATCCAACATTCAATACGCTTCTTGGCTGGTACGGAGATGATTGTGTGTTTCAATTGGCGTTCTGCTATCTGATACCACGAGAGGGTTGAGATAAAAGCGGCCAGGAGCGGCAGGGGAAGATTTCTGCACAATCATGTTATGTACATTAGTATGCACTTCTCAGTGTGTGCCAACTAGTTTCAATTATTCCACATATCGTCACGTTCTTGTGTATCTTGCGAACTTCACCATCTCACGTGATCAGGTGTCTAGATTTGAGTCTGTACCTTCCTCTCTGCAGCGCGATCAGAGCTTGCATCCCTCTCCTTGGAGATGCTGGGTGCCGTGCTTGGATTGACACCAGCAATAAACTTGGCCTCGTTCTCATGGAAGAAAGACCAATCACCGATCTCCTCGTCAGCGAACTGATCAAGATCCAGACCACGAATCTCAGCCTCCTCAGACACCCTGAGTCCCAAGCCAGGAATGTACTTGAGCACGATCAGGATTATCGACGTGACAACGAAGCTGTATGCCGAGACGGCCACAATTCCAGCAAGCTGATATCCGATCTGAACACCATGGCCATTGATCGCTCCACCATCACTGAGGTATTCTGGTTCCTCGAGTGATCCGATGACTCGGTCGGCGAAGATTCCTGTGAGGAAAGAGCCGACCATGCCGCCGATACCGTGGAGTTTGAAGACGTCGAGACCTTCGTCGATGTGGATCCATTCGCTGAGGTTTTGGAGAGAGGAGCAGACGACGCCTGTAATGAAACCTATGACTGCTGCGAGCCAGAAATGTACGAAGCCTGCGGCTGGTGTGATGCCGACGAGGCCGGCGATTGCTCCTTCGCAGGCGCCAACGCAGCTGAATTTGCCTTTGTTGCGGATCAGGTCGACCATGACCCAGCCGATGATACCGAAGCTGTGATATGTCAGTTCGACCTCTCTATTCATATGTTCACGAGATACCGCTCACCTGGCAGCCACATTGGTGTTGAAGACGGCATAGAGGGAGCGAACAGAGGAGGTCAAAGTCGAGCCGCCATTGAATCCGAACCATCCGAACCAAATCAGTATCGTACCAAGGAATACCAGAGTCATGTTGTGGGGCTTAGAATGGCCTGGCTCAGTCTTGGATTTCCTCTTGCCTAGCACAAGGGCATATGCCAAACTTGCACATCCAGACGCAATGTGGACAGGACCGCCACCGGCAAAGTCGAGTTCGCCGAGTTTGTAAAGCCATCCATTACTGTTCCACGTCCAGGAGGCGATTGGGCAATAGACAATTGTGGCCCAGATAAAGCTGAACAGCAGCGATGGTAAGATCCTTCCACGTTCGAACGAGCCTCCGATGACAAGCTCCACAGTTGCAGCGCAGAAGAGGAGTTGGTAGAATACGAAGATGACTTCTGGGAGGACACCGGTAGGCGCAACGCGGACATTCATGAGGCCGAAATTACTCAAGTCGCCGATAAATGCACTGCTTGTGCGCGAGTAGGCGAGAGAGTAGCCCTGTTTTCGCAGTCAGGCTATGTGCCAGTATCACACACCTTTCGAGTGAAGCATACCCAGAACATCCATTGGAAAGTGACGACGGCGATGACACTCAAGCTCTGGAATATCAAGCTCAGGCTACTCTTGCGACGTGCCAGTCCGGAGTACAGCAAGCCAATGCCGGGGATGATGAGCCAGACAAGAAATGTGCAGACGGCGAGGTACACGAAATGGAACTCGTAGCCGAAGTACTGATCGTTGACATTCGTCGTCAAAGGGTCTCCGCCCATTGGCGAAGCAGAGTCATACTCGGGCTGTGCAACAATGTCAGCGGTCGAAGCGGTCGAATCCGGTGACGAGTGAGCTTACCTCCACGGAAGACATGCTGCTACACGGCGGTCCAAGCAGCAGGACTGAGGTGTACGAAGGAGGCAGAAATCTCGGCGCAAGGAGGAGACGACAGCATTATAGGCACAGAGAAGCTACAACGTGCACATGGTGAACAATGCGCGTCGCGAATTCGTTCGCGAGAGCTTGGTCAGATAACCGTCTCGTCGCATCCATACACGAGGCGTGCTTGCGAATGCCCAGAGATGCCACGGTTGGCGCAGTCTGAGACCAGGACAGCAGAGATAAGGAGCTCGGCAGGCGGTCTTCGATGTCTGGGCGCAGGTAACTGCGCAGAAGACAGACACGAATGCTGAATCGTACAGTCAGTAAGTATTCTACACCGCGGGCTTGCTTCCGCTTGCTCGGCAGCCAATGACCCGGAAGGCAAATGTCAACGGCGATCCTCCTCCGAGATGTTGTTGGATGCCGGCGACGACTTCCGATGGAATATATGTCTATCACGTCAAGGTTAGAGGCTACGAATGTGTACTGCTTGGTAGGCGGTGTTTCCTTCCCATCCTTTGACCGCTTTCCTTGAGTGAATAGCCAGAAAATGGCGCACCAGAAGCTGCTCTCAGTGGAGGAAATCTCCAAGCACAATACGCCAGACGACTGCTGGATTGTGGTCGATGGCAAGGTGTATGATATGACTGAATTCGCTCCAGACCACCCTGGTGCCCCAGAAAGTAAGAAGAATCGACCTGATGGCATGCAACGGATGGAGACTGACCGTTCTTTCAGTAATATGGCGACACGCTGGCCGTGACGCGACAACAACGTATCATTCTGTACACCCTCCCTCGCTCCTCACGAAAGAGCTCGATGCATCCAAGATCAAAGGCGACGTCGACCGGAAAACGATCACTGAAGACTTCCAAAAACCTCCTCCCACCGAGACTCCCGAGCTTCGCTTGAATGAGAAGCCACCACTCAGCGCCGTTATCAATGCACAAGACTTTGAAGATGTCGCTGAACGGACAGCAAGTAAAAAGACGTGGGGCTTCTACAGCTCTGCGGATACAGGCTGCTATACCAGAGATCGCAACAAGGATTACTTCAGTCGAATATGGTTCCGGCCAAGACTGTTACGAGACGTCAAGAACGTCAACACAGCAACAACGATTCTGGGACATAAGGCAGGATTGCCGATCTTCGTGGCTCCTGCAGCGATGGTGAAGATGATACATCCGGACGGCGAGAAGGTGATTGCGAGAGGTTGTGTTCGGGAACGCGTGCCCCAGGGCATCAGCACGAATGCCAGCTTTCCGATTGAAGAGATCGTACCCAGTATAGATCCCGGCTCTAATGCATTCTTCTTCCAGCTTTATGTCAACAAGGATCGGGCAAAGAGCGAGAGTCTTCTGAAGCACGTACGGAGTCTTGGTATAGATGTGGTTATGGTAACAGTAGACGCGCCGATGCCTGGGAAGCGAGAAGCAGATGAGCGCGTCAAGATGGACGAAAGCCTCAGCACGCCTATGAGCGGAATGAAAGGCAGCAATGATAAACGAGGCGGCGGAATCGGTCGTCTGATGGGAGCCTACATCGCGCCTGATTTCACCTGGGATGAATTTACGTGGCTGAGGAAGGTCTGGGATGGGAAAATCGTGGTTAAGGGCATCCAGGCATGGCAAGACGCGAAAATGTGTGCTGATGCAGGCTTGGATGGAGTTCTGTTGTCGAATCATGGAGGTCGGAATCTCGATACTTCACCACCGAGCATCATGACACTACTCGAATGCCAAGCGAACTGCCCGGAAATCTTCTCGAAGCTGGAGGTCTTGGTCGACAGCGGCATTCGAAGGGGAAGTGATGTTCTCAAATGTCTCTGTCTAGGTGCGACAGCTGTCGGTCTCGGTCGGCCGTTCTTATTCGCTTCGAATTACGGACAAGAAGGTATTGAGCATCTCGTTGATATTATCAAGACCGAGCTCGCTACGGCTATGGCTTTGATTGGTATTACGGATGTGAAGCATTGTCATCCAGGATTGGTGAGCACTTTAGATTTGGATTATCTTGTGTCTAGAGGTGAGGGCCATCCTTACGCGACAGGCCTGCGACTTGAGAGCTTCAGAGCTTTGGATGTCAGGTCTAAGCTATGAAGTGAGGTTTGCGCCATCACATGCGTGAGTGAGTTGATACATTGATATATTACATAGATGATAAATGTGACAACGACTTTTTTTCGAACAATACATCGACAGCTGCAGCGCACCACGACCACACATCTAGATCTGTCTTTAACCCGCTCAGCGCAGCATCCAGCGTCAACCTGTGTTGAAGGCGCCATTCATCTAATAAGCTGTAAACATGGTCATTTATTACGGCAAGTGGGACACTGGCCACGACGAGCCCCCGCATCAAGTCGACATACCGACTGCATTACGCAACGTTGGTGTTGCTCTCTACGATGACTCCCGAGCCTACGACGTCTACATACGCTACATCCGCGGCAAGGACCTCTACGACACATGGAGCATCAGGCAGCTGCAGGAACTTTGCAACGAAAAGCGTCTGCGACTTCGAGGCATGCCCGCCGTCTATCCTGGCCCAGTGTCCCACCCCTGGGTTCAAGAGAGCTTTCGGCGCCTGCATGCATTTCTCGTAGAAGCTCTGGAGAAGTCCGAAATTGCTACAACATTCGAAAGATTTCTCGACCTCCACAAAGGCTTGAGGTTCAAAATCTATAAAAGGCACTTCAACCAGCTCTGCGATGAAACTGGCTTGACTCCACTAGTCGCTCCACCAGCAATCACATTAACCTCCCACCAGGTTCGCAAAGAGGCACTTCCAATCTTCTTCAAACGCAACTTCGTCCTACGAACCACGACGAAGGACCCAACTCTCCACGCATCTTTCCTGCCACCCCCTCCAGCACCAGGTCTCGGCTCACTCCCAGACGCCAAAGATCGTAAGCGGACCGTCTCCAGCAGATTCCCCAAAGCACCTTCAAGCTACTCCATCAACATCAGACGTCTCAGCCTCTGCAGATTCTCGACCACTGGGGACCGAGCAGATGGTGGTGTTTGGTATATTGATCTTGACGCTGAGAAGGTTGAGAAGCGCGTCACTTGGATTGCTGGAGCTGGGCATGGAGAGCGATTCGATGAGAAGGGAAAGAAGAAGGTGGAGAAGGGTATTGCTGATGCTACGTCTAGGTTGCGGAAGTGTGTGGATGTGATGATGGAGAGAGATGGAAAGTTGCTGGGAAGTGATTCTTTGATTTTCAGGGATGCGATCGAGAGCAATGGCAAGAAGTGATGGGGCTTTTGCTGCATACGGATGGAGAGAGCATGGCATTATGATTATTTGCGATAAGAGTCGGTCTCGAAGCTGTGAAGCTGAATGAGCTAGGACCAGTGGGTTGCAGTTTCAGAATTGCAAGCTGTTTCACGAATATGAGGTTTCTCTCGATCTATTACGCTCACCCGAGAATGCATGCAAGCAGCCGCCAAATGTGATATCTGCTGGAGGAAGCCAGACAAATCTGCTCGGCCGCTGCTCTGGGTGAAGTTCGTGACGCTTCGCCAAAGGATGAGATCCTACACGAGTGCGACCGAGGGTGTGGTGACAGTCGGTCTCGGTGATAGCTTGGCAAGGTTCCACAATGCAGCGACAGGTCGCCATCTAAAGGTGAGTTGTAGGCACAGGAGCGTGGAGCGTGGATGCCGATGTTGCACTGCGGCCGTGGTCCCGTAGCGCCTTCTTGACCAGCGCATATCAAGATATTATTGAGGGCCGGTGTGGTAGTGATGGTGTACACTTCACGTCTGCGTGCGGCCTCGTCCGAAGGTGGCCGTGAGGTGAGGTGCACTTCTACATCTCCCGCTTGTCAGGCCGCGATCTATCCGAGGCAGATGTACAGAGATACACTTTCGGCAGCCCAGGAGCGCAGCGCCGGTCTGACCACCAAAATCGCCGAGCTGACCACCGCGGTGGTCAGGAACTCTAAAATGACAGGGGGTTAGCCGAGGTTAAGCTAATTGGAATGCGAAACCATTGAGTAAGTTTATTATATTTTTAATAGAATTTAAATGAAATTTCAATAAGAAATAAATAATCTTTTATTTTTTTACTTCTATAATAATTACTATAGGGTAAAGATTTTTTAAAAGGATTTAGAAAGGATTCGGAAAGGATTCGGAAAGGATTCGGAAAGGATTTAAAAAGGATTCGGAAAGGATTTAGATAGGAATTAAATAGGAATTAAATAGGAATTAAATACAATTTAAATAGAATTAATATAGTACTCTTAAAAAACAATTTAGTAAAGGACGGAAACTAATACTACTACCGCTACTTGTAGCAATAGTATAGGCTATCGAGAGTAATACGACCTATAGCAATATAGGCAGCTATATTTAGTAAGATAGGATAACGAGACTATCGCTTAGGCTAATAACTAGAGCCCTGCAATATAGGTATTGTAGAAGTGTAATACAAACAATGTGCTATACGAGGTTGATAATCTGTCTACTCTACCGAAGGAGGCCTCTTATATAGGCTTAAAACTAGCCTATAGGTATAGGGCCGGTTACTAGCTAATATCCCTCCCTTTCTTTATATCTAACTAGATACGCTTTACATTGCGCGCTTAAAACAAACATGTATGCATCCTTAGCGGTCTTAGCTAAGGCTATTTTTACAACTCCGCAATAATACCCCTAGGGTAGCATTAATCCTAGATACTATAATTATATAAAAACGACTTCCTAAGCAATACTATATAGACCTACTATTGCTTCAACGCGCCGTAATCCTTACTAGTAATAACCTTATCTGCTAGTCGGCTCTCGAAATCTCCTCCGTATACGTTAAAGCTATTAGTACCGAAGTACTGTCCCTCGTAGAAAGCTTAATTAACGAGGAGGTTAGTAGCCTTTTCCGTCGTAGCTTTCTCCTAATCGTATAGATACTCCTTAAGTCCTTCGTTATTAAGCTAGAGGATCTATTTAACTTCGTTCTAAACAACGTAACTTAACTAAGGAATCCTACTAACTAGGGCGTCGGAGATATAGCCGAGATCTTTAACTAAGATAGCCGTAGGGAAAGCGAATAGTACGAAGGAGTTAGAGGCTAGGAGGGCGGTTAGATTGCGGTACGCTTTAGCAACCTAAGAGACTATTAAGTTCTCGTAGCCCTTAACCTTAGTGCCGTTAATAACGCGAGAGTAGCCTAGGTTAATTAATATACAGTTACTCTTAGTCTTTAGATTACTATATAGTAGGTATAGTATCTAAATAGAGACCTCGTACTCCTTTAGAGGGTTAAGGATCTACTCCGCTTTACGTCTCTTACTATTAGACTAACTATCGAATATATAGTCGAGGTCGTCGTCGGTAAGGTGCTTATTAGTAAGCTTACCGATCTTGCTTAGTAGGACTAGGCTACGAGCCTTAAGCTTCTCAACCTAGTTCGTAAAGACCTCGGGCTAATATATGCCTTCGATAATAGTAGAGCAGCTAGTCTTATCCTTAGATATAAGGCAGACCTTAATACGTAGGTAACTAGCACCCTCGCTAGCTACAAGCTTAACTATATCTTATCTAAGACGAGTAGACTCCTTAGAAGGACAGTTTTTATAAGTACCGCTAACCTTAAAGAACTTAGTAGGCTTAGGGACGGAGATAAGCTCGTATATATAATTAGGTCGAAGGGCGATAGCTAAGAGCTATAGGGCAGGGTACTAGCGGACGATTTAGTTGCTTATACTATAAGTTTAAAAGGCATTGCGGCCTTCTTACTTAGACTTAGGCATTGTACGTATATACTAGAGGTATATTTTAAACTCCTCCTATATTAGATCGATAAGGAAAGGAAGATACGCTCCGCGAGGCTCTTATAACTAACTAAAGACTTAAGGGAAGATAGCATTGCTAGTCTAGCGAAAGCGGTCGAAGGAGGTGCCTTAGCTAAGGATACCGGTAACGAACTTGCTCTAGCGATCTGTTAGCGTAAGGGCGCGAGTAATAGTACTAGTAGGGTTAAACGCGTAGAGTCCTAGAGATATCGGGGCGGCAATAGGGCGTCTAGGAAACTAGTTAGTATAGGCCTAATTAGCCTTAAGTGTTATAGTTCGAAACGTGGTTTTGAAGTGTGTTAATTTATATTATGTCTATCTAGCTACGGAGGAAGTATGCCTATAAGGCGGCTAGTAGTAGCCGCCTAGGTGTCCCTTCCCTCCTAGCTTCGTAATAAAATCCCCTAGTCGCGAAATGTCCGCGACTACGTAGACTATACCTATAATAGACTCACAATGCTATCGTATTCTCGTATAGGTATACTAACTATACTTAATAGACTAACTGTCGTCTACTATAGAGTCTCCGTCTAGGTTTTAATAACTTACGCGTTACGCGTCGCCTGCTCGGCTATAATCGAGTAGTTTTAGGTTACTAATTCTAAGCCTTTAGCCGCTACCTAGCGCTTTAGGAATCTAATAGCATTCTTCCTATATAGGACGTATAGGGCGTTAAAGGCGGTAGCGATAAATATGCCGATACGGGCGCGGTCTTCCTCTTTTCCTAACTAGATTAATCTAGCGAGCTCGGCTATAATATCCGTAAGGGAGTCGTAGGTAAGTCTAGTAGCCTAGTCCTATAGCAATTCCTATATCGCCCGAATCGCGGCTTTCTCGGAATTAGCTTTAGTATTAGAGCGTTAGATCGCGTCTATCGCCTATAGTAGACGAAGGGTAGACTGTTCTACGTCTTCCTTAACCGTACCGTCCGTATTCTAGAAATAGGAGAGTTCTAGTACGTAGTTAATAACGTCCTCTATATCGGTAAGCTTTCCGTTCTATTCTTCTAAATTCTCGTTGTTCTAGTCGATATTGTCTTTAGTATAGGCTATAATATCGTCGCGAATTTCCTTAGGAAGGACGTTATAGGCTTAGAGGAATTTCTTTGCGATAGACATAGCGTAGTCGTATAAGGCTCTCTCGTCTTCTAATAACTACTCGCGAGACTCCCCGTCCTTAACGTAATTCCATTCCTTTATTGCCGCTACGACTATATAGGCGAGGACTCCTACGAACATTTATAACTCTTCCGGCTCGCTTCCTAGCTACTATTTCCTAGTAAGCTCTACTAGGGCGATCTAGACGAATAAGCTACTCTAGCCTTTATCGCGAAGGATGTCGATAGGGAGTTAGGATTTGCTCTTATCTATATTAGCGATAGATATAGGGTTAGTAGCAATAGCGATATCGTTGTCGGCGGCGCCGGAGGTAGCGGCGGTAGCTATAGGGTTAGCGACTATAGTAGCGCTAGAGGTGCTAGCCGTAGGGATAACGACTATAGCAGCGCTAGGGGTACTAGCTTTGCCTCCGTCTAAGCTGTCTAGTCCTACTAAGATTCTTATACTCGCTATCTTATAAGGGTCGGATTGAGGCATAGCGGGCATCTCCTTAGTAGATATAATATAGCCGCGCCTATTAGGGACGCCTACCTAACCGGCGTTATTCTTAAGTTCCCTACCTAGGAAGCGGATTAACTACTTAGCTTGCTTATCGTGCTTGTAGTGTCCGACGTAAAGGATTTTTCTAGTCTTATCGTTAATACGTAGGAGAATAACTGCCTATATCTAGTGCCGCAATACCGCCGCCTTTAGTAGTATAGGAACTGCCGCTATTAGGAAATCGTCTATCGGGGCTAGGAGGTCGGTCTAACCGCCTTCGACTACTTCCTTAATCTATTATAGGGAATAGCTAAGTATATACACTAACTAGTCGCCGAAAATCTTTATATCTACAGCTTTCTCGGATACGGGAATATCTCGAAAATATTCCTTCTAGGGAAAGACTTCGTCGTTCTTTAATTCCGCTATAAACGATCGTATCTTCTTAGCTAGCTCTATAGTATCGAAGTAGGCGTTAAAGTAGTTATAGTTAAACTTCCTCGCTATCTCCGCGATATAGTTTAGATACTATTACTACTCTTAGTTAGAGAATATTGCGATAATTATATATCCTACCTCTATTATAAGTTCCGTTATACTCGCTACGCAACGAACGAAATCTATTTCCTAGGTCTTAGATAGACGTAGACCGTCGCTATAGAGGGTTCGGCTGCTATAAGCCTTACGCAAAACGTCGAATAGGCGTATAAATCTATAGCGCCCGAATAGAAGCCGGAACGTTAGGTCTATAAAGAGGCCTCTTAGAGTAATACCGCTGTCTTCTAGCGTAGGCGGGTCGCGCGCGTCGATCGGAGGATCTACGGTGCTTATCTTAGCCTTTCTAGCTAATTTTCGCTTACTAG